CCGCAGCAAGAACGAATGGAAAAGGAATGGTATTACAATAACGGGGAGCAACGCGAAGGCCCGATAAGTTTAAGAGATCTAAAAGAATTGTACAGTTCGAATCAGGTGACTCATAAGACAAAAGTTTGGGCGCAGGGATTAGATGGATGGAAAACCATTTCGCAAGTGCCGCAATTAAAATGGAGTCTCGTAGCAAAGGGAACTCCCGTAATAAATGAAAGTGAATTGGCCAATTTAATCTTGAATATCTTAATTAAGATGTGTGAATATTTTCCAAGTAGAGACGCCGATGACGCGGTAATCAGACCGTTGCCACGCGTGAAGCGATTATTATCCGACCTTCAGTACCTGCCACATATTGTACAGCTTTTGCTAACGTTCGACCCGACTCTAGTTGAAAGAGTCGCCACCCTGTTATGTGAGATAATGCGAGATAACGCGGATATGTCGAAAATTTATCTCACTGGCGTGTTTTACTTTATCTTAATGTATACCGGTTCCAATGTCTTACCAATCGCAAGATTTTTACAGCTTACGCACACAAAACAAGCTTTTAGGAATGATGATGTGAGTTTGTTTTTATTATATTTTAATGTATGAATTATAGAGATAAATATAACATGTATAACATTGTTGTGTTATATCCTTTAGAACACTTGTTCGGATATCATGCAACGAAGTATTCTCGGTCAACTATTGCCTGATGCAATGGTAAGTTATTTGGAAAATCACGGGGCAGAGAAATTTGCGCAAATATTTCTCGGAGATTACGACACACCGGAAGCAATTTGGAACGCGGAGATGCGACGAATGCTTATCGAGAAAATTGCTGCGCACATCGCAGATTTTAGTCCCAAGTTACGAAGTCATACCATGGCTAGGTATCAGTATATCGCTATACCTGCCGTAAGATACCCGCAATTGGAGAATGAATTGTTCTGCCAGATATTCTATCTCAGACATCTTTGTGATACCGTTAAATTTCCACAGTGGCCTATTCCAGAACCCGTAAGTTTAAGCAATAATTAATTCATATACCATACGACATTAAGCAATACTTTGTATAGTATTAATAACTTATACAAGTATAATTTGATTAGGTGCAATTATTAAAAGACGTATTAGATGCATGGAAGAAAGAAGTAGAAAAGAAACCACCTTTAATGACTGTGGACGAGGCTTACAAGCAACTCGGCTTATCTGTTGGAAAACAACATGATGGAGCGATCGTTAGGAAATCATTTTACAAATTAGCTCAAATGTATCATCCTGACAAGAATCCTGAGGGGAGGGTAAATATGTATTTGTATCTGTTCTGTGTGAATTGTATCTTCTTATTTCTATATATATATTATTGAGCGTGCTAAAATATGTACATTTGATAATTTTAGGATAAATTCGAGGCTGTTAGTCAGGCATACGAATTTTTATGCAGTCGCAGTTGCTGGTCTACTACTGGTCCTAATCCTGACAACATCGTTTTGATCCTGAGGACTCAGAGCATACTTTTCCATAGATATACGGACGAACTTAAACCTTACAAATACGCTGGTTATCCTCAATTAATCAAGACGATAAAACTAGAGACAGACGACGAACGATTATTTTCCAAATCTGCCCCGTTGCTAGCAGCTGCGAGCGAACTTGCGTATCACACGGTGCATTGTTCGGCATTAAATGCCGAAGAATTGCGAAGAGAGGGTGGTTTGGACGTGCTACTGGAAGCATATACGCGATGCGTGTCTGTATTGAGCAAATCGAGTAAACCCACCGACATAGCGGTGCAAGTTTGTATGCATATCACTAGATGTTTTGCTGTTGCTGGATCATTCCGAGGATGCAGAGATAAGATAATCGAATTGCCACAACTGGTAAAAGACCTTTGCAGAATATTGCATTTCAAGGTATCTACAAAAGTATTTTTACAATTATAAAAAATAACTTGTTATTCTATTTTTTTGCAAGAATACATTTTAATTTTTATTTACAGCATTTAACAAAATTATGTGCGGTTGCTACGGAATGTATTTCGTCTCTCGCTACAGATAGTATATTACAAATGCAATTATTGCAATCTGGTGCTTTGTGGGATTTGTTGCTCTTTATGTTTAACTACGATTATACATTGGAGGAAGGCGGCGTAGAAAGAAATCAGGATGAGAACCGTCAGGAAGTGGCAAATAATTTAGCTAAATTGGCAGTCCGCGCTTGTGCTAGATTAGGTGGTTACATGAAGGGAGAAAACGAGACGCCTGTTAATCCCGTTACTGTTGCCGCCCTCGAAAGCTTATTAACGCCCTATTTAGCACGTCAACTTGTTAAAGATAAACCTGAGGAGATTTTAAAGATATTAAATTCTAATTGTTCAAATCCATATTTAATCTGGGATAATGGAACCAGAGCGGAATTAAACGAATATTTAGAAGTGAAACAGCAAGAGAGATTAAATAACAGCGGTAACTTTGAACACGATTTTAGCGATTTTAAATATACTGCTCATGCCGACGAATTAGTAATTGGTGAAATATTTGTAAAAATATATAACGAACAACCAATGTATCCAATTGAGGTAAATTAATGTTTTTAGACACAAGATTATATAGAGAACTTATAGTTAGCTTAGGATAAATATTTCAGATCGAGATGAGAGATAAAAAATAATCTTAAAGAGCTCTATTTGATTTTCAGAATCCAAAGAGTTTTACAATAAATTTGCTCGAATTTTTATTGTTATCTTCGGAATACTTGACATCTTTGGGAAGTATTTCTCTAAGTAAAAAGGATCAAGAGAAATTGGAACACGTTGTTATGGCGCTTAGAGCATTGAATAATGTTATCAAAAATAATCCTGGAATTGAATTACAGTGTATGGGGCACTTTAAATTGCTATTCGGACTTTTGAATTGCAATAATTTTAAATTAATTCAAAAGAGCGCTTTAGAAGTAATCAGTAATGTTACTAAAAATCAGGAATGTGTTGATGATATAGCTGCGAACGAAGTTGTAGTGCATTTGTTGTTATGTTTGCACAGCCTAAAGGAATGTCAACTTCTTGCATTAGAAACTTTATATGCACTAATGAGTTCGACAAAAATCGTAAAAGATGCATTAGCAAAAGGTTTGTAAAAGATATAATATAAAGAACATTAGAAAATATCTATAAATTGATGAGACTCTTAAACATAATTTAGATCTAATGTATATTTATAATATTTTTCAGGAGCTGTTACATACATTCTCGATCTGTTTTGTAATTCGAATAATGTTCAAATAAGAGAAGCAGCAGCTGAATTGCTCGCGAAAATGTCATCCGACAAATTAGCCGGACCAAAAGTTAAACTTGATTTGTCGAAATTTTTGCCTAGATTATTCAGCGAAGCTATTCGCGATGCACCCAAGCAATGTGTACACATGTTTGAAACAAAACACGAAAATCCTGAATTGATATGGGACGATGATGCAAAAGCTAGAGTAGCAAGAATTATTGCCGAGTTGAAAGACGAGTAAGTTTTACAAAAATAAACTGTAACATATCTTGTCTTTCATTTTTGACAATAAAATTAATTGTTTCTTATCTTTTAGGTATCATGCATTACAGAGACGAAATCCTAATGCCATATTAAAGTTACCTGATACACAAAATAATATCGACATTGCAACTAACGAACCTGTCGTAGGTGGAGTATATCTTAGATTATTCATAGCCAGTCCTGCTTGGGCGCTTAGGAAACCAAAAGAATTCTTAAGTGAACTGATGGATACTACATTAACGCTGATGTCCAAGGAAAAGACTGATGTAAATGTTATAAAATGAATTAATACTAAAACATTAGAAATATCGTATCAATATTTACGTTACATTAATATATTACATTATTGTGTGTATTTTTGCAACTAGACCGATATGTTGGAATTAACGACCCAGGCTCTCGTGTGTCTACTCCAAGCACAACCCACTTTGGCGGACCAAGTACCATCCTTGGGTCATATACCGCGACTTTGTCGTCAGATGGCTGTCCAGAATAATCAGCCATCAGTATATAAAACAGCTATATTAATTCTACATCAATTAGCTACGAGCGAAGTAAGTAGCCTTTGATTTTGTGTATATGTACATGTTTCTATAATTATAGTTTTATTTCTAATTCTCGTTTTCGATTTATGCTCGCTTAGATTTGTATCTCGTCCATATGTCAAACAGATTGCATAAGTCCATTGAAGCATGCGATGCAATCGAGAAAAGATATGATTGCAGTGGCATGCGAAACATTGAACAGGTTATTTTCAACAAATGAAGATAGACTTATTAAGCAGGTAGGTACATGTGAAAATATAATTACATGTTAAAATATTATGTTCAAAAAATATTAGATACAGTATTGTGTTACTACATGCAGGCATTGGATGCCGAAATGGTACCATATCTTTTAAATATATTAGAAGGGCGATTAGATATCGTTGAGAATCCTGCCACGACTAAAGCACAAATAGTAAAAGCTTTAAAAGCCATGACGAAAAGTTTACTTCTTGGTGAAAAAGTTAATGCCATTTTGGAAAAGTCGAGCGTATGGGCCGAGTATAAGGATCAACGGCACGATCTGTTTATTTCTAACAATACAAGTTCTGGTTACCTTACAGGTAAAATATACGAATAGCTTTTAACGTGCATAAAATAAATATTTTTGGCTAATTGAAATGTTCTATTGCTCGATTATTAGCCGCAACTCCTGTATCTGCTGGCTACTTAACAGCGGGGCCAAGTGCAACTTTGACCGCAGGCCCACCACCGGTAGACAAAGAAGATAATCTAATTAATAGAAATGATAGCATCTGATATAGGTAGCATCGTAAGTGGTACAAAAGACAGTGAGGATGTCAGTACTGAGAGATTCCTATCGGTAAAATACCGATATAGAGACTACATTGTCTGTGATTTTTGGCTTCTTAAAGAAAGAAATTTATTATCAAATATTGTTTTTGCTGTATAATCTTTATATTATAGGATCATTTAATATATTTCGTTCTTTAATTACATTTATATATATATGAGTCGTAGTGTATAATGTAGCTATAAAACTTAAATTGTCAGTTTTTAAGATAACATATATAGATATATAGGTAAAATTATAATATTCCAAGACATCTTATTATATCAAACAAGTTTTCGGACAAATTTTTATCTTATATTCAGCAGCGTCGCGTAATATGACATTTCGTTACGTTTCTGGTAAACGGATTTATATTTGTAAGTTTGTCCGCAGGGTATTTAAAAAAAAGCAAAAATATAATTCGAGCATTGCCTGACGTGCATTCGAAGAATCAACTTTTATCGGTATCTAAAAATCTAAGTGAAGAAATAATTATCAATTAATTAAGCTTACATTATCTTGAAATAATGTTATTGTAATTTTTTTTTGGTTTCGACATAATCATTTTTCACGCCAATATATAACCGATTAAGATTATTTTGTAATCCAACTTTTAAGCTTAATTACACACGTTAATTGCATCTCCACTTAAATTTTTATTAAGGAAAGATTAATACTATGAAGAAATATATCTATCTTAATCAATTCTCTCATATCTTTAGGAATATCTAAATATGTATGATATGGAATATTATGAGATTTATTTTTTAACTAGATTAACCATGAGTTTACGTGTAAAAATTTTCGAGAGAACTATGAGTAAGATTTATGTAATATAATTTGCAGTAAAATCAAAAAAAAAAGAAAAAAAAAGAAAACTAACAGGAATTCATATGTAGTAATGCAACAACTTTCTCTGTGATAGCATGTTAATTGTGACGGATACATATAACAACAAATGGTGGTACGTTTCTAAGTCTGGCCACTGTAAAAACACATTTTCAATGGTCACATTCCAAGCAGTCAGAAATATAAAATGTACTTATCTAAAATTGAGCACGTCCTTGTGAATGAAAAAATTAGAGACTATGTGAAAAAAGATTAACATATATTAAAGAATTGGAATATATCCTTATCTATTCCTTATACATAATAAAAAGTTACATTTTTTAAAAGTTATATCAGAATAAAAGCTTAATTGAAAAAGTATTATTTATTTGTGCATATTTACAATGCACATATTTTTCTTGAGATGATATTTCATATTTTTAAACGAAAGATATTTTTAATTGTATGCTTGGTAACCATCAATTCAAACGTATCTCAAATTTTGGATGTCATACTTGCTATTTATTATCTTAAAATATACATATATTACTATGTATACTTTAATATTAAAAAAATATATACTATTTATATCATTATAATTAATCTAATATGTCAATTTTTCTACGACCTTTTAATACATAATTTTTCAATCACAGTAGAATTTTACTCAAATCATCAAAAATTGCAGTAATCAGATCATAAATGAAATTTAGCGATGATTATGTGACGAGGAATATCTAGTTAATAATCTAGCTTCGTTTAAGGTAAATCTCAAAGAGTTTATCTCTCTTTATTGGCTTAACATACAGAACTTTATGCATGTATGCGTTTCAGGTCCTTGCTTCAGTGAACCTTGGGTGAACCAATTTACACCGAGGCCTGGCTTTGGTATTACAATATCGTTGGCCACGGTAAATGCAGCATATCAGACACTTTCTTTCAAACGGAAACTGGTGGCTACGTAATCACATCGCTACCAAGTCGTACGCCTATGAAGCCAGGCTCAGCGGTAAATAATTTTTAATTAATGATTTAACTTTGTGAACATACTATATATAAATCATTTATTCTTAACATATATGTAGACATTTCCATTCTTTGGGATTTGCCGGAACTTTTTGACGAGGATAGTCACATAGCGAAGGAGAGGGATACCTTGTTTTCCGTCAACCATGGGTATGATGCGAATTATCTATGGGAATCATGAACGTTTTCAGAACGATTCAAAGAATAATACTGCACGAGAGATGGTAAGCTCATTCTTTTTTTTTCATATATTTATCTGCCATTGAATGGAATGCGAGGAGGCGGTTCATGCAAATCGAAATCTATTTCCGTCGTAGTGAGCACATTTTTCCAGTTCTTCCGCAATGTTTATTATTCGATTATACTTGGCAATTCTTTCACTCCTATAATCATTTAATAGATACTATTTTTATCATAATCAAGAGCGCTAGATAAGAATAAATTAATCAAAAATGATTATAGTAATAGATAAATATTGATTTGAAATTAATCCCAAACTTTAAGCATTATTCTCGACATATTCGTTCATATCGCATTATTTAATTGCTGCAATGAGCAAAACGTGGGTCCTTAAAGCTTATATTGTATGTCCTTAACCCTGACGCATGAATATAATAATGCTTTCGTTAGGGTATTCTATTGTTTATAATTATATAAAACGGAAAAATGAATATAGTGGAATCTTCTGTATAAAAAGCGCTTGCTGCCATGTCCAACGCTATGTTAATTTTGTCGTAATTATGCATATACATATATTATTTATTAGTATAAATAGAGAATCCAATTTTGTTTATACAATTTTCCAATCTTACATGAAAGAAAAATCTCAAAATTAAAAATGTTCAATGTTAAACATATTTAACATTATCACAATTTAATTGATTGTGATGCAGTAATAGAGCCAAACGAGATTTAAATTCAATCCCTCTTTTACGATTTTAGGAGCGAGATAGTATATCGACGATATGTTGAACGTTTCCGGTCATTTAATGTCAACGGCAATGACAACCAGCTTTACCGAGTTAAGTTTCTCTTTCCCTCGCACAACGTGTATTCATCATCGCGAAATTTGCACACTTTCAAACAATTAACGTTATCTCTATGAAGCTAAACGTTTTTTTTTCAGAATTTCGATAAAATTTATATATAGAACAATTATGTCTCATCTCTCTCGAAATAAAGAGATCTTATATCCTTCAAGTTCCGATCAAACATAAAATAGGGAATCCTTGACAGCTTTTAATTTCATTGATTAGTATTAAATTAAGAATTAAATTTTAATTTCTAATGTCATAATATTAAATTATAATAGTATACAGAGATTTTATAAGAGATCTGATTGTAAAATTATTAAATTCTAATTAAGAAATATCGAAAATTTATATAAAAACATAACACTAGCTGATGATACTACGAAAAAAATTTTTCATTAATATTCATGAACATTTTATAGACATCCATATGAGAAAATTTCCAAAAAATAATTTATATAAAAGACATTATATTTAAAGAAGGATCACGAAAGAAGGACAGAAACATTAGAACATCTTTTAGATATCTGCACATTTAGATTTTATTTAAACAATATTGTTTTTTCATATTATTTACTGATATTGATTAATATATAATATCTATTAATAATTTATAATGACAACATTTAAAGTAACATAGAAATGATATCGATTTTAAATATCATAATTCGATTGCAAATTATATTGCTCTTGCCATGCATTAATTATACATTTTTGCATTTCAAACTTGAAGGATCGGATTATGTACATAGCAAATATATAAAGCAGAATAAATTTAATTAACTTTAATTTCATAGTAATAATAATATATGTTACGTAGAAATGCATTTATTTGCAATTACATTTATAATTTATCTATGAAAGAATAAAAATTAAATTAAGATTTTTCTTTTTACATTTTATGTTATATAATTAAAGTATTATATATAGTTAAAGTATTTTATATGTGCGCATAACTTGTCAATTTTTTTTTTAGAAAAAATGAAAGAAATTAATAAGATTAAAAAATGTATATTGAGTGAATTATGCAAATTCTGAATATATTACACTGTATTGTGTATAAACAATTTGTTAATTTAACTACAAATGAAAGAATCATATATATATATATATATAGAAAAGAAATTTACTACAGATTATTATACGTATGATTAGAATATAAATGATTTTGCACATGATACGAATTCTTTTAATCATTTGATTTGGCGAATTAATTAATGTATACATGCTTCTATTACATTTTAATTCTATTATTTAACATTGAGCTATCTTCTTTCATCAATTTCATCAGCTGATTCTTGCAGAACCTCACACAAATTCAAATATTTATTTTCCGAATAATTACTGAGCAATTTGTCCAAGTTTTGTTTCAATTCGGTAAAAGTCGGTCTACTTTGCGGTCTTAGATTCCAACACGAATACATTATATTATACCTGTATACAAAAAAATAAAGAAAAATTAATACATATATGTATATGTACATATATATTTGAGAATCACAGAATTTATCTAAATAAATGTTTTATGTCAAAATATATATATGTACAGTTCTCGACCGCAGTTCGGTGGTCTTTCCATCCGATATCCAGATTTGAGAAGTTGTAAAATTCTATTTGTTGGTGTTCCAGGATATGGCATGGCACCTAAAGTGACTATTTCCCACAACAAAATGCCAAAAGCCCATCTGTAAATTCAATTTTTATTGTAAATAATAGAACAAATAACATATAATATATTATATATAATCTGACAATGAGATAAAATAATTGCCTTACACATCACTATAAGTAGTATATATTTGATGCGTTAAAGCCTCGATTGCCATCCATTTCAAAGGTAATTTACCATTGCCTTTTTTTCGATAAACATTTTCTTGGTAGATATCACGACTGAGACCAAAATCCGAAATTTTCACTATTCTATCCGATCGTACTAATACATTACGAGCAGCCAAATCACGATGTACTATTCGATTGGAAGATAAAAATTCCTAAACATATTTTAATACATATTTTTATTTTATATGCATTTTTTATATTTATTTTATATTTTAAGTTTATATATATATATTTTATTTTTATATAAAAGCATAAAGTTGAGACAGTATATCATATGTGGTGCGTTTTAATATATATACGAAATTATCTTTTTTATAAAATGTAATATTGTGCACTATAATTTAAAAAATATAACGTGTATATAATTGTGAAACATATATATATATATATATATATATATATAAAATTTAATTACTAATAAATTGTTAATATCATCTTAACTTACCATTCCTGTAGCTACTTGTCTAGCGAAATTTAATAAATCAGCGGAAGTAATATTCTCTGCGTATTTTATTACATCTACAAGAACAAAAGAATTGTATTATATATACGTGTTATTTGAATATTAATTAAATAATTATCTTATTTAATTAAACAATTAATTATGATGATTTACCTTGTTGAATATCATATAAGCGATTGGTGATTGTGCGTGTGTTTTCACAGAAAGATTCGCACTTTCCTATATATGTGATAAAAAAGCTTTTGTAGGATAAATATTCTGAATTTTTTATTTTTATATAATTTATATGATATATATGTATATATACTAAAACCTTGATGTATGTCTCTATTGGCAAAGGACAACGGCTCGAATTTCATATGAGTCCTCCGTTCGAATACAGCATTTACTATATTCTGCCAAACCTGAAAATAAAATTTAATGGAATAACGCATTTTTCTATATATTTTATAATATTTTTGGCAGCTCACCGTTCTTAAATACGTTTGTAAGTCTCCCTTGCTGCAGTATTCCACTACTAATAAAGGTTTGTTGTACAAAGTGCAGTATCCGATTAAAGATACTATGTTTGGATGCTGACCAGCAGATCTCATCATTGAAATTTCTTGATGAAAGCTTTTTATATCCTCTATCGTTGGATCGTCTGTGTAATAGAACAAAAATTGTTTATTTATATTATATTTTTTATATTCTATTATCCGATGCATTCTGATATTTTTACGCATGCAATTATAAGCATGTAATTAAGATTTCTTTAACACATGTTATTATGTAAATATTTTGTTGCATATATACATATATAGGTGTGTATATATATATATATATATGGTAAAAAATCATATATATATATGATTTTTTATATCATACCTTTCATCATTTTAACAGCTACATCTGTAATTGTGTCAAATTCATCTTGCAACAATGCAAGTCTGACAATACCATATGCTCCACTGCCCAATACACCTTTAAGTTTCAGCTTTTGTGGATTAAGCTCAAATTTATCGTACGGCAAAAGAGTATCTCCATTCTCGACCGCATAATCTCGATTTAAAGAATTTTTTAGAGAATCCATGGAATCCTATTTAACGCGAAAAATCTCTAAGATCTTACTCGAATAATTTAGATTACTTTAATAAATGCATCAACACGTAAAATAAGAGAAATGAATTATAATGGCAATAAAAAATTTATTTATTAAATATTTTAATGTTAAATTATACGATTGATAACTATTGTATATTCATAATGTTTACAAATGAGAAATGCACAGCTGAATATGTATCTCGAAATTATTTCATCAAACTTTAAAGCTGACATTCTATATATATACATAATTGATCGATCATTGAACTTACCTCAAAATGCATGTATTCCATATTAATCTTTTTGTTCTTCTTTTTATGACGCTGCATACAAATCACCCCAAGCACTATTCCAATGATCATTAATGTGGGTAATGCTATGATAATCTCACGATAAGATAGCTCTGCAATTATAAAATGTGACATATATAATACATATATCTCATACTCTTCAATGCAATCAATTAAAATGATTACCGCGTATTTACCTACTACTTCATCGATGTTTCCCGATATAGTTGACTGTAAACTTACACCACCCATTGATTCTGCCACGATACTAATTTCATATTGTTCTCCTATGTCGACGTTTAAGAAGGAAACTTCGAGTGCATCCTACAGAGAAAAATTATTTAAATTTTAAATTTATATGATTTTTTGGTAGAGTTGTAAGAATTATTTTTGTAATAATATATAATATACTAACTCCAAATACGGTCAATAGATACGGTTCGACTCGAAACGAATTAAATTGTACTGTGTAATTGTCTGGTTGTAAAATGGGTTTGTTCCAGCTAATTACAATATCGTATACTCCTTGATATTTTCGAATATGTTCTGCTCGTAAACCCTTTACTTTTTCAGGCGCTATGTGGTCAGAAAAAATCATTAATTATACATTTAAATTAATGTAGCTGTGAAATGAGCTTTTATTCTTCTTGAATACTATTTTAATAGCTTACCGCAGATGCTTAAGTTATGATGAATTTCCAAACACGATGGTGTGATAAAAGTAAATATTGTTGCATTACTAATTTTAGAGAAGTTATCATTACCCGATCGAATCGATACAGTATTGTTTTGCTCGTATTGTAAGCGTCTGAGTAAAAAGTGGAAGTCTAGAGACTAAAAAGATATTTGATCAAATTTTCGATAAAATATTAAAATAAAAGGATTTTTAATAAAAACATAATCTTACCGTTTTTAAATCGAAATTTATCAAATTATGTTCCCCAAACCAAAATAATATATTATAATTACAGCTTCGATCTAAAAAATATAATTCACAAAGTGTCTTAATATGTTCATATAATATACATACAATAATAAATTATTAGGCAATATTTTGTATACCTTTAGCAGGCTCAAAAATAATTTCTGCTTGTAATTCGCACACATTTTGACTATCTTCTTCGATTTTCAAAAGTGAAATATAATCAATTTGACGTGGCTGATAATCAACTGCAAAAAATGAAATTTAAATAAATAAATACCCAGATAGCCACAGTAATTATTATGATATCATTTTGATGTCATAATAATTACTGTGGCTATCTGGATAAGTAAATAATTAAATAATATTGTGCAAAATAAAATATCGAATATGTAGAATTGTAGCAATGAAATATAACGAATAAAAGTTATATGTCAGTTTAGAAAATTAATACCTGCATAAGTTGAAAACCAATCTGATGTTTCGGTTAATGAAACTCCATTTTGTGTTAATTTGTATAAACGATAACGATAAAGTGTATCCGCTGTCAAATTTGAAAATGTCGAAAATTCGCCATTGCTCTACAAAAAAATGTATCTTTTGTAAAAAGAGGCAAAATGCTTCTTAATCCAGAAAATTTGTTTCTGTAAAATTTTGTCGTATAAATTAATACGATGTTCTACATAAGTATATGTATAAAAAGAAATATATATTCGCTTTAAATAATATATTATTTATTTGACTTTTACGCGAATATGAAGAAAAGTAATATCGTGTATACTCATTATGTTAAGTTTAATTTATCTTGATACAAGTATACGTATCTTAATTTAATAGAACTTTCAAGTAGACTGAATATATTTAAACTATTTAAAAATTAATAATTTAATTGTTCTATTGCAATGTTAACTTTTTATACTATCATTATATATCACAATTATTTCTTTGATCAAAAATAAGATGATGTATCAAATATATAATTAATTGTATATATTTAAGAGTCATAAAAAAAGCATTTACCACTATAGTTATACCCCATCTATCAACGGAAACACTTTGTTCAATAACATAAATCCCAGGAGTGTGTTTAATTATTAGTGAGTTCGTTCCTCTGCAGTGTAAACTAACATTTGCGCCAGCTTCTTCGTTTATTCTTGGATAAGCTACCGTAAAATTATTTTAATGTAATATAATTTATAGAAGCAAGAGATATCCGAGATATTTTTCGACTATACAATTATTAATCATTTATTATAATTTAATATTATATTTAACTTACGCTCAAATTCGTCCGTAGGTTGTGAACAACCATCTCGGCATGACTCCTGAAAGATGACAAATAATTGATGCGCATTATAACAGGTAGACATAAGTATACCTGTTACGCAATAATATATGAAGATATTATTTTCCAATTTCGAATATCGCATTTTTGTTCTTTCTATTTTCCGGGAATATTTGTCGAACGACTAATCATTTTTCAAGACAACGCCACGATAATATAAGCAACGAGATTCTGGCGAATATTCAGAAAAGATATTTTTGATATATATTCAGTAGAGTATTTTTGAACACCAATCGGATATGTACCACGAACGATCGTTCTCGGCATGGTTACTTTGCACACATTCTAAGGTTTTAAATGATACTTAAAATATATCTCAATCCCCTCTCTGAGAAGATGATAACCAGAGTTGAAGTCTCATTTGCATGTCGCGTTTAAAATCGGAGATTCATAATTAACGTAGCGAGAGAAGATCGCGTTAATAATATGCCATTTTTTTTTTAAAGTGAATTTAGACGGGGGAAATAAAAAGTAAGATGAAAAACACAGGATGTCGCGATCAGATTACAGAATCCTGCTGTAAACATTCATGTGATTTTAAAAGTCGCGTCTGCTTTTTTGCGCGGTATATACATATATATACACCCATACAAGCAATAGCACATATCACTATGCGATTGTCGTCAACACGACAAGCGTCAATACGCAAATCGAACTGTGTTGCAAAACTTTACCTCGTACATGCACTGCACTTGCAACAGCGGAAGAGAGATGCATTGCACGCTGCATCAATTTGACCTACGTTTAAACAGAGGATATTTGTAAGTGATAATGGATGAATAATTTCGAATAATTTGCATAAAGCACCGCGAATGGATGCAGCATCATCGTTTCCATTATCATCTACAAATACCATTTAAACGTGTGTGATGAATTAAATTGATGCGCCATATGCGTTTTTTGTCACCCATTAATCGAACAGAAAGATAATAGTTTTTTAAGACACTTTCTCGCGCAATTATGACTATCTATTGACGTGAAATAATTTACATCATTAATTATATTTATTATTAAATATTTTGTGCAAAAAACATTAATTTTTTTGTTTTTTTTTAATTGTTTTTAATTTTAATTTAGCTCGCACAAGCATGACTTTTCACAAGTATAAAAGGAAACGCGGAAAAGGAGATAAACATGTTTAAAACAACTTCATATATTATGCAGTCTACTGTCTGCTGCTTTAGTACTTTTCTCTTTCAAAATATAGTTCAATATGTATTTACGATGCAGTTTAACTATTATACATTATTTAGTATATTTCTTAAAATATTACGAAAGAATTTCGATACCTTTATATAATATATTACTGTGTATGTTAATATATGCGGATCATACGCGAAATATGTAAGAAAATATATATAAAATCACTATTATGTATTACAACATTATAAATGGGAGAATTTTTTTTCAAATCTAAATATCGGAAACAACCCAGTAATATATCGTTTTTATCGATTTGAATACGATCGTATAGCTACTTTTCAGTTATATTGACACAGGTGTTAAAACGAAGATCTAAAATGTGTATATATAGTTATATATTGAACATATGTTTTATTTCGTGTCTGCAAAAAGATATTCAAGCTCGACATAGATAAATTCCTAGCAAAAAAATTCCTTGAGGTATTCTTTCAAAAAGGGACATTCGATTCTATCATATTTTCCTAATGAATTCTCTCTTGAATACAAACTTCGCACACATTGCCATTCCATATATAAAGCATCTTTGTATCTTTTGATATCACCGCGACATACATTGAATTTTTACGTTCGCTATCAGTAAATTTTTTACTCTCGTAATATACTATTATTTTTCCGATATAAAATTATACATATGATACGTCGTATTTGCATGTTTTTTCCAAATTAATTTTGTATTGTAAATAATTGATATGAATGGATTACAAGGTCAAATATAGACAAATCGTGTGGTAAATTATCAAAATATGTAAAATAAAAATTACAAATAAAATATTGCATACACATCCATGTAATAAGATAAATTGTATATTTATCGATATTATAATAGGAGAGTAAAATACTTTTATTTGACTCACATTTTTACACACTGCTAAACATTCAGCGATATTCAGCGCTTCTTGGAAGATGAACCCATGAATAGTAATTGCACAAAAAGATAACAAAAACGTCAACAACATTCCGGCAACTTTGGTAGAAGATGTACGCATTATCCATCCAAGATTCACTGACTGAAAAGTACTTGGCTTTATGGAGCAAAGATGATAACGCATTACTCTCTATTTCTTCATTTCCACTTCCCTTAAATTATTTTTTTCATTTTCAGTTGATTACAAGCGTGTATAATTTATTACATCGGATAAATTCAATATAGCTGATCCTATTTCAGAAATTCAAAGGATATTCATCAAAGAAATAACACAAGATAAGCATAAATATATATAAAATAAGCACTTTTGTTAAGGTATTATTATTTCACAAGATTGCGTCCAAAATATACGGATTTAAATGTTTAATCTCTAAAATATGCATACATTTAATGGTAAAGTCGCGTTGGATTTCAATGTATAAACAGCACACATTCAAGCTGAATTGCATTCCCGGCGATTAATGTCGTGAAACTAAAGTGCCCGCGAAGCTTACGAACGTGACGCAAATAAATCCACATTTGAAGAAGCTCGAGTGTTGTTTTAACGCGTATTATGACGGTCCCCTACCACGACTTACGACTACACCTTGTATGTTAATAAAAGGTGGGATTTACTCCCACTTTTCTTCTCTTCTACATATATTATATTCAATTATTCGTCATTTTTAGGAAAAAAATGTAATTTAACTTGCGTAATTCAATGCAACATTTTTAATAACTTAGATGAGTTACATTTCTATACGCAAATAAAGTATACAAAAGTTTTTTCTTCCGCATCAAATATGGTAAATTATATAAGTTTGGATCGTGTTATGGTAAACAAAACTGTAGTACTTCGGTTCTCTTTAGGCATTCAACCTGAAATATGATAATTTAATGACATGAAAAATGTATTCAGAGTATATTGTGAAGTAATAATTAAAACTGATTAATGAGTGTACATTGTTGTTTATGAGATACACATATATCCATTGAATAGACAGAGACCTTTAAAAAAGGTCGTGACTATATAGTCGCACAATATTGTTCTTGATAATTTTTTTTTATGTTCGTCTATTTTAAAAAACAAATTTATGCGAAAGAGAAAACACGATAAAATAAAGGAAAATATTTTCTAGTTAGAAAATTAAATATATATATGAAAAAAAAAAATTGCAAATAATTTCTATTACATGTGTATAATACACAAAAATACATATGACGATCTACTATTTTAAAGTCGCAAAGCGACATATTTATTGAATATTATAGTAAACGTGAAAGTAACATACATGTCCATTCAATAGCATAGGTTATGTTACATTGAGTAAACTTTCTCCTCTCCTTATTTCGAATAATTTGCGTTTATGTAGTGGAATATAAAGACTAAGAAAAATAGGGCAACTCCCAGGATGTTGCAAAATACGGCCAATTGTACATCCGTGATCATCTGGAAAAACAATTAGATGACATTCTAATCATATTTGATATTATTGTTATATTTAATGTACTCCAATCTTTTTTATCAAATAACGCAATTTTATAAAAAATGTGAATTTATATGTATTAACAAATTACCTTGAGGTTGTGCGAGATTATCGCTTCACTATTTCTAAAAGATTATACCGTAACAGATAACGTTTGTAGCAATATACGAACCACGAGCAATGGCAAGTGACATGTCTTGAAAGAAAAAAAGACCTAGGTCTCCACTAGATGGAGTTTAAATTTCCGCTCTTTATCAAGCGAGATTTAAACAGGGTTTGAGTCTTCACTAAGAATTTCAGTAATAAATAAAATAAATATAGAATAATAAAAAGAGTAAAACGTTATTCGAGAATTATGATATCAACGTCAAGAAAATCACTCTATATTTGATTAAATCATTTATTATATTTTAAATATTTTTTATAAAATTATTTATGTAATAAATTATTGCTAATTATTGATATAAAAGTTAATTTTAAATTTATAATAATTTTGGTTGTCTTTTAAAGTGGAAAGATCTAATATTCTGCTAGGACAAGTGGTACCAGGTGTTTGTACAAAAGGGAACTTTCTGGTCGTTGGTTTAAAATCATGTTTAGGTGCCATCTCGCCATACATTTTATCAGTATCTAAAAGTAAATCAGAAAATAAATAAATATATTCTCTCTCTCTCTTGCAGCAAATTAATATTTTACATATTAAACAATACTGATAATAATTATACAAAAGGGACATAAATTAGCATTATTATAGAAATTATAATTTATATAGTTTTATACATTGTTCTCTATTCAATAACTTGTTTACAAGCGATAGCATTTGCTTTAATTAATTCTATAGTACTCACTTTCCATCTGAGCGTTATTCTTTCCTGGTAGAATTTTGTATCTTTCTAAATAGCGCATTGTAGCAAGAGACATATTAGTGCCTTGCATATTGCTGAGCATGAGATGCTTTAATGAAGATGATTCTTGTTTGTGCAACGCTATATCAGCTAGTTGTTCATCGCTCAAATATTTTAATGCTAAAGCTTTCATGTGCATACTTGTATTTGTTTCATTTACAACACTAGTAGTATTTATCATATTTGCTTGACAATCCAAGCGAGGATAAAAAGATGAGTCAAAGTCCAACCTAAGAAAGAAATCACATAATTAGAGACTGTTTTATTATACATCCAGGAGGAATAAAAAAAAATAATAATTTTGTGTTTATTTTATGCAATAAAAAAAATAACAATAAATTCTTTAATTATTAAATAAGTTATTCAAACTTATGTTAGATAAATTATTTGCATTAACTTATCAATAGTTTAATAGAATCTTTTATTTCTAAAATAATTTTTGCTTGTAAGCATGCAAATTTAATTAATATTGATGAAATAAAAAAATTAATATAAATAGAAATGGATACATACGTTTTATTATTACTATTTGATTCCCTATATTCATTGTTCTCAGTTAAACTGATCCCAAATCTGCGAAGTTGTTCCAAAGTGGCTGCTTTAACAGTATTCAATGCTGTTTTAGTTTCCATATCATTTTCTGACTCCACTTTGTGAACTTTCTTAGCGTTATTTTCATTTTTGTCATCCATAACACTAGAATTTTGTAAAATTTCATTAACTTGTCCTAAAACATTGTTATAGAATGTCCAACCTATTTTCGGAGTATGCTTTAATGTATCACTCTCGTCATCACTCATATATTCCTGCATGTCAACGTGAATACTTGGTTCTGGAGTCGGTGGTGGTCTTTCAAGTATTTTAAGATCACCTCCACTGAGTATTATGCTATCACCTATTTCTTTAATTTGTTTTGCATTAGTATCATGTTCCTTACTCCTATGATTTTGATAATAATCTGCAGCAGGCAAATGGATGTTGTGCGAAGAATATATATTAGCATACACGTTAGCAGCATTTTTTTCCCTGTTTATAGTAGTATAATCATTTTCATTGCTGTGCATTTTATTACAAGTCATGCTCCCACTAGGACTGCATTCCACATTCATAGAGGCATTAAACATTTTTCTTGTATCTTGCATTTGTTTATTTGCATTATTATTTTCCTCCATGCACATTTCTTTGTGTATTTCTTTCTGAGTGAAATTTGTAATAGGATATTGATACATTTTGAAGATTCTGAAGTATTAGCCGCATTATGTATATCTGATTCCTTTAAAGTTTGTCTTTCTGAATCTCTTATGGAAGACACGTTAAAATTACTACTTTGCTGTTGATTAGAGGATAAGTAACTTTCCGAATCTTCGACTATGTTTTCTAATTGTGCTGCTCCAGTTTTGCGCGTAAGTGTATTCTTATACCTTTAACCGGCTCTGTAGTATCATGTACATTTATAACATTTCTTCTATTGATATTGTTGTTTTCTCTGCAAGCTTCTTTTTCTCATATATTTCAGAATCTAATAGGAATGGACTATTTTGCACAGTAAACTCAAAACTTGTCATAACGCCAATCGAAACTTTTTGTTCCATGAATGTCTTCTTTGATTGCTGTTCCAACAATGCTGTTTCTAATTTATTATTATCAGCAAACATTTTTAAATCTTTCTTTTCAATAACAGATGTATTTTGTATACTCTCATTTTTCTTCATATCTCTGTTTTGAGATTGTGCAACAGTATCATAACAATTTAGTGATACTTCAGGCACAGGATACTTCAATACTTGATTTGCAAGAGATGATGAACAAGAACAAGTTGATTTGTTCCTAAAATTTTCTTCCTGCATTCTTACTAGTCTATCTATCTGCAGTTGTAAATTTTTATCTGTTCACTCTGACTATTTACAAGTTGTAATAAAGTTCTTACTGTTTCATTATTGTCTATATTATAATTTGAATAATTAGGTGCATGAAATTGTTGATATTCATCATGTTGCATTTGCAAATGTTCAATTCTCTTTGAAGTATTTGGAATACCATTGCTAGGCATTCTTGTGTTATAATCAGGTTTACTAAACATTGTTTTTTGTAAAGAATTACAAGATGAAAGTCTTTTATTTGTAGCTGATGAATAAATCTCTCCAAGATTACAAGAATTGTCCACATCAGGACATGCAAATTTTACACTTTTTTCATATATTCCATCATTGGTCTTCACATTTACCTCTCTTTTTTGCATATTATAAGTTTTATCTTGCTCTTGTTGCTTTTGTACAGAAGCATCTGATTGCAATGCATGATTACAGCTATGAGTGTTTTTATATAATGGTGAAACATGTATTGCATTTCTAGAATTAGGCTCGCAAATGTAATTCTGTTCCTTCCATGCTGCGTAAGAGTTAGGATTGCGTAAAATAGATGAATTAATGCGTTCTACAGGTTTGTCAACATTGTCAAGAACTTGTATTGATTCCGATTTTACTGCTGGTGAATTGTTGCATCCATCATTCAAATTTCGCATTGGTTTCTCGAAAATTAAAGATAGTTCAGGCACAGTTGGCACTGCAAAGTACTATAAAAAAAAGTTATCTCTGGTTATATTTTTAATATCTTTAAATTGTACATAAAAGAACAATAAATGAGGTAAAAGCGACTTACGTCGAGTTTTGTTATTGGTTTTGGTATACTTCTTGGTTCAAATTCTTCATCATCGTGAGATTGATAATGCATATTGAAAACTTTGAGTTTACTTCAAAAAACTTATCAAACTATTGTTGAAAATATTTATATTTTTTTCTACAATTATTTTAAACGACTTAATCCAACATTGTACGAATTTGCCTTTGATATCAGAGACTTCGAGCAATAATATTTACAATAATTCGCCTTCATCGAATTTTGCGATTAGATGTAACAGCTGATACTGGATACTGGCGTCTGACATTCAAAATATTTTAAAACCTTGAATCAAACATGAAATGAAAAAGAGATATTTCTATCTATGGAAAAATGGAAACAACCAATCAGAAAAGCGGCATAAATATGAACAACCAATCAGAAAAGTGGCACAAATATGAACAACTAATGACGTTGCTCGCTATTCTATGGAATAACTGGACGGCGAACGAATGGAAATTTTTCTATCATTCGGGATCATATTGGCAGCCCTGAAAAAGTTCACCAGCAACCTAACCAGCAACAGACGCTATTATTCACGCTACACTGAAATGTATAAAATGTTACTTTGTATATTCTGCGCGAATTTCAATACGGTAAGCCTCAAAATTAATTAACATAACTATTATGTTTATGGTCGCTTTAGAATATTTTATGCAAATATATGTGTATAAAAGAAATTTTTATTCATCGAGGAAATAAATGCGATTAATATGGAATATATTATTGCGCGGTCTCTTTTATTACATATAGGAATGATGAAAAATTAAATCGATTAAGATAACGATGAGAGATGAGAAATAAGGAATTTTCGATTATTCAATTATATTTATAATTCAATCAGTATTTTGAATTAACATATTATATATATAGATAAAAAAGCGCGGAAAATATAATAAATATATATATCGTGATTTATTCATTGATCGTGTATATTCGTATACGTATATATATTTTATTTTTATAAAAGTGTATTTGCAATGAACTTTATACATAACTGTAGTTTTTCATATCATCATATATAAAGAGAGAAAGAGAGCGAGAAAATGTCATCTTTTTAAGCGCGCGCGTATTAAAATATAATAAATTTTTGCTTCGTCCAAAGTTTAACAAAATGTCATCAATATATAAATATATAAACATGAAAATAAAGCATATTTCTTTCTATAAAATAAATTTTGCGATGATATAATTCTATCGAACGAGAGACGGAGAGAGCGTGATATATGTTTTCTCTCTCGGAGCGCACCGGAGCGCCAGAGCTCATTCCGGTATATATGTATATATATAGAGTTCCGTATGTGGTACAGTGGAATCAGTCGCGGTTTATCAGCCGAGCTGGTAAAGCGCGCGAGCTCGTTTACAGCTCATAAGCATTCTCGGACAGTCTCTATACAGCTTGTCACGATATAAATTTAACATTTTACGATCGACACAAATTGCGGACATCGCAGTATTCCTTTTATCTTTCCTCATCCTTCATCGCGGATCGTTGAATTTTGACAGAAGCGGAAAGAGAGCGAAAAAGGGTGAAAAACATGGCGGATAAAATATACTACCCCAATCCGGAGCTCACGAAAAGATCGCACTGCAGTAGCATGGAACAATACAGGGAGATGCATAAAAAGTGAGTATATAACATGACGAAATTTTAGAGATATATTTAAAGGTTACAGTTTGTATATCGTTATCTTAAATATTTAATTTGGAAGTTGAAACTACGTCGTCGAAACTACGTCGTGTGTTATCGCGATACAAAAATGCGACGCGAAATAATGTAAAAAATATATATATATATATGAGTAATGACAGTCGCCAATATAATATTTATTCGTTTAATTCATTTGTCGGATTAGAATCGACGATAAAAAATAAAGAGACGAATATCTTCGTAAACCCGAAAATCCTCAAAAATGAGAACGTCCGATATGGTTAATTATAAAAAAATACCGTATTTTTTGTACGTACAATACTGAGAATTGCGTGCTAGATAAATTGGACTATTTCAGACATTGAAATTGATTTCGAGTCTTTACCTGAACTGGCTCTATAAACGGCACGAATAATGAAGCGCGGTATCGATCCTATGTAAGGGTGGGACAAATTTCTCAGTTTGAGGAACAAGCGAACAATATCAAAAATCTGAGAAAAATATTACTATCTTTTAAGTAACCGCGTTAATCAAATCTCTCGCATTTGATTCGATTAATTTTATAACGAGAATTCTCGCAAGCAACGGGATGAAAAAGAATTCTCTGAATGAAAGAATTTGTTTAAAAGTATATTGGCTACAATTTCGGCTTATAGGCTTATGACCTGTTTGTTTCATTCATAATTTATGCCATTGGACTGCGAACTCATTTAAGCAATGCGAAAATAATGTGTAATAATAATGTGCATAATTTGTGGCTTACCAAACATGCATAAATTTGTAAATAGAACGGAATGAAAAGTTATGTAAGAAAGCAGTGAACTGATGATTTGTTAAATACAAATCCATTTTCATTCTTATTTCAATAAGGATGTTCAACTTTTAATATATATAATTATATATATATATATATAATATAATATAATTTAATATAATATAATTATATATATATATATATATAATATATAATTTAATATAATATAATTATATATATATAATATAATATAATTTAATATAATATATAATTATATATTAATAAAAAATAATAAATATAATATATATCAATAATATTAATAAAGAATAATAAATGATCGATTGTTTTCACGTATTACAAAATGAATCCAAGAATAATGAGATAATACGGATTAAGACAAATTTACTTTTTTTCTAGATCTGTAGAGGATCCAGTCAAGTTCTGGGGCGAAATTGCCAAACAATTTTACTGGGAAACGCCAGCGATAGATGACAAATTTTTCTCATACAATTTCGATGTAAATAAAGGTGATGTTTTCATAAAATGGATGGAGGGAGCAACGACGAATATCAGCTTCAATTTGCTCGATAAAGCTGTAAAGAGCGGACATGGAGATAAAATTGCATTTTATTGGTAAGAAATAAAGAAAATATATAACAGTTAATATATAACCAGTTAGAATTAGATTTTTATACAATAGAAATACAATACGAATTTGTATTAATATCAATAACGATCTTTATCTTATCGAGATAATGACCAATCAGCCCGACACACACACAGTTCATTTCCATGCAAAGTATATTTTCGAATGGTAGACGCAAGTCATTCATACTACAATTAATATATATATTATTATGTTTATGAAAAATCGTATATTTTATTTTTATTTACGTTACTATTATTTATAAATGCCATCGGTGAATTTTTAACGCGGCTAGTGAAACCCGTCATTTGCCTAAAATGTTTATAAATTTGACCGGTACTCGCGGGAAACGTCAATAAGCGAAGAAACGTCAGTTTCGCGATATCACGCTTCATACATATTTAATACCCGGCCTAAGCTTACGCCGGATTACCGATCATCGACCATCGATTATCATCGACAATGTCAAGAACGTCAATTCACTACCGTATATATCGCGTTATCCAAATCTCATCTTTTAGGAATAATTTTTCTAATTGATGCAAAGATAACGCGGTGCAATTACATTCATTGCAATGTTGGAAGCATATTTATGAAAGAGTTGTATGATATCAGACAGTGTCCACGGTGATTTTTCAAAATTCGATATACGGATCTACACCTGCATCTTCATTGGCTAGCGAGGCATCGCGCGCAATCGCGTCATTCATTACGTCACTCTCACGCGCGAGAGCATGATTCAGTCACGCGATTTATATTGAAAATTTCGTTAAAACGATAGCTTTATTACTCGATATAGAGGAAATATCTGAGATGAATCATAAAAGTCACAAATATGTTATATAAACATATATGTATAATGTAGGACTAGAAAACAATTTACATTTTGTCGACGCACCACAAAAAATCATTAAAAAGGCATCACAATAAAGTAAAACGGGATGTGGAATTAGAAATAGTATAAATATACATTTAAATTAAACTACGGGCATAAATAATGAAGTATATAATAGAAGACAATACGTTAATGACATGTACATAAATTATATCGTGTTCGGCCCTGAATTTAGAGAGGAGACAAAAACGAAGGCTACTTTCACGTGCTGTAACAATGCTAAAGGATGTTATCTTTATGAGACTAACAATAAGATCAACCGCAAAAGCTTATATAGTTTTGCGGCTGTATATGGAGTAGAAAGAGTATATAAACGTGCGAAATATTATCTATATATGAAATTAAGATCAACCGCAAGAGCTTTTAGTCTTGTGGTTGTTTTTAGTCTTACATGAAGAAAATCACGTGTAATTTTGTTTTCAAGATTTATTTTATTTTATTAAGTAACAGACGCGCGATATTATTGAAAAGTTTAGTTTTATTTTATCGGTCAATTCGTTTAACCCTCTCCTAATTATTCGCGACCTGCAATATTATAGATAAGCATAAACTTGCAAAGTTTTGATTTAGTTTTGATCTTATATAATATAATTTACATTTCACGATAACGCAGATTAGCATGTTACGCTAATTATATTATCACTTGGATTTTTCTAAATATAATTATATATAGCGTGACACGAACATTTTTATAAACTTGACTTTTTTGTATTGTTAATTGCTCAAGATATTATTAATATAGAAAATATAAGTATAATATTAAAAAACATACAGGCGCGAGATTCTAAGCAGTTCTGAAAGCTACTTGAACATTAATTTTTTAACTTAATCAATATAATCATGATTTAATTTGAGAATTACCTAGAATAAAAAATATTTAATTATATTTAATGTCGTTTCTAATCTAATCTTTTTGCAAAGAATAAAAAGATGAATATATAACTATATATGCTACATTAAGAAAATATTATTAACAAAACACGGGTATTACCTGGTAAGTTAATCGCTGCAATTAAAAAGTTAAATGGCATTTTCCGAAATAATTTCAAATTCATGTAGATATATATATCCTTGAATTTTTTTACATGCGAATATCCAAATAATGAGCGTTTTTATATTTCCTTTTTTTTGATGAATTTTCATCGGTAATAAGATTGATAATTTTGAAATGTATTGTATCATTAGGGAAGGAAACGATCCAGAAGATTATTCGCGACTGACGTATAAAAAGTTGCTCGAGGAAACATGCAGATTTGCAAATGTTCTCAAGTCGAAAGGTATCACCAAGGGAGACAGAGTAGTGATTTACATGCCGAATATCTTGGAACAACCGATCGCCATGTTGGCTTGCACGAGGATAGGGGCGGTTCATAGCGTGGTGGTGAGTGAAATATCTGATAGCAAAATAAATAGTCAATGAATGAATTAATATGGGAAAAAAGACAATGTAGGTTTGCAGTTTGCAGGATATTCGTCCGATTCTTTGGCGGAACGCATACTCGACTCCAAAGCTAAAATTTTGATTACTGCGGATGGTGTATGGAGAGGTGAGAAATTACTTCTGCTGAAAAATATCTGTGACGAGGCCTTGGAGAAGGTCAAGAAACAGGACTATCAAGTCGAATGCTGCGTCGTCGTTTCGCATTTGAGAAGGCTCAACAATCCTCAGGGTAAGATGAATGGCGTGAACGGTACTAGCAACGGCGATACAGAGTTGACCAATGTTTCCTGGGACAACGATCGAGATGTTTGGTGGCATGACGAGATGGAGGACGCAGAACCGAGCTGTTATCCAGTTTGGCTGGCAGCCGAAGATCCACTTTTTATCCTTTACACGAGGTACGAAGTTTTTACGAAGTTCCTTGTATGTATTCACGAGTTATTGTGGTTTCCGATCTGACAAAATAAATAATAGAATAAATAGAATCGATAAAATAGATAATTTTTGTGCATAACTCTTTTAATTTATTTGTGATTATATTACTATTGATTATTATTTTTTTTTTCCGATAATAGCGGCTCTACTGGAAAACCAAAGGGACTTCTTCATACTACAGCAGGATATATGATTTTCGCAGCGACAACTTTCAAATATGTTTTCGATTATCATCCGGGTGATGTTTATTTCTGCACTGCTGATATCGGATGGATCACAGGACATACTTATGTGGTTTACGGTCCATTGGGGTGTGGTGCAACGTCTGTCTTGGTATACATATATTTCTCATATTCTTTTACATAGAATGTACATTAATTTTGTTTTCTTTATTTCTGATAAATCCGCTTTTGTGTTGTTAGTTCGAGGGTATACCCTTCTATCCGGATAAGGATCGATTCTGGACAATTGTCGATAAATACAAGGTTACGCAATTTTATACAGCGCCAACGGCTATCAGATCATTAATGAAATTTAGCGATGATTATGTGACGAGGAATAGTCTAACTTCGCTTAAGGTAAATTTCAAAGAGTTTATCTCTCTTTATTGGCTTACATAACATACAGAAATTTATGCATATATGCGTTTCAGGTTCTTGCTTCAGTGGGTGAACCAATTAACACCGAGGCCTGGCTTTGGTATTACAATGTCGTTGGCCACGGTAAATGCAGCATATCAGACACTTTCTTTCAAACGGAAACTGGTGGCCACGTAATTACACCGCTACCAGGTTGCACACCTATGAAGCCAGGCTCAGCGGTAAATAATTTTTAATGATTTTATTTTGTGTACATACTGCATATAAATCATTTATTCTTAACATATGTAGACGTTTCCATTCTTTGGGGTTTTGCCGGAACTTCTTGACGAGGATGGTCAAATAGTAGAGGGCGAAGGAGAGGGGTACCTTGTTTTCCGTCAACCATGGCCGGGTATGATGCGAACTCTCTATGGGAATCATGAACGTTTTCAAAGTGCCTACTTCGAGCGATTCAAAGGATATTACTGCACGGGAGATGGTAAGCTCATTCTTTTTATTTATTCATATATTCATCTAATCTAATCAGTTAGTTCGATAATTTAGTCTTACGTAGACTACATTCATTTGTTTGATTTTTTTTTCAACTTATATAATTCGATTATACTTGGCCATTCTTTTACTCCTGTAATCATTTAATAGATACGATTTTTACCGCAATTGAGAGCGCTAGATAAGAAATTTAATCAAAAAGATTATAGTGATAGATAAATATTGATTTGAAATTAATCCCAAACTTTAAACATTATTCTCGACATATTCGTTCATATCGCATTACCTGCAGGGTGCTTCAGCACTAAACTGGGAAGTCTTAATTCCAACCGCCATATCAGCAATGAAATAAAGTGTCTTCCGTGTCATCTCGGCTCGCGCTCACGATACAGTTCATATTTTTTTCACGTGCCATATTCGCGTAGTTAATAACTTCTGTTACAGTGCCAAGTTGCGATATTCTCAACACGAGGCAATTGGCTAATTCCAAATTCATTGCACGTAGAATCTCTTGTTCATTCATTGCGGTAAAATCATCGCAGACCACTTGAATTCGCCGCATTTGATCTTTGAAAGTTTGTCAACCCTCCTCATCCCGTTGATCGAAGAATCTTCGATCGAGACTAGCGGTAGGTAATTAGTCATGTATTCTATATATCGGGTTTTTAAACCATTATTGTTCAAATAATTGGGATCTGATTTCTTAAATGCTAGATCGTATCTCCCTGACACATGAATATAAAATGCTTTCGTTAGGGTATTCTATTGTTTATAATTATATAGAACGGAAAAAATGAATAGTAAAACCTTCTGTATAAAAAGCGCTTGCTGCTATGTCTAATACTATGTTAATTTCGCAAGAGTAATCCACATCTTTGATAGAGTTTATCAAAAGTGCGATTGCAGCTTCGTCATTTTCCTATAAAATTCCAAATAAAATAGTATTGTGTATCAAGCGCAGAAAGTTGACAATTAGTCACGAGTGCTGGGGATGGACGCACGAGCCGAAGGCGATACAGATATATATTGTAAAGACCCTCTTCTTCGAACATCTTTTGGCTATATAATATATCTAAAACGAGCGAACGATTATAAAATTCCAAATAAAATAGTAGCATTGAAAGTAACTGATTAAATTAATTCAATCTGCAAATAAGAAACAATGATAAATTAATGACACAACTGCTACAAAGAGAGTTTTGCATGTAGTGCTCCGACTTTGCAACAAGCTACAGAGATTTCGAGCCTAACGTTCGTTATAGCGTGCCACCCTCGTTCCGCTTCAGTCTATATGCGCTATTATTCAGTAACCTTCATCCTGGCGGCTACCATTCGCGGACCAATATCAGTATTAATTAGAGTGACAGCTGCGAAAACTGAATCGTTTGTCCATCCATTATCAGGGTGGAAGGTGGTGGACCGATGATTCGGCCATAACGGTATCGGTAAATACGTTGATTTGTTAGGTCGGTTGCATGGTTCTGCTATTATATATATATATCTTATGGGACTGGATTCTCCGAATCGTTGACATATCTTATAATTGAAATTTTCAAATTTTATGTTGTGACACTATATAATATATATGATTTAAATTAGACGATTTCGTTTTGCTCGGATTTCACAGATGTATATATAGGTCTTGCGGCTTGTTCGAGTGATTATATAATTTAGCAATTTTGACTGATGCGCTGCACACATACAGATTTTCGAAACAGTTTGACAAAACTATGACTGAATTTTGCCTCATCCTCAGTATTGTCAATTTTGAAACGAGCAGGAGCAGCACGCCAAGTCATGTGTGTGTGTGTGTAGTGATGGGAATGGGCATTTTCACAGAACAATTGTTTTCAAATTGGCCAATTTGATTAGTGCGTTTCATATATGTTTGTTCAGTTATAGTTACATCCTGTATAGACATATATTATTTATTAGTATAAATAGAGAATCCAATTTTACTTATACAATTTGCCAATCTTATATGAAAGAAAAATCTTAAAATTAAAAATGTTTAATGTTAAACATTTATTTAATATTATCACTATTTAATTGATTATGATGCAGTAATAGAGCCAAACGAGATTTATATTCAATCCTTTTATGATTTTAGGAGCGAGACGTGACGCAGACGGATATCTATGGGTAACTGGTCGTATCGACGATATGTTGAACGTTTCCGGTCATTTAATGTCAACAGCTGAAGTCGAAAATGTATTAGCAGAACATTCGTCAGTGGCCGAGGCCGCAGTAGTCAGCAAAAAGCATGCTGTTAAAGGTGAATGCTTGTATTGTTTCATTACGCCGAGTGATGGGAAGACGTTTGACGAAAAATTACAACTTGAGCTTAGAAAGAGAGGTGAGTATTGTAAAATTAATCGATTTAATTATACAGGGTCTGACATAAAATGTCACACCGAAAATATACAAGTAGATCTTGTTATTTAGAGATAATTTTTTCTCAGCAAAAATATTGAGGCATCAATATAATTTTAAAGATATAAACGATTAAAAATAGAGATATAAACGATAAAAAGTTTTTCGCAAACTAAGCCTTATGGAAATAAAATATTAATAAAACAATATTCTCCAATTAATTTCAAGTATAGAGTTTACTCTTTAATAAAATTTTAATTTAAGGTTTAGTTATAAATAAAGATACACGAAATAGCAAAAATTGGGAACATGTAATGATGGCCGTATATTTTCGATGTGACACTTTATGTCAGACACCCTGTATATTATGTATTTTTTATACTTTACACTAATAAAATGATTTGAATATAGTACGCGAAAGGATTGGTGCATTTGCTGCACCGGACGTCATTCAACATGCTCCAGCTTTACCGAAAACAAGATCTGGGAAGATTATGAGACGTATGCTGAGAAAAATCGCAGCGGGCGACGAGAATATCGGAGATACATCTACACTGGCCGACGAGACTGTTATCAAACTTCTCTTCGAATTAAGGCCAAAAGTTTAAAATATGTATTTTTCGCTTATTATTATAGGAAGATGAAAGTATCTTGAAAAACTTTTCGCATAATTTCGATGAATGTTGACAACGTGACGCACGATTTCCGGATAATTTCATAAGATAAAAATAATATATTTAGATTGCACATTAAAAATATCGAGTCGGTCTACGTATTCGCACAATATTGAAGGCGCACTTCAAGATCTTATCAATTATTAATTTGACCATTACGAACGTACAAATGTATAAACGATATTGTTATCTCTTTTTCCGTTGATCGAATTCTATCTGTCACTCAAACTTTTAGAGTGATTAGAAATATGAAAGTTATTATTATTCTTTTAACACGTCTCTTTTTTATTTTCTTCCATTTTTCCAAAGGAAAGAAAAGAGACATGTCAAAGGGATAAATTGTTAATAGAATTATACGAGATAAATAGATATTAATTGATTAAATTATTAGTCGGTCTCTTTGAAGAACGACTGCGATACATATCTTACGTAAGCATTGCTAAGTTGCCTATAAATATTCTTTTGTTAAGCTATTTAAATTTATTGAAATTAAGTTGCAAAACAGAAAACGCTCAATGCAAAAAATTATATATTACACAGCACGATAGTAGACGATAGATAAAAGGTTGGTTGCACAATTACTACTAATAACTGTTATTACTTAACAGAGGTGAGCATAGCACATGACTTACCTGACGCGTATATATGTAATTGACGGATACTGCAAAAAAACGGTATTCTGCTTCCTGCAATTTAGTGTATATATAATATGTTATAATTCTATTTATGTATACACACAGGGTGTCTATATTACCTTGATGTACTGTATTTCATTTCAATTACATATTCTTTGATGAGTTTTTCAAAATTGAGAGATAAATCATCTTCTCTCTTCAATATTCAAGGAATAGCGTGATTGAAAGAAGATACGGACATACGTACTTATATGAATGAAAGTTGCCTCGTGCTCCTTTTTTGGGAGTTACGTCCATACATATCATTCCTTGCGGAACAAAACAACTTTAGGTGTGATAATAAATGTATATGTATTGTACGCGTAGATATATATATATATATATATATATATATATATATATATATATATATATATAAAACAAACAACATAACTACAGATATGCCTATATGTAACTGTAGACATATATGTATATATGTTCAGAATATATCAAAAAATTACGATTGTTCTGTTAAATGATGTGAAAAGTGTATGTATCATATTTTTTATCTCAACACATTTCCTGTCCTCTTCTTATATTATGTAGAAATAACAGATATTTTTATTACTTTATGCATGTATTATTACGTGTTCAGTTCTTCCGGGTTTTGTACGAGATTGATTCGCGCGACTAGGAGGTGGTGGGAGACAGAGTGTATATATATATGTATATCGAGCGATTACGCATTACCAACGCTGAAATTCACGCTGCTTGTCAGTGCCAGCTGAGCGTCGATAGGGGCAAGTATTTACGGCAGAAGCCATACTTGAAGAGTGTGCATCACTATACGGTGTTGGAATTCTATATACATAAGAAAAAAAACGCTTCTCGCTACAATAAATCATGGATTTCGACAAGTGTTATATCGAGATTTTACAGCTTGTGAAGCAGGCTGGTTCGGTAAGTCGAGAAACTATAAAATGCGAGTCATCTTTTCTTCTTGTGACAAGATATGTAGATAATTTATCAATTTTATCAACTATCTCACTTTTTTTTTCATTGTGCGCAATGATATTTACATTATATACATTCTAAGACGCAAATTGGTATTGATCAGCAGAAGGTATATAATTTTTGATGCACATTTAAGTTTTCAAGTAATTAATTTATATCTCTTATATCACTATTTTCAATTTTAATTTCTCTATAAGATATGCCGCAAAATCACACAATTATCTTTGTCACAGATGAGTTTTAAAAAATTATCGAAGAGCAGCAGAGAGAAGAGAGCGATAGCGATTATTGATTTATTTTTTTTAAACATTTTAATCTTTATATTGTTTTATATATAAAAGAATAATTGATATTTAAGTTTTCTTTCAACTTTTTATATATTATATATTATATTTTATAATATATAATATATAATATATATTTTTATTATATATTACATACACAGCACGAAATATATATTATATGAATGTTTTCAAAAAATATTTCTAAATATTTCTATAAAATATTACATAATAAAAACATTTTAAAATAGTTTTAGGAATATTTTAAAATGATTTAAAAATTTTTGTGATAACATTTTTTAGAATATTTTTAAAAACTTAAAAATATTTATTTAGAAATATTTTATGTCTTTACCGCTCAAATATATATATTTTCTCAAATATTTGATACATATTTTTGAAATATATTAGTTTAAATCTATATTCAAAAATATTTTTTAAACATGAAAAATAAAGCGGACATAGAAACATTTTAAAAATATTTTCGAGAATATTATTTTATTTTAAGAAATATTTTTAAAAGATTTTAAAAATATTTTATTGTGCTGTATGGATATATATTTTATATATTTTATTAATTTATATTATATATTTACATATAATATTATATATATTTTATATTGCTGTATATATTGCATCATTCTACACGTTTCATTTGCAGATTATCAATGAAAAGATTCATCAATACAAAGATATACTTACAAAATCGTGCGACATCGATTTGGTAACAGAATGGGATCAAAAGGTAGAGAAACTTTTAATCGACGGAATATTATCCAAATATCCTGATCATAAGTAAGTAATTAAATTTCAATATTTATTAAGTATCTCTTGTGCGTATATAATTTGCTATATATATATATATAAAACTTAGATTTGAATTATATGTATATAGAAAAAGGAAAACTTATATATATTATTTTCATATTTATATTAAAAAATAGATTTATCGGCGAAGAAAGTATTGCTGCGGGCGAAAAGATAGAATTAACAAATGCGCCAACTTGGATAATCGACCCAATCGACGGCACAATGAATTTCGTTCACGGTTTACCACACACATGTATATCGGTTGCGTTGCTTATTAATAAAACGACGGAAATAGGAATAGTATATAATCCGATTTTGAATCAACTTTTTACCGCTCGTAAGGGTCAGGGCGCTTTTCTTAATGGCGCCCCAATTCATGTATCTAACAGAAAAGGTAATTTGCTCTATTACTATAGAAAGTACTAAAATGCAGACTAATTTTTGCGATCTTTTATTAATCGCTCGATGATTTTATCCGATTTTAATTGACAATCTGTTTTTATTCTTCCATCTGCGATATCATTTCAGAATTGAATAAATCACTGCTGCTGGTAGAAATAGGAACTAGCAGAGATCCGGAGAAGGTGGAAATAATATTGCAAAATGTAAAGATCCTTATACCACGTGTTCATGGGTGAGTCATATTTCCACGCTACATTTTTGCACAAAGAAAACAGAGTTTATTTACTGAAGAAATTTCATTGTGTGCAGATTGCGATCGTTTGGTTCAGCAGCTTTGGATATATGCATGGTAGCTCTTGGTGGTGCTGATGCTTATTTCGAATTTGGTATACACGCATGGGATATTGCAGCTGGAGATCTTATTGTTCGAGAAGCAGGCGGTGTATCGATAGATCCAGCAGGTAAATTGCAAGATAGATGTATAAATGAACATAAAGGATGCTGAGTGCCAACACAAAGAACTAGCATTTATTTTATGCTTATGTTAAAAGGAGGTCCATTTGATGTGATGAGCAGAAGAATACTGTGCGCATCATCGACTGAATTAGCTCAAGAACTTTCCAAAATAATAATTCAATTTTATCCAGAACGAGATTAAGAAATTTAAATTGTGTAGTGGTACAATAGACGAGGAAGAATTTATATTTGTGCAAATGTCAGATTGGATCATTGAAGATGACGCAAACGTTTTAAAAGCAAAAAAGTAAATTAAAAAATTATATATATATATATATATATATGTTTGTACGTATATAAAAGGTTATAAGGTATATATGCGACTTTATTTTAGAGTCAGAAAATATCGAGCTAATTATTAATTCAGTTCCAAATTGTTTAATTTATAAAATAATTTGAAAACAACGTGAAATAAACTTATTTATGTACTTATATAATTTATAAAACCAATAGTTTATGACATGTTTGTGGATAAAAATCTATATAAAAAAAGAATATATGTTTACTGATTACTATATATGTACTGATTACTAATTCAAAATTATTACTTAAATGAAAATAATTACATGTATAATTGATCTCACAGAGACAAATAGTGAAAAATATTTTTGTCCTCATGCTCATGATATTGTATGTGTAATTATTGTAATTAATAATAATTTTTATTAAAAAAATATCAATGTATTACATGTAAATCCCTTTTATTTTGTCTTAATTGTTAAGCTTCGTATTTTATATTCATATTTTACATTTATTTCTAAATCTCACGTATCCGAGACCTTGTAAAATTAAATATAATTATTTTCATTGTAGGGAAATAGATATAGATCTTTATTATGATTTTGACACATTTTATTCACATTAAAATATTTCTACATTTTTTCCGACAGTATTTACAAAAGGGAAAAAAAAAAAAAAAGAGTGAAAAAGAGTAGAGAAATAGGAGAAAGGAATAAAAATAGAGCGAGATAATTTTTCGAGAATAATGGATCACACATCACATCTGCTTTTCGCTTTCACGGAGCATAGGTTTTAAACATCTGAAAACTCAAAACCGCAAATATTAGTATTATATAAATATTTATCACTTTCTCGTTGTGTAAAAATGTTTTCGAGACTAAAAGAATTTTGAGAAAAATAGAGGTATGTGTTAATTAAAATATTTGCTACGTCGCCTGTGAAATTTTCATAACTAAAATGTACTTTACCTGCATACATACTTACGAATCCTCAATTGCGATTTCGAGTAACTTTAAGAGAAACCTTAGCGCGTAGATATAAATCTAGTTAAACCGTTGTACAAACTTCGCTGAACCGTTTAGCGACAGTGTATGTGTATTTTTACGTAGTAGACACGACGTAGGCGCAAGTATATCGCATATTTTTCCTCTCCTCCTCATCAATCGTATTCATCATCTCTTCCATTGCCTCCCCTCCTCACAGGGAGGGCTACAAGTGAAACATCACCAAATTGCCAATTAGAACAGCACATACTAATCATAGTTTCATAATATACTTTTTACTTCAGTACTGAGAATCAATTTTCTCGAGAAACATATATCTTTTTGTTTCCACAATTCAATTTTATGTTATCGATACTTTATATAATTTCCCTTTTTGGTTGAACAAAAATACTAAAACGCGTATATTTTACCACGTGTTAGTATTGTCTATCGATCTATTATTTTATATTTATCTACTCTTGTCTATGAAAGCAAATACTCAAATGTAATTAGATACAAAACTGTTAGAAATTTGATTAAAAATTTTATACTATTTCTCTTGTCTCGAATACAATTAAATCCTACCAAACAGTTTATTTAGCACAAAATTCAAATTATACTTTTATACGGTTTATATATGTGTAAGAGCTCATTATTAATATATAAACTATATTAAACATATATACTAAAAAGTTGATCTGTACTAAGTATCCCAGGCAATCCCCCATGAATACCTTGTAACGGGATCGGCGCTAAAGGCCCTTGAAAGGTCCGACCGCACTTAATGATTTGAATCGATGATTTGAATCGAAGACACATCTGAAACATAAGCAGTCTCGTACAATCTTGTCACGTTCAGAATCAAACCGTGAACCATTCACAACAGCATCGATATTTGTTCCTAATTTTAAATGAATACGAAAATTTTCGAGTTTTAGATCCTAAGATCATATAATTATAAAAATGGACGCTAAATAAAATTAGAAATGCCACGTCTACAGTAATGACTTAATGCAGATTGCTACATAATTTTTCAGTAATTGTCATTATTTCGCTTGTAATATCTCAATACCACTTTATATATGTATTTTAAAACTTTGCATCGCAAGCAAATATATACACTTTCATCCTACTTAGCATTATCGCAAATATGTATAATTACATGTATTATAGAAATATCAGATAACCATTTCATTCGATCCGTCGTACATGACTATATATAGTCATATAATGAGATATGCTATTAAATATTAAATTGGCATACTAATTAAACGCGTTATCAACTAGAAAATGAATGTACGCTATATATAAAGATATATCTATATCTATTATACTATCGCTGTTATAGAAATTTGATAAACATATCCATTCTTGAAATTTCAGAGATAGAATGAAAAATACAGACAGACAGAATGAAAAAGAGAAAAATATGTAAGAAATCTGTAAGAAATATTTCCACTATACTTCATACTTGTGATTTAAGACTGAAAAGACAAAATGCAGGACGTTCTTCTCATTCTGTTAAGCATGTGTCGTTTTATTTTCAATATAGCTGATCCCTATACAATTTATCATCCAATTAGAGCAGATTTCTTTCTTTGTCACTAAAGTTTCTAATGCTGTGGTGTTTGTGTATATGTGTGTGCACGTATGCTCGCTGATGAGGTACTTTAAACGGATCGAACAGTGTATTCAGTAAGGAGCTTACAGTTCTTTATGTACGAATCTCTCTCGCTTCGTGGAAATACGAAAGTACAATTTCATAAAGCACCTGAAATATGAGCGCACGATTTATAATTATTTTATGAAGTGCTATTTATAAGGATTTATGTATGTCGTGCTCTCCAAATCATGAAAATAGGAAAAAGGAATAATACTACAATTGCATATCAAATTTCCAAAATCTGATCCTATATAGTTTGTGCTGAAAGAGGCGGTTATATCTCTGTTCACAATTTTTTTCACACATGTACAACATATTTATTTAATATATTTTAAAACTGATATCATACAAAACTGATATTCTATATCAAGCGAATTATTAGTATGACGATACTTCCAGATACATTATAGATTAATCTATATTTAGAGAACATCTATATGTATAACAATTTATTAATTTTTATATTCACAATTTTTTTATGTCGAGTATAAAAATATTATATTTTATTAATCTGTAATATATAACATCACACATAATTAAATTATATATTTGCATTCAAAGAGTATAGTATTCTATACACATGCAACTATGTTTCAGAACTATATCTTTTTTTTATCGCAACTCTCACATATTATATGAAGCAATTTATATAATATTAAACCGCCTCTTTCTGCTGAAACATAAATATGGATATGCTATGTGTAAAAACAAGAGTATTTGGAATGGAGGCAGGGGAGATATGAGAAATTAGAGAAATAGAGATAGAGAGATAGAGAGACGTACCGCGCTCTCCCCTATCAAGTACTGTTTAACATTAATAGGAAGGATTATTAACGACCTCATTTTACAAAGTTATTTCAGTAAATTCTTCGATGCTAAAGAACCCCAGATAGGGTTACCTATATTTTTTCTTGTATAAAGGGATGCGCCAGAGCGTGATTTACTGTGATCCTCTTCCCCGCGTCCAACATCAGCGTTCGTTCAAGTAAATCCTTCAGCTGTCCAACTTTACGATTTTGTTCTGGTGGTAAAGAACTTCCACCAAGTTCTGCGCTGAGATCGCGAGTAGCTGGCAGTGTCGACATTATGACCACTTTTTCCTAGAAATTATACTATTCAGTGAATTCCGCGAGATTTCAATAAATAATGCAAAAGCACCTATAATTATATGATGAGTGTATTAAGGCTCCTGGTTCCTTGCCGATTATATTGGAATTGTGACGTCAGAAGCAAGAAAACACACGCTACAAATTCTTAGCCGTTTCGAAATAAAAAGATATTTCGATGAAACAGTGCTTCAGATGGCTTTAACACACTCTTAAAATATCTCGAATTTCCTTTTATAATCAATCAACAGCTGTAAAATGACTGTAATGTGTGAGATCCAGTCTGGTTTTTACATATGCGCAGTCATTCTGGATAACAAAGTCTGATATCATGATCATTTTATGGTTATTAATTGTCTGTCAAAGAAAAAAATAGTTTTCGAGATATTTTAAAATATCGACGAGGATCCAGGAGTCTTATTCGAAATATTAGATTTCTATGATACGCCTAAAAAAAAACCAATATTACTTACCGCGCGTTTTCGGCGCGGATCAATAGATAAAATTGTCGACTTACCCGTTCCGTAACTTTATCAACCTCGTGATACAGGAAACTGCAGTTACTATCAAAATGTTGATCCTTAAATGTGCCCTTTCGAATTAGTTTGTTCGGCATCTTGCCCTTTAGATCCATAAAATACTTCAACATTTGGTTGTTTGTTTTCCCCGAAAACATTATCTTTCCCGTGTAAAGCTCGTATATGGTGCACCCCACAGACCACATATCAATGCCAAAATCATATGGTATACCAAGAACTAGAAAATAATGACGTTATTTTTGGTTCGAGACATTTCAAATTCACTTTCTATCATCTTTTCAATGTTGTGCAAGCTTTGTTTGACTTATACGTCGACTTAACAGACACATATGTACTGTAATTTTTTTCTTACATACTGACATAATATGACAATTCTTGTTTAATTTCTTTTTATTGAATATTTAGAGGAGCGCGCGTACACACTAGTATTATGAATACAAAATCGAAATAATTAATTTTTAAGTATGACGCGAAATGAAGAGAGCAGAGAGTTAAAGATTGCCGTGTAAAATCGTTGTATGGCGTTTTTGTGTGCTAGAACTACATGTCAGATTATTACGAGATAAACATCATCAATAGAATATAGTGAATGTGATGTACTGCCATATTATTAATGTACGTGTAATTTATACATCAATTAAAAAATATATATTGAATCTATTGAGAAAAGTAGGAAACGGATATGTAATATTGGTTTCCGCGAACGCGCGTAAAAAACTTATGCATTAGTGTTATAAATATATTATAACATATACGTACATATATTTATAACATTATAAATATATTTTAATAGAGCTATATAGATAAAAGAGAAAGAACGAATTGTAACATTTAGATTGATTCAATAGGTCAAAATACTTACTAATTTCGGGCGCACGATAAAATCTTGAGACTAAGTATGGTGTTATTTCATTTTCATGGGCGTGCGATGCAGAACCAAAATCACAGAGTTTCAGCACTAACTTGCTTTCACTGACTAGAATATTATCCGGTTTGATGTCAGCATGCAGAATATTTGCACGTTTTAATAACTTTAGTGCTAGAAAAAGTTGCTGCGTATACGACCTTACCGCTTTAACGTGTAAACCAACGTCTTTGCCATATTTTTTTAAAACCTGTAATTTTGCAATATAGTTTATAGTAGTAGCGTGATTTTCTGATTGTATTTTATTTACGATAAATGCATACCTCTCTTAAATTCATAGCTAAAGGTTCGAAAACCATGCATAAGTGATTTTTATGAAAGAAATGCCTAAATAAACGCAAGCAATGAAATCTATCTTCTGGATCAGCATCATTCAGTTTCCTAAGGATTTCTAGCTCCTTTAAACCGGTTCTATGCCTATAAAAACGAAAAAGGTAATAGCATTATGCATTGCGATCACAAAACGAAAATGTTGTACTTACATTATCTCATTGTTTCTTATAATTTTCACAGCTACATCTAAATTCCCTCTAGCACTATCTCTCGCCCTCACAACATTGCTAAATACACCTTGTCCTGTATATCCATAGACTACGTATCGTGCATCTAGAGTTTCTCCAACGCGTACACTGAGAAACAAATTATATCGTTATTAGTTTTCAAGTTAATCATTAAATTTTAAAAATTAAAATAGTATATAAAAAAGAAGAAATAATATCACTAACCGATAATATCCTTCTGCATCATCCCAGTTATCCGTTAAGCAAGGATTATCTGGTCCTCCTTGACGTTTTCCTTCAAGTGTTGGGCTCTAAATAATAAATCAAGATAAAAGATAATATTATTAGATTCAAAATTAATTGAAGTTAATAGAGAAATAAAATAGAAAACATACATTAAAATCTCCAATATTATCTGCTTCTGCAAACATGTCCCATTCGTTTGATTTTTTTAAAGTTTGCTTTTCCTCCTGTTTAAACTTGTCAGATGTTTTAATGTTCCCAGTTTTGTCAGATTCATTAGGTGATGCGTCCTCGAATCTAGATTTTCTTTTCTTGGCTGGAGGCGGAGATTCTAGTTTCTCTGTAGGCAGTGGTGGAGTATGGCTTTCCAATATAGATTCATTGTTATTGGATGGAATTTCTATAGATTTTTGTGATATATTAGATTGGCTTTCTGGAGAAGCAGCAATATTTACGTCGGTAGACATATTAGAATCCTCATTTGGTCCATTCAGCCTCTGTAGAAGAGAAAAAGATTTTTATTATCATACAACAGTTAAATATGAATGAATATAATAAAATAATATATATATATGTATTCGTATACATGCATTATGTAACTTATGTTATTTACTTTGAGCAATTCTTCTCTTTGTTTTCGTTGACGTTCTATAATCGCTTCTTCATCCTCGTCTTCCTCAATATTGATATCTTTAATGTCCTCTTCACTCGAGCTATCCGAATGTTCTACTTTAAGACCTTCTGATAAAGAATCCTTATATTTATCATTACGCTCCCTTTTGCTGTTTCTGTCTCTATCTTTATCACGATCCCTGATGTGGTCCCTGGCTTGTTGCTGCTTATCTCGGTCCCTACGAGTTCGGGAAGGCGATCTAGATCTCTTATATCGATCATTTCGTTCTCTTTCCGCTCTGCTTCGAATAGGACTACGCGATCTCCTCACGCTATTGCGAGACCGATCTTCGATTCGATGATCGTGATACCGATTGTCTCGTCGATCATGACTGCCATCATGTCGATCTCGATTTCCATGTCGATCTTTACTTCGACTATCCCTTTTATCACGGCTAGCGTGACGACGAGGCTCTCTACTCGATGGTCTATCACGACTCCGACGATCGTGACTAATGTGTCGATCTCGGCTGTCTTGACGTTCACGACTTCCCAATCTGTCGCGGCTTTTATTATCTGAATTCTTTGACTCGTTGATACGAGTTTTTGAACTGTGACGAATAGGTTCTCGTCTTCGATTCTCTTCTCTGTATATATAAATTGATTATTCATAGATTAATTAAGATTGATTATATAATATTAATAAATATTAATAATTCTTGATATTTTAATAGATTACATTATGACAAATAATATAAAATAAAACAAGCAATTTTTATTTACCGTCTGTCTGATTCTCTTTTCCGTGTCTCGTCTCGTTTTGAAATATCCTTACGTCTTTGCTGGTCTTCATCTGCTTTTTTATTGGACTCTTCTTTTCTTGTATCTTCTTTTTGTCTTTCGCTAACCTTTCGTGAAGCTCTATCATCCTTTCGAGTTTCTTCTCTTTTTCCTTCCTCTCTGGGACGAATTTTCTCATCTCTTTTCCTATCGGAATCTCTTCTCTTATCTTTATGCTGTTCACGAGGTTTTCTGTCTCTAGTCATATCAACTACAACACGTCTTTCGACTTTTATCACTTTCTTACGTTCTCTACTGCCTGACTTGCTCCTGGTTCGTTTCTTTGATGGTACATCATTAGTGTCGCTATCATCTTCCACTAGTATCACATCAGGTGTTTCTGTCGTCGTTTTTGCTTCTTCTTCTTCTGGTAGCTCCTTATCTTCTCCTTTTTCAGATTCATCCGAGAGATATTGTACCAAACATGCTTGCAATCGTTCCTACACAATGCAATTTTAATAAATTTATCATTTATATGATTATATAATTTATGATATAAAACTTGTTATCTATATAATATTACTTTAATGAAATTTATCAATATACATTTATTATATAATTAAACTCACCTTTTGCTTCATTAACTCTTCAAGATCAATATCATCTTCTATGATTGTACAATCTACTTCATCCGAATCTAAATCAACTAACTTTTCATCTTCGCTTTCTTCAGTAGAAACAACTTCCAATACAGATGTTTTTGTTTTTCCATTCATACCAACTTCTTTATGTATTACATTGGATATTAATTTCTCATCTATACCATTCTCCATTTCTTTATCTTTCTTCTGTCGTTTGTGTTTTTTATGCTTCCGTCTATAAACAAAAAGATATATCAATTAATATATTTATAAACCATTTATTTATTTTATAATTTATTTATTTTAAAGCAGTACCTTTCTTGCCTATCCAATCGTTCATCTTCTCTTTCAATTAATTTTTCTTTCTTATGCTTATGATGCTTATGTTTCCTTTCTTTTTCTTCCTTTGATCAGTCATTCCATCCGTATCAGAATCCAGTCCTAAGGACTCTCTTTTACATTCGGGACCTTCCAAATCTGATGTACTGTAATACGAATCAAAATAAATGTCCTAGCACAATAATTTTCCATGGATAGAAAGGATTTCCATGGATTTCATCCATTTCTATTCTTTCAACACATACAAAGATATGTGATTCTTCTATGATATACTCTAAAATACCAAATTTCGCGAGCGCCTACACAATACACTTACCCCATAATGAAGTTTAGTAAATAATAAACAGATGTACAACAAATAAAATCACTTCACACGATAATTTCAGCAATCCAATAATAACCAATGATTACAACGATTATTAACTATCTGGAACGAATACACGAACCAGTCAGTAAGACGCCATCTTGCAAGTTCTATCGCTTCTTAACGAGTCGTTTTCATACACTCGACAATTATCGATTTACACATATCGATTTATCGAATCATTTATTTGAATCTTTTTTCTGTACGCGAACTGATGCGGGAGAAGGAACAAATATTGTAATAAAATTTTTGTAGGAACATCAAGCTTTGTTGAACATATTGATTGAATGTGTTAGTGCAAGAAAATCTCGAAACCCTAGAAATTCTCTATTCGATAGCCAATAGCGGTTATGTACGTTTGGCGATTTTCTTTATGCGACAGAAATGAAACATATATCCTCTCTATTAGTATTTGCAAATTTTCTAATTATCTGCTACATTTTGTCCTTTTTTATATATTATTCATTGAATAAAATAATATAAAGTTTTTGCTAAGCAGGATACGAATCTTTATTGTTAACAGGTGTCGGCTAACCAGGTTTCAAATTAAATCGGGGTTTGAATCACCACTAAATAAGGATTGAGTCTCCACTAAGTAGATTTCATATCTCTATGCAGTATTAAGAAAAACTTACAAAGGTAAAAAAAAATATGTCGATATATAAAAAATATCTCTCTAAAAAATAATGTACCTTTTACAAAATATAGTGCACCTTTTACAAACACACAAATTTTTATTATAACATTTGAATATAATTGATTTTTTAATAAGTTTTAAAAATTTATTTATTTATTTAGTAATCGTATTTAAATTCGCATTATTTGTTAATTATAATTTTTAAATTCTCAAAAATTTGCTATACCTATGTCTTCCTTTCGGATTGAATCGAATTATTTTTTTTTATTTTTTGTATATCGCGTGTTATAATAAATAAATATTCAAAAAATTTCTAACGCTATTGATCGTAAAATAAGAACAAAAATAACACTCAATCAGTAAAGTAATTTTTAACTTTAAAAATCGTTCTTTAGTACCTATTGAATTAAGTATTTTATTCATTCAATACAATTACTGTACGATTTGTCACGTGTGTATGCTAAAAATAGCTTATATAATGTATAAAAAATAAATTCTTTAAATATTGTAAGCTATTTTTAACCCAGATAGCCACAGTAATTATTATAACATCATTTTGATGTCAAAATGCATCATTTGCCATCAAATGGTGTCATAATAATTACTGTGACTATCTGGGAATGTACAGGATGTTTCCGATACATACACATCATTATGTTGGGTTGCCTATCAGCTTACCGACAGGGGCATGCTTTTTGACAAAAAAAGTCGACTTCATCATTCTATATATACAGTGAACACTTGTGAAATTGGATAATATAGATAAAATATATATTTAACAATATAGATAAAATGACATAAGTAAAATTTAATAATGAAAGTTTACTAAACTTTTACTAAAAAATATTTTTTAACTTATCGTCAACATAATTTTTATCTATAAATATAATAAGTCATATAATAAATTTTATCTATAATTATAATATTTATAAGTATATATATATATATTATCTATATATATATATTATCTATAAATATAATATCTATAAATATAATAAGTCATATAAAAAATTATATTGATAAATATAATATTTATAAGTCATATAATAATTTTTTAGTAAATATAATAAGTCATGTAATATATATAATCTATAAATATAAGTCATATAATAAATATATAATTTGACTTATTATATTTAATATAAATTTATTATGTGACTTATTATATTTATACATAAAAATTATATTAAAGATAAATTAAAAAATAGTTTTTAGGAAAATTTTAGTAAAATTTGATTAATAAATTTTATTAATGTTATTTTATCTATATTATTAAATTATATTTTATCTATATTACCCAATTTCACAAGTGTTCACTGTATATATAAAACAATAAAGTCGACTTCCTTTCTCATAAAGCATGCCCCTGTCGGTAAGCAGATAGGCAACCCGACATAATGACGTGTATGTATCGAAAACATCCTGTATACCTACATTATAAATTGTAAAGTAAATCAATGAATGAACACAAGCATTTAAAATAATCTGAATTACTGATAATAATAATTAAGGGACAGAAATTTGTTGGATCTTGCCGCGCGGGCTTATTAGATATTATTATACTTATAAAGATATATTATTATATTTTATTTACTTTTGAACAAATTCTCAAACTGTTAACTATGGAAATTATAGGCGCAAAAAACTTGTAAGAATTGATTTAACATGTTTTTTAAAAAGGAAAGGGATATATGTATATATATATATATATATATATATATATATATACTAAAACTTATTGAAAAATCTTGAGCCATATAACTTGTAATAATTTAATCGATAAATAAAATATTTTATAATATAAATAATTTGAAGTATACAACGCGTTATTGGTTAATTATTATGATGTTATTGGCACCTATATTTTACGTCTCATTTACCAAATACGCGTGGTATTTCTTCATTTCATTAATCTTGATGTATCAATCTTATTTTTGTGATATTATCAGAATTAAATATGATAGTAATAGTAACAAGAAACAGTAAATATACATATGCTTAAAACAATATGCTTGAAACTATATATACTTGAAGAATAAATACTAAAGTAACCATCGTAAATTGTGGCTTTGCTTTACAAGTAGAAACGAACATTACGTAGTTACGTAATTATTATAAGTACATCATTAGATGTAGAATGCCAAGTTCTGGAGACTTTTAAATATGGAGGTACGCTTCGTTGTCTGTCTCGTTAGCCATAGATAAAATTTTAATAATGTCGAGTTAACAGATCTTTGTTAATCTACAAAATATGAGATTTCTGAACTCGAATGCACGAGTGTAAAAATTGATAAATTTTACTTAGAGCGATGAAACATTAAGATAAAAAGCAAATAACTCGTGCAATATTTAATACATTTCCTGAGTATTCTGATATTAAAAGGAAGATTACTCTTTATATCTTGACTAGATTAGCACTCTATAAGCACTCGCCCAGTCTCTTGTATGAGTCTTAATTTCTAATTGCAACTTGGTTTTATAGAGGAACTCAATCAATGGCACTGTCGTTGTTGCGCTGACAGTTAGACATAGACGGATTTGTTATTAATTTTTTCAAGTAAAGGATAGAACAAAATTGAATATGCAAAAAGACCAATTACATCCGTTACAAGAGTACGGCTATGAGATAAATAAATGTTCAGAATTATATATACATATACAAATGCTTATTCAAATAGCTGTTTAGCATAGTGCCAAATGCGGAAAAAGTACTCGTCTTTTCTAAGTAATCTTGCCCTTGCGTATGAATGTATATCGGCGTCCATATTATGTTCCCGCAACCACGAACTCGTGTTTTCCGTGCTAAAGCTGATCGATGCGGTTTCACCCTTGTCCAAAGCTTCAGCGACGGGTTCCTCAAATGACAATTCTGTCGAAGGAACAGATTTAGTTTAATAATAAACAGATATTTAAAATAAAAGATCGTTCAAGCGGCACAATAATCAGTGTTGTGCTTAGATAATTTTAAAATTAGCTAGATATAAAGATGAGATAAAAATGTCAATTTAGATAAGATAAAGATAATTTTATTTTAATTATATCTAGATAAAATTATATGGCGATTCATCTAGATAATTTTCTAGATAATTTTTAGACTGCTTATGTAAACACAGTTATAAAAAATGTAAACTATAAAAGGGATATAAAAATATATGTATTAATATTTTTATTATAAATTTTTATCGCTTAAGTTCTACTATTTAAGTATTTTTATGTGCTATCATTCTAAACCAAAATTATTTGAAAATTATTCTAGATAATTTAGTAAAGATAAATATTTTTTTCAGAGATATAGAAAATACATATTTTTATTATCTATATAAAGATAAGATGACGTCAGTTTCATCTAGATGATCATCTATATAATTTTATTTAGATAACAGCAAACACACATGACAATGATAACAATAAAAAAATAATAAAAAATAGAAGTAGAGATATTGTACCTGAGGTCGGCACGATCTTGAAAGGTTCTTCCGATTCCAAATGATCGCTAAATCCGATCTCGTTTCGTGCAAAAATTCTCACGAGGTAATCGCGATTCTCTTGCAGATCACGAATGTTCAGTTTCTGGACGTCTGCGCTCACTCTTCCAACTTCCATCCACATGGTCTTTTTCGCGTCTCTAATAGCGATCTTATAACCTTCCAAAGGTGCACCACCGTCCGATTCAGGTCTGCCCCATTCGATTACCATCGTGTTCGCTGCTATTTGCCTCATCTCTAACGGAGCGGTAGGCGGAGATGGAACGTCTACAAAACGATTTAAAATCAATGTAAATTGTGTATGTATTTACTACATAATAATAATTTGAGGGTAGCATAAGTTGAAGAACTCACTGGCATGAGTTTTCAGTGTGACTGGCTCGGAATTGGTCGGTACACTAAGTCCTATGCTATTTTCAGCAAAGATTCTAAAGAGAAATTCGCTTTCTTTTAAGTTCTCTATGCAGTATTGATTCGTTGTAGCGTCCAAAGTGACAACCTTTGTCCATCGGGCACCTTTTCCAATTAATGGCCTCTTCTCGATTATATAGCCTGGCATAATGTCAAATATTTAATAATATTAAAATAATGCTAAAACAAAGAATATAAAATTTTGCACTATTTCACACGTCAAACTACCTGTCAATTCTGATCCTCCTGTGCTAGCCGGTGGCGACCAAGTGAGAGTAACACTTTTGCTCGTGACATTGATTGCTCGGACATTTAGAGGGCATGAAGGTGGTGCTAAAAAGAATTCAAAAATACGTTTATTACATAATATATATTTTGTTTCATGTAGAAATTGTAAAATTATATTTACAATCAGAAGCGCAAAAAGAAGCGTAAGCAGAACAGAATATATAAATGACTTACTTTTAACGACGACCATTTTCGTAGATGGAAATATGCCTAATAGCGCATATATGCTGTTTTCTGTAAGCTTTATTATTTCTGAGCAAAAGCGAAAGCGTTAATAATTAAGCGACATTTCGAAAATTAATTGATTAAAAAAGAAAATAAGCTAAAAAGATATTAAAGAATAAAAATTGTCAACTTACTTGGTCGTTTGCCGGCCGTAATCGCTTCTTCTGCTACATATGGAGGGCTGGTGCCGACGCTGTTTTTAGCTGTTATTCGGAAATTGTAGGATATATCCGTTTTCAAATCAGATATAATAACATTTGTGACTTCTCCTTTTGTGATTGCAATCTGAAGAAATATATACAGTCATTTGCATATAATTCTAATTTTAGTGCGTGTTGGTGGAAATTAATAAAGTACTAACCCTTCGCCAAGCTTTCTTCGATACCTCTTTTATTTCGACAATATAATCTGTGATAGGTGTACCGCCGTCGTTCTCCGGAGGTTCCCATTTTATCGTGAACGATGTTTTCGTCATTCCAGAAACTTCTAATGGTCCTCTTGGCGGACCCGGTGGTTCTATCGAATAAATGAAAATTTGATTATTTTTGAAATTAAATTTTTGTAACATTTTTTTCCTATTTAACAAAATCATCGTAATCTTTCTTTTACCGAATGAAGTCCTGGTTCTAATTGGCTCGGATTCCAAAGGATCTGAAGCTCCAACTGCGTTTCTAGCGACTATTCTAAACAGATAGTCGACATCTTGCTGCAATTTCTGTGCGCAGAAGTTTTCGACTTCTTTATCTACATCACCAACTTTTGTCCAAACTTTCGTACTCGCTTCACATTTTTCAATAGTATATCTTTCTAGTTCTACGCCACCGTCGTCGACTGGCGGTCGCCATTCTATAGTAACGCGATCTTGTCTGATTTCTTTCGCAATAACTGGCCCCTGAGGTTTGCTCGGCTTGTCTAGAATGTATTATCAGATACATTATATTTTATTTCCAAAATATGTAATGCTCATTAACAAACAGAGTTATTAAAAGTATTTAATAGAAAAAGTAAAAACAAAAATATATATAAAGACATATATATATATAAAATATCAAATATACCTATGACATGGAGATGACATTCTAATGATGAGCTACCGGCTTCGTTTGTCGCTTTCACTGTATAGACAGTCGTATCATCTCTGACGAGAGAAGGAATCGTAATAATGGATGTAGCTTCCTCAGTCTTGATGGAAATGCGTTTATCAGTTATTGTTTTATCGTTTATTGACCACGTCACTTTCGGTTTTGGGAAACCGCTGAAGTGAATTTCGACCTTCCATTTGTCGCCTACTGTTAATCTTTGATTAGTTGCATTTTCATCGCAAATGATCTTCGGAGATTCTTGAATCTTCAATTGACATGATGTTTCCGCCGTTCCCGCATCATTCTGCGCTTTAACCGTGAATGTGGCCGATGACGTCTCCGTCGTTTTTTGAATCGTGTACTTGGCCATGCGGTTTTCATATACAATGTCGCTGTCCTCGAAAGTTTTATCATCCTTTAACCTAGAAAATGATTTCCGAAATACGGTTATTATTATAATAATAATTAGCATGTCTAACTTAAATAAAAAGAAAGGAACAATATACCATGTAATACGTGGTGTCGGTATACCACCAATTACACAAGAAAGTGTGACAGTCTCTCCTAATCCGATCACGATACTCTTGAGTGCTTCCAGGATAGTCGGCGGTTCAGACGCCGATAACTTTGAAATTCTTAGATATGGCATATTCGGCGATGGTTCGCCCGATCCGGCTTCATTGACTGCTGTTACACGGAAGGTGTATTCCTTGTCAACGGTCAAGTTCGTTAGCTTGTACGTAGTTTCACTTATTGTCTCGTTAATTCTGCTCCATCTGAGAAATCATACAATTCGTATTACATATTGATCAAATCGTAAATCGTAAAAACATGATTAAATATTTATAATAGTGTATAATCCTTTAAATTCCTTACGAAGATTCCGTCCTTTCGCGATATTCTAAAATGTATTCCACGATCGGGGAGTATCCGTCGAAATCTGGTTTCTTCCAGTGAAGAGTAACACTGTTGTCAGTTACTTCGAGAGGTTCTGGAATTCCTGGTGCTCCAGGTACCTCTGTAATAGAAACATCAATTGTATCTGCATTTCTTTTTTTTTATTTTATATTCTTGTAGAAATTATTCGAATATTTGATATAATACATAAATACGTAAATACTTACGCACGACGATGATGTTGATTTCTATACTATCTTCCCCATGAGAATTAGTTAATTTTAAATTATAATCACCGAAATCTTTCTCTTGTACCTCTGTAATTGTCAAGACGGCTGAGCATTCGTCAATGGATGTGACGATTCGTTTGGATTTTTTAAGAACGCGACCATTGACGGTCCATTCATCGACTGGAGTTGGCGTAGCCGTGAATTTCACGATAACATCAATATTATCATCTTTCATTGTTTTGTATTTTCTAGGCGTATCGGGATTAATTTTAGGCGGCGTTTCAATAACTGGAACACATTCAAATTACATTAAATTAATTAAATTCTTTTTAATTTATGAAAAACACAGAAATAATATAATTAATACAATTCAAATGTAAATAATGCATAAGCCATTTATATGATTAAATGAGAAAGAAGGCGACACAATGTATATAATTTTATAATCTCCTTTTCTAAAAAAGGCATGCAAAGTCGATTATCGCAAATATTGTTACTGCTTTTCCGCGATGCCGAATGTCTCGATTAACATTGTATGTTATATTAATAGTATCAAACAAGTGTCATCGTGAGAGTTAATAGTTTGACAGTTGTAAAATAAAAATAAAAATAATATCAATAACGTGCGCGAAGCGCGCGCTTGTGTCGTCTGGTATATAACAAAAATTCAGAAATTAAAATTATATACATAATTAAAATTCGGCAAATTAAAATTATGTACATATAATAGACATTTGAGAATTAAAATTAAAATATAAAATATATAATATAAAATAAAATTAAAATATAACTGTTTAATATAATACTGTAGCATCATTTATATCTGCATTATTTTTAATGAAAATTATTTAATTATATTTCTCAAATGTATTATGTATTAATATTCTACTATTAGTTTACTATACTAACAATTATTTGCTATCATAATTAAACTTGATAACAAAACTGAGTTTGATTTATGAGTCGACACAATTACTTTTACTTGTAACTTCCTATTGTATTAACAAATCTGCTTATAAATACTTATATATATATAAAATTTCGTTTAATCTAACTGAATATAATCACGCACGCAAAGCAAAGTTATATTGTTCTTTGATGATCAAAGAATAATGAGTTTTGGGAGACAGTGCTACTATAGCGCTATAAAAAAGTACAATACATACAATACATACTACTACATCGTTACAATTGTAGCGAAAAAACTGTAGCGCTATGATAGCGGTGTCTTATCAATACGCACTCAATATAAGTTTGCTTCGCCCACGTAATTATATTCGATTAAATTAAACGAAATGAGAAAAAATATATAAAGAAGTATAAAATAGTTCTGAAACAATATAATAGAAATTCGGCGAATTAAAATTATGTACATAATAGAAATTCGACAAATTAAAATTATGTACATAATAAAAATTCGGCGAATTAAAATTATAGTCAAATGCATAACATCAAGCAACTATCATCGCGACGATTAACAATTTGACAGTTGTAAAATAAATAATAGAAATAATCAAAGGCGCGCGCAAAGCGCTTGTGTAATTTAGTTGTATAAAGTATATGTATAAAATTTACCTTCAACTTTTAATTTGGATGATGTTTTCACATTTGCAACTACGGCAGTATATTCAGCGATATCTTCGGTCGTGCATTTTTTAACAATAAGTTTCTTAATATTTCCTTCATCAATAATCTGATATTTTGCAGATTGTGTGCAATCAATCACCTCATTTTTCCTGTAAATTTTATATAACATATATATCACATATAAATACTTGTTTCGATTATCAATTTTCACAACATACATAAACTATCAAAAAATGTGTGCATATGTGTAAGAATCTTTTTTATATTTTTTTTACTTTTCTAGTAAAATAATTCAACTTACTTTAACCATACTACTGATACATCGGCACGCGATAATTCAATCAAGAAAGTTGCATCAGTGTTGAAAGGCACTAGAGTAACGTCAGGCAATTTTTTAATAAAATCTACTTCGGGTTCTTCAACCGTCAATTTAGCTGACGAAGTTTGATCGCCAACTTGACAAGAATAGGTTCCCGCATCTTCCATTTCCGTGTCGTAAATCTTCAGTTTTTGCTTTTTGCCATCGATCGACAATCGCACGTGCTCGGAAAATTGCAACTCTTGACCGTCTTTGAACCAGCGTATCAAAGCGTCACCTTTCGTCAATTCTATGTCAAAGGTCGCTTTCTCTCCTCTGGCTATAGTTATGTCCTGCATCTTGGTAATAATTTCCGGTGGCAATTCAACGACCGTAACTTCTGCCGTACATTCTTGATCCGGGAGGGCGCACGTGTATTCACCTTCATCATGAACTGATGCGCTTCTGATGAGTAGTTTTCGCACAGTACCGTCTTTTACAAATTCTAATTTTCCTTTGATCGGTGTTAATAATTCGCCTTCTTTTCGCCACGTAACATCGGCTGTTTGAGACGTGATTTCAACTTCCAAAATCGCTACGTCCCGCTCTTTCACTTCAAAGTCCTGCAATTTCTTGACAAATTCTGGTTTGGTGGCTCGAACGATAACGTTGCTGGACGTTATCTGATTCTTGACAGTACATTTGTACGTGCCTGCATCGGAAAGGCTACTCTTCTTAATCAACAACCTATGTACACGTCCTTCTTGAATCACCTCGCGATGATCCATTCCGCTTATCTCCTTGTCATTGTGCCACCACACCGTGGAGACAGTGTGCGATGTTTCGCAACACAGTTCTAAAGTTTTGTATTCATCGACAGTGACTTCATTTTGCAATTTTCTTGTGAAAGAGACTTTAGCAACGTCTACCGTCACTTTTGCACCATGCGAAGCTTTTCCGACCGGATTACTGGCGACACATTTATAATCTCCGGCATCAATTTCGGAATCTGCGTTTTTAATTTCGAGTAGGATGTTTTCACCATCGTAGCTTTCCATGATATTGGCCGATTTCTCAAATGGTTTGTTATTTCTGAGCCACGTAACTTCCGGGACAGGATTTCCAGTTACTTTGGCAGCTAACTTAAAGGTCTCTTTTTCAGGAACAACCACTTCTTGGAAACGTTCAGTAAACAAGGGAGGTTCTGGTGCGCCGCTCGGGACTTCTATATTTTGCAAAAAAATGTAATAGCATCATTATTGTAATAAAAAAGAGACACACACACACACACACACACATATATATATATATATATATATACATATATACATGTAATTGTATTGGATAATAATAGACATCAACAACGAATGCATATCATACCCTTAACAAACGAGACATGTTTATCGTTCATACATTGCTGAAAGCTAATAGTGACTTGTGACTTGGAGTTAACTGAAAGCACATTAGCGAAAAAGCATTTTGTAATATTATATCTGACAATTTAACATGTTTTAATAATTAAGAAAGCAATTTAAAATAATGCGAATTGTTTTTTTTTCAAGTTTGTATATTATTTGATTAGCTATATAATGACGAAAAAGATTAGTTGTTTATTAATTTGAGAAAAAAAATTTAAAAAAATTAAAAGAAGCAATTAAGATATTTAATACAATTAAAGAAATTAGTAAGTGAAGAGTGTTATTGTTCTTACTCTCAACAGTCAATACAGCTCGAGTCTCGGCTTTGCCCACATCGTTGACAGCTATGACTAAATATTCCCCACTATCTGCTAGTTGAGGCTGAATCAAATTCAATGTATTGACGTGTCCATCCTGTTTTGATTGCATATCCTTTATCGGTTTTCCATCTTTATACCATGTTATTTTTGGTGATGGATTACCAACTATTTGAGTTGATAAAACAACTGTTTCGCCTTCTTTAACAATGTAGGATTGCAAAGGTTCCAAAATTTCGGGCGGTTCACTCTTTCCAGTTTTTACCTATTTAAAATAAATATGTTAATTATATTAAATGTAATGTATGTAAAAACAATATTTATAAATATAATTTTGTATTTTTCTACTAACTTTCACGGGAATATCGATAGTAGCTTCGCCTTCTCTATTCTTAGCGACAATTTTATATCTTCCTTCTTGTTTTTTTTTAATTTTGGTGATTTTTACGACACTGCAGTACATATGCATGTCGCTTTCGGTTGCGACTACGATGTTTTGTTGGCTAACTACCTGGGTATCTTTATAGTACCATATTATTTCTGGCTCTGGTACGGCGACCAATCGACATTCCAGTATCACATCATCACCTTCGTTCACGTACTTCGCTTTTGGTTTTCGAGAGAATGTAGGTGGTATACCCTCCAATATATCCGCAAGAGATGATTCTCTGAGTATTGTCATATTAATAATTATTAAGAGCAATAAAAAAATTATAATAATACACATATCATAGAATATGTATATATATTTTATAAAAATTATAAGAAATTTTAAATATAATGTTGTTTTGTAATTTGTAATATGATATTAAAATAAGCTATTTCGTCAATACAATAAAAAGATAATCAATAAGCTTTATCAGAGTGAATAATATATTCAAAAGAAGATTAAAAAGTGCATACCTCGAAAGGCTTTTCCTCGACAAACCGGTAATATCAGATCCATGATCCGACAAAGGAGCCTCAACGATAAGTTCAGTGGTGCTAGATGCAAATCCTGCAGCATTTTTGGCAACACATGTAAAAGTACCGGCATCTTCAGGAAATACTTCTCTGATTATCAAGGTAGCAACATTATCTTCATCGTAATATATTTGAAAATCAACAGATGGTTTGATAATAGCCGTTTGACGGAACCAAGTTATTTGTGGTCTCGGTACACCTTCCACTTGACATTCGAATTGAACAGTGTAACCATCTAGTGTGTGAATTGGTTGCAATTTTTCGATAAACTTTGGTGCTGAGGCTTTTTCTCCTGGAGCTGGTTCTAAAAAAATGTAAACGTTTGATGTCAATATTTTAAAAGCCTTATACATTTTATTATAAATCTTATAAATGCGTATAAAAAGTAGTTTGATCAAAACTTTATCTATTTTGAATTATTTTGTAAATAAATACTTACTTTCAAAGATTGGCAATCTATCAATCTTTTCATGCAATTTTCGTTGTAAGTAAATAGTATAATGCACTTCGTCCAATAAATATTGCGCCGGTACCCAGCCCTTCTCTTCGGTCAAATGTTTCTTTACAAACCACCAATCCTGATTGGTATGATCTATAAAAAAAGCAAATATTAAATATATTTTCAAAAATTATATATGTATTAATTATAATTATAATAATCGCTATGTTCATGATTTTAAAAAATAGATATCTTACCGATAATATAAACTTTTTCTCCTTCGACCAAGTTTATAGCTTCTTCTGTTTCAGCCACATAAGAACAAATTGAGAACATTGTATCACCGTCACGAACAACATATTCGACTTCGTCAACTGAAAATCATTTAACAAAATTTTTTATATTTTATTAAATATATATTGTAAAAAAAATTATAATAATGATATATAGTGATATGTCTGTAACGAACCTTCTTCGATTTCTTCCTCTTTAGTAATACTGAGAGAAGCTTCTTCTGCAATATTATATGTTATAAATATCAAATAAATATCGATTTATAATATCGATTTACAATATAAGCTTGCTTAGTTTTAGTCAATTGAAATATAGCGAAAAATGTTTTAAACAATGCGTAAAATTTATATCTTATCTATATTATTTGATTTTAAATATGTACGTTGTGTACTGATTATGTAAATACAAATTATTATAAATCTCACATTATTATGTTACAAAATAAAATAAAGCAATTACTACCGATATGCTTTTCATACGCGGATTAGTAAATAATTTATATATGTAAGGACAAAAATCATTTTCTAAAAAAAAATGCATTAGTTGGACGAAGGAAAGGACAGGCAAGTATGGACATAGAATATATACATTCATTTTTAAAAAGATTAAAATAATTATCAAAGAATTTTAATCGTTATTTTAGCTGAAAGCATATAGCTTATGTTAATTCAATTTTATTCGCTAATGCATAAATGCTTGCAGAATACATAAATGCATTATCGAACCTTCTTCGTACGTGGAAATGCGTCTTTTGCTCTTCAATTTCAGCGCCAAAGATTCAACATCGGTTTCCTCATATGAATATTTCCTATCACGTTTTAACTGTACTTTGACATCATCTTCAATTTCTTCTACACTATACGGAGCTTTTTGTTTCTTTTTCTTTCGTCTCAGCGGTATACTCATTTCGTCAATGTCAAGCTCTTCGATGCTATAACCTTCTTTACCTTCCTCTTCCGATTCATCAATAATCTCTTCTATGACTGGTCCAGAATCATCTTCAATTTCTTGAATAATTTTGATTGTTTCTTCTCCAGTTTCTTCAGAATAAGTAAGCGGACGTTTCTTGGGCTTTAGACGAACCTTACCGGACATAGAAATATCTTCTTCTTCGTATGTATTTAATGATATTTTAAACTCCTGTTCCACATCTTCTTTTGTTTTTGTAGAGCGTGGTCTAAACGTCACATTTTCTACTTCAGTAACTTCCTTGATATCGGGTCTAGGCTTTCTCTTTGGTCGCAATTTACGTAAAGTAATATCTTCATAAATTTCTTCAATTGGTTTTGGTGTTTTCTTTGGTGGTTTACGTTTTAATGTAAATTCTTCAATTACTTCCTTAGGTTCTTCTTCTACCTTTTCGAATTTTTTAATAGTTAATTCTTCCACAGTCACTTCTTCACTTGTTGGCACTGGTTTCTTTTTCTTTAATATTATATCCGTCGATGTATCCGTAATTTCTTCTTGTTTTTGCTTTTCCTCTATAGGCTTGGCAATAGTTATTTTTTCTGATACTTCTTCTGTTTCGGTAGTCTTTCTTCTTAGTTTTGGTTTAAAAGTAACTTCTTCAACAATGTCTTCCGTCTTCTTTTCTATAATAGGTTTCTTAATCGTCATTTCATCCGTAACTTCCTCCTTAACAGGTTCTTTTTTAGGTTTCTTTATTTCCACTTTCTCAGAAACTTCTTCTGCTACGTGTTCTTTTTTTTTAGAAACAGGTTTTTTTACAGTAATTTCGGCAGCAGTTTCTTCCGTGACAGGTTTTTTCTTTGATTTCTTTTTTAACGTGACTTCTTCAATAATTGTTTCTTCATCGTCTTTTCTTTCTTCAACAATTGGTTTCTTAATTGTCATTTCATCCGCAAATTCCTCTCTAACAGGCTCTTTTTTAGGTTTCTTTATTTCCACTTTCTCAGAAATTTCTTTTGGTGCGTGTTCTTCTTCTTTCAAAACAGGTTTCTTTACAGTGATTTCGGCAGCAGATTCCTCTGTGACGGGTTTTTTCTTTGGTTTCCTTTTTAGCGTGACTTCTTCAGTAATTTTTCTTCTTCATCTTTTCTTTCTTCAACGATTGGTTTCTTAATTGTCACTTCATCCGCAAATTCCTCTTTAACCGGCTCTTTTTCAGGTTTCTTTATTTCCACTTTCTCAGAAACTTCTTCTGGTGCGTGTTCTTCTTCTTTCAAAACAGGTTTCTTTACAGTAATTTCGGTAGCAGTTTCCTCTGTAACAGGTTTTTTCTTTGGTTTCCTTTTTAGCGTGACTTCTTCAGAAATTTTTTCTTCTTCATCTTTTCTTTCTTCAACGATTGGTTTCTTAATTGTCACTTCATCCGCAAATTCCTCTTTAACCGGCTCTTTTTCAGGTTTCTTTATTTCCACTTTCTCAGAAACTTCTTTTGGTGCGTGTTCTTCTTCTTTCAAAACAGGTTTCTTTACAGTGATTTCGGCAGCAGATTCCTCTGTGACGGGTTTTTTCTTTGGTTTCCTTTTTAGCGTGACTTCTTCAGTAATTTTTTTCTTCATCTTTTCTTTCTTCAACGATTGGTTTCTTAATTGTCACTTCATCCGCAATTTCCTCTTTAACTGGCTCTTTTTTAGGTTTCTTTATTTCCACTTTCTCAGAGACTTCTTCTGGTGCGTGTTCTTCTTCTTTCAAAACAGGTTTCTTTACAGTAATTTCGGTAGCAGTTTCCTCTGTAACAGGTTTTTTCTTTGGTTTCCTTTTTAGCGTGACTTCTTCAGAAATTTTTTCTTCTTCATCTTTTCTTTCTTCAACGATTGGTTTCTTAATTGTCACTTCATCCGCAAATTCCTCTTTAACCGGCTCTTTTTCAGGTTTCTTTATTTCCACTTTCTCAGAAACTTCTTCTGGTGCGTGTTCTTCTTCTTTCAAAACAGGTTTCTTTACAGTAATTTCGGTAGCAGTTTCCTCTGTAACAGGTTTTTTCTTTGGTTTCCTTTTTAGCGTGACTTCTTCAGAAATTTTTTCTTCTTCATCTTTTCTTTCTTCAACGATTGGTTTCTTAATTGTCACTTCATCCGCAAATTCCTCTTTAACCGGCTCTTTTTCAGGTTTCTTTATTTCCACTTTCTCAGAAACTTCTTCTGGTGCGTGTTCTTCTTCTTTCAAAACAGGTTTCTTTACAGTAATTTCGGTAGCAGTTTCCTCTGTAACAGGTTTTTTCTTTGGTTTCCTTTTTAGCGTGACTTCTTCAGAAATTTTTTCTTCTTCATCTTTTCTTTCTTCAACGATTGGTTTCTTAATTGTCACTTCATCCGCAATTTCCTCTTTAACCGGCTCTTTTTTAGGTTTCTTTATTTCCACTTTCTCAGAGACTTCTTCTGGTGCGTGTTCTTCTTCTTTCAAAACAGGTTTTTTACAGTAATTTCGGTAGCAGTTTCCTCTGTAACAGGTTTTTTCTTTGGTTTCTTTTTTAGCGTGACTTCTTCAGAAATTTTTTCTTCATCTTTTCTTTCTTCAACAACTGGTTTCTTAATTATCACTTCATCCGAAATTTCTTCTTTAACTCTCTCTTTTTTAGGTTTCTTTATTTCCACTTTCTCGGAAACTTCTTCTGGTACATGTTCTTCTTCCTTCGGAACTGATTTCTTGACAGTAATTTCGGCAGCAGTTTCCTCCGTGACGGGTTTTTTCTTTGGTTTCTTTTTTAGTGTGACTTCTTCAGTATCTTCTTTGGGTGTTGCTGAAATGACATCTGCTTTCTTGATTGGATATTCTTCTTTACCCTCTTCTTCAGGTTTATCTTTCTTCCAGCCTTTCAAAGTTATTGTTTCAGGCTCATCATCCGGTTTTTCTGAGGTTGGTATTCGAAACTTGACTTTGGGTTCTTCTTCGGGCTCTTGTGGCTTTGGTATGCCCTTTATTAATGGAATCTGTTCAACATCTTGCTCAGGTTGCTTTTTCTTAGGTCTTTCATATGGTTTTGAAATAGGTTCTGGTTCTGGTTTCTTGGTTATTTCGATATCTTCAGGTACATATTTTTCAATTTCTGGTCTATCAAATTCTAATGGTTTGAATTCATCATATGCAAACGTTTCTTTAGGTTTTTCGTCTTTTTCCTGTTGTACATCTTCTATGGATTCTTTCTTTTTAGATTTCTCTTTAGTTTCTATTAATTCTTCTGGTTTCTTTTCAGGTATTTTTTTTAACTTAACTTCTTCTGGCACAGATTTAGGTTCTTGTTTTATTTCACCTTTTCCAATAATAAGTTTTTGTGGTTCTTCAGGTGTTTTTTCCGGCTTTTTAGGTGTTCGTTCGTAAATAGATTTATCCTCTATTTTTTCTAGCGGTACTTTCTTCAATTCTTCAAATTCTTGATCTAATTTTTCTAATTCAGTTAATTCTTTCTCTATTATTTTCGGTTTTTTATATTTTTTCTTTAAAACTTGTAAAGCTTCTTCTGTATTTCTAGATAAAATGCCAGTTTGTACCGTATTCTTTTCTATATATGTAATTTTTGGCACTTGTATTTCTGGCGGATAGTCACCCACGAATGTGATTCGGCTACGTAACATGATTTTAGGAAATATTGGTTCGCTAATTTCTTTTTTCTTAACCACTGTTACTTTTTTCAATTTAATTGTACCGAACTGAACTGGTTCTTGGGCTTGTTCAATATATTTTAATTTTGTAGGTTTGATTTCTTTTCTTTCAATCTTTTGCGGAACCAATTTTTGCACAGGTTCAGGTAATGTTTCCTTTTCTTTCTTCTTTTTTGTTGGCTCCCACTGAATTTTTTCGGGCATTGGTTCTAATACAGGTCTTTCATATTCAGGTTCTACCCAATCGTCTATATCATCTTTTTTTACAGGTTTCTTTTTCTTTTTCTTGATAACTTTCTTTTCTTTCACTTTTTCAATAATTTCAGGTTCTATAGATTCTTCTTTTTCAATAGAAACAATTTTTTCGTCTAATTGTTTAACTTCTTTTATTTCTACGGGCTCCGTTGTCTCTTTTTCGAATTTATCTTTAGGTTGTTTCTCTTCTGAAATATCTTTAATTTTATATTCAGGAATCTCTGGCGTTATATTCACAATTTTATCTACTTTTGTTTCTTCTTTTTTAGGTTTCGTTGGTATTATTTCTTCTGCTAATTTCTCAGTAGCTTTAGTAATTTCGATACTTTCAATCGGCACAACACTTGGTTTTGCTTTCTTTTCAGATGTTCTTTCTACGGTGAGTTCGTCAGGTACAGTTTCAATCGTTACTTCCGAAATGTCGATACTCTCCTGTAAAATTACATTCTTCTTAGCCTTTTCTTTCTTAGGTTCTTTCAATTTTATTTCTTCTAATGTTTCATCCGGTTGATCTTCTTTTATTTCCATGGCTTTTGTCAAAAGAGGTGCCTTTTTTACAGGTACTTCTGTTAATATTATATCTTTTCTTGTCTCTTCTATAGGTATAGCTTGCTCTTCTTGCGGTCTTTCGTATGTATCAAGTGTGCTAGTTGCTATACCAGAAACAATTTCGGTAGTCTCTACCTCTTCATTTGAAATTATTACTTTTTCTGCTTCTTTCTCTATTGGTTTTTCTGAAATAATGTCTTCAACTATTTCTTCTTTGATTTGTTGCTCAGTTGCATGTCTTGGTTTAATCTTTTTAGGGGCTTTCTTTACAGCAATTTCTTTTATTTTGATTTGTGATTCTGCACTCTCAATTGGTACCGCTGTTTCTTCCGGTTCTATTTTTTCAGAAAGTTTCTCAGTGGTTGTGGTCGAAATTTTTTCAATTACTCTGAGTTCTTCTTTTGGTATAATAATCGATTGTATTTGTTCTTCCATTGGTTTTTCACTTATTATTTCTTTAGTAATCTCGACAGTAACTTCTTCCTGAATAGGAATTGTGCTTGTTTCTACTTTTAAAACTTTCTTTAAAACATCTTTTTCTTCTTCATCTTTGCATACTACAACTTCTTTTAGTTTAGCTTTATCTTCTGTGAGTTTGGTAATGGATGATTCAGTTAAGATCTGCGTTATTTCAATACTTTCTCTTGGAGAAAACATAGTTCGAGCTTGTTCTTCTTTAGGTTTTTCTATAACAATTTCTTCAACAATTTCTTCCGGTACATTATCATCATAAGTTTCTGCCTTTTTTCTTTTAACAATTTTCTTTTTTGGCGTTTCAACCATCGCTTCAGCCATCTTTTTCTCTGGCATTTTAACTGCTGCTTTATGTATATTAACTTCTGTGACATCAACTGTTTCTTGTATTTCTTCAATGACAGTTTTAGCCTTTTCTTTCTTTGGTCTGTCCATTACAATATCTTCTACAGCTTCTCCCAAAACATCTTCAGCTTTGGTTAAGTGCTTTTTCTTCTTAATTGTTTTAGATATTCTTTCTTTATCTTCTGGTACATCTTTGACATCTACTCTCAAAACTTTCACAGATTCTTCATCCAGCAAAAGAGTTCCTTCATTTTCTGTTGTTTCCGTCACTATTTCTTTCATGATATTTTCAGGAATTTCATATATAGCTTCAGGTTGCTGTAAAAAAAAATAATAATTTAATTACAAATATCAAACTATACATTGAAATAAGTAAATTCATATCAACTTGACATACCTGATACAATCTTCTCTCTACAGCATCTGTAAAATAAAAACACATTAAATTTGGTCATAAAAATGTGTGAAATCGAATAATATAAATAAAATGACTACATTTCAGCAAGAAAAATATTATGTTACTGTTATAGTGTTACGGTGCATTAATGTAATGTAAATAATAAAGCTGTTTTCATGTTTTAAGTATAAAAATATGTTCAAAAATTAAAATGATTAACAAATTATTAACATACAACTGAATATCCAAATTAAAAGAAACAATAATCAAAAAGCTTACCTTCCAATAATTCTTTACTATCTATATGTTTAGTCATTCTTGTATGTTTTAATTTTTCGTGTATTTCCGGTGTAGTGTCAGCGTAAAGATAACATGTGTCTTTCCCTTCAGTATCAGAAATATGAATTATTACATCCTCATCACAAAGAATCGCAAATTTAAGTTGTAGTAAAGGCAATACAGCCTCTTCAACAATTTCTTCTACAGGTCCCTCTGTAATCGTTGTTACAGGAGATTTTCCTTTCTCCTCGACAATTACTTCTTCCGTTACTTGCTGCTTCTTTCCTTTACGTTTTATAATTTTCTTTCTTATTATTTTCTTTGGCCTCTTGCCGTCCACAACCTCTTCCGTTACCGTGATTTGCTCTCTTATCTCCTCCTCAACAGGTTTCGCAAATTCAATTTGTGGTAAAGGCAAAATTGTCTCTTCAACAATTTCTTCTACTGGTCCTTCTGTAATACTCGTCACAGGAGATTTTCCTTTCTCTTCGACAGTTACTTCTTCGGTTACTTGTTGCTTCTTTCCTTTACGTTTTATAATTTTCTTTTTATTATTTTCTTCGGTTTTTTGCCTTCAACCTTCCACTGTGACTTGCTCTCTATCTCCTTTTCGACAGGTTTCGCAAATTCAGGTTGCGGTAAAGATAAAACTGTTTCTTCAACAATTTCTTCTACAGGTCCCTCTGTAATCGTTGTCACAGGAGATTTTCCTTTCTCCTCGACAGTTTCTTCGGTTACTTGCTGTGTTTCCTCTACGTTTTATAATTTCTTTTTTGTTACTTTCTTCGGTTTTTTGCCTTCAACAACTTCCACTGTGACTTGCTCTCTTATCTCCTCTTCTTCGACAGGTTTCGCAAATTCAGGTTGCGGTAAAGGCAAAACTGTTTCTTCAACAATTTCTTCTACTGGTCCCTCTGTAATCGTTGTCACAGGAGATTTTCCTTTCTCCTCGACAGTAATTTCTTCCGTTACTTGCTGTGTTTCCTTACGTTTTATAATTTTTTCTTTATTATTTTCTTCGGTTTTTTGCCTTCCACAACTTCTTCCGTTACTGTGACTTGCTCTCTTATCTCCTCTTCTTCGACAGGTTTCGCAAATTCAGGTTGCGGTAAAGGCAAAACTGTCTCTTCAACAATTTCTTCTACTGGTCCCTCTGTAATCGTTGTCACAGGAGATTTTCCTTTCTCTTCGACAGTAACTTCTTCGGTTACTTGTTGCTTCTTTCCTTTACGTTTTATAATTTTCTTTTTTATTATTTTCTTCGGTTTTTTGCCTTCCACAACTTCCACTGTGACTTGCTCTCTTATCTCCTCTTCTTCGACAGGTTTCGCAAATTCAGGTTGCGGTAAAGGCAAAATTGTCTCTTCAACAATTTCTTCTACTGGTCCCTCTGTAATCGTTGTCACAGGAGATTTTCCTTTCTCCTCGACAGTTACTTCTTCCGTTACTTGCTGCTTCTTTCCTTTACGTTTTATAATTTTTTTCTTATTATTTTCTTCGGCCTTTTGCCTTCCACAACTTCTTCCGTTACTGTGACTTGCTCTCTTATCTCCTCTTCTTCGACAGGTTTCGCAAATTCAGGTTGCGGTAAAGGCAAAATTGTCTCTTCAACAATTTCTTCTACTGGTCCCTCTGTAATCGTTGTCACAGGAGATTTTCCTTTCTCTTCGACAGTAACTTCTTCCGTTACTTGTTGCTTCTTTCCTCTACGTTTTATAATTTTCTTTTTATTATTTTCTTCGGTATTTTGCCTTTCACAACTTCTTCCGTTACTGTGACTTGCTCTCTTATCTCCTCTTCTTCAACAGGTTTCGCAAATTCAGGTTGCGGTAAAGGCAAAATTGTCTCTTCAACAATTTCTTCTACTGGTCCTTCTGTAATACTTGTCACAGGAGACTGTCCTTTTTCTTCAACAGTAACTTCTTCCGTTACTTGTTGCTTCTTTCCTCTACGTTTTATAATTTTCTTTTTATTATTTTCTTCGGTTTTTTGCCTTCCACAATTTCTACTGTTACTGTGACTTGCTCTCTTATCTCCTCTTCTTCAACAGGTTTTGCAAATTCAGGTTGCGGTGAAGGCAAAATTGTCTCTTCAACAATTTCTTCTTCAGGTCCCTCTGTAATCGTTGTCACAGGAGATTTTCCTTTCTCTTCGACAGTTACTTCTTCGGTTACTTGTTGCTTCTTTCCTTTACGTTTTATAATTTTCTTTTTATTATTTTTTCGGTTTTTTGCCTTCCACAATTTCCACTGTGACTTGCTCTCTGATCTCATCTTCTTCGACGGGTTTCGCAAATTCAGGTTGCGGTAAAAGCAAAATTGTTTCTTCAACAATTTCTTCTACTGGTCCCTCTGTAATCGTTGTCACAGGAGATTTTCCTTTCTCCTCGACAGTTATTTCTTCCGTTACTTGCTGTGTTTGGCCTCTACGTTTTATAATTTTTTTCTTTGTTACTTTCTTCGGTTTTTTGCCTTCCACAACTTCTTCCGTTACTGTGACTTGCTCTCTTATCTCCTCTTCTTCGACAGGTTTCGCAAATTCAGGTTGCGGTAAAGGCATAACTGTCTCTTCAACAATTTCTTCTACTGGTCCCTCTGTAATCGTTGTCACAGGAGATTTTCCTTTCTCTTCGACAGTAACTTCTTCGGTTACTTGTTGCTTCTTTCCTTTACGTTTTATAATTTTCTTTTTTATTATTTTCTTTGGTTTTTTGCCTTCCACAATTTCTACTGTAACTTGCTCTCTTATCTCCTCTTCTTCGACAGGTTTCGCAAATTCAGGTTGTGCTAAAGGCAAAATTGTCTCTTCAACAATTTCTTCTTCAGGTCCCTCTGTAATCGTTGTCACAGGAGATTTTCCTTTCTCTTCGACAGTAACTTCTTCGGTTACTTGTTGCTTCTTTCCTTTACGTTTTATAATTTTCTTTTTTATTATTTTCTTCGGTCTTTTGCCTTCAACAACTTCCACTGTGACTTGCTCTCTTATCTCCTCTTCTTCGACAGGTTTCGCAAATTCAGGTTGCGGTAAAGATAAAACTGTTTCATCAACAATTTCTTCTACAGGTCCCTCTGTAATCGTTGTCACAGGAGATTTTCCTTTCTCTCGACAGTTATTTCTTCCGTTACTTGCTGTGTTTGGCCTCTACGTTTTATAATTTTTTTCTTTGTTACTTTCTTCGGTTTTTTGCCTTCCACAACTTCTTCCGTTACTGTGACTTGCTCTCTTATCTCCTCTTCTTCGACAGGTTTCGCAAATTCAGGTTGCGGTAAAGGCATAACTGTCTCTTCAACAATTTCTTCTACTGGTCCCTCTGTAATCGTTGTTACAGGAGATTTTCCTTTCTCTTCGACAGTAACTTCTTCCGTTACTTGCTGCTTCTTTCCTTTACGTTTTATAATTTCTTTCTTATTATTTTCTTTGGCCTCTTGCCGTCCACAACCTCTTCCGTTACCGTGATTTGCTCTCTTATCTCCTCTTCTTCGACAGGTTTCGCAAATTCAGGTTGCGGTAAAGATAAAATTGTTCTTCAACAATTTCTTCTACTGGTCCCTCTGTAATCGTTGTCACAGGAGATTTTCCTTTCTCTTCGACAGTACTTCTTCCGTTACTTGCTGTGTTTGGCCTCTACGTTTTATAATTTTTTCTTTATTATTTTCTTCGGTTTTTTGCCTTCCACAACTTCTTCCGTTACTGTGACTTGCTCTCTTATCTCCTCTTCTTCGACAGGTTTTGCAAATTCAGGTTGCGGTGAAGGCAAAATTGTCTCTTCAACAATTTCTTCTACTGGTCCCTCTGTAATCGTTGTCACAGGAGATTTTCCTTTCTCTTCGACAGTAACTTCTTCGGTTACTTGTTGCTTCTTTCCTTTACGTTTTATAATATTCTTTTTTATTATTTTCTTTGGTTTTTTGCCTTCCACAACTTCCACTGTGACTTGCTCTCTTATCTCCTCTTCTTCGACAGGTTTCGCAAATTCAGGTTGTGCTAAAGGCAAAATTGTCTCTTCAACAATTTCTTCTTCAGGTCCCTCTGTAATCGTTGTCACAGGAGATTTTCCTTTCTCTTCGACAGTAACTTCTTCGGTTACTTGTTGCTTCTTTCCTTTACGTTTTATAATTTTCTTTTTTATTATTTTCTTCGGTTTTTTGCCTTCCACAACTTCCACTGTGACTTGCTCTCTTATCTCCTCTTCTTCGACAGGTTTCGCAAATTCAGGTTGCGGTAAAGATAAAATTGTTTCATCAACAATTTCTTCTACAGGTCCCTCTGTAATCGTTGTCACAGGAGATTTTCCTTTCTCTTCGACAGTTATTTCTTCCGTTACTTGCTGTGTTTGGCCTCTACGTTTTATAATTTTTTTCTTTGTTACTTTCTTCGGTTTTTTGCCTTCCACAACTTCTTCCGTTACTGTGACTTGCTCTCTTATCTCCTCTTCTTCGACAGGTTTCGCAAATTCAGGTTGCGGTAAAGGCATAATTGTCTCTTCAACAATTTCTTCTACTGGTCCCTCTGTAATCGTTGTCACAGGAGATTTTCCTTTCTCTTCGACAGTAACTTCTTCCGTTACTTGCTGCTTCTTTCCTTTACGTTTTATAATTTTCTTTCTTATTATTTTCTTTGGTTTTTTGCCTTCCACAACCTCTTCCGTTACTGTGACTTGCTCTCTTATCTCTTCTTCGACAGGTTTCGCAAATTCAGGTTGTGGTAAAGGCAAAATTGTCTCTTCAACAATTTCTTCTACTGGTCCCTCTGTAATCGTTGTCACAGGAGATTTTCCTTTTTCTTCGACAGTAACTTCTTCCGTTACTTGTTGCTTCTTTCCTCTACGTTTTATAATTTTCCTTTTTATTATTTTCTTCGGTTTTTTGCCTTTCACAACTTCTTCCGTTACTGTGACTTGCTCTCTTATCTCCTCTTCTTCGACAGGTTTCGCAAATTCAGGTTGCGGTAAAGGCAAAATTGTCTCTTCAACAATTTCTTCTACTGGTCCCTCTGTAATCGTTGTCACAGGAGATTTTCCTTTCTCTTCGACAGTAACTTCTTCGGTTACTTGTTGCTTCTTTCCTTACGTTTTATAATTTTCTTTTTTATTATTTTCTTTGGTTTTTTGCCTTCCACAACTTCTACTGTGACTTGCTCTCTTATCTCCTCTTCTTCGACAGGTTTCGCAAATTCAGGTTGTGGTAAAGGCAAAATTGTCTCTTCAACAATTTCTTCTTCAGGTCCCTCTGTAATCGTTGTCACAGGAGATTTTCCTTTCTCTTCGACAGTTACTTCTTCGGTTACTTGTTGCTTCTTTCCTTTACGTTTTATAATTTTCTTTTTTATTATTTTCTTCGGTTTTTTGCCTTCCACAACTTCCACTGTGACTTGCTCTCTTATCTCCTCTTCTTCGACAGGTTTCGCAAATTCAGGTTGCGGTAAAAATAAAACTGTTTCATCAACAATTTCTTCTACAGGTCCCTCTGTAATCGTTGTCACAGGAGATTTTCCTTTCTCTCGACAGTTATTTCTTCCGTTACTTGCTGTGTTTGGCCTCTACGTTTTATAATTTTTTCTTTGTTACTTTCTTCGGTTTTTTGCCTTCCACAACTTCTTCCGTTACTGTGACTTGCTCTCTTATCTCCTCTTCTTCGACAGGTTTCGCAAATTCAGGTTGCGGTAAAGGCAAAATTGTCTCTTCAACAATTTCTTCTACAGGTCCCTCTGTAATCGTTGTCACAGGAGATTTTCCTTTCTCTTCGACAGTAACTTCTTCGGTTACTTGTTGCTTCTTTCCTTTACGTTTTATAATTTTCTTTTTTATTATTTTCTTCGGTTTTTTGCCTTCCACAACTTCCACTGTGACTTGCTCTCTTATCTCCTCTTCTTCGACAGGTTTCGCAAATTCAGGTTGCGGTAAAGGCAAAATTGTCTCTTCAACAATTTCTTCTACTGGTCCCTCTGTAATCGTTGTCACAGGAGATTTTCCTTTCTCCTCGACAGTAACTTCTTCGGTTACTTGTTGCTTCTTTCCTTTACGTTTTATAATTTTCTTTTTTATTATTTTCTTCGGTTTTTTGCCTTCCACAACTTCTTCCGTTACTGTGACTTGCTCTCTTATCTCCTCTTCTTCGACAGGTTTCGCAAATTCAGGTTGCGGTAAAGGCAAAACTGTTTCTTCAACAATTTCTTCTACAGGTCCCTCTGTAATCGTTGTCACAGGAGATTTTCCTTTCTCCTCGACAGTTATTTCTTCCGTTACTTGCTGTGTTTGGCCTCTACGTTTTATAATTTTTTTCTTTGTTACTTTCTTCGGTTTTTTGCCTTCCACAACTTCTTCCGTTACTGTGACTTGCTCTCTTATCTCCTCTTCTTCGACAGGTTTCGCAAATTCAGGTTGCGGTAAAGGCAAAATTGTCTCTTCAACAATTTCTTCTACTGGTCCCTCTGTAATCGTTGTCACAGGAGATTTTCCTTTCTCTTCGACAGTAACTTCTTCGGTTACTTGTTGCTTCTTTCCTTTACGTTTTATAATTTTCTTTTTTATTATTTTCTTCGGTTTTTTGCCTTCCACAACTTCCACTGTGACTTGCTCTCTTATCTCCTCTTCTTCGACAGGTTTCGCAAATTCAGGTTGCGGTAAAGGCAAAATTGTTTCTTCAACAATTTCTTCTACTGGTCCCTCTGTAATCGTTGTCACAGGAGATTTTCCTTTCTCTTCGACAGTAACTTCTTCGGTTACTTGTTGCTTCTTTCCTTTACGTTTTATAATTTTCTTTTTTATTATTTTCTTCGGTTTTTTGCCTTCCACAACTTCCACTGTGACTTGCTCTCTTATCTCCTCTTCTTCGACAGGTTTCGCAAATTCAGGTTGCGGTAAAGGCAAAATTGTTTCTTCAACAATTTCTTCTACTGGTCCCTCTGTAATCGTTGTCACAGGAGATTTTCCTTTCTCTCGACAGTTACTTTCTTCCGTTACTTGCTGTGTTCGGCCTCTACGTTTTATAATTTTCTTTTTTATTATTTTCTTCGGTTTTTTGCCTTCCACAACTTCCACTGTGACTTGCTCTCTTATCTCCTCTTCTTCGACAGGTTTCGCAAATTCAGGTTGCGGTAAAGGCAAAACTGTTTCATCAACAATTTCTTCTACAGGTCCCTCTGTAATCGTTGTCACAGGAGATTTTCCTTTCTCCTCGACAGTTATTTCTTCCGTTACTTGCTGTGTTTGGCCTCTACGTTTTATAATTTTCTTCTTTGTTACTTTCTTCGGTTTTTTGCCTTCCACAACTTCCACTGTGACTTGCTCTCTTATCTCCTCTTCTTCGACAGGTTTCGCAAATTCAGGTTGCGGTAAAGGTAAAACTGTTTCATCAACAATTTCTTCTACAGGTCCCTCTGTAATCGTTGTCACAGGAGATTTTCCTTTCTCCTCGACAGTTATTTCTTCCGTTACTTGCTGTGTTTGGCCTCTACGTTTTATAATTTTCTTCTTTGTTACTTTCTTCGGTTTTTTGCCTTCCACAACTTCTTCCGTTACTGTGACTTGCTCTCTTATCTCCTCTTCTTCGACAGGTTTCGCAAATTCAGGTTGCGGTAAAGGCAAAATTGTCTCTTCAACAATTTCTTCTACAGGTCCCTCTGTAATCGTTGTCACAGGAGATTTTCCTTTCTCTTCGACAGTAACTTCTTCGGTTACTTGTTGCTTCTTTCCTTTACGTTTTATAATTTTCTTTTTTATTATTTTCTTCGGTTTTTTGCCTTCCACAACTTCCACTGTGACTTGCTCTCTTATCTCCTCTTCTTCGACAGGTTTCGCAAATTCAGGTTGCGGTAAAGGCAAAATTGTTTCTTCAACAATTTCTTCTACAGGTCCCTCTGTAATCGTTGTCACAGGAGATTTTCCTTTCTCCTCGACAGTAACTTCTTCCGTTACTTGTTGTTTCTTTCCTCTACGTTTTATAATTTTCTTTTTATTATTTCTTCGGTTTTTTGCCTTCCACAACTTCCACTGTGACTTGCTCTCTTATCTCCTCTTCTTCGACAGGTTTCGCAAATTCAGGTTGCGGTAAAGGCAAAATTGTCTCTTCAACAATTTCTTCTACAGGTCCCTCTGTAATCGTTGTCACAGGAGATTTTCCTTTCTCTTCGACAGTAACTTCTTCGGTTACTTGTGTGTTCTTTCCTCTACGTTTTATAATTTTCTTTTTTATTATTTTCTTCGGTTTTTTGCCTTCCACACTTCCACTGTGACTTGCTCTCTTATCTCCTCTTCTTCGACAGGTTTCACAAATTCAGGTTGCGGTAAAGGTAAAACTGTTTCATCAACAATTTCTTCTACAGGACCCTCTGTAATCGTTGTCACAGGAGATTTTCCTTTCTCCTCGACAGTTATTTCTTCCGTTACTTGCTGTGTTTGGCCTCTACGTTTTATAATTTTCTTTTTTGTTACTTTCTTCGGTTTTTTGCCTTCCACAACTTCTTCCGTTACTGTGACTTGCTCTCTTATCTCCTCTTCTTCGACAGGTTTCGCAAATTCAGATTGCGGTAAAGGCAAAATTGTCTCTTCGACAATTTCTTCTACTGGTCCCTCTGTAATCGTTGTCACAGGAGATTTTCCTTTCTCCTCAACAGTTATTTCTTCCGTTACTTGCTGTGTTTGGCCTCTACGTTTTATTATTTTCTTCTTTGTTATTTTCTTCGGTTTTTTATTTCCACAACTTCCACTGTGACTTGCTCTCTTATCTCTTCTTCTTCGACAGGTTTCGCAAATTTAGGTTGCGGTAAAGGCAAAATTGTCTCTTCGACAATTTCTTCTACAGGTCCCTCTGTAATCGTTGTCACAGGAGATTTTCCTTTCTCCTCAACAGTTATTTCTTCCGTTACTTGCTGTGTTTGGCCTCTACGTTTTATTATTTTCTTCTTTGTTATTTTCTTCGGTTTTTTACCTTCCACAACTTCCACTGTGACTTGCTCTCTTATCTCTTCTTCTTCGACAGGTTTCGCAAATTTAGGTTGCGGTAAAGGCAAAATTGTCTCTTCGACAATTTCTTCTACAGGTCCCTCTGTAATCGTTGTCACAGGAGATTTTCCTTTCTCTTCGACAGTAACTTCTTCGGTTACTTGTTGTTTCTTTCCTCTACGTTTTATAATTTTCTTTTTTATTATTTTCTTCGGTTTTTTGCCTTCCACAACTTCCACTGTGACTTGCTCTCTTATCTCCTCTTCTTCGACAGGTTTCACAAATTCAGGTTGCGGTAAAGGTAAAACTGTTTCATCAACAATTTCTTCTACAGGACCCTCTGTAATCGTTGTCACAGGAGATTTTCCTTTCTCCTCGACAGTTATTTCTTCCGTTACTTGCTGTGTTTGGCCTCTACGTTTTATAATTTTTTTCTTTGTTACTTTCTTCGGTTTTTTGCCTTCCACAACTTCTTCCGTTACTGTGACTTGCTCTCTTATCTCCTCTTCTTCGACAGGTTTCACAAATTCAGGTTGCGGTAAAGGTAAAACTGTTTCATCAACAATTTCTTCTACAGGACCCTCTGTAATCGTTGTCACAGGAGATTTTCCTTTCTCCTCGACAGTTATTTCTTCCGTTACTTGCTGTGTTTGGCCTCTACGTTTTATAATTTTCTTCTTTGTTACTTTCTTCGGTTTTTTGCCTTCCACAACTTCTTCCGTTACTGTGACTTGCTCTCTTATCTCCTCTTCTTCGACAGGTTTCGCAAATTCAGATTGCGGTAAAGGCAAAATTGTCTCTTCGACAATTTCTTCTACTGGTCCCTCTGTAATCGTTGTCACAGGAGATTTTCCTTTCTCCTCAACAGTTATTTCTTCCGTTACTTGCTGTGTTTGGCCTCTACGTTTTATTATTTTCTTCTTTGTTATTTTCTTCGGTTTTTTACCTTCCACAACTTCCACTGTGACTTGTTCTCTTATCTCTTCTTCTTCGACAGGTTTCGCAAATTTAGGTTGCGGTAAAGGCAAAATTGTCTCTTCGACAATTTCTTCTACAGGTCCCTCTGTAATCGTTGTCACAGGAGATTTTCCTTTCTCTTCGACAGTAACTTCTTCGGTTACTTGTTGTTTCTTTCCTCTACGTTTTATAATTTTCTTTTTTATTATTTTCTTCGGTTTTTTGCCTTCCACAACTTCCACTGTGACTTGCTCTCTTATCTCCTCTTCTTCGACAGGTTTCACAAATTCAGGTTGCGGTAAAGGTAAAACTGTTTCATCAACAATTTCTTCTACAGGTCCCTCTGTAATCGTTGTCACAGGAGATTTTCCTTTCTCCTCGACAGTTATTTCTTCCGTTACTTGCTGTGTTTGGCCTCTACGTTTTATAATTTTTTTCTTTGTTACTTTCTTCGGTTTTTTGCCTTCCACAACTTCTTCCGTTACTGTGACTTGCTCTCTTATCTCCTCTTCTTCGACAGGTTTCGCAAATTCAGGTTGCGGTAAAGGCATAATTGTTTCTTCAACAATTTCTTCTACTGGTCCCTCTGTAATCGTTGTTACAGGAGATTTTCCTTTCTCTTCGACAGTAACTTCTTCGGTTACTTGTTGCTTCTTTCCTTTACGTTTTATAATTTTCTTTTTTATTATTTTTTTTGGTACTTTGCCTTTACAACTTCTTCCGTTACTGTGACTTGCTCTTCTATCTTTTTTTCTTCTGGAATATTTTTATTTGTTTTTGTTAATTTCAATTTTGTTGGTGATATTTCATCCATTTCTTCAATTTTTGTTGGTATTATTTCTTCTATTCCTTGCATTTCCGATACTTCTTCGATATGCATAAATTGCTTTTTTGGTATTGTTGGTATTTGTGATTTTATGTTTTCGACTTCTTCTTCTATTACAACAACTTTTTCTTCTGATTTAATTTTTGGTTTCTTTTTCGAATTGTTGTTTTCTTTGTTTTAATTGCTTCTGTTTCATCGTCTTTACTTCCTCGTCTAAATTTAGTAGTATATTCTTCAGTTATTTCAGTATCAGAATCAATTGATGGTTGTTGTGTTGTTTCGTGTTTTGTTATGTTTTGTGTAATTGTGATGTAATGTTGTTGAGTTGTTGCTGCAGTAATTTCTGAAATGTATACAGAACAATAGTGGCATGATTAAGTTGTTGTGTATTATGTGAATTTGTTTGCGTTATTTGCTTCATGACGTTTAACTTCTATTCAGCGTATTAATAATTGTAATCTAACATTTTTTAACTATTATTTAACACTCTAAAGTCGAGGATTGGCTTACCTCGTTTTATGTTATTATTAGCTGTAAATTTAACATGATAAATGGGGAATATTTTTTTATTTAAATGTGAATGTATGTTGTATTTTGTGATCCTAATTTGTTGATAATATCGATTATGTTTGATTTTGTATCTAATTGCTTGTTGTACTTACCTTAGACAATTTTCATGCGTAATGTAATGTTGATTTTTAAATTTATTAATCCATATTTATGTCATCGTCAAAGATCAATAATTTCATCAGACATGGTTTTTTAGAATGTTAATAAATCTAATCTAATCTGTCAGGTTTGTTTGATTTGTTAAATATCATCGATCATGGTCATTGTGTCGCATAAAGTCGAGTTTTCCTAAACGTCGCGTCTGATTTATGTCAAAAACAATCATTTTACCTTTAGAAGAGTAATACTCACCCACATTTTTTCCAAGTAGTCGGCTTCGATAGATGTGCTCGCTAACTTTGCTAGTGGTTTTACGGGCTCGGGCAGATTTGATTCAATTTCACCAACGGATTGTAGTTCGGTAACAATCACACTCTGTTTCTCATCTTCTATTCCGTGAGCCAGTTTAGTCTCTGGTTTTGTGATAATAAATTCTGATGCTATGTTTTCCGGAATAATTTCAGTTTTTAGAGCTATCTTTTGTTCAATAATGTCAGGTTGCGCGTTTATTTCTTTTGCTATATCTTTTATGACTTCCTTTGATTCTTTTTCCGTTACGGTTACTTGCAGAACTTCAACACCTTCGGAAACACGGAATGAAACTTCAGCCGTTGTACTTGGTACTTCTTTATCGATAATAAGCGATTGTTCACTTTCATGAGGAATGGACTCCATCTGTTGTATACTTTCAAATGGTATTTGTCCTGGTATTATTTTCTTTACTTCCGGTTTAGCAGACTGTTTTATATCTTCTGTTGTTGATGACGCAATGACTTGAGACTTTTCAGCGACATGCATACTCAGCATACTCGGTTCAGCTGTCTGTTTTGTTAATTCTGTTAATCCTTTCGCGACATCTTCAGTTTCTTTTTCCGTTGCAGTTATTTGCGTAACTTCAACACTTTCGGAAACACGGAATGAAATTTCAGCCATTGTATCTGACACTTCTTTGTCGAGAATAAGCGGGCGTTCATTTTCATGAGGAATCGATTCTGATTGTTGTATGCTTTCAAATGGTATTTGTTCCGGTATTATTTTCTTCATCTCAGGTTTAGTAGACTCTATTATTTCCTTTGTTGTTGACGACGTAATCACTTGAGACTTTTCGGCAACATGCATACCCAGTATATTCTGATCAGCTATCTGTTCAGTTAATTCTGTTATCCCTTTTACGACATCCTTTTCTTCCTTTTCCGTTGTGGTTACCAGGATAACTTCAACACCTTCGGAGACACGGAATGTAACTTCAGCCGTTGTACTTGGTGTTTCTTTGTCGAGTATAAACGAGCGTTCGCTTTCATGATGAATCGGCTCCATTTGTTGTATACTCTCAAATGGTATTTGTTCAGGTATTATCTTTTTCATCTCAGGTTTAGTAGACTCTATTATTTCCTTCGTTGTTGACGATGTAATCACTTGAGACTTCTCGGCAACATGCATACCTAGCATGCTCGGTTCAGCTATTTGTTCAGTTAATTCTGCTATATCTTTTACAACATCCTTTGCTTCCTTTTCTGTTGCAGTTACTTGAATAACTTCGACACTTTCTGAAACACGGAATGAAACTTCAGCTGTTGTACTTGGTACTTCTTTGTCGAGGATAAGCGACCGTTCGCTTTCATGATGAATCGATTCTATTTGTTGTATACTCTCAAACGGTATTTGTTCCGGTAATATCTTCTTCATCTCAGGTTTAGCAGATTCTATTATCTCTTCCGTTGTTGATGACGCAACTACTTGAGATTTCTCGGCAACATGCATACCGAGCATACTAGACTCAGCTGTTTGTTTTGTTAAGTCCGTCAATCCTTTCGCGACATCCTTTGCTTCCTTTTCCGTTGCAGTTACCTGAATAACTTCAACACCCTCGGAAACACGAAATGAAACTTCAGCCGTTGTACTTGGTGCATCCTTGTCAAGGACAAGTAATTGTTCACTTTCATGAGGAATCGATTGCATTTGTTGTATACTCTCAAATGGTATTTGTTCCGGTATTATTTTTTTCATCTCAGGTTTAGCAGATTCTATTATCTCTTCCGTTGTTGATGACGCAACTACTTGAGATTTCTCGGCAACATGCATACCTAGCATGCTCGACTCAGCTGTTTGTTTTGTTAAGTCCGTCAATCCTTTCACGACATCCTTTGCTTCCTTTTCCGTTGCAGTTACCTGAATAACTTCAACACCTTCGGAAACACGAAATGAAATTTCAGCCGTTGTACTTGGTGTATCTTTGTCAAGGACAAGTAATTGTTCACTTTCATGAGGAACCGATTGCATTTGTTGTATACTCTCAAATGGTATTTGTTCCGGTGTTATTTTCTTCATCTCAGGTTTAGCAGACTCTATTATCTCTTCCGTTGTTGATGACGCAACTACTTGAGATTTTTCGGCAACATGCATACCTAGCATGCTCTGCTCAGCTATCTGTTTAGTTAATTCTGCTATACCTTTTACAACATCCTTTGCTTCTTTTTCTGTTGTAGTTACTTGAATAACTTCAACACCTTCGGAAACACGAAATGAAACTTCAGCCGTTGTACTTGGTGTATCCTTGTCAAGAACAAATAATTGTTCACTTTCATGAGGAATGGATTGCATTTGTTGTATACTCTCAAACGGTATTTGTTCCGGTAATATTTTCTTCATCTCAGGTTTAGCAGACTCTATTATCTCTTCCGTTGTTGATGACGCAACTACTTGAGATTTTTCGGCAACATGCATACCTAGCATGCTCTGCTCAGCTATCTGTTTAGTTAATTCTGCTATACCTTTTACAACATCCTTTGCTTCTTTTTCTGTTGTAGTTACTTGAATAACTTCAACACCTTCGGAAACACGAAATGAAACTTCAGCCGTTGTACTTGGTGTATCCTTGTCAAGAACAAATAATTGTTCACTTTCATGAGGAATGGATTGCATTTGTTGTATACTCTCAAACGGTATTTGTTCCGGTAATATTTTCTTCATCTCAGGTTTAGCAGACTCTATTATCTCTTCCGTTGTTGATGACGCAACTACTTGAGATTTTTCGGCAACATGCATACCTAGCATGCTCTGCTCAGCTATCTGTTTAGTTAATTCTGCTATACCTTTTACAACATCCTTTGCTTCTTTTTCTGTTGTAGTTACTTGAATAACTTCAACACCTTCGGAAACACGTGAAACTTCAGCCGTTGTACTTGGTGTATCCTTGTCAAGAACAAATAATTGTTCACTTTCATGAGGAATGGATTGCATTTGTTGTATACTCTCAAACGGTATTTGTTCCGGTAATATTTTCTTCATCTCAGGTTTAGCAGACTCTATTATCTCTTCCGTTGTTGATGACGCAACTACTTGAGATTTTTCGGCAACATGCATACCTAGCATGCTTGCTCAGCTATCTGTTTAGTTAATTCTGCTATACCTTTACAACATCCTTTGCTTCTTTTTCTGTTGTAGTTACTTGAATAACTTCAACACCTTCGGAAACACGAAATGAAACTTCAGCCGTTGTACTTGATGCATCCTTGTCAAGGACAAGTAATTGTTCACTTTCATGAGGAATCGATTGCATTTGTTGTATACTCTCAAACGGTATTTGTTCCGGTGTTATGTTCTTTTCTTCTGGTTTAGTAGATTGTTTTATATCTTCTGTTGTTAATGATGCAATTACTTGAGATTTCTCAGCAACACGCATTCCCAGCATACTCTGCTCAGCTGTTTGCTTGATTGGTTCCTCTGGAGTTAATAGTCCCTTCTCCATTTCACTGTAAGCTACTTCGGAGATTGATAGTGACATCAATTCTTCTAAATGTGGTCTGCCTTTATGTTCTTGAATAATTTCTGATTTTTCAAGTTCTTTGACATTGCTCATTGGTAAAATTTCTAAAGTTTCTGCGACTTCTATACTAGATACTTTTGGCAGAGCTGTACGTCTTTTTGGAGTCTCTTGACTTGACAATTCTTGTTCTGCTTCCGTAGAAATTACTTCAGACACAGTAATAAAACTCATCTCTTCGATATTTGGTTTTCCTTTTTGGCCATCCTTTTTCTTTATTTCGGGTATTTGTTCAACGCTGCTGGCAATTATAATTTCTGTTTTCTGAGCTATCTCCCTTCCCGAGAGACATGGCGCGGCTTTTTTCTCATCTAATTTTTCCGTGCTCGGTAATTGCTCCTCTGTTTCAGTAGATATTACTTGAGAAACCATCAATGACGAAAATTCGTCTACGTGTGGTTTACCTTTTTGTTCTTCTGGACTTTTGGGTCTCAAAAATTCTTCAACATTCGTAAGAGTGAGCACTTGAGAAGTTTCAGCAATTTCTCTACCGGACATCATAGGTATTGCCGTGAGTATACTGGGTGCATCAGCTTTCTGAAAAATGTTTTCTGTTTCATGAGGTAGTACTTGAGATACAGTCAGTGAGGATAATTCTTCTACTGTAAACTCTCCTTTACGTTCACTGGGTGTTATATGTTTTAAAAGTTCTTCTGTGCTCATCATCGTTAAAATTTGACTTGTTTCAGCTATATCTCTACCAAATAAATTGCTTTGCGCAATCTTTTCTGTAGGTACTTCTGGGCTAGGCAACAAAGCTTCTGCTTCATTGGAAACTGTTTGTATTATATTTAATGATAATAACTCCTCGAGATTCAGATTTCCCTGTTGTATCTCGGGCTTTCGATCTTCAACAAATTCATCTACATTTGATACAGTTGTTACTTCCGTAGTCTCAGCTATATCTCGACCATATAGACTTGTTTGCGCCGTTTTCTCAATTGGTATTATGGGACTAGCAAGGATATTTTCAGTTTCTTGTGATTCTATTTGTGAAACTGTTAAGGACGTAAGTTCTTCAATACTAGGCTTACCTCGCCGTTCAATTTCTTTTTTAGAGACAAGTTCTTCGGTACTGACCATTGTTAAAACCAATGTAGTTTCAGCGATATCTCTACCGAACAAATTTGGTTGAGCTGTTTTTTCTTTAGGAAATTCTGCGCTAACTAATGTTTCTTCAGTTTCGTTAAAAATGACTTGTGAAATAGTCAGCGAAGTTAATTCATCTACTTGTCGTTTACCTGTCTGTTTTTCTGGTGCTTCTGTAGTGAGTTCATCGATCTCAGATAATGCTGTTACTTGAGTTGTTTCAGCGACTTCTCTACCAGAAATACTGAAATCAGCTTTATGATCTTTTGGAACAGCCTTGCTAAGTAAAACGTCTTCAACTTCATTAGAAATGATTTCAGAGACAGTCACGGACATTAATTCTTCAAGTTCCGGTTTACCTTTTTCTTCGTTTAATTTAGCTTTCATAAGATCTTCAGTTGTGCTCGCTGTAATTACTTGAAGAGTTTCCACAGCTTCTCTACCAGTTAAATTTGGTTGTGCTTGTTGTTGTTTTGGTGTGACAGTTTCAGGCAAAATGTTCTCGATTTCATTAGAAGCTATTTCGGTAATTACAACTGTAGTAAGGCCCTCGAATTGCGGCTTACCTTTTTGTTCTTCGGGTTTAAATTTGCCCTCAAATGTGTCTTCTTTTTCAATTGGTGTTGTTTCGGATTTCACTATTGTTTCCATCGTGGTTTGAATCATGGTTGCTTGAGAGGAAAATGGTTTCTTCTCGTAGAGTTCTCGAGTACTTTGTATACTCTCAACGAAAGAACCTTCAATAGTTTGGAATAGATCGATATCCGGCGTAGCTTTGACTTCATTTCCTTTTGAAATGACATCCAATGTTTCTTCTTTGTCTTCAGTAATTATTTCCGAAATTTGTAACGATTTTATCTGTGGTATATCAATATTTGCTTTTTGTGTTACAGGTTTAAAAAGACCTTCGAAATCTTTTTCACTCTCTTCGACAAGATTTTCGTTGACAATGATGCTTTCAAACGTATCTTGAGTTGGCGCAGCCACTTGAGGTGCTAAAATACGATCAGGAATTTGTTCAGGTACATCAACTCGTGATTCCACCATCACAGTTTCTATGGTATCGCATTCAGTGACGATAGTGGGAACAGCTGTCCGTGACATTTCGTGTTTCTTCTCCTCCAGTGACATTTCGACTTCACCCGATGTTACTTCTGTAATAAATATGCCATGACCCTCTTCAAATGTTGGCACAGCTGTACTGGATATTGTCTTCGGATATTTGTCAAAGATACCTTCACTTTCCGCGCTTGGAACTTCTTCGATGACAATTGGTTGTAATGCATCTTGTTGCAAGTGAGCTTCTGCTAAAATCTTTTCGAAAGGTTTAACCAAGCCGGTATTTTGCTCGATAAAAACTTGAGCTTTTTGAGCAATATCCATGCCAAGCTTTGTTAATTTTACCTCAGCCATGCTCTCTTCATATTTTGGAATATTTATTGTGTCTTCTTTGTCCTGCGTTACAACATGAGCCACGGTAATACTTTTTCCTTCTACAAAACTAATATCAGCACTACGTTTATCAGGTTTGAATTTGTCCATAAAAATCGTACCTTGCTCCTGAGAAATCGTTTCACTAATATCAATACTTTCTAGAGTAGATTGCGTTTGATGTGCTTCATATGTAATTGGTTTTAATGTTGCGGGTAGTTCTTCGAGTCCCTCGCGTAAATTAATTTCCATTCGTTCAGCTACTTCTTTGCCTTCCATCGAAAGATTAGCCGTCTCTTGATGTAGTTTTTTTGCAATAAATTCTTCTTCAACATCTTGGGTAATAGTAGATTCCGTAATAGCGATGAATCTATTTTCATCTAAAACAACATGTGCGCTCATTTTTGTCAATGGTATTTCCTGAATCTTATCCACTTCTCTTTCTACAGGGACTTGTTCGGTCAATTGTACTGTCTCGAAAGGTTTTTGTCCGATTAATGCGGTTGCTTTTGTCGGTGCTGCGATCTCGCTCATTTCGCCTATACTTGAATTAAGAATTATTTCAGACCTTTCGGCAACTTCATGACCAGGAATAATAACTGACAAGGCCGAGTGAGATCTATCTTCTTGTATCATTTCGAGGGGAGCTTCTTTGTCAGCCATTTTAATTTCCGTGATGGAAGTAACACGCTTACCCTCCTCCACAGACCATTCTACGTTGTGTGATTCTGGTATGAATTTTCCTTGGAAAGATTGTTCTCGATCTTGAATCATGCCTTCGGTCACTAAAAGACTTTGACATACTTCTTGTGTAGGTAAAACTGTTTTAATATCCGGTTTTTCTATCATGACTTCTCCTACAGAATGTTCAATATCTATTGCAATTGTTTCGGCTATACCATGAATGGCATCAACTCCGAACGAAGCTGCGTGTTTACGCGGTTGCTCCTCGACGACATATGGCGATTCTTTGTCCGCAGTTGTCACATGCGCTATACTCACGATTGCCTTACCTTCTTCCATGTCAATATTTACAGTTTTATTTTTTGGCATTAACGGCGATACAAATTGTTCTTCTTCTTCCTGAATAACAGGCTGTGATTCCACTAATGGATTAAAGACCACATGATCTGAAATTGCGACGGCAGTTTCGGGTGTTTCACTGACAGCAATCTCACCAGTACTAAAGTCAGGAATTTGTATCGTCGTTTCGGCGACGCCGTAGGTTTCAATTAGATTTTTCTCTGCTGTTTTCGGTTTTGGTGTTTCCTTTGGCTTATATTCGATTTCTTTGTCCTCCAAAATTACTGAAGATACTTGTAGACTTTTTTCCAATATCATGGAAAGATCAGCTTGAGCCATGGATGGTACTTTATCTTTTCCGAGTACAGCTTCCACTTCTGTTGGTTGCGTTTCTGTTTGTACTACTGCCTCTAATGGGATATTCGAGAATATGGCTGAAACAGAAATCGGTCTCGTTTCTGTCAATTCTCCCGTGCTAGAATCTGGAGTGACTTCGCTTTTCTCGGCGATTATGTGTCCAGTGAATTGAATATCCGCTCTTTTCTCTGCAGGCCTTTCGGAAATTCGGAGAATGTCTTCCTTTTCGGCTAAAGTTTCAGTAGACATAGTGGCGCTAATAATTTCATCGACAGATATCTGGGCCGTATCAGTTTTAGCAGGTTTATCCTTGAACTCTATTTCGGTTTCTGTTACAACAGTTTCGCTTTGAACGATACTTTCAAACGGCAAACGTTCTACTTTTGCCGCTGCGCTCACTGGTGCTTTCACAATAAGATCTCCTGGATAAGTGGCTGGTGTAATTTCTGTGAGTTCGGCAATTTTATGAGTATCGAAGCTAGTAGTAACTTTTTCACCAGGAATATCTGGTTTCTTCAAATATTCTCGCTCCTTGTCAGATGCAATCGTTTCAATTACCATTACGCTTGTTTTTTCCTCAAATAATATGTCGACTTTCTTCTTATCTGGTTTCACGAAATCAAGCATCGGTTTTTCCGAATCTTCAATTGATGTCTCAGATGCAACAATACTACGATGAGTAATATGTTCGGTCGTTGCCGTTGCTGAGATCGTTTCTTCGCGTTTTAATTCACTGACGTTATCGGTCGCAGTTATCTCAGCAGCTTGCGCCACTGTATGAGCGGGAATATCGAATATAGCAAATTTAGATTCCGGTTTTTCCGTTTCTGTAAGCACACCTTCCTTGTCCTCCGCCGTAACAGATAAAACAACAAGACTCTCGCCAGTTATATATTCAAGATTAGCTACTTTTTCTGACGCTGGTACGTAAGAAAGAGGCTTCTCGGTCTCTCTTGTTTGTACTTCTTCAGCAATAGCTGTTTCAAATGGCAATAATGTCGTCTTAGGACGTACTTCTTGGGTGGACACGGTAGATAACTCGGTTGGAGCAATGTCGCTAATAATCTCATATTTTGATGCTAAGTTTTGCGTTACCACATCAACTGTAGCTTCAGCGGTCTTTGGCGCCGGTTTTTCACTAAGTACGTCTTCTTTGTCTTCGGGGTGTGTAATCGCAATCGTCAAACCTTCTCCCTCTTGGAAAATAATGCCAATTTTTTGGAATCGGGTTTTACATCCGTTGTTAAAGGAGATTCTTTTTCGGATATTGATATCTCCATCTGTTGTACAACTTCCAGTCCGCTTTGCAACTGATTGGCATTTTCCTTGTTTGGCTTTTTCTCTTCCAATTCGCTTATATTGCTAGCAAGAATCATCTCTTGCGTCTGAGCTATTTCATGGCCCCCCGTTACGTCTAATACAACCTTTCGTTTGTCTGGTAACTGTTCCACTGGCAATTCCTCCTCCTTCAATATAGATGTTATCTCAGTAACAGTCAATTTTTCGGATCGAGCGCATATCTCGACTGCGGCGTTCTGTTCAATAGGACGCATATCTTCCTTCCTCATTTGTTCCGCTTCACCAACATTTGTTTCTGTTACTATTAATTCTTCCAGAGCCTCTTGCTGTAATATCGCTTTGCTCGATTTCGGCAAATCGCTACTTATTTTTCCGGCGCTCTGTTCCACTAAGATTTCTTCTTTTGATGCGACGGTATGACCACTTATAGACGATTCAATTGTGTGAGCCTCCGGTCCAACATCTGGCGTGTAAATATTTTCGAAATCATGTGGAATTATCTCAAGAATGCTAGCGCCAGGTCTTGTCTCGGTGAGTTCAATATTAGCTATTTTTCCTTCGGGTCTCATGTCCGTCTTATAAATTTCTTCTTTCTCCGCAGTTTCTTGTACAGTGACGCTTACAGTCTCTATAGGAACGTGAGATGTGTATGCTTTTCCGCTCACAGGTTTGCTTTCTATTAAATACTCTTCAGTTGGCGACTCTGTTCTCACTTGTTCACATACTGGAGCCACTTGCGTCATATATTCAGTATTTGCGAATGCACCTTTAATATCGGCCGTTTCGACATATTCAGTTTCCTTCTCGTTCGCAACAATCATCGTGGTATGTAAACCTTCGATCTGATCCATCGAAACTATTGCAGTTCTAATATCAGGACTCTTATCTTTTTCGTCGGAGCTACATCTTCTGCCACGACAGTCTCGCCAACGATTGTTTCTTGCAGACTGACCGCTTCAATTTTAGCTGTGGCGATCGATAAAGTTTCTTTGACAACTTCACCTAGATTACTCTCTGGTTGAGTTTCCTGAACTTCGAGCGAGATCATTGGATGAGTAGGTACTGTTTTGCCACGATGTGATTCAGGCATCTCGAAGATTTTCAACTCGGTCTCTTTCTCTATAGAAGTAGTTTGCGATATTTCGACACCTCTAATAGCATCATACACCATCTCAACCATATGGGTTTCCGGTTTAGCATCCTCCTCTATAGTAGCTTCTCGATCGTGAGCAAATGTTTCGAGTACAGTTTTCGCTTCCGTCAATTGAACAGATACAACACCGCTCTCCGAAACGTATTTGAGTATATCTTTTAGATCTCCGGGATAATCTGCGGTTTGAATTTGAGATATTAAAACGTGTTCTTCCGGTCTAATCGAAGTCTCCGCCAATGCTTCGAATGGTTTTTGATCAATACTATAGAGTCCTTCGGATTCTTGAACAATTGTATCTGTTATAGAACCAATCTCCAATGGCGATATCGATGTGACAGCCAATTTAGTAGCGGGTTTATCCTCAGGATGATAATCCCGTTCCCTTTCAGAAGTTAAATTAGTCTCCACCGTTATGGCTGACATTTCAACGATATTGAAATCTGCTGTGATCTGTTTACTCTCTTCAATCGTTAAATCATCTTCCTTTTGTTGCGTATCGATTGTCAAAATCGTAACACCTTCCAGAAGAGTGACATTCGGCATAGCTTCGAAAGAATCTATCTTACGATCGGGAAGGTATTCACCTTCACGCTCCTGCACAAGGTCGTGATGAATAACAGCAATTTCATTTCCGTATGAAATTCCGATCTGAGCAGTTTGACTTGGCGGTAATCTACCCGGGATGTACATTCCTTCCTTTTCAGGCGCGTTCATTTCTTCGGTAACACGTTGCTTTTGTGAAATCACTGTTTCAGTGGCGATTTCAGTGGGTACTATCAACTCCGGATAATATTTTCCTGGCTTATCCTCGGGACAAACTTCTTCCACAAATATTGGTTCCATCGCGCTGATATTAATTCGTGGTTTTGTAGGCACCGTTTTCTCGGGCTCCAATTTCTCTTCAGTCAAACCTTCCTGTACTTCATAAACCAAGAGTTCTATTTGTGGTAAAATGGTATCCTCTGCCTTAACGGCTAAGGGTGTCACGAAATTTTCAGTAGGTATTTCACTCTGATTGACTATAGTCTCACTAATAGTTGTAGCTTCCTGTACGGTGATCTGCATATCTGCTTTTCGACTAGTTTCTGATTGAGTCAGAGTTAAATTCGATACATCGTCGTCGTGCGTTAATGTTTCACTAACGACAAGACTTTCTTTTGTTATTATAGAAGGCGTAGCTTCGTAAGAAACGGCTTTAAAAGTACCCAAAAATTCATTAGTATGTATCTGTGCGGTAGTTTCCGTAGTAGAATATGGTTCTATCGACGAGATTGATATCGATGCTTTACGTTCAGCTGGTTTGACACTTATCACTTCATCAATCTCTTTCTCGTGTACTGATGTTGTTTGTTCTGTTAACGCAATAACAGTGTCCAAAGTATATTTTGCTTTTTCCGATTCGGGTTTGCCAGGTGCTTGCTCAATTGTATAATCTAGAGGTACCACTTGATTACGTTGACTAGAGACATTCAAAGCAATAGATGGCACTGATTTATCTTTTATTACTTCAAATTCTTCTATCTCTTCCAGTTGTATCTCGTCTTTACCAGTGTCTGATTTTTTTGGCACTAATGTCTTTCTAACTTTTTTAATAATTTCTTCTTCCTCTATTACGTCTTCCTGTTTTTCTACGTCTTGTTTTTGTTTACGAATCAATCTGCCTTTCGCATCCCGTTCAAGTTCAATAATTTCTTCCTCTTCTGTTACGTCTACTTGTTTTTCTATGTCTTGTTTTTGTTTACGAATCAATCTGCCCTTTGTATCCCGTTCAAGTTCAATAATTTCTTCTTCGATTTCTTCCACATCCTTTTTCTTTCCTTTTCAATCTCTTCAATCTCCTCAATTTTTACAATTTGAACCCCCTCTTCCCTATCTTGTGTTGTTTCTTCGATCTGATCTCTTGGTTTCCTATCTTTGCGTTTGCGCAGTGTTGTGTGTGCCTGCCGTGTGTCCTCGTATTCTGTGGAAAGTATGTGAGAATTTTGTGTCAGACGTGAGTGTTGCGTGATGTCTTTAGATTTTTGCTTGTTCTATCTTTCATTCTCTCTTTCATATCATCATTCAAAAAGATAGACACACATACATACATATCTTTCGACACACACACACGCACGCACGCACGCACGCACGCACGCTCTCTCTCTCTCTCACTCTTTCTCTCTTTCTTGAATTTTATATATTTCGTGCCATGATTAAAGAGCGCGTGTTTGATTGCGATATGAACGTGCTTAATAAAAAATAAGTACAATTGTTTGAGTTTTTAGATATGTGTAAAATAAATGTGAAAATAATTTAGTAGAATGTATAACATTATGAACTTTTGGATTTTGCTTATACCGTTTTATATCGAACGAAATATCGATAAAGGTATATAACTTACATTTCAAAACACAATTGACGTAGCGCGAGTAAACATTGCAAAGCGTTGATTTCGAAGCTGACATGGAAAATAGCTGATTAAAATGTAACGAAGGGAAATACTATAAAAGATAAGAGAAAATATAGGATTTGTAGCGCGTGGAAAGCATAGCGGCATAAGCGGAAAACCCGCAGCTATTATTTGATCAAGTAAAGCTTCATGCATCTGAAAGCATAGTAAAAATAATTATTACAATAGCCATAAATATCATATTTTATGATCACAGTATACATTCTTTGTTCTTTTTTTATGAACTTATATTATTATACTTTTATAGATAATGTTAATATAATATTTTACAAATATATAAAAATATTCAAATATTTAATTTAAGTTTCTATGAAATTAATACTTTTGATTTAAAAGATAAATTGACGAGTATCACTTTGTTATATAAAATACCATTAATGGACACCCTTATATCCATCTAAAATCAAATTAATTAAAATTACGAATATATAATTGTGACATTAACTGTATACTAATTCAAAATGATAGAATGTATATAAAATTATGGCAAAAGCATTGCTCGTTAGCGAGAGCTAATGAATGATTCATCTAAATGGTAGACGACTAACTTATTCTTATACATTGAAACTTATTTTTCCGAACCTTCAATTTCTCGAATATCCTGTGTGTGAGTGGCTTTTCTTTCGTCTCTTCTCTCTGTAATTAGAAAATTCTTATTTTTTAGAAAATTTAAGATTTATGTATGAAAAAAATACGACATATATGTATGTATGTAAAATATTTAAAATGAGTCGTGAATAAAATTTGCTAATATTATTGTTATCACATAATAAATAAACTAAAGCACACCTAAAAAATAATTGCTAATTTGTTGAAAAAAAGTTTTAAATAAATATAAATTTTTGTAAGTATTAAGAATTTGCGACCTTCATAAAAAAACACAACTTGCAATTTCGGCTTACCTAGGAAATGAACTTCCGTTTTGCGAACAATATCCACTCTTTCTGTAGCATGTTGTTCAGTATCGATCTAAAAATAATTAAAAGATTATTTATAAATGCAATATGTTATTAAAAAATAGATAAACTTAGAGAAAGAAAGAAAGAGAAAGAAATCTTCAAAGTTATAAATTTAAATAATATTTGCACTATGTCCATACCTCAGAAGCTTCCGTAACTTCCCAAGCACGTGGCCTGAAATCTTCCGGAGCAAAGTGCGTGATGACTTCTTCTACAGTAGCATGCTGAAGTTCGACCATCCTCATGAAAGCACGAAAACCGACTGTCGCCGCGACAAAACTTTCATCGGTCGTCGTCTCCTCGGTAAGCACTTGAGTAATCAAAGGACCGTGACCTTTTCTTTCCACTAGCTGAACCAAAGCATTTTGAGCATCGGGCGTTTTTAAAGCGGGAAAGATTTCAGTCCTGTAAAGGCATTCGTTGATCTCATTTACAGAGACACCTTGTCGAACAAGATAACCAATCGTCGCCAGTTCCCGAAGAGGAGACTCTCCGGGCCAAACTCTTTCGCGTCAAGTACTTCCATTATTTCATCAACTTCGCGAGCTATGTTTTCCTTTTGTCGCTCCACAATCTCTTCTACGGTAATATCTTCTTTAATTTTTTCCACTTTTACTTTCTTCGCTTTTTTCTGTTTTGTTTCTATACGTTTCGTTTCTTGCACACTTCGTTCTGTGTGCGTTTCGGAGACTGACACTTTTTGCAAAGTTTCTGAAGTAATCTGAGCACGATCGAGCTTTGTTTCGATGGTGAAATCGGGAGCAGTATCCTCGCTCATAATTTCTGATACAACGACACTTTCCCTCTCCTCAACAATTCTTTTGGCACGTTCTTCAATTTTAGGTATGTCCTCTCGTGGTTTTTTATCATCAATTTTTTTCAAAGAAGCTGTTGCTTCAGTTACAACTGGTTCTTGGATCGGTACTATTCTTTGTGCTCTAGAAATCTAAAATAAGAAAAAATAAATAAAATAGCAGTTGCATAAAGTTTTATAAAAAGTATTTTAATTAGGAGAAATTATAAAAATTACATATTCTAATACCTCCTCGGGTTTCTCTTTTATGATTTCTGTAGTTTCCAATAGTTGAGTTTCTTCGACATCGACAATTCTCCTAAAAGTATAAAAAAATAAATATAATTTGTAAATAAGATAAATCGAAAAATCAAATAGAAAAAAATGTATTGAAGACGATAAATATAGGATATTAACTTTTCTTCCACTTGTTCTCTCGGTATAAGTTTCTCTTCAAAGATTTCTTCCTTTTCGATTTTGATACGTTCAGCCTTTACTTTTTCTTTGATTTCCTTTGCTTTCTTTAACTCGGGCTTCTTTTTTTTGTGCAGTTTCTCTTCTTGTTTTTTCGGCTTTGTATCCAGTTTTTCTTCCTCTTTTATTACATCGTCTGACACTGAATCACTTATAGTATCAACATGTAGTTTAGCTTTAGTTGTTATCATGCCAATTTCACTGGTAGCTTTACAAACATATGTAGCATCGTCTTCTCTGGTGCTTCGCTTGATCGTTAGAGTGGTCTTATTTTCTTGTTCGAATATACGTACCTTCACATTTTCTGTATTCATTAAAAGCTTATCGTTCTTGTACCAAACAATATCTAGAAATTGAAGAAATAATTAATTAAAAGTTTTATATTTGAGTTTCACAATATTTGCATATTTGTATAACAATTACCTGGTTTGGGATTACCAGAATAAATACATTCAAATATAGCAACATTTCCTTCTTTTGTATAGACATCCGTTATCTCTTGAATAAATCGTGGAACAGCTTGCGTGGCTGAAACATTATAAAAGGCTAATGTTAAGTTAAAAACTCTCAAAAAGAAAATAGGCACAATGCACTCAAATGCCTTACCTAATTTTGTGTTTGGTACCAAGATTACTCGTAACCTCATGTCAGTAGTCTAGTTAGATAAAAACACACAAAAATCATGCATGGTTATTTTGTAAATGGTACGTTTCTGTTATTAGTTTAAATAAAATTCTACCTGACATCGTGCCTCTTTCGTCGTCAGTGCAATACTCGCTATAAAATACTTCGGATGTGAATGCGTTGCTCGCCAATCCAAGATTTCCGCATTGACTTTCAAGTAGCAAGAATTCTTGCAATTCTTCTTGACTATCCGCTGTATGTAATTGCTGAAAATATTCTAACTCGATTTCTCTCGGTTCCAATGGAAACATTCGCGGGTCCATGGCATAATTCTCAAATTGTCGTTCCTTAGCGTTTTTTAAGATTGGAATCCTAGACTTAGGATATGTATGATATTTTCTTTTATAATTATAAATCGGTTTAATTACAGGTTCTTCAGAAATGGTCCTATTTATTTTAGTATTAAAATTTTGATTTTTCATGCTTGGTGTTTCACTTTTTTTTTCGTTCGATGATAAATAAAATGGCAATTTCGGACTGTTTGAAGAAGTGATCACTCCAGCATCCGAGTGTTGTTGAATTTTTTTCTCGCATTTTGAGGGCGGAAATTCATTGAAGTCAAGAACATTTTTTTTTTCTTGGATTCTATCGATATGACATTCTGTTCCTTAAATGTATCTTCACATTTAAAAGAGTCGAGACTTGTGAGCAGTTCGTTGATAATTTTCTTCTGAGCAATATATTTTGTTTCGATTGGAAATGATTGATTTGATGCGCTTGATATTTTTGATATATTTTGCTTATTTTCTTGATATTTTACTTTCGAAGTTACCACGTTTTGTACATCTAAAATCGAAGAAATATCTTCCTCCTTCTTCTCTAATAAATCAGATGCTATTGGAGAATCAGATGCTATTTGCTTCTTCTGAGAAGCATCAATTTGCCAAGAATACTGTATCGAAGCAATACTTTTTTCAGTCCCGAAAGAATCCGAATATCTTCTCGATAAAAATTCTTGTGAAGTAAATTCATCCTCATCAAAAGGCAATTTGCTGTCGTCGCCAATATTCATTAATGTTTTTGTTGATGAAAATTCGCTGATCATAGTCGAGCTATCTCTTTGAGAACTTTCATCTCTTAATGCATGATCATCCAGACTGTCGCTCGAAAAACTGCACTCTGTATCACTCGGCATGCAATTGATCACGTCCAGATGATGAACGCGATTCTTACCTTTTAAAGCTTCTTGCATTTTTTCCATCTGTGTGACCCATTCTGGTTTCCGATATTCTTTTGTGCCCAGTATACCTAGCCAATAAAATGACAGATAAGAATCGTATAGCGAATATACAGCGAATCTCTCTGGCCAACATTAAGTAGAAGGATTTGACCAAAGACATTCATAGACTTGCATAGATTATGCAATAGAGAAAACAGAAGACAGTGTAAATTGAGATTGCGAGTGTTTTGGTGTGGATGATGTAGGATATAATGTAGGATAATCAGTGGGTTTTTATCCACCAAGGTATACCAGGATGCTATAAAGCTTCGATGACGCTTCTCCGCGTGAAGAGCGTAACTGAAAAGAACTTGGCTTAAGCAGATTAGTATAAAGTTTTTGGAATCTATAAAGAAGAGAACGTTACCTTCTACTGATAAATACGTCATCGTGGTCGACACACCAAGCGGATTGTGCGCTTCGAATACAATTTCACCAGTGTCATCAGGGAAAGTTTCGGCGATCGTTAGCACCGACGTCCCATCTTCAAATTCCTCAATTTGAAATTCTTGTGATGAGACAATTTCTACGCCTTGCTTATACCATTTTCCTTCTGGTTTCGGTTTACCTTTCACTTTTACTTCCAATCTGTACAAAAAGATACAGCAATATTACACATAAGCACATATTTTTTTTTATTTTATATATACATTATATTTTTATTTTATATATATATATATAAAAATTAATGTTAAAAATGATTATTGTTTGCTAAATATGTTTTAAACATACCTAGTTAATTCCCCGTCTTTGGTAGGAATCAACTGAGGAAGCTCTTTAATTATTTCCGGTGCAGATTCTTCTATATCAATATCAAAGATTGGAGTTTCCTATAGAAAAAATAAATTTTAATACTGATATCTAATGTATTAAATATAACTTTATATCGTCGGCTATTCTTACTTTTGGAGATAGAAGATCTTCCTCTGATCCTGTGGTTAGAGATGTTGCGACTATTGAAGATGCAATTTCCGAGTCAGGAACGTATTCGTAAGCTGCATTAAATTAGATTGTAATACAATAACAGATAAAAACAGACGAATAAGCCGGTAAATTACGGCTATTTGTGACAAATGATATACCTTCAACGACAAGAGATGATGTGCAGACAGCCTCGCCAACAGGATTTATAGCATGACAGGTATATTCTCCAGCATCTTCTGGGAATACTTCGGTAATGGCTAGGCTGCAGACACCTTCCATATCTTGGATAATCGTAATTTCTTTGCCTTCTTTGATTGGTTTGTCATTATGATACCACTCTACCCTGGGCGTTGGTCTTCCTTCAACGACGCAAGTTAGATTAACACTCTCGCCATCCATAACTCTTACAGGTGAGAGTCTCTTAACAAATGTAGGCGAAATTAATTCAACTGCTTCTTCCCATATTGTTTCTGTAATGTTAATGTTGGCTGTACAAGTGACCGAGCCACCAACATTTTCAGCACGACAGGTGTAACTACCAACAAGTTCCGGTGTGACTTGTTTCATCATTAAAATCGATCGATTCTCTTGAGTTACGATTCTCACCTGCGCCGTTGACTGCAACAAAAAGATTATATTCTTTATTAGTTTTATGAGGTTCTGGGAGAAACGCGTAATACGTTTTTTGTGTAAGACAGTTATTTTCAATAAACATAACAAATAATTTAAAATAATTTTATTTATAAATATAATTAATTTAGAATTAATTTTAGAAAAATTACCTCAAGAGGTTTGGTTTCATGGAACCATTGAAAGGATGCTGTCGGATATGATTCTACTTGTGTTTCCATGATAACAACTTCTCCTTCTGCAACGAGTTGAGGTTGAATTGGTTTTACAAACATCGGTGCTTTTACTTCGCTTGTGGTGTCTTCGCGATCCTTGATGGTGACAGAACTCGAACTTCTCGCTTCGCCGACTTCATTCTGGACTCTGATCTCATATTTGCCACTATCTTTCTTTGTTACATCAGATATAATTAATTCGGCTGTACTTTCGTAAACATTTATCTTGCGCTTATCAGTCGGCGTAATTTCAATACCATTGCGGAACCACTTGACTTCCGGTTTTGGTGTGCTCTCAAAATCAGCTGAAAGCTTCAGAGGCTTACCACGTTCTGCTATAAGCGCTGGTAAAGGTCGCGTAATTTGTGGTGCTCTAAGAACAATCGGTTTGCTTACTTTAACAATGTTACTGATCACTAAATTAGCTCTGCATTCAGCGCGACCGTATTTATTCACAGCACGAACACGATATATTGTTTCATCTTGAGGCGTTGGTTCCAAAATTTGCAACTGAGCCTCTCCAGTTGTTGGATTAAAAGTAATCTCGGTCCTTTCGTCTGGTCTTACTTCTTTTTCACCGCGATACCATTTCACTTCCGGTACTGGTGTGCCGGTGACAACACATTCTAATAAAGCAGGTGTGTGCTCTTCGATCATTAACGGTTTAATCGGTGTTGAGAAATGTGGTGCTATGCCTTCCTCTTCTTTTTCTGAAAAGATAAATGTCATGTTATGCATAAACGTAAAAGAAGTATAAATATCCAAGCAATCATACTATTTAAAAAGGAAAAAAACAACACTTTAATAAAAAATAGGAAGCATATAATTTATTCCTTCATAATGTCACGTAATTACTGGAAAATAAAAATTAAAAAATACTGGAAAAAAAAAACAAATATAATCAATAATGTCATTAATAAAATATGCAATACATTAAGCACATATTTATTTCGAGTTTGTTATTTCGCAAATTATTAATTTATTTATATTTATAAAAGAGGGGATAACATTATTAACTTATTAATTTTAAGAATTTTATGTGTGTACGTAAGTGATAAAGGCATTCAATAATAATTTATGGAAGTAAATAATAATTTATGAAAAAACATGCATCTTATTTGTGGCAGATAAAAATTTCACAAAAATTTATAAATATTAGTATCTCACGACGATTTTATTAAGATTTATTATTTTTTTATTATAGAGATCTTTAGTAGAGCAAGATTAAAGATGTCAAAAAATCAATTAAATTTTTAAATTTAAATTGATATAACAAACAAATACAAGTAAAAAAACACTTTATGTTCAATAATATTACTACCGAATATCACAAGATTGACAGTGGATGTTGCCACCCCAGCCGGATTAGATGCTCTGCAAGAATACATTCCAGCATCTTCTTCTTTGACTTTTGTTATTTCTAAAGTTGCTGTTGTTTCAAATATAGTCATTGTATACTTTTCGCTAGCATGAAGTTCTTGCTGATTTTTATACCATGAAATTTCGGGGAAAGGATTTCCTATGACCGTGCATGTAAATTTAGCAGGTTTCTCTAGCTCAGCGATAACAGGCTGTAATTTTTGAATAAATCGTGGAGCAATAGTTTTGTCCTTATCTATAATAGATATGTCAACTTGAGTACGTTGTCTACGTTTTCTCTTACGGTCTTCTATTTGTGTAACATCTGTACTAATTTCTAACTTTACATCTTCAACAATCTCTTCGATTTCTTCAGTTTTAGTAACCTCGTCTTTCTTTTCATCAATAATAGGAACGATTTCATCAGGAATTTTTTCCTTTTTCTTAGCTTTTGTTTTAATTGTTTTAATAATAGTTTCATCTTTCTCTTCTGACACTTTTGCTATTTGTTCCTCAAATAATATGGGTTTTAAATCAATAATTTTTTCTTCCTTAGGCTTGTCATCCGTTATCTTTTCTTTACTTATTTGTTTTAATTTAATTTCTTCCACTACTTCTTCCTTCTTTACTTTCTTTTTTATCTGAACCGGTTTTAATTGAATTGCACTCTCTTTAATTTCTTCGGGTAATTTCTCATCTTTAACTGGTAGTAATATTTGTTCGTCGAGTTGTTTAATTTCTGATTTTGATTCTATCACTTGTTCGATAGGCTTTAATACAACTATTTCTTTTTCTTCTTCCTTTTTGACTGGTTCTTGTTTCTTTCTTCGCCATGAAACTTCGCTTGTTGAAATTATCTCTTCAGTGATTTTATCTTCTTCATGGGATGGCACGGATTCTATTTTCTTTTCAATCTGTCTTTGAGTTTCGGTTGCAATTATTGTTTCTCTCTCTTCAGAAATCTCTACAACCGATTCTTCTTGATCTATTGGTACTATCGTAACTTCATCTTTAAAATCAACGACTTTTTTTGTTCGTTTACCACGGCGCCAAGAAGCCGTTGTTATCTCTGTCGGTTTGTCCTCAACAAATTTATCATTTGTCTGTTCTGGTACCATTTCAGGTGTAAGTTGTAACTTCATCTCCTTAGATTTTTTTTCCTCTACTGGTTTTGTAAGAATTTGTTCTTTTGTTTCTTCTTCTCTAGGAAGCTCTTTAACAAGTTTTTCCACAATCTTCTCCTTTTTCACTGGTTTTAAATCAATCTGTTCTTTGGCTTCTTCCTCCTTAGGAAGTCTTTTAACCGGCTTTAATATAACTTCCTCAGGTTTCGGTTCTTCGGGTTTCTCAATTTTTCTTACTGGTTTTAATCGAACTTCTTCAGGTTTTTCCTCAACTTTCTCCTTTTTCACCGGTTTTAAATCAATCTGTTCTTTAGTCTCTTCCTCTTTAGGAAGTCTTTTAACCGGCTTTAATACAACTTCCTCAGGTTTCGGTTCATCAGGTTTCTCAATTTTCCTTACTGGTTTTAGTCGAACTTCTTCAGGTTTTTCCTCAACTTTCTCCTTTTTCACTGGTTTTAAATCAATCTGTTCTTTGGTCTCTTCCTCTTTAGGAAGTCTTTTAACCGGCTTTAATACAACTTCCTCAGGTTTCGGTTCTTCAGGTTTCTCAATTTTTCTTACTGGTTTCAATCGAACTTCTTCGGGTTTTTCCTCAACTTTATCCTTTTTCACAGGTTTTAAATCAATCTGTTCTTTGGTCTCTTCCTCTTTAGGAAGTCTTTTAACCGGTTTTAATATAACTTCCTCAGATTTCAGTTCTTCGGGTTTCTCAATCTTTCTTACTGGTTTCAATCGAACTTCTTCGGGTTTTTCCTCAACTTTTTCCTTTTTCACTGGTTTTAAATCAATCTGTTCTTTGATCTCTTCCTCTTTAGGAAGTCTTTTAACCGGCTTTAATATAACTTCCTCAGGTTTCGGCTCTTCGGGTTTCTCAATTTTTCTTACTGGTTTTAATCGAACTTCTTCAGATTTTTCCTCAACTTTCTCCTTTTTCACCGGTTTTAAATCAATCTGTTCTTTGGTCTCTTTCTCTTTAGGAAGTCTTTTAACCGGCTTTAATACAACTTCCTCAGGTTTCGGTTCTTCAGGTTTCTCAATTTTTCTTACTGGTTTCAATCGAACTTCTTCGGGTTTTTCCTCAACTTTATCCTTTTTCACTGGTTTTAAATCAATCTGTTCTTTGGTCTCTTCCTCTTTAGGAAGTCTTTTAACCGGCTTTAATACAACTTCCTCAGGTTTCGGTTCTTCAGGTTTCTCAATTTTTCTTACTGGTTTCAATCGAACTTCTTCGGGTTTTTCCTCAACTTTCTCCTTTTTCACTGGTTTTAAATCAATCTGTTCTTTGGTCTCTTCCTCTTTAGAAAGTCTTTTAACCGGCTTTAATATAACTTCCTCAGGTTTCGGCTCTTCAGGTTTCTCAATTTTTCTTACTGGTTTCAATCGAACTTCTTCGGGTTTTTCCTCAACTTTCTCCTTTTTCACTGGTTTTAAATCAATCTGTTCTTTGGTCTCTTCTTCTTTAGGAAGTCTTTTAACCGGCTTTAATATAACTTCCTCAGGTTTCGGCTCTTCGGGTTTCTCAATTTTTCTTACTGGTTTCAATCGAACTTCTTCAGGTTTTTCCTCAACTTTCTCCTTTTTCACCGGTTTTAAATCAATCTGTTCTTTGGTCTCTTCCTCTTTAGGAAGTCTTTTAACCGGCTTTAATATAACTTCCTCAGGTTTCGATTCTTCGGGTTTCTCAATTTTTCTTACTGGTTTCAATCGAACTTCTTCGGGTTTTTCCTCAACTTTATCCTTTTTCACTGGTTTTAAATCAATCTGTTCTTTGGTTTCTTCCTCCTTAGGAAGTCTTTTAACCGGCTTTAATATAACTTCCTCAGGTTTCGGTTCTTCGGGTTTCTCAATTTTTCTTACTGGTTTTAATCGAACTTCTTCAGGTTTTTCCTCAACTTTCTCCTTTTTCACCGGTTTTAAATCAATCTGTTCTTTAGTCTCTTCCTCTTTAGGAAGTCTTTTAACCGGCTTTAATACAACTTCCTCAGGTTTCGGTTCTTCGGGTTTCTCAATTTTTCTTACTGGTTTTAATCGAATTTCTTCAGGTTTTTCCTCAACTTTCTCCTTTCTCACTGGTTTTAAATCAATCTGTTCTTTGGTCTCTTCCTCTTTAGGAAGTCTTTTAACCGGCTTTAATACAACTTCCTCAGGTTTCGGTTCTTCAGGTTTCTCAATTTTTCTTACTGGTTTCAATCGAACTTCTTCAGGTTTTTCCTCAACTTTTTCCTTTCTCACTGGTTTTAAATCAATCTGTTCTTTGGTCTCTTCCTCTTTAGGAAGTCTTTTAACCGGCTTTAATATAACTTCCTCAGGTTTCGGTTCTTCGGGTTTTTCTATCCTTCTTACTGGTTTCAATCGAACTTCTTCAGATTTTTCCTCAACTTTCTCCTTTTTCACTGGTTTTAAATAAATGTGTTCTTTGGTTTCTTCCTCTTTAGGAAGTCTTTTAACCGGCTTTAATATAACTTCCTCAGGTTGTGCTTCTTCCAGTTTCTCTACTTGCTGTATATCTTCGGATTTCTCTTGGATTGGTTTCTTTCCACGTCTCCACGGTAAATGAACCTTATCAGTAGGTAGGTCTCCGTTAGTGATTTCTTCGATTTTGTCAGGTACGACTTTTGTTTCTGGTTTTTCCTTTGTAACTGGTTTAAGTGTAATTTGTTCTGGTACTTCTTTTTCTTTAGGTATTCGTTTTACTGGTTTTAGTATAATTTCTTCTGTTGATTTTTGTTCTTCAGGTTTTTCATGCCGCTTTGTCGGTTTTAAGACAACGGACGTAAAATCGTCAACTTGAGGTTCTTCTTTAACGGTTTTTATTGTTTTATCTTTTTTAGGTTTTCGCCAAATTGTTTCAGGTACTTCTTTAGTCTCATCTTTTATTGGTTCTTCTAATTTTTCTTCTGGTTTAACAATAACTGATTTCTTTCCACGTTTCCACGGTAAATCTACTTGTTCTTCAAATTTCTTTTCCTTTTCTTCAGTTTCTGAAATTTTCTCTTGAATCGTCGGTTTAGATTTACGGCGCCATGGAGCTTCTGAAATCTTTATAGATTTGTCTTCTTCCAAATCAGTTTCTGATTTAGTTACTTGTAATGGTTTTATTTCTTCAGTTTCTTTTATTTCTTTTGCCTTTTTCCCTCTAATCCATGGCACCGGTACTTCTTCTTTTATCGATTTTTTGGTTGTTTCGTCAGTTCTGTCAATGGCAAGCATAGTGATATCTTCCTCTTCCGTGTATGGTACGCTTTCAGCTTCTTTCTTTTCTTTTGTCTTTTTCCCTCTAACCCACGGCACCGGTACTTCTTCTTTTATAGATTTTTTGGTTGTTTCGTCAGTTCTGTCGATGGCAAGCATAGTGATATCTTCCTCTTCCGTGTATGGTACACTTTCAGGGACTATCTTCTTACTTCTCACTTTTTTAATTGACTCGATATCTTTATCTGTTTCAATAATAGTTTTATCTTCTTCTTCGTGATATAATATTTTTTCTTGTGGCTTTTCAACATCTGTCAAATCTGTAGTTTTCGTTTTAATATGTTTTAAATTTACTTTCTCCGTTATTTCTTCTTTCGATGTTATTTCTTTATTGATTCTTGATACTGGCTTTAATGATATTTCCTCTAAAGTTTCTTTGCGTATTTCTTTTTGCTCTGGTTTTGTTTTCTTCAGAATTATTTTTTCTTTTGTCCATGGTTTTGTTTTATCCGTCTTATCTGTATCTGTCACATCTTTACTCGGCCTTCTCGCTTCTTTGACTACAGAAACATCGATGCGTGTAGTTTCTTCTGTTGAAATTATTTCAGGTTCTTTCTTTGAAATCGGCTTAAGGTCTGTTTTCTCTAAGGTTGGCTTTACAATGTCCTGTTTTATTGTTTGCGAAGGTTTCAGTGCAATGGTTTCGAGTGTTTCTTTAGGTATTTCCTTTCTTTCTACTTTCGCCTTCTTCAGAGCAATTTTTTCTGCCGTCCAAGGTTTGAGTTGTTCTGGTTTCTCCTCGATGAGTTTTTCCTTTTTAATTTTTTGCGTTTCCTCATCTTTTGAAATTTTAAATAAAGAACTGTCTTCTTGTTCGATATAATCCATCTTTTCTACCATCTTATCTGTTTCTGGGATTTCTTTTGTTTTTGGTTTCGTTTTCTTTAAGATAATATGCTCTTCCGTCCAAGATTTAGGTTGTTCTGGCTTTTCTTCGATAGGCTTTTCCTTCTTTGTCTTTAATATTTTTTCATCTTTTGTAATGCTAAGCAAAGAACTGTCTTCCTGTTCGAGATAATCCGTTTTTTCTATAGTGTCTATTTCCGAAGATATTTTTGTTTTCGGTTTTGTTTTCTTTAAGGTAACTTGTTCTTCTGTCCATGGTTTTGCGCCTTCGCTTTTCTCTTTTTTCGATACAACTTCATCTAAACGCTTCGACGTTTTCAACAGAATAGCATCTGTTTCCTCTTTATAAAGTTCAATTGTAGTATCATCGCTACGTGTAGTTCTTTTTTCAGCTGTTTTAGGCACGGATTTCAGTTGGATTGTTTCGAGACTGGGTCCATGAATGTCTTTCTTTTCGATCTTGGTCGGTTTTAATTCAACCTCTTCCAGCTTTTCTTTGGTTACATCTTTGATAATTTGAGGAGCTTTTTTCAAAATTACTTCTTCCTCAGTCCATGGTTTTATTTGACTTTCGAAAGCTCGAAGCTTGTCTAAAGAAGAATCTCTTGATTTTGTTTTCACTTTTCTCCAAGGAAGAGAGTCACTAATTCGAGGTCGATGCTGAACACGCTCTTTTCTCCACGGTAACGATTCATCACCTGGTTGAAGCTGTACTTCAAGTGGTAAACCATTTTCGTCGAGTACTATAGATTTTAAAATGCTATCTTTCAAATCTTGGTGAAGCTTTGCATCTGTTTCTATACTGGCACCCGTTTCTGTGGAAATTGCGTAGACTTCTTTTCTTTCTGTAAGTTTTGAAAAATCATTTTAAATAGCTTTGAACATTTTCGTTTGTTTGTTTCACACCACATCACGCATGTTGAACTAAGCGGAAGCTTTGTTGACATTATGCCGAACATATGCGGTACATGCATGTTACACTAATAAAAAATACGTATTTTTATAAATTCAAAATAAATTATTAACATTAATGTTAATGAATTAATTATTTCTCGCGTTTAATTGTACATTTGTAACATCGTATAAGAATTTATTTTATGATTGCAAAATAAATAAGGGAAATGTTTTCTGACTGAATTAACTTTCCTGGGTAGAGAAATCAGGCAATTCGCCAGATATCTGTCGACCTTGGAAGAGCGAATTATTCAAGTTATTAATAATAATTTCTAAAAATTATATTTAACTTAACATCTGCCTTTACTTGATCATATTAGGTACAGCAATAAAAACGTATGTAATTTTCTATCAGTTTATTATAATAATTATTAAAAAATAATTAATTGTAATGAATAATGTGTAATAATTAATTAAAATAAAATAATGATTTGTTGAAGTGTATAAATATATACATACTTATGTTCAACATTTATTAATAATAGTTGTAACTAAAAAATTAAAATGCTTATATATTTTTTATAAGATATACACATGAATGTTGCTAGATAACATAACAAAGTATCAAACACACGTCATTTATAGCTATACATAAATGTTAAAGAATATATATATATATATATATATATAGTAAAAATGCAAGACATGTGAATCATTCAAACTTTCATATTATTTTTAAATAAGCTGAATAAGAATTTATTTTATCTGGTGATTCGATTGCGTAAGTGGTTTTCTTCGGAGGAATAATAAAATGGCATATAATGTGTAACGACGACATTATTAATTTTAACAAAGCATGAAGACACCAGATGGCGAAGATGGATTATATTAAATGCGATCGCGTAAGTATGACGTTTATTTGTAGTATTCGCGGAGTTTGTGATGTCTGCGAGTTTCCCTAAAGTAATAGTCTCCCGTGGAGTAACTCGGTGGGGATCCTTGACGTACAAGACGCGCGCCCCTACTTCGTGCTACAACTAGCCGCAATAGTAATCAGTTGGAAGTCGAAGATGAAGCAACGAAAGGAAACTGTGCTCCTTACTACGGTGGTGATAGTATCATTCCGTGAAACAGTGACATTTCAAAGAAAGTTCAAAAGTGACATCTCTGACAGATTTTGCTGCCTTCGGTCAAGAAGATACATTTTTCGCATTAATTATTTCATAACGAGATTTCTTTCACGTTCTTGACCGAAGTGCAGCTGTATTCGAACTGGACACATTCGAATTTATTATACCGTGATATCGTAAAGGTGGTGCATTTGAAATATCCGTGTCTGATCATATCATCATTTTGAGTGATAATTTATTCAACAATTCTGTATACCTGTTTATAAATATTGTTTATTCTTTTCATATTGTTGTTTTATTCTTTTGGCCTCTTTAAATTTCTGTATTGTTTTAATTAGATTTTCTTTTCATCTCCGAGAGATAAAGCGCTTCCTTATTAATATAAATCTTTCTTAACTATTCTCTATTTTAAATTTGTATGTAGAGTGCGACTATGTATTATTTAATTATGGCTGTAATAATGCGGAAAGATTATTTAAATCACAAACTAAGAAGACTTTAGTGTCTACAACTAAATATTGAAAGCTCAAAAGATTGTGTTTAAAGATTGTGTGCATTTAAATATAGGGATAGTGATATACTACTTTCTACACGATATACAGTTTATTCGATGATTCACGAAAAATTGATTAGTATGATTATATACATAATTAAAAATAAAGACGATAATATAAACACGTGTTCGTTTTTGACTTCTTATCCCGTCATGTGTGAAAAAGATTAATTCGTAAACTCGTACGTGTAATGCAGTATCATACTAATACGTAACGCAATATTATAGTATCAATCAGTGACATTATATTACATTTTAAACGTAAATACAAATTTTATTTTTAATTCTAATTGTATAAAAAATTAAGAAAGAATGCAAAACAATGATAAAAATTTATTCTTCAAATGAATAGCGAATAATCTTAATTCAGATTTATAATTCTTGGTTCGATACAATCACACACATCAAACAGTATAAATGTAAAATAAAATAAAATAAAAGAACTTGAAGAATTTAGCCTATTATTGATTCACATTCTTTCCGTGAATAATTCTTAACGATTATACCGAATACTATCGCATCATAATTAAATATCATCTCAAGCTTCCAAACTGCAAGGGATGGTAGTCATGTATCTTGCGAACTCCAGAGTTGCTGGTTTACCAAAAATAATTTTCTCTCATTTTGCAGAGTACGCTGACACGCTCTTCCCCGTATTATTTCTGGCATGGCTGAATCATTGGCAACTGACTCGGGACGGAGCCAAAATAGTTAACTACCTCGACCAGCTTCTTCCCTCGAAATCACCGTGCTGACGAAGCGTCGAGCAAAGGTGGTAGTCTGAGATCAAAGACAGAGAGCTGGACCATGGAAAAGAATATCTCCTCGATGAATCAGCGTGTCCATTTAGTCTCTTGAAAAGTGTGCTACTGTTTCATCTTCAAGGTCGCTCAAAGCCACTCGTATTTTTTTACTCATAATATTCATGGCTTGCAAAAAACTGAATTTTATTCTTGAGAATTCTTCTCTCCATCAGAGTAAGATATATTTAAAAATAACTGAGAAAGAAGATCGATGCGTGTATTCTTTGAAAACATTTGTTCGATGTCCGAAATTTCCGATGGCTGAACGCTGGGAATATTCAAAATTTTTGATGTTTATGATGAATTTACAATCTAATTTACGATCATAAAATAATAAATAGCAGATATTCTTAGTAATATATGTAATACGCTTGAGTCTTCTATCCATTTAAAGATCCTACTCGCGTATACGTGATACCACGCAATGCATTTTGAAATATAAATAGCCGTATAATAAACTTATAAAATTTTAACGAGTAATAAAAAGTAAAAGCGTTTGAAGTATAAAGATGATAGATTAATGCGGAATATAAGTCAGTTTTGAACAGTTTATCAAAGCGTTTGAAAGCGAGAACAACCCACGATTCGTCGTGGTCGACGAATCTTCGCGGAGTTCCAAGCCGGCGGCCAAATATAGCTAGGTAATGTAATACACATCACGTGTTCAAAAATAGCTTAAGAAAAGGGCCTAGCCGAGTGTGCACACGACACTGCATCTGCTTTTCCACTCGAAACGTGTGCCGCATGACAGAAACGATTTACATAAATATACGTGTATATATCTACAGACTTGTTATTTATAAAAACATGTACTCTGCAAACGCAGGTGAAACCGGTTATGTGCTTCCACGATATATTTCTTTGATCTAAGAAAAATAAGTAAAAAAAATCTTTATTTCTATTATTATAACAAACTTTATTTTACGCGCGAGAATGTATTTTCTCTCAAACGCGTGATACACCTCAGAGAATTCAACGGAAGCACGTTCTCCGTTACAAAGATTCAACGATATACATATATGTATATACTTAACCATAGGTTTCACTTCACCATTTTTCCTCATGAAAAAAATATCGAGTGTAACTATCTAGACTAATTTATCGCATAGCGCGGAATTTATAAATATTACATCAATAATCATGCAATTTTTACATATGCTTTACGCCATGTTGATCCTGACTTGAATCTTCCATTGCCATAAAGGTTCTTGTATCGGATGATCGCGAAAAAATCGTCATTTACAACGAAATATATTAATTCATTAGGCGACGGCCGTCGAAACGGCAACAAACGAGACTTGGACGTACTTACAACATTCGGTTTTATTGCGACTTTCATTGTACAATAATAAATATTCGATTAGTAAATTGTTAGATCGGGTATTTTTATCCGTGTGTGTGTATATGTGCTATGTAATTTCTTTAGTAAATAAACATTTATAATTGTAGTGGGCGTACATATATATATAGAACAAAATGATGTATGTATATGTAAATGTAAATATATATTTTTTCTACTTCACGATATATTTTTTATAATAAATATCGAGATTACAGCGAACGAGTAAACGAGTTACGTATTCAACGCAGTCGCACCGCTACTGATCCTTTCTCATTTTTATATCTCATGATATTGACTAATATCGCGCAAAGTTCCACATTGCTATATTACCTATTTACAGAGAGTTGTACTCTTTATAAGGCTGTGAATTCACACTTTTGTCCTGAGATTAAAATATCCGAAGGCACGGAACACTTGTGTAAGATGTTTCGCTCTATCGGTCTGCTTAAAGCTGACCTTAAAAATAAAATCTGCACTTGTCCCGACCGATTACAACATTTACAAACAGTTTCGATTTTCATTATATATATAATATATTGCTTTTGCAACACTTCAATTTCAGCACCACCTTTGCGATTTTTGTATTTTAGATGATATGTATTATGGTGTTTTCTATCTGGATCATGATTTTGCAATACAGCCTCTCAAATCTGTTAATTAATTACTCCTCGTTTCACTCGCTCAACTATTCTCAAAAACATGACGAGTTAGTACAAACTCCCCGGACGCGCATGACACTTTTGATTAGAGGATGTGATCGAGGTGAGGAAATCTAGGCGCTATATCGATAGGTTACGATTTTAAAAAGAGGCAACAACAAAGCACAAAAATAAAATACGAGTGGATATATACGCAGCGTATCGCGCTGCACGGAGACGGCCGTACTTGAGACGATGTAATAATGTTAGAGTCACAATGAGAGTGAAAGAGAATAGGCGATATAATTGATAATGATTAAATGTATATTTTTTAAATTCTTCAATTTTTCCGATCAAATTTACACATCAACATTTTTTTTACATTTGCTTTGTTATTGAAAGCTAGTCAATCATTCCGAAATGAATAATTGTAATGATTGATAAATTGTAATTCTTTCAAGTTGTCGTATTGTATATTGCGTATACGAGTACATATACGAATATCGAAAGACAAAGAGTTGACATGATAATTGAAATTTAATCGGTACGTGAGACGTACAATAGGCTAATTGAGTTAATAAATCATCTCTTTCAAGATTTAAAACAATATTAGTTCTTAAATTACTAATGTTATTGACTTGTCATGCCACTGTCTCGAGTATAGTGTTCGTCTCCGGCAGTTGTTGGAGATGTATAACATAAGTCCAATCGCGTATAATGTTAGCAATCGAATCTGTATTTTTATTCAGTTCTTACTTTTGACGATGAGTTTGGCGGACGTTTCTACGGTACCGGCTGAAGTTGTAGCACGGCAGGTGAAAGTACCAGTATCCTCCTCGTACGTCGTTGCTATGAGTAGCACCGCATTGTTGCCTTCGTGAATCATCTGAAAATATGATACGCCAGGTTTCCCTGAATATTATAAGCTTCCACAAAATTTCGATACTTTATAAAATAAAACAGTGAGAGATTATCTTACCTGAAAATCTGGCGATTGTGGGATCAAGGCGCCTTCGCGATACCACTGAATCGTCGGTTTAGGCTTTGTCGGATGCACTTGAGTCTTGAATTGAGCCGGCTGTCCTTCAACGACGATCTGATCCTTAAGAGGCGTCAATTTTGGTAGAACGTCAGCCGTCTCGGGCGCTAATAAAAAAATATAACGATTTTTTTTAGTTTATGTTAAAGCAAAAAGACATTTATAAAAATAAATTTGATTTTGTTTCTTTTTTCTTACCGAGAACTCTGAGATTCGCAGATGTCGTAACATCACCAGCGGGATTTTTAGCGATGCATTTGTAGACACCTTCATCTTCGGGAAATGCTTCGGAAATCCTCAGAGTACACAAATCACCTTCCTTCTGCATTTGGAAGTATTTCGATGGTTTAATCACCTGCAAAAGCGATAAGCAGTCGAGTGAACTCTTATTTTAAAAACTGTGTAATGTTAAAATTATTATTATTACAGAACTCTGGATATACCTTATCGGCTTTCTTCCACTGCACAGTCGGAACAGGTTTTCCAGTAATTCTGCAAGCGAAAGCGACAGACGTTCCTTCTCTGATAGTTTGATCTTTTAATGGTTCTAAAACAGTTGGCGCTTTTTCCACCGTTGGTGTCGTCGGTTTCGCAACTTTTGTCGGCGATTGAGGCCCGCGAACAGTACATTCCGCTTCGCAACGTGCTTCTCCAGCATTGTTAATTGCAACGCATTCATACTTGCCAATATCATCCGGTATGGTCTCTAATATCAAAAGTGTATAAGTGTTGTCTTCCTCTAAAGTTTTGTAACGGATATCTGCCGTTATCTTCTTGCCATTCTACAATAAAAAAGATATTCAAATTTAAATTCAAGTTTAAACTTGTTGTTTTTTGTGTGTTTCGATTGCAGACGTAAGACAGCAAATATATAAAAATATATATCACACATCTCTTACCTTGAGCCAATAGACGTCTAGAGGTTTCGTGCCAGTAATTTTGGCATCAAATCTGGCGAGCTGTCCAGTAGCTACAGAAGTAGATTGAATCGTAGATAAGAAACTGGGTGGCACCGCGCCACCTCGTCCAGGTTGCCTTCTACGTTCCTCCACGACTAAATTGGCGCTGCACTTGGCTTTCCCTCCTCTATTCTCAGCAATGACAGAAAAAACGCCGGAATCTTCCATAAAAACTTGTCTGATAATTAATACCGATTTGGTGCTGAAGGTGTAAATTTGAAGATCGGCCGAGTTTTGTATGGGGAAATCTTCGCGATACCATTTGATGGTCGGTAATGGATCACCGTCAAATTCCACTTCAAATTTGGCCTGTTCTTGCTCAAATGCTCTGCACGGTTGAATCTTTTTCGTGAAAATAGGCGGCTTGGCAGGTTTCACTTGCCCTTGAACTACACGTTCCTGCGTCTTCGCTTTATGTTCCACCTCTGTAGTCTCCGTTGCTGTGATCTTTCTCGTTATTTCCAAGTCACCCTGAACTTCCTTTTGCGTCTGTTTTTGCTTAGCTACGTGAACTTCGCGACCGTGAACCGTAGATTCAGATGGTTCCGGAGGATACTTTCCAGTGGATTTAACGCGTTCCGTGTCTATATCTACTTCGGTAACGAAAGGCTTCTTTACATATTTTGGAGGTGGTTCTACTGATTGCTGCGGCTGTTCTTCCCTAATTATGAAAAATAATTGATTAACATTATTATCGCTAAATGTATTGATAACATATTTTTTTCGAATATTTTTATTACAATACTTACAAATTCTCTTCATACTTTTGAGCCATTCCCTTTGCTAGAGAATGTGCAACGACTTTATCGCCAGGAATAGCAAACTGATGCGAAGCCTCCCTTAATCTGCTTTCTTTGAGCATTTGTCCTTCCTCAAGGGTCATCAACTTGTTATAATAGTCCTCGTTCTTCTTGCTCTTAACGGATTTCTGCCATTCAGTCTCGGGCTCTTTAATGACTTTGTGGCCAAGATGCTCCGTGGCAATTTCGATGCCTTGGGAAACGCTTTGGTGGCGTTCATCGAACACGCGCTCCAATTCTGTGTTCTGTCGCTCGGTCTGGTACTGTGTTAGCCCATAATCGTACCAGGCTAAGGAAACAATATGTTATCTGTGTGTTTTTGTGTGCATGTATGTACTCGATATAAATGAAACGCGCGTGCTTCGAGCGGATACATCGATTGATTCATCCCGACAAATACAATACAACGTCCTTCGGTAAGATATATGTGCAAGTATTGGTGTTTGTATACATCCTTGTTAAAAGATTATTTATTATAATATTTTATTCTAATATTATTATTTATTATAATTTATTAAAAAATTGAAATACTTTATTGTAAAATAAAATGTTGCACTTTTCTTAACCAAAGAACAAAGTCTAATCGAAAATCGTACGATATTTAAGACACAGTACGTAAATGACGATGCAACACATATCGACGACACCTAAATAATGGGAATCGAGCTGGATTTGGAAAATTCAAGGTTAATATACATATCTGAAATTATTTTGCTGCGATCACATTGAAAACACTGTTTGATTAAATAATTTGTTTTTATGAACGTGCTTTCCTTCGTGCTATGAGAAAGTTTTGTTCACATTAAAAAAGATAACAAAAATATTTGTTGCAAAATTATTTTATCTAATTAACTAAATTCGCATAACTCAAATTTTGCTTCGATGAATTAGTTTTATATATAATCGCATGCTACTTTCATGCGACATCAAAGGATGAATGCGATGAGGAAATGCATATTTCAAAACAGAAAAAGAAAAAACAGTAAATAAAAATTAAATTAAGATGATTAGGATTAAATTATGATATTGATTGCGCGAAATACCGAGAAATAAGGAAATCTGCTCAGTATTTACATTTTCTATAGACAATGTTTTATGCAAATTACTTTAACAGTAAGAAAGCAATATGATTTGCATGCAATGTGAAAAAATAAGCAAGTATTAAATAATAATTTAATAATTTTAAAGAGAATAAAATAATGCAAGCTCATAATAAAATAAATAGATAAAATAATTTTTAATAATCTTCTAACATCATGTGAGCAATAGACCCATTTTCTCCAGCGCAACAATATCATATTTATGAAACAAAAAAAAATATTAATAAAATATAAAACAATACGAATGTTTTTCCGGCGATAATTTTCCATACCTGAATGTCGATGTGAGAAATTAAATATATACGATACCTTTCATTTAAGACGATTTCACTCTAATATTCCCATTGATATTCCCAATCACGATGAAGAAGAAAGAGAAGCAGAAGAAGCTGGCGAACTCAGGATGATTTTCAATAGCTTTGGAGTACCAAGTGGAAAATAGGGAAGGGAGGGATTATGTTTGAATGGTCTAGAGTGTTTTTTGTATTCGAATGGAATGCATTGTCGTATCGATATATATTATATGTACTGTGTTGCGGTTGTTCGATACTTTCCAATCCACCTTCGCATCTTGCGAAACGTCATTGGAAGTTTACAACCATTTCGTTCATTTTCACGTGTAATCTTTTTTTTGTACCGTTGTAATCCGTTCAAAATTGTTGTTTATTCTGCACATGAATTCTTCGTAATGCAGTTTTTCCCATAATTTGTAGAAAATTATTAATTAATTGAATTTATATTTGCCATAAATTTATTTATTTCACATATTTTATTTATTGCTTTATTATATTTATTGCTCTGTTGAAGGCATCTCTGTATAGGTACATACTGTGTGTATTAATACTTTATAAGATTTAACTTATTCCATTGTGATACGAAGAATTCATGGCCAAATGCGTGTATGATAGTTGGAATGTAAACTTACGTCTTGGCGAATTTTTCAATACACCGCGATAGTCGTCACTTCGCTGCTTGACAGTCAGAGTCGTTTCTGTACGAGTTTCGCCAACAGAGCTTCTTGCAATTACTTCCACTTTGCCGTGATCGTATTGTCTGGTCTTTGGAATATCGAGATGATACATGCCGTCGTACGTCAGTTTATACCGGGATCCCTGCGAGAGAAAAAAAGGAGCAAGTTTGATATTATAAATATTTCTTGAAAAATTGTCGATCATTATTTAGAATGATTTCAGAAATGATATTCTTGAACTCACATTAACTACTGTATGACCATTGATTATCCACATAACTCGAGGTCTTGGGTATCCAGTGACTCGACAGCAGAATCTGGACCAGTCGCCTTCTTCGACAGTTACTGCTTCTGGTTTGCTCACGAAAACAGGCGCCGAGCGTACTTTCTCTTCTTCACCTTCCTCTTCGGGTACACTGCAAAGTATAAATAATTTTTAATTTTTTAAATAATATTCTGTGACAATCTTTAAATATGAGTAAATAAATTTCTTTGCACTTGGATAACAATTTCGTTTTTCTTCTTTGAATATGAATAATTCAAAATATATTATACACAATATTATAACAATAAATGTTAAGCATTTTATTGTGTGTATGCATTCTTTCCTTGTTATTATTAGAAGAAACTATTTTATATGTATATACGAACAGTGCACAAAATAAAATCTTACATCTGCCATGCAGCTTCCATCTCTCTGATCTTCTCGATGCTCTTCATGCCTTTTGGAAGCTGAGACTCATAGATAATTCCTGGTTTTCCTGCGGTCCTGATTATAGCTCTAGTCTCATCCATTCCATAAAGATTCGTAGCTCTGCACAGATACTCGCCACTATCTTCTGGATAGACCCAACCAAAATTCATCGCTACATAGCCAAAGTCGTAAATAGGCGTAAATCGATTCTTATGAGGTAATGGCTTTCCATTGAAGAACCATTCGACCTTCATATTCGGATCGCCCACGGGAGCTAATTGACATTCGAACTTGGTGCTATTCATTTCAACGAGATCGGTTTTATCTTGTATTTGTGTGACGAAACGAGGCGGCTGTTTCTTATCTGCGTCATATAGATCATCCTCGGTTAAATGAATTTCTGATGTATACTTTTTAATTGTCGCTTCCATTTGCATTAAAGCCTCGGATTTTTTCATACCCTTGGGTACTTGATTCTGCAGAATAATGCTTGGTAATTCTGTGAAACAGAGAAATTTAATATGAATTTATGTTAATATAATTAATTTATTAAAAATTGAAAATGTGCTAAAATTAAAAAAGTACTTTTGCAAGATATGGCAGCTCGAGTGGTGTCTTCTCCAAGGTCATTAACAGCCTTACAAACGTATTCACCGGAATCCTCGGGATAGACGTACAAGATATCCATCGATACAAATCCCATATCATATACAGTTCTGTATCTGTGTCCGGCAGGTATCAATTTATTATTTCTGTACCACTCGATGCGTAAATTAGGATCGTCCTTGGGCTCCACGCGGCATTCAAATCTGACTGGTTCACCTTCGTCGATAGTTGCCGATTGAATCTGCGTGATAAAATGCGGCGGTTGTCGCGGTGCTTCTTCTGCGGGAGCTTGAGATACTGGACCTCGTTCTAATTCTTTCAACTTCTCGCCGCTCATTCCCGATGGCAATTGAGAGTCAAAATCTATCGTTTTCTTGGCTGTAAAGAAAATAAAAATTATAATTATATAACAAATTTTATAAAGTTATGGAAGTATATTATTTTAAAAATATTTTAAATCTAGTCTCGAATTGTGTAACTTACATTTACAAGTGATGGTAGCTTTGGTAGTAGCGAAGCCCCATTTATTAGTGGCTCTACAGACGTATTCGCCGCTGTCTCGCGCGTATGTATACGACATATCCAACGATATGAATCCGAAATCATTAATTTGATGAACTCGAGAGCCGGTCGCGAAGGGTCGACCATTGTGGAACCAATCGATACGCATAGTAGAATCACCAACAGGCTCGACTCTGCAATCGAAATGGCTCGGTCCAGACTCTTCAACTTCGATGTCTTTAAGTTCGACGATAAATCTCGGTGGATTCGGTGTTTCTTCCTCCGCTAGGATCTCATCCCTCTTGTACAAAGACTCCTCCAATTTTTGAATGCTTTCCGTGCCAGTCTTGAAATTGGTCGGCAATTGTGGCTCCAAAATAATACCTTGACGTCCACGTACTTGAAGTTTACATGATACTGTGGCTTCGCCGTGGCGATTAGTAGCTTTGCAGGTATACAGACCGGAATCACGTTGGTAACAATTTGCAACTTCCAGAATAACAAAACCAAAGTCGTGAATCGTCTTGATTCTACTGCCAGCGAGAAGAGGCTTGCCGTTATGAAACCATTCGACCCTCATGCTAGAATCATTAATCGGCTGTAGTCGACATTCAAAGTGAGCAAGAGAATTTTCAGTCAAAGTCAGATCGGAAGGAGTCGTGATAAACTCTGGCGGTCTTCCGGTGTCATCCTCGGGACTAGCTTGACCCGGTACGGTTCCGAGGCCTTCTAATTCGGCGATCTTATCAATCGTACTTTCCATTCCTTTAGGTAGCTGAGACTCCAAAATAATACTACGTTTGCCCGTACACTTCAGAGTGCACGTTGTCACCGCCTCACCATAATCATTTGTCGCTCTACAACTATATTCGCCCGAGTCTTCAGGGTAGATGGGAGAAATTTCCAAAATGACGAAACCAAAATCGCAGAAAGTGCGGAAGCGAGATCCCGTTCGCAATGGTTTACCGTTCCAGAACCATTCGACCTGTGCGTAAAAATTAATATAATATAATTAATATAATATGCAATGTAACATAATATAAAAACTCATGTGTATATTAATATAATTATATAATAATATAATTCAATGTATATATATAATGTAATGTAATGTATATTATATGAAACTCCACAGATATAAACTAAAAATATATAAGAATTAAAATAATTTTTACACTTGCCTTTAATTTTGGATCGTCTGTAGGTATTAATCGTGCCTCGAAATGCGCGCTTTCTCCTTCGCGTAGACCATCGATATTACTTAAAGGTACGGTGAACATTGGAGCCTTGCCACGTTCTTCTACAGTTTTTTCGTCTTTCGTACGTATCATCGAATCTTCGAGAGATTGAATTTTCTCTAGACCGCCTTCCATGCCTTTCGGAAGCTGTGACTCCAAAATAAGATTAGCTTTAGAGAAGCATTTGAGCGACGCTCTCGTAGTATCTTCGCCATATTTGTTGACGGCTCTGCACTCGTAAACTCCAGAATTTTCTTCGTAACAATAAAGTATGTCCAGAATAACGATACCAAAGTCGTGGAAAGTACGATATCGATGTCCGTGTGGAAGTTTTTTGCCATTATAATACCATTCGACCTTTAAATCAGGATCGGTTATCGGGGTCAGTCTTGCCTCGAAGTGAGCAGATTGTCCCTCTACCAGTTTCGTAATATCAGCGATTTGCGTTATGAATTTCGGCGGTTCGGCAACAGGAGTCGTAGGAGTGATCGCTTGTTCTCCGGTGTAACTCTCGAGCTCCCGTATTCTAGCGAGTGAGTCTGGCTGCAGGGAATCCAAGTAAACTCCGCTCTTGCCGAAGCATTTGATCGTAGCTTTTGTATAATCCTCGCCGTATTTGTTGCTAGCTTTACAAACGTATTCACCTGTGTCATGAGACATGACTCCGGCGATGTCCATAACTACAAAACCGAAATCGGAAACCATCTTGAAACGCGAAGAATGCCGCAGTGGTTTTCCATTATGGAACCATTCGACTTTCATGTGAGGATCTCCCACAGGGATGAGAGTACATTCAAAGTGAGCCGATTGACCGTCTTTTAGACCTTCCAAAGACTGTATCTGTGTCGTGAATTTAGGTTTCTGTCCTTTAGACTTATCGATGCATTCGAGTTCTACGCTGATTTCTGCTTTACCCCATTTGTTAGTCGCTCTACAGGTATAAGTACCCGAATCTTCTATTTTTGTGCCAAGAACCTCGAGGACAACCATACCAAAAGCGTAAACGGTTCTCGTACGATGACTGGCTTCTAAAGCTTTGCCATTATAAAACCATTCGACTACCATGGTTTGATCACCTGTAGGAATGAGAGATGCTTCAAAGTGAGCAATCTCTCCCTCTGATAGATTAGTTAGATTCTCAAATTGCGATGTGAACATCGGTGGTTGACCTTCGTCCTCTCCTGGTGGAATTCCTTCTTGTCGTTTCAAAGATTCCTCCAAATCTTGGATCGCTTCAAGACCCTCTTTACCTTTAGGATGTTGCGATTTTTCAATAATATTTTCCTTTGTGGAACAATAAATCGTTGTCGATGTAAAGGCTTCGCCAGCTTTATTATAAGCTTTGCAAGTATAAATACCGGAATCGCGCTCATAAACATCCGTCAAATCCAACGTGACAAATCCAAAATCGCTAGTCATTTTGAAGCGCGAACCATGTTCTAAAGGTTTCCCGTTAAAATACCACTCAATTTTTAAATTCGGATCATCTTTTGGTTCAACTTGTCCTTCTAAATGTAACGGTTCGGATTCTCCCAGTTTAAATTCAGGTTGAAGTGGCACCGTCCAGATCGGTTTAGGATATTCGTGATCAGGGCCTTCCTCCTTTCTTTGATGTTTTGATAGATAAGCGTCTTCTGCTTCTTTCACTTTCTCAAGCCCGGCTTCCCCTTGTGGATGTTGCGTTTGCAGATAAATGTTTTGCTTGCTGGTGCATTTCAAAGTACCCGATGTCTGCGCACTTCCCTTTGAATTTGTAGCTTTTACAGTAATTATGCCAGAATCTTCTTCGTAAGCATGAGTCAAATCCAAAGCTACATAGCCAAAGTCGTAAGTGCTCTTAAATCTTGCTCCGGTCGGTAAAGGTTTACTATTCAGGAACCATTCAATTTTCATAGTTGGATCTTTCGATGGCTCTACATTGCATTCAAAGTGAGCGTTATCGCCTTCGGTGCATTCCACGTTGTTCAGGTGAGTGATGAAAACAGGTTCTTCGTAAATAGGTTCTGGTTGTTCGGCCGAAGGTACTTGAGGTTGCTCTAAGGCATCAATTTTTGGCAAAGCGTCTGGATGCAAAGTATCTCCCAATAACCAGTGACGATCGGAAATTTTCAAGCTACAAGTTGACACAGCTTCTCCCAGAAGATTAGTCGCTTTGCAAGTATAAATTGCGGAGTCATCAGGCCTCAAGCCATTAATCGACAACGTTACCAGACCAAAATCGAATGTACTACGAAGTCTAGTTCCAGTTTGTAGAGACAAACCATTTTTAAACCATTCTACTCTCAAGTTGGGATCCGCTCGCGGTTCCACCTGAGCCTCTAAATAAACACGTTGGCCCTCTACCAGTTTATCGAAACTCTCGAGATGCTTGGTGAAAACAGGTGCCTGCTGCGGTGTTGTATCGATAAACATTTCCGGTACCCTATTCATCTCCGCTTCCTTTAGTTGAATCTTTTGCCACGCGTCCGCTTGTATACTCTCAGAAGCGATAGCCGAACGCGCTTTTACTTTCAGCGAAATCGACGAAACTGCTTCACCCGCGTTGTTGATCGCTTTGCAGGTATAAACGCCGGAATCTTCGGGGATAACTTTCAAAATGTCTAGCGTTACGTATCCAAAGTCGTGACTTACGTGAAAGCGTGAACCTAAATAATGATACCCAATAATTTTATTATCAAATATTTAATTAACGATTTAATATTTATTTTTAATAATTTATTGCAAAATTATTTTTTCTCACCCATTTTTAATTCGACTCCATTCATGTACCACTCGAATCTCAAACTTGCATCGCCGACAGGAACAACTCTGCATTCGTATCTAGCCATTTGTCCTTCCCAGAGTTCGGTTGGCCCGGTTAATAATTGCGTAAAAATCGGTTTATCAAAGATCTTTTCTGGCTCGTCGGGTCGTCCGACTTCCTTGGCTTCCAACTGAGCGATTCTACGTTGCGCCTCCGGATGCTGAGTATCCAGTTGTATACTGGCTTTGCCTGTAAGTGTAAATAGGAAACAAATTTTAAAAAATTAAACCGTATTAAATTATCTTGATATAATAAATCAACGAGATAAAATCAGACTCTTACTTTTAATCTTCATCGAAGCCGTTGTAACCGCTTCACCCAACGGATTAGAAGCGCGACACATGTAAACACCTTCGTCTTCGTCACGTACGTGAGCGATGTCCAGGGATACGTAGCCGAAGTCATGCACTTTCGTAATTCGCGAGCCTGCAAAAAATATCGTAATAAATATTAATTTTGCGTGACCATTAGAAATATGTTACAAGTATAAAATATATTCGTGTAATTAACAATGTTTTGCATTGGAAGTATCCTGGACGATACTTACTTGTTTCTAGAGGCACCTCGTTTCTGAACCACTCCACTTTGAGCATAGGATCACCCACAGGTATGAGCCTGCATTCGAAATGCGCGGTGTGACCTTCGGCGATGCTGTCGATATTTTGCAATGGTTGAGTGAAGACAGGCCTCTGCCGAGTTTGAGGCTCCGGTATATCCGGTCGCTTCCACGGTTGTTGAGCTTCGAGCTCTCGAATCTTGTCCATTCCCTCGGGTCGTTGGGAATCCAGAATAATGCTGTCTCGTGGGATTACTTTGAGCTCAATGGACGATACGCATTGTCCTAGCGCGTTGATCGCACGTACAGAGTATTGCCCTGCGTCTTCGGGTACGGCGTGACCGATATCTAGTGCGACGTAGCCGAAATCAAAGGTCACATGGAAACGCGCCGCCGATGGCAAGGGTTTGCCATTGTGGAAGAATTCAATTCTCAGATTAGCATCATGTAGAGGCTCCACTTGGCACTCGAAATGAGCGGTTTGCCCTTCGTATACTTCAGTCGTGCCCTATAGAAGAATTTCTTATATTTTTTTATGCTCATATATTTGTTGTACGTTTTATATTTGTTATATTAATTCTTAATAATTACACATTAATTATTATAATTATTATATTAATATAATATTAATATTAATATTAATATAATAATTATTATAATTATTATAAATAATTATTATAATTATAATTATAATTAATTTAATTATTGTTACTTACTCTAAGTTCGGTGACAAATCTCGGTGGTGTCACTGGTGGTTCCTCAACTTCTAATCGTGCAGGATGACCCTGGGCTTCTAATTCTCGAATCTTTTCTAAACCATCCGGATGTTGGGTGTCCAGAAGAATACTTCGTCGTGCTAAAAATGAAAAATGCATCAAAATTAATTTGTATTTCTCTTCTATAATTATATTTTTATTATTAATAATTTTATGTATACACTTTCTTGAATAAAATAAATTCAATTCTACGATAAATCTTATCTTGAAAAATTGAAATTGCAACTCTTGATGTTTCTTAAGACATCCTGCAATGTTTTGAAATATGCATAATATAATATTTTTCATGACAGAATTTGTGTTTAAATTTGCAAGAATTAATTAAAATTTTACGAAATTTTTTCTTCTTTATAAAAACAATGTCATCTATTTGACAAACGGCCTCTTTCTCGTTGATAAAATTGATTAACGTCGACGAACGTTTTCAAATTTTTCATGGGTAGGAATTTAGACTTCGGATATCGTGTATATCTTGCTGACAATTACATAGAATGCACAATTAATATAAAATCAATATCCTAAATTAATATAATTTTATACTTACAGCTGACTTTAATAGTACAGGTATTAACAGCTTCGCCAGCCAAATTAGTTGCTTTACACATATAAGTACCGGAATCTTCAGGATAGGTATACAAAATATCGAGAGCCACATAGCCAAAATCGTGAGTAGTGCGGAAACGATGACCAGTTTTAATTGCGACTCCATTGACAAACCTATTAAATGTCAATAAAATTTAATTGATTAATTATTCGGAATTGTATTAAAATTATTATTGTGCACATTTTTATTTTCGTATAATATTGTATATTCTAAATTCTGACGTTTTTTTAATCCATAAATATATACCATTCAATTTTCAAGTTTGGATCGTTAATTGGCTCCACGCGGCATTCCAGATGAGCGTGCTCGCCTTCCTTGAGATGATCCAGATTGTTTAGTGGTGTCAAAAAGACAGGTTTTTGATGAATAACCTCTTTTTCGACTTCTTCTTTGATTTCGACAGTTTCCAATTCTCGAATCTTTTGCAAGCGTTGAGCATCCAGTGTGTCGAGATATAAGCCTTGTTTTGCTATTTGCATAAATCAAAATAATTGATAATCACACGCTTATATTTTTATTTATATTGAATTAACAATTTATTTAAAAATGTATTCACACACTTATCAATTTTAAAAAATGGAAAGATATGGAAAGATAATTTTGCATTTTTTTTTCATTATAATATTGTTACTGCTTTTTGCGATGCTGATTGGTTGTCTCGATTAACATTGTGTGTTATAATAGCATCCAGTAACTGTCATCGTAAAGGTTAACAGTTTGACAAATGTAAAATAAAAAATAAAAATAATAACGTTCGCAAAGAACGCGCTTACCTGGTACATATGTACATAACAAAAATTAGAAATTAAAATTATACATAATTATACATAATTAAAATTCGGCAAATTAAAATTATGTATATAATAGACATTCAGAAATTAAAATTAAAATATAAAATATATAATAAAATATAAAATTAAAATATATAAATTTAATATAATACTGTAGCATCACACATTTATACCTGCATTATTTTTTAATGAACATTATTAAATTGCATTTCTCGTATTATAGTATTCTACTATCAATTTATTATACTAACAATAATTTGCTATCATAATTAAACTTAATAACAAAACTGAGATTGATTTACTGAGTTTGAATCGACACAATTACTTTTATATGTAACTTATTCCTACTGTATTAACAAATCTGCTTACATATAAGTACTACATTTATGTAGCATATATATATATATATATATATATATCATTTAGTTTAATCTAACCGAATATAATTACGCATGCAAAGCGAAGTTATAGTATTCTTTGATAATAAAAATCTTAAAAATTGCGATGTATGCACGCAAAAATTATAATTGCAATCAATGCATAAAAATATATTAATTATTTATACAATGCATAAAAATTCAATATTTAAAGCTTTAACAGAAAATATAAACAAAAAAATAAAATTTTCTACATCCCATACATCTGTCACGCGGCGCGATTCGCGCGAGACTGATTCTCGTATGGGGTATCACGAGCGCGGCACCGATGGTCACATGACCAGTGAATCTCTAGTCACGTGACCTCAGCTTCGCGCTCGCGATACCTCGCACGAAAATCAGTCTCGCGTAAGCCGCGCAACGTGACGGACGTATGGGGTGTAGAGTCTCGCGCGAGTCTAATGAAAGCGTAGATATTTGATCACAAGAAATTCTTGTAGAAAATTCTATTCTTTGTCTTCTGTTAAAAATGTATATGTTGAATTTTTATGAATCACATAATTAATAAATATATTTTTATGTGCACATGCATTGCAATTTTCAAGGTTTATTTTCAAAGAATAATATAACTTCACTTCGCGAACGTAATTATATTCAATTAAACTAAAATGAAATGAGAAAAAATATATAAAGAGATACAAAATAGTTCTCAAACAATATAATAGAAATTCGGCGAATTAAAATTATGTACATAATAAAAATTCGATGAATTAAAATTATGTACATAATAGAAATTCGGCGAATTAAAATTATGATTATTTTCATAGCATCAAACAACTGTCACCGCGAAGATTTACAATTTAACAATTGTAAAATAAATAATTGAAACAATATCAAAGGCGCACGCGAAGCGCCCTTGTTTAGTCTAGTTATTTTAAATAAAATATATTATGTAACGGGTGTGTTGTCAAAAAAATAGATGTATAAATGCATAAAAATATTACTTACAATCTACGCTGATGACACAAGTAGTAACTGCCTCGCCAACAGCATTCCTCGCTTTACACATGTAGGTACCCGAGTCTTCAGGATAAGCATAAAGGATATCGAGAGCGACATATCCAAAGTCATAGGTCGTTTTGAATTTATGTCCCTGAGGAACGGGACGTCCGTCTCTGAACCATTCGACGACCATCGTTGGATCGTTAACAGGAGTCAATGTAGCTTCGAGATGAGCATTTTTACCTTCCGGTAAATGCTCAATATTCTTCAATGGTCGTCCGAAAGCAGGTTTCTCGGCGATGACTGTATCTTCTTCGATTGTGCGTTTATATCTTGAGTCGTCCTCAAGATACTGTATCTTTTTCAATGCGCTCTCATGCTGTGTGTCGCGAATAATTGATGCTCGAGCTACAAATGATATTTATTTGATATAATAAAATAGAAAAGTTTGAAATTCAAAGTATAAATAAAGTAAAAAATTGATGACTGTCTAATGTGAAAATTACGATGTATCAATTGTGTATATGAAATAATAAATTTATAATGTTTGTAAATATAAATTGTGCAGACAAAATTGTAAATTTAAGGAAATGAATTCTGTAGTATGTACATGTACACATGTATAAAGCAGGGCGATACAACAAAATGAATCTACGAGACTTGACACGCAACAACGCGTTCTTGTATTACTTACATTTCACGTTGAGATTAATCGAACTTCTCGCCGATCCCAATTTATTGGTGGCCTGGCAAGTATATGTACCCGCATCCTCAGCATATACAGTCAATACGTCCAACGATGCAAATCCAAAGTCGCAGGTAGTTCTATACCTGTGACCGGTGGATAATGGTTTACCGTTGTGGAACCATTCCACCTTCATGTTGGGATCAGGATAAGGTTCTATACGACACTCATAGTGTGCGCTTTGACCTTCGACTAGAGTGGTAGGTCCGTTCAACTGGACCGTAAAGAACGGCTTTTCTTTTACCACGATCTCTTCTTCCTCATGACGTTGATATTTCGAGGTATCCTCCAAAGCTTGGAGTTTTGACAAAGCGCTTTCGTGTTGTGATTCAAACTGCAAGGCTGCCTTGGCTGCATTTTAGAAGAATTTGTGTAGTTGTGTACGAGTTGTGTACAAAGAAAAATTGCATATAATTCAATGTTTTTGCAAAACAACAAAAATTTGCAGTCAAATTGCGATATATTGTATATATACGAGTAGATACTTATTTGCAGATAGTACAAATAAGTTTAGCAAAATGACACACCAAACTTGTAAAGCAATAATAAAATATAAAAATATAAAATCAGCAGTGTTATACATAGCGATTTGTTATATATTTCAAACATTATTTCAGTTTAACAGCATAGTTATAGCGTGTAATTAATAATAATTAATGTGGCGAAAATTTTTTATTTATGTAATTTATATAAAAAAATGTATGTAAAATTGTAAGTGGTGTCGATTATATTCGGTAAATTAAGTTGCATATTATATATGCAAAGTATATATCAGTATATATCTAATTTGTGTTTATACTTACATTGAACGAATAGTGTTGCTGAAGTAACCGCTTCCCCGAGTTCGTTTGTCGCGCGACACGTATAAGTGCCTGAATCTTCGGGATTGACGTACTTCATGTTTAATGCGACGTATCCAAAGTCGTGCATGGTCGTTACACGATTTGCTTTTAAAAGGTAAAGAGTAAAATAAAGAATATTTTTTAAAAAATCTCGTTATATAAAAAACGACATTTTTCAACGTGTAAATTTATAAGATATTAGACACTTACAGGCTGAAATAGGAACTCCGTTACGCAGCCATTCCACCTTGAGTTTGGGATCTCCAACCGGGATGACACGTGCTTCGAAATGCGCTGCCTGATTCTCAGCAACACGAAGATCTTTGATCGGTAACGTAAAGACGGGAGCTTGCGTAACAATTTCCTCAGTTGTTGTTTTACGTTGATGACGAGACGTGTCCTCCAAAGTGCGAAGGCGTTGAAGTGTTTCCTCGCTTTGAGTCTCCGTGTAGATTGACTTTTTGGCTGTAGATAAAAAAAAATAAATTAACGATTTTCATTAAAACTAATCGTCGAACAAATTTTAAAATAACAATAAGCTTACAGTGAACGATAGCAGTTGCGGAAGTGATAGCTTCGCCAATAATATTCTTAGCTCTGCAAGTATATGTTCCAGAATCTTCAGGATATGCATACATGATATCGAGTGCGACGAAACCGAAACTATTTGTTTCGACAAATCTTGAGCCTGCTTTCACTGGTTTATTATTGTGAAACCATTCAATTTTCATCGTTGCATCGGACACTGGAATTAATCTGCACTCGAAATGCGCTCGTTGACCTTCTTTTATCTCGACATTATTTAACGAAGTCGTGAAAATGGGCGCCTGAGTGGTGGTTTCTTCAATAACTTCTTGCCTTTGATATCTGGATCTATCTTCAAGATAATGAATCTGCTCAAGTCCAAGCTCATTTTGCGTGTCTGTTAAGATTTGCGCGCCCGAGCGACATGTTAAGATGCAGCTCACTTCGTCGCTGCCTACCAGATTAACTGCACGACACGTGTAAGTTCCAGAGTCCTCAGCGATCAGATCAATTACATCCAATGCAACGTAACCGAAATCATGAATCGGACGGAAACGGTGTCCTGCAAAATATTGATATACACAAAATTAAATAATTTAACAGATACGAGCTAAGTCTGTTAATAAACTTAAAAATTATTAAGAAAAATAATTAAATAATGATGTTTGTTATTATAAACTAAATAGATGAGAAAAATAAATTACCTATCGTTACTGGACGACCATTCTTGAACCATTCGACCTTCAAATTCGAATCTGTTACTGGCTCCAGTTTGCATTCGAAATGAGCGTGATGTCCTTCTCGAAGATTTTCCTGATTTTTCGGCTTTGTAATAAATTTCGGCTTTACATTAACAACCTCGTCGACGAGTTCGTGTCTCTTGTATCGCGAAGCATCCTCCAAGTATTGTATCCTTTCCAATCCTTCGGGATGTTGAGATTCCAGGATTAAATCTTTCTTTGCGTGGACTCTTACGGAACACGAAGTAACTGCCTCGCCGAGCTGATTTCTAGCCTGACAAGTGTACACGCCCGAATCTTCAGGATAAACGCCAAGAATATCTAGAGCCACGTAATCAAATTCGTAAGATGGTCTAAATCTATGACCAGTTTTGACCGGTCGACCGTTGACGAACCAATCGACCTTCATAGTCACGTCACCGACTGGCTGTAGACGACATTCAAGATGAACGTTGGTCAATTCCACGGTCTCGATGTTGTGCAAAGGTCGAGTGAATTGAGGCGCTTGCATCACAGTGACTTCTTCTTGTTGAGTTTTGCGGTACCTATATGAAAAATAGGAAGTAGATAAAAATAATAGTACACAAGTAATTTTTATAAATTGCAATAAATAAAAGCGAACCTCGATGAGTCCTCCAACATTTGTATCTGCTCCAGCGATTGTTCGTTCTGTGTTTCAGTGACGACGTCGGATCTTCCGATGACTCTCACGCAAGAGGAAGTGTGCGCGGTGCCCAGATGATTGGTAGCTCTCACCGTATATTCGCCGGAATCGTAAACAGTAGTGTGTACTATGTCTAGCGCGACGAATCCGAAATCGTAGTAAGTCCTGAATCTGGAGCCAACCGTGACCGGGCGTCCGTTTTGAAACCATTCAACTCTCATCGTTGGATCGCCCATCGGTTCCAAGCGACACTCTAAGTGAATATTCTTGCCCTCGCTAACCGGCTTAGGATCGCTCAACGGCTGAATAAAAATCGGTTTTGATTTCGAGATTTCTTCGATATGATAATGCGGCTCGATGAACTTGGATTCTTCTAAACGTTGAGTCTTTTCGTAAGTGCCGCGATGCATACTGCTGGTATCTATGCTGGAACGCGCTGGAAAAATTAATACAATTCATTAATCTTACGATTTTTTAGAGCTTCTGCGTAAATAAAATTGTATATCTTACTTTCTACAGTCATGGTGGCGGACAAACGGGCTTCTCCGCGAGAGTTTCTAGCCACAACGGTATAAGTGCCAGCGTCTTCGGGTCGAACTTGAAGGATATCAATGGAGACGTATCCGAAATCGTGATAAGTCTGGATTCTATTAGCGGCAGTGATAGATTTGCCGTTGTGGTACCACTCAATCGTCATGCTTAAATCGCTTTGAGGTTCTACGCGTGCCTCAAAATGCGCCCGTTGACCCTCTACAATCTTATTAGTGCCTTTAAGATTGCCTAGGAATCGTGGTGCCTGCGTAATCTGCGTTTCCTCTTGAATTTGTCGCGAGTATCTGCTCGAATCTTCGAGAGATTGAATTTTTTGAAGACCGGTAGGATGCTGACTATCATAAATAACATCATTCTTACTAATTACGCTTAATTGAGCAGTAGTATGAGCCTCGCCAGCCCTGTTGTAAGCTCGGCAAGTGTATACGCCGACATCGTGTATCGTTACATATTTAATGGTCAGCGCCACGTAACCGAAATTGAAGAAAGTTGTAATTCGTGAACCTAATTTCGAAATGGTTTCGTGAATATATAATTTCAACAACATGTTTACACAAATCGAAATATGTTACTTACTAGCTTCTACAGGTCGTCCATCCTTAAGCCACTCGACACGAAGATCGGCGTCGCCGACTGGTTCAAGGCGCGCTTCAAAATGAGCAAATCCGCCTTCTCGTATGCCGCTTTGATCTTTAATAGGCGATTTAAATTCCGGTGGGCTGCTCGGTTCAGGCTGCTCCTGCACGTACTTTTGGTGCATTGCTTGTTGATAGGCTTCCAATTCCTCGGCAGCCTCGATGTACCTCAGTTGCTCGGGGATACCCAAGTCTGTCGTTACGCTTGTTCGCGCTACGCAATAATTTTAAAATTAATTTTAATATCAGAGAATGAACAAATATTGCTCAAAAATAATTGTTCGTCGCAGAATTAAAACTCACCGAAGACACGGAGAGTCGCGGAGCTGATGGCCTCTCCCAAGCGGTTCACAGCTCGCGCAGTATAAGAACCCGCATCTTCAGCCCGTAGGTGCATTATATTGAGTGAGACGTAACCGAAGTTGAAGATGCTAGTGATTCTCGAGCCTAAAAAGCGATTATATTTTTATAATATAAGTTCTAAAGCATTACAATATTTTGTTATTCAATTTTATTTTTGATAAGTCTATTAATATCGTGCTTCTACCGATACTTACTAGCTGTGATTGGTTTTCCATCCTTGTACCACTCCACTTTCATGGTGGGATCGCTAACAGGCGTCAATTGCGCCTCGAAATGGGCGTTACGACCTTCCTGTAGCTCACCAAGATCCTGGAGCGGGCGGATGAAAACCGGCCGCTGTGAAGAGGTCTCCTCCACGCTCTCCTGCCTTTGGTACTTGCTGTAATCCTCGAGCTGCTGGATGTACTGGAGACTGTCGGGGTATTGGCTCGCCTGTTCAATCGTGGCGCGCGCTAATAAATAAGAAATTAATTTAGCTTATATTGTAAAACACAAATAAAGGGTAAAATAATTTATATACTTACGGGTTACGCTGAGGGTGGCTCGAGATTCGGCGACTCCGGTAGAGCTTACAACACGGCATAAGTACTCGCCGCTATCTTGAAGAACGATGCTAATAAGATCGAGTGATATAAAACCGAAACGGAAGATGGAAGTCGCCCGGGAACCTGCAAACGCACGTCAATACAAATTAGATTGATTCGAGAGTCTGATCGAGTAATCGATAATACAAGTGTTATACTCACTTGCGTCGAGTGCTCTGCCATTAACATACCACTCCACCCTCATCGTGGGATCGCCCACCGGTTCGATTCTGGCCTCGAAGTGAATTCGTCCACCTTCGATTTGATGAACATCTCTTAACGGTATAATGAAACGTGGCGGCGGATAAATCTTATCTTCTTCAGGAGGCGGCAGATAAGGCTTAGCACGCTCCACGTGTCTCAAATAAATCACTTCGGGGCCAGGCGCTGGTCTAGAAATATTTATTCATGTCATTTTATTTTATCATAGATATTGGGAGAATTTGAAAAAGAAAAAAAATGAAAAATATCGATTAATTTTTGATGAACACTCGAAAAACTCTCACTCTGGTTCGATGACTTTCGTAGGTCGGGGTAAGTTCAGGCGTCTTGGTTCCGGGGCCGTTCCTTTTGGCGTCTCGACGAAGAGCCGCGCTCGTGTCGCGGTGGAACCGGCTACATTTTGAGCGGTGCATTGATACCAGGCTGCATCTGAGAACTTGGCACATGGAATATCCAGGGTCGAAGCTCCGCTACCGTCGCTCGATATACGGATTTCGGGACCAGGCGTTATCGGTACGCCGTCCTGTTAAAAGTGTCACTGGTGTCAGAAAAATTTCTGATTGATACAACGAATAAAAAATATTACCTTTTGCCACGTGATACGTGGAACCGGCGTGCCGACTGCACGTGCCATAAAAACAACGGGTTCTCCTTCCTTCACGCTCGTAGTGACAAAACGTTCCACAAATTTCGGCGCGATCACTTGTTCCTTCTCGATAACGCTCAAGTTGCACTGACAGGAGGTTTCGCCAGCTTTATTCCGAGCAACGCATGTTACTACGCCGGCATCGGTACGACTCACGTTTGTAATCATCAATGAATTGTTGCCGGATTCGTTTACGAGGATTTTATGAGTCATGTCATTGGCGATTTGTTGACCATTAATATACCAAGTAACTTCGGGATACGGACGACCAGTTACGCGACAGTCAAATCTGAAAATAAAATATCATTCACATTGATAGTTTCGTCGAAAATTATATTTAACTAAAAAAATAAATAAAATAAAATAAAACGTCGAAACGTACCGCGTCATTTTGCCTTCGGTAGCTTCTCTGTCCGTGATGGTGCGGACAAAATTCGGCGGTAGAACTTTGCCAGAGTCAGCAGACTCGGTGGTCGATTCCGTTTGTTGAGTCTTAATAAATTCCCTTTGATGCGCTTGATACGGAACTTGATCTACTTGATCGCTGGACTCAATTGCCAGATAAGCGGAGCTAACGGTGCAGCCTTGAGGATTTTCGGACAATAATGTATAATGACCGCTGTCTTCCGACAGGGCGGCTCGGATTCGTAAGGTAGCCTGTTGGTTCGAATAGCTCGTCTCCACACGTTGGGTATCTCGGACTCTCTGGCCGTTCTTGAACCATGTTAACTGCGGAGAATGTGAGCATGATATAACGTTGTATTAATTAATATAATACATATATATTAGGTATTCTACTAGAACCGTTTTCCTTCAATATTTGCTCTCTCGAGAGATTATATATTATATATGTATAATAAAATAAAAATACATACATATATATATATATACTTTGTTTGTAAAATATCAGAGATAAAAATAATTATAAAATTCAATAATAAATGTGAAATAAAAAAAAATAATACGCGCCCTTTCGATACAGCTTAAACTCACCCTTGGTTTAGGATTGCCAGTTATTTTTGCGGTGAAGACGGCATCCGTTCCTTCGACGAGTTTCGAGTTTCTCGGTTTCTGAGTGATTTGCGGAGGAGCAATCGGTCCTAAGGTACGATCGACTGTTGTAGAAATTTGCAAATCAGATTCACCCACGAAACGGCGAGTGATCGATTCGCGAAACTCCGATTCGCGCAATAATCTGTATTCGAAGGTATCAACCTGCACATTCGAGGAAAATACGAAGAGTTATTTTAATTCGTCATTATCCTATTCCTAGTAACGTGCATCAAATTATAATACCTTAAAATCTTCGATGCTCGTAGACGTGCCATTAACGTAACTTCGTTTATCTATCGTTTGTTGATAACGTTGTTGGAAGACCTGACTGCCGGTCTGCATTTTTTGTTCGCTCGACTGAATGCTTTGCGTAAATTCCTTCTTATAACTATCCGACAGTTGTTGCGCTGGAGGACCAAATCCTTCTGGTTGTATGTAAACTGAGCAAATCGCTTCGCCTAAATGAAGAACATGATAATTGTTTTGTTTTAGTTTAAATCCTGGTTTAGAACTAGCAAAATATGTTCAAAGAGAAAACGAGGAAAATATGTCTGATAAAATAAAAATTAAATTTGCTAGCAGATGAAACCCTCACCATACTGATTCTTTGCACTACACGTGTACTCGCCCTCGTCCCCTGGACCAATCTGATTAATTTGAAGGGTGACAATTCCAGTATATTCGTCATAGGACATTCGAATCTTTCGTGATTCTAGCAACGGTATTCCTTTATGCGTCCAAGAAACTGTTGGTTTTGGATTACCTCGGACGCAACCTTCGAAAATTGCGTTGCCGCCCTGCGCGAATCTCGCATTTTTAAAGATTCGTTCAAAAATCGGCGGTGATGGATCACCAGGTTTGCCGGTAAATCTACATCGAGGGGATCACATTAAAATAACAATTTAATTTTTTCTAAAAATGTTATAATCACAAAGCATATCGCGATACTTACACTGGTACCGTTGGCGTCGTTTGCATTACGATCTCCCCTTGAACTGCGAAAGAAAATTAATCTAGTTTTAGATAATTAATACGAATTCTATTAAACATCGAAATAATAATTAAAACAAGTTTGCGCGAAATTGCGCGTGTATTTGATTAATTTTTTTCAAGTCTCAGTACTATAGACTCTTTCGTGTATTGTATTTTCGTAATGGTTCGTTTTCGAGCTAATGAGTAAATTGGTTTAAATTTACGGTGCGTCCTGATGTAGACATAACTTAATGAAAAAGTGCGGCATCGTCATCGCGCGTAACGGCGACAGGAAAAAAACGGCGTCAACGGTTCGTTTCCTCGATTCGTTCTACCCTAATTGGAAAGTACGACAGAACAATTACACACGAAGATCTAAAACGTGTGTGTATACGCATAAAACCCTAATGTGTAAAACGATTTAAATAGTGTACACACAGTTTTGCTTAAAAAATGAGCGAATTTTAATCAATAAAAAGATAATTAAAAGTTAGATAATCATTTTTTTACATGACAAAAACTATAAGAACAAAATTTTTACAATATAACAGAAACGTATAATAAAAAATAAATTTTAATGATTACATTAGATATTTCTCTCTAAATAATTTGCACATCTCTTTACAAACTCCCTCTAAAATAAAATTCAATTACACTATGCATATGCGTGCGTGTGTGGAGCCTTTTTAACTGACGTTTAAATTTAATGAATTTATTAAGTTAATGAATTAATAAATCAATGAAAAGATAATTAAAAGTTAGACAATCATTTTTCTACATGACAAAAACTATAAGAACAAAATTTTTACAATATAACAGAAACGTATAATAAAAAATAAATTTTAATGATTACATTAGATATTTCTCTCTAAATAATTTGCACATTTCTTTACAAACTCCCTCTAAAATAAAATTCAATTACACTATGCATATGCGTGCGTGTGTGGAGCCTTTTTAACTGACGTTTAAATTTAATGAATTTATTAAGTTAATGAATTAATAAATCAATGAAAAGATAATTAAAAGTTAGACAATCATTTTTCTACATGACAAAAACTATAAGAACAAAATTTTTACAATATAACAGAAACGTATAATAAAAAATAAATTTTAATGATTACATTAGATATTTCTCTCTAAATAATTTGCACATCTCTTTACAAACTCCCTCTAAAATAAAATTCAATTACACTATGCATATGCGTGCGTGTGTGGAGCCTTTTTAACTGACGTTTAAATTTAATGAATTTATTAAGTTAATGAATTAATAGCCTCATAATTAAAATTCATCGTTCTTTACTGTGTGTGCAGCTACGCATCGTTCGCTCCGCGATCCGCGGAAGCCGCGAAGGGGCCGCGAAGGGGGCTAGACGTCAGGTAATGCACACTCTAACGCTACGAACACAAGATCGTATTTTTGCATTCGGATGGGGATCACGTTACCGTGATCCATTTTAGGCGCAACTATCTTTGCTCGACGCCGAGCGCCGCGACGCGCCGCGTCGCAACGCGTGTACCCGGACCAATCTCGTTTCCCGTTACGCAAAGGCAGTCACTGACCAAAATAAAATCCGAATCTGACTCTCTCTCTCTCTCTTTCTTCTTCTTCATCTACATATATTTCGCGCGAGCGTTAATATATGTTTTATATATATATATATATATATATATATATATATATATATATGTATCGTGTATCGAAATTTCAAACATGAAACAACTATCTCCTCTTTCTGTCATTGTTCTTTTTTTACTTCTCTCCTTCGTCCCCTATTGTCATTTTCTTTTTGATGGACTGTCAGTTTTGTTATTCGTCACAGTTCGACCTAATGACGCTGAGATGCGATCAGCTGTTCTGAGTAAAGTGTCCAAGTTTCGCAAAACTGGCAAATGTTATAGGAAAACTTAGCCGATTTTTTGCAGAATTGTTTGCATGATGAAATGAACAGATTCTAGAAGATCATTATACGATATTCAATTTAATTCATAAATACATGAATTTTATTTTATTAATCAAAGTACGAAGCAATTTGTATCACATAGCACTATCACTTGTGTAAATATTACTTAACGCGTAGTGACTAAGATTCTTGCTAACAGTTAACATCTATTTATTTCTTGCTTACTTCTGTCAGTTTTGCATTGTTCATCAAAACAATGGTTAATATTGTCGGTAGTTTGCAGTGAATTTGATTTACTGTATTAATTTGGTATGTAGCATATTTTTGTTTTTTGAATGTATAATTATTTGTAGAGCGATAAAGTGTATTAAAATTATAATTATTTTTATGTAACTTTTTATAGATTTACTGTGAAAAGGGCTGCAATGACAGCCGAAACGTTGTATTTCAACTAATTATTTATAATAAATGATTGCCAGTCTGATCGACTTTTAACTTTGATGAGAGATTTTTATAAATATTTTTTAATAAAATTTCCTTACACGTGACATTTCCCTGCATATATTTAATTTTTCTTTGTAAATGAAGAAAGATAGTTTAACGCTACTAGCGTAACGGAGTCGCTTACTGTATTTCATTGTCTTTTAGTTTCACGCACGTTGAAATATAACCCTATACGTTTCGATGCACACCGATGCAAGCAAGATTCATAAATTTGTCAACGTTTATGTCATTTGGCAGCCAACAAAACACCAACGCAACCATTTTCTCTATTCTTTTATGTATACGCAGTTGGCAAATGTATTCTATACCTTCAATAACGAAAATCTAAATCTGAAATCGCTTGTATATATTAAAAAATTAATTCGTAAAACGGAATACGTGTGCGCAAAAGTGGTTGCTTAGATTTCTGTAAAAAATCTCTAGAATTGAAATTTTTTATGTGAAATTATTTATATTCTGTTTATCGTAAAAGACTGAAGCCTTTAATAAATTAGCTGAATAAGCATGCAAAATGAACATTATTAGATGAATATAATTCTTGATTCCCTTTCTTTTTTTTGTCACATAATAAGCACACAAGGATTAAGCAATTCAATGGTCTTTTTATCTTGATCTCTTTTGAATTTGGCATTGCGCCTATTTTGCAATGAATTAAACAAACACAAACAAGAGCGTAATAAATGTGTTTCTGAATTTTACAATTACTTTTGGAGATTTTCCAATACATTGCATTCATCAATATAATGTTACCTATGATTCTTCATTGTAAAATAATAATTTTTCATTACATTAATCTGCCAATTAAAAATTAATTTTTATGTTAAAGAATTTTAACAGATATCAATATGAAAATTATATAAATTTTACATTAATTTATATTATTTTGTTTCAATAATTAAGCATACTATGTTTAAAATATAACTAGATTAACCTTGGCTATGTCAGGCTAATTATAGGATCTCTGCTCTTTTTTGATTATCTTCGAAATAATAACGAAATATTTTTCATTCATTAGAATTGAAGATTGGAATAGAAGGGTTGCTCCGAAATGCATTTTGTTAATGGAAGAAAATTGTAAGATTCTCGAGACATATGTTTTCTCTTGATGGAGGTCGCGTAATGCAACGTCACCCTTCTTCGGGGGCGCGTGAAAGAATTTTATGAGACGGTCACACGTCGAAGTACGCGGAGAACTATCTTTAGAGCTCTCGCACGAACGGTGCTCCTTGCTCGGAAATAGAATACGAGAGCCTACGTTGATGGGATATTCGCCAGGAGATGTAATATCAAAATTTCATCGCTTATTTCTCGTTAAAAAAATTTTTAAAAAATTAATCCAAAATATACGCAGTTAATCTGCAAATGAGAATTTTTGCGACTAAAAATTGCGATATAAAATGTAATTTCATAATTTCACGCGGCATTTTTTATAATGTGTTTCTTGCTCGAGCTCTTCTTGTTCGATAGATTGTTCGAAAGTACGATCTCTGAATTTTTCACACGTTATTGCAACTGACCTCTCTGCTGACTGGTGATCTGTTGCCGCGTGATTTGTCTTTCCGTTCGTTGCTGGGTGTATTGTTGTTGCTGTTCCTGCTGGATGATTTGTTGCTGCTGTTGCAGCTTTTGCTGCTCTTGAGACTGTTGTCGCTTCATCTTGGATCGAGAAATCCGATAAAGTTACGAGTCGTACGAACGGAAGAATCGTGAACTGCTAACTATACTCTTGAAGAATCTACAGAGCTCTTCGTTTAATGTATATTTCTCTCTCTCTCTCTCTCTTTTTTTTTTTTTTTTTCAAAACGTCGCGTTTTATCACTCGCCGAGATTTAACGAACAAACTCTCGACGCACAACGACGGGTTGGAGCAAATCACTCGCACTTATCCCCCGTTTTGTCCCGCAATACACGCAGTATTCTTCTGCTGGTAGCCGCGGCTCAGTCCAATCAGTCGGCAGAAATCAAGTCATCGTCAAAAGTCTTGTCCCCGTGATTCTTTAAACCAAGACGTCGGTCGAATGCGAATTGAACGGGTTACGAGTTGACGCTTGGCTAAAGCGCGAGGAGATGGAGAGGGTGTTACATGGTTTAGGGTGGGGACGTCCGAGGATTCTGTCGAGGAGGAACAAGAGAAATATAGCGTACGCGCTATAGAGTTAGCTTGACATATCGCAAGAGATTTCGACAATTTTTATGCATCACGATGTTTAAAAATATACGAGTGAGTAAAAGGGTACCAATATACATAATATGTCATAGAAATATATAAGAGACACATGACAGATACATTATTTTTATCGCGATATTGTTTGCGATAACGATCGGCTCGCACTAACGAAGTGTTAAATATAAGATTGAAGTGTTGCTCGCGCTATAGATTCATTTGATAAAGACTCCGTTTGTACGTCGCCGATCGAAGAGAAGCGGTAAAAGTCTCACGCAGCGTTCTCGCGCTCACTGACAGCCGCCCACGCATCTGCACATTATTGCCCCCTCCGTGCTTACATCTCTCTTTCGTCGTTCCTCTCCGTGAAGCCCGAGCACTTCTTAAGTCTGAATGCGCACTCGTACGTACATTTCTTTCCTCGATCTTTTCTTTTCTCCCTCTTCGCGTATCTTTATCGAATTTTTATCTATAAATATTCAGATTCTTTTACTCCACAATGTGTATGTGTTGGCGATTTTCCCTTCTTTTTTTTACCCTCTTTCTCTCTCTTTTCTCAGTCTTACAAACAATTTGTTCATTTCCTTATTCTCATTATAAAATTTGATAACAGAAGATATTCTCCTTATATTTGCGTAGGCTCGACCAAGTTTAGCCGCGCGAGCAACCCTTGATCGCGACTCTGAGAATGCATCGCTCAGCCACTACGAACCACATTCTAAATGCGTATGCGCGCCTATCAGTGAGCCTAACAACGCGGGGGATTGCTTCGTAATACGTAAATAACGACTGGCGTTTTTCGAGACACTTTTAACACCGCTCGAAAAATTATACAAGATGCATCTTTACCAGCAAAGATCAAATCATCTATTTTTCATGTAAAAATTTAGTATACAGATTTTTTGTACACATTTCGACAAAAAGTGATTTTCTCTCTTTCTTTCCTAGGAAATAATTCTAGTTTTTCGTCCAAGCATAAGCAATAGGAATAATCCTGCTTAACCGTTAACGTTTTGACGAATCGGAGCGTTTTTCGAGACACTTTTAACACCGCTCGAAAAATTATACAAGATGCATCTTTACCAGCAAAGATCAAATCATCTATTTTCGTGTTTTAGTATACAGATTTTTTGTACACATTTCGACAAAAAGTGATTTTCTCTCTTTCTTTCTAGGAAATAATTCTAGTTTTTCGTCCAAGCATAAGCAATAGGAATAATCCTGCTTAACCGTTAACGTTTGACGAATCGGAGCGTTTTTCGAGACACTTTTAACACCGCTCGAAAAATTATACAAGATGCATCTTTACCAGCAAAGATCAAATCATCTATTTTTCATGTAAAAATTTAGTATACAGATTTTTTGTACACATTTCGACAAAAAGTGATTTTCTCTCTTTCTTTCCTAGGAAATAATTCTAGTTTTTCGTCCAAGCATAAGCAATAGGAATAATCCTGCTTAACCGTTAACGTTTTGACGAATCGGAGCGTTTTTCGAGACACTTTTAACACCGCTCGAAAAATTATACAAGATGCATCTTTACCAGCAAAGATCAAATCATCTATTTTTCATGTAAAAATTTAGTATACAGATTTTTTGTACACATTTCGACAAAAAGTGATTTTCTCTCTTTCTTTCCTAGGAAATAATTCTAGTTTTTCGTCCAAGCATAAGCAATAGGAATAATCCTGCTTAACCGTTAACGTTTTGACGAATCGGAGCGTTTTTCGAGACACTTTTAACACCGCTCAAAAATTATACAAGATGCATCTTTACCAGCAAAGATCAAATCATCTATTGTTCGTGTTTTAGTATACAGATTTTTTGTACGCATTTCGACAAAAAGTGATTTTCTCTCTTTCTTTCCTAGGAAATAATTCTAGTTTTTCGTCCAAGCATAAGCAATAGGAATAATCCTGCTTAACCGTTAACGTTTTGACGAATCGGAGCGTTTTTCGAGACACTTTTAACACCGCTCGAAAAATTATACAAGATGCATCTTTACCAGCAAAGATCAAATCATCTATTTTTCATGTAAAAATTTAGTATACAGATTTTTTGTACACATTTCGACAAAAAGTGATTTTCTCTCTTTCTTTCCTAGGAAATAATTCTAGTTTTTCGTCCAAGCATAAGCAATAGGAATAATCCTGCTTAACCGTTAACGTTTTGACGAATCGGAGCGTTTTTCGAGACACTTTTAACACCGCTCGAAAAATTATACAAGATGCATCTTTACCAGCAAAGATCAAATCATCTATTGTTCGTGTACGAGTTTAGTATACAGATTTTTTGTACGCATTTCGACAAAAAGTGATTTTCTCTCTTTCTTTCCTAGGAAATAATTCTAGTTTTTCGTCCAAGCATAAGCAATAGGAATAATCCTGTTTAACCGTTAACGTTTTGACGAATCGGAGCGTTTTTCGAGACACTTTTAACACCGCTTGAAAAATTATACAAGATGCATCTTTTACCAGCAAAGATCAAATCATCTATTGTTCGTGTACGAGTTTAGTATACAGATTTTTTGTACGCATTTCGACAAAAAGTGATTTTCTCTCTTTCTTTCCTAGGAAATAATTCTAGTTTTTCGTCCAAGCATAAGCAATAGGAATAATCCTGCTTAACCGTTAACGCTTTGACGAATCGGAGCGAAACGCTCACCGATAACTAACTAAATTTACTGTCCGGTGCACTCGAGCAGTTCAGTACCCATTAACGATACTCATCTCTTCGTGTAATATATACCTCGCATCGCAATTAATCTACATCAGCTTTCTGTATCGTCAGTATCGGTAAAAAGCGAATGTTAACGGTCACGATGCGTGTAACGAAGGAAGTACCTTCGCGCCGGAGAAACATCAGTTCAGAAACATCATCACATCGAGAAGGTGGGTCACGCGTGAATCACCACGTTTCGTCCAAGATGCCGCATAGCGACGCATCTATTTTGAGATTTTGTGAAATAATCTCGGTCGCGATGACGAGAAGCCTTTACGTTTCGCTATGATTCAAGTACCGACGAATATTTCGGGATCGTTAAAATCTTTATTTACTTCATAGACTTGTTAGATTCTATTTTGATCGAGCATAGTGAACTAATATAATGTCATTAAAACCCGACGCGATTCAAGTACTCACCATTTGTCACATTGTGCTCTCCTTCGCGATTATACAAAGGCAGCTTGATATCCAAACGCAAATTATTGATGTCAAGTTTGTCCTTCGTATAGATGCTATCTAATTCATGTCCAATGTCATTTTCCCCCTTTATTGCATCGAAATCTCTCGTCACATTCTCGCGATTGTTTCCTTCTATGAAACTGTTACATAATTTAATGATAGTTTCATAATGAAATGGTATATTGAATTTGATAGATTTTTTATTAAGTGATCGATGCAACTACCTGCAATCTGTAGTGAATCCGAAATCATAAAAAGACTCGTACGGTTGTTCACAATTCGTAGTGGGCGTAACATTTTTATCTTGCGACAGGAATAAATCTTTTAAAGCCACATATTTTGGTGTATCCTGAAATCGTTCGATTATGCTTTCCTTTGGATAACGATAAACATCGTATATCGATGACGTTGCGCCTGTAAAAGTAGCGATACTACTTGGAGAAATATGACGATTATCGTTGTAAAATTGCGTAACCGAATCATAAAGAAAAATAGATTAGCGTTCTCTCTTTCTCTCTCTCTCTCAACATATATAAGATCGCTTGTTTTTCTTCCGTATATTTTTGGATCATCGACTCACATTTTCCTCCACATTCCTCGAGATTATTTTACCATCTATTTTCATACCAAATCATCCGTTTTTCATGCAAGAGATGAATCAAGTTTTATAATTTCTAGAAATTTTCAAAAATTCTTACAATACGAAATTCAACCGTTTCATGTGTCGGAAATGATGTAACGTTTTAATCGTTCTCTGGTTTCAATAAAAAAATAATGTTTAACTTTTGAACGATGAAAATGTTTCAAGATACGAAAATACTATCTAAAAAAATTACAATTAGCAATATATGTAGAGTTTAAATTAAGCAAAGACACAATTAAAGAAAATTATCAAAATTTTTTTAAAAACGTATATCCTATATGCAACTTTTTCATGATCTTTAGCATTTATGAACTTTAGCGATAGATCTTGCTAGAAAATTAATTTTTATTAAAAAATTCACGATCTCTTTGACTTTTTATTTTTAAGGAGCTATATGTTCATATTCGAATCTCTATAATACCGCGCGACAATATGCGTGTGTGATGTGCAAACACGCAAGTTACGCGATAAGAGTGGACTAGTATTGTCAGATGTAGATATTTGAAATAATAAAAAATATTTTCATAATTTTTACAATTGAATATAAATTATTAGATGCTTTTAAATTTCTGTTCACCACCATAACGCTACCACATCACAATGTCTTGAAGAAATGTTAAAAAGGAGGCAGTTATGAATACAGGAAAGGAAGATGGAATGTAGGCAAGAATGTGAAATAATTCATTACCCATAAACCATAGCCAAGTTTATATTGTAGAGAAAGCACACTTTTTTATTTACATAATATATAAGTATTTATGTCACCATGTGTATGAACAGCAGCATTAATAAATAACACAGTTAACTCCTTGTGAAATGCGAAAATATCTTATTTTGAAAATCTTCGACTATCGATTAAATTATTGACGATCGCTTAGTTAATTTACAGAACACTTTTATTCTTCAATAAATACTGTTTTTTATGACCATTGTCGTTTGTACATTTCTAAATGCAATTATAATGTGAATTATACCTTTGTTGTTAATTCTCTATCGACGCAAGGAGTTAACAGCATGGTGATTTAGAATATAGCCGTACACATGCCCCATAATAGATTCCCATATTTCATCTAGCTGTAAAACATTAACTTTTCGTGTTTTAAGCACAGACAATTAATATGGAAATGTGTAAAACTACAAAGTAAGAAGCCGTTTAGGACGTTTGGATACTCCTATTACATTTATATATATTTAGTGCTTATAAATAAACAATATACTTTTATTATTTTGTTTTTAAATAGTTTGACTAGTTTTAATATATCACGGTGCATAAATAGAGAGTGATTTAAAATATTAATCTTTGAATTGAAATAAACTTCTTTTTTATATTCTATAATTTTATTTTAAATTATTAGCTTCGATAAAGCTAGCTTGAAAAAAGGAGTATCATGATTCTATAGCCTGTAACAACGCTGGCAAGAAACAATCAATGTATGTTTAGAAAGAAGAATCGAAAATATAATGGTTTAATTGAAGGAAAGAGTAGAGGAAACAGAAGTAAGACATAAACAAGAAACAAATGTAGATATGTAGATATGCGAGGAATCAAAAGCTTTACTTAACTTGTCCAATGGCATGATATTGTTCAATAAAACATTTTTTTCTTTGCTTCGTAATTTTTATTTCTTATTTTGATTTATTTATTATTGACTCGCTTTAATTGACTAGTTTCTGTGTCTCATAACATTATTATAGTTCGTACGTATATACAACTATATAAAAACAAAACAATTATGCGCATTGAGACAAAGCTAGGTTGCTTTTTTGTCCTGTGTGTATTCTATAACACCACTTTTCATATTTTCTTGTATCGCGATAACTCATCCATCTCCAGGAAGAAGCAAGCTAGAAAAAGCGCTTTGACATCGAATTATAATATTCGCTTGTCTTCGAGTGTTTAAAGGAATTTTTTTCGCATAAAGGAAATATCCCGAGCATTGCATATCATTATTTCCCTCACCATATTAACCTGCGAACTGGGTGGATAATAATTAAATATGATACAATGCACAAATCCGATATCAACACAAACCGAAGTTAAGAACTGACTTTTCCACCACCTTTGCGTTTATCCCGTTCGATTTCGTGCGGGGAAAGGGTCGTTTCCTAATCAAATCTTTACGAAATAGGGGCGTATAAAGATCGTCTATTACCTGGCACCTCTAAATTGGCGGAAGTTACGGTGGAACCTAGACTGTTCGTTGCCGTGCACGCATAAGTTCCAGCATCCTCTATGTAAAACAAAATATATATATATAAAATTATATTATAGCATCATAATTGTATAAAATGTCTATATAAATTATTCCCTATATAAATTTCTCTTTTATTTCTATATTCATATAACAATTTTATTCGAACAAAAATCAATAAATCGACTTTAATAGCTATTAAAAAATTATTTTAAGAAAGAAAAATAAGTACAAAGTATAATCATTTTTACATCGTACCGGGAAAAGCTCTTATTACGGTAAGACGGCAAACGCCATTTCTATATTGGATGTCATGACTCGCAGAATTTTCAACGATCCTACGATCCTTTGACCAAAGAATATTAGGCTGCGGTTCAGCCTGAACGATACACTCGAATCTAGCTGATTGTCCGCTTATTACTGCGATATCTTTCAGTGGCTGAAATAAAATTATAAGTTTTTTTCAAATGAAAAATTATTAATAATTAGCAACAAGTTATTAATATTACCGTGATAAATATAGGAGCCTTTTTCGGTAATATGTCGAGGTAAGGCTGAATTACTTCTTTGGTCGATGACACGCCGTTACTGGTCGGCCACGGTGAACCTACGATGTTTGATGAAATTGAACGAAAAAATATAATACAATAGTAACAAACAATATATGAATCAGGCGATTTAGAGCAATATAATTCGATTAATACAGAATTATACAGAATCTGAAATTCGTATAACGAGTAACCAATTGTTAGAGAACATGATTGATTAACATGCACGAAAATAAGCGTCTGGTTTGATAATGAATGTTAAAAAAGACCATCTTTTCTTACGTGCAATTATCACATTTCCTAAATTGCATTTTGCGATACAGTAGTACATGTAAGGAAATCTCGAGAAGAATCCGAGTGCAATGAGAAAAGCAAGAGCACAAGAGTTTTGTTGAAAATTATGACAGAAGTTATCGCAATCCAGAATCAGCGACAGAAATTCTCAATGGATAGAGAAAGAAATAGTAGAACGAACGATCTGAAGCTAGATGAAAAGTGCTGGAAACAATTAATAAAGGCAGCAACACATATATTCTCGCGATGGCAGGCTTATACCTGCAGAATCCACATTGCTAGGTGGTCCAGTAGCGCTACTATGTCTGGGAGATAGGCTCGGCAAGCTTGGACTAAGAGAAATCGGGCTAGGCGTAATGCGATCCCATTTTGACGGCGATACGGGGCTAGGTATGATGAGACTTGGAGGCGCCATCATCGAGCTTTCCAGCCCCGATTGTTTTTTCGTGAGACGTTTCGCGTCCTCCGCTTCGGAAAACTCGCTTTCCGACGTCGGCTCCCACTTGACAGTCTTCGAGTTACCGAATTTGTTTCCCGGCTTGGTCTGGCGACTCGAGAATGTGCCCTTCTTCGCGAAACCATTCGCTTTCTTCTCAGTAAATTCGTGGACTATAGGCACTTCCACGTCGCTGGCGCGTCTCTGTCCTTGAATGCTCTTCTGACTGCTTTGAACCGTCTTTTTACCCTCGCCGGGTAAAAGAATACCGAATTCATAACCAAAGTCATACTTGAAATATATGAGTCCAGTGTCCGGATCGATTTGTTTTGTTCCTGTTTGCGCGAATAAGCATTACATGCTTATATATTACCTCAAATATAATAGATTTATAAATTGATTCATGCAATATGCGCGCAATTAGAACGCAGACGGAATGTCTTATTGTTATGTTTCAAAATTATGTATTTGTGTATGTTATACTTTTACTTCAACTGGATATAACGTGAACGTAATTAAACAAATTAGATGTATCTGCTTTTTAAATTAAAATTAGGTAATATTATTACCGTGTTCGGAGACTCGCGATTCTTCTCTATAAGTTCTCGGCTCGTCCCTATCCGTCGTCCTTGAATCGACAGGATGCTTCAAAATCGGTTTGCTCTGCCTCAAGTCCGACTGGATATCACTTACGAATTTCTCGGTTTTCGATTTGAAGCTGCTCGTCATATCACTCATATGACGTGACGCGATGTCTGCGAACGTTTTAGAGCTTTGTGTTACGGAAAAAATAAGATTTAACTCACTTTTTGCATATAGAGACGGAAGAAAAATTGTAAAACCCGATGGAATGAAAAGTGACATAACATGTAAAACGAAGATTGCAAAAAGAAAGAGAACGAAAAATCGGCCAAATAAAGAGCGATTAAAGCCAAACAAGATGTAAAGTGATAATTGTGAGAATTCATGTGTAATTATCGAGAATGAAAAATATACTTCTACCATCTGCGCTTCTACGATTGTTTATGCGAAAGCATTACGTGACATATTATTTTTCTTACGATCCGCAGCGTTTTTCACGTCGCTCCTCGAAACAAATCCGTATTCGGGTGGCGAACCAGGTTGCAGAATGCTGTCGCTCTTTCCGGAAGCTGTTCGTTGCTGCTGGTATCTCTGATGGCTGATGGTTCCGTCAATCTCCTCTCTGCGGATCAACGAGGTCGGAGTCCTCGGAGGACCGGTGTCAAACTCCATCGGCGACACGACGTGTGTCTGCCTAACCGGAGCACTCGACGATCTCGGGCTCTTAGCCGCGGGAGGTTGAACTCTTCGGTAATGCGGCTCCTCCGTGTCGCTGTCGGCCGGGGTCCACTTCGGCCGAATTCTGCCAGAGTCTACGTCGCTCTCGTAATCGGACTCGCGAAATTGTCCTTGGACAAATTTGGTTGGTACGGGCACGCGATAATGCGGTTGCTGTTTCTGCTCGCCGAACTTGATGACGCGGCTCGTTTGCTCGACAGTGACGACTCTCCTGGCAGTCTCGGTCGACTCGTCCATCCTCATGGTCTTCTTGGTTTCGGTGCCCACCGCGTTGGTAAACGGCACGCCTGCACGAGCCTCGTAAAATGTTTGCCGTTGCGGTTGCTGCGGTGGCGCGTACGCGATTTCCGGCGGAGAACCGGGTAAGAGAACTGTCTTCGGCTTTGTCGATGCTATCGTATACTTGCTCGGCTTCGCTGGTTTTCCTATGTGGAAAAGTTTGGTCCGAAAATTCGAAACGAGTTCCAACTATTTGTTGAGAAAAGAGCGAGAGAAGGTAGTACATCTCAGAAGAGCATATTTATATTTCTAAATTTCTAGTAGAGTACAGCAACATCCGGTTTCACACAGATCTCGTTAGGACCGAGCATAGCTGTCAAAACTCGACGAATTGCGAGTTCAATATTATGTATTGAATATTATTACGTCCATCAATTAGATATCGATGACATTTCGGGATTTTCTCGACCTCACGATGATGAAACCGGTTATAAAGCAAGAATAGAGTATCTCATAGAAAGCGAATTCATTTACGCAGAAATAAATGCGATGATTAAAAGAAAGATGAAAATTCAATAATTGTTTTACAAAGAAACGTTGAAGAAAAGAAAAAACATGCAAATGAGAAAGATAAAAGAACTTGTGTCTTGAATATCAAGCTTGCAGAGAGAACTATACACTATTAGCTAGAAAATGGAGCAAAAGTTAAAGAGCTCTTATAGATTAGATCAGTTACTTTCTATTTAAAAGTGTACAAAATTAATAATGCAAATTCGTTTTACTTTTCTGTATTACTAACACATTTAATAATAAAATATATAATTTTTAATAAACATATAAATAACTCCATGAAAACCAATATATTGTTATAGTTATTTTAAAGTTATTTTAAATGAATGTAATAAAATACAATAATATAAATGATAAAAACTCATACAAGTACAAAAATTTTGCAGTACTAGACGTTCTAGCTCAAGCGTTAGGTTTAATAAGAAATAATAATGTAATACCTGAATCGGTGACAAATTTCGTAGAGCTGCTCAAGCGACACGGCGGTGTTATGCGATCATAGTCGCTTTCATAGTCGCTCTCACGGAAATCGCCCTTCACAAATTTCGAAGGACTCGGAGAGATTGACATAATCTTTTCCACTGCTTCCAATTTTTTCTGATCGATGGAAGGCCCTCCCGTTTCCTGTTAAACATTATTTCATTAAGTATTTCAATAAGTATTTCGACTCAATTTCTTTACGAAACACTACAAAAAACATTAAACAGCATACACAGTTTTTATTGACACATTCCAATTGTTAATGTGCACACATATTAAAATCTATAAAATACATTACTACACTATATCGCTCTATTTATTATGTTTTAATTTCCTAGACAAGCATGAAAAAAAGAAACAATATTCGAAGTGACACACGCATCTCGAAAAGCTCGAACCTTCAGGGATTCGAATCTGCTTGCTAAACCGCTGCTAGTCATCGAGGAATAAATCTTCTCGCTGCGTTGTTGTTGTTGAACAACTTTGGGAGGCGTCGGTGTACAAACAGGTGACGAAACGAAAGAAGAAGACTCCTCTTTTCGTAAGTGATCAGTTTCATAACTGTGGCTTTCGAAAGACTTCATCCTGCTTTCCGTGCACGTAGTACGGCTCTCCGTGTGAATTGTCGAAGAAACATCGCGTTTACCGAAAGATTTCTGCGTCATGGTCGTCGTAGACGAAGCTTTCTGCTGAAACGGCTCGTCCGTGTCCGCCATGTAACCGCTTTCCTGTTGAAAAACTTTCGTCTTGAACTTCGGAGAGTCTGGTTTCTTGGTGCAAGGAGATTTCGGAGCGGTACTCTTTATAGTTGGTTGCACGTAAATCGGTGGAGAACCGGGTTTTAAGGGACTCGAACTTTGTTGCTGCTTGGATTCCCTTTCGTGTCGTTTAAACGTCGTCTTTTTGATTGACTTTTCGGCAGATTCTGCAGTAACGAGGGTGCTGGACGGTCCTGCGAAGAGCGCGGGAGTCTCGAATTTGGAAGGTGGAAGTGGCTCGGGTTCGGTGGATCTCGGTCTCGTCGATTGTTTCGAAACAGGTGCCTTCACTCTCCGATAATGCGGCTCTTCGTTGTCGCTCTCGTACGGTCTCCACTTCGCTCTCAGACGACTTTCGAAATCGGACTCGTAATCGCTCTCGTGGCTAAACGAACCCTTCATGAACTTCGATGGCACCGGCGTCGAGGCCTTGACGGGCTTTTTGGCCGGAAGCGGCGGTGGCGTGATACGCGCTTCTTTCGGTGGAAGTACAGGTGGTTCTTCCCGCTTCTCTATCTTTTGCTCCAATATAGTTTCATCTTTTACAGAGAATGGCGGAGGAATATATCCAATTTCCGGAGGTGATCCTGGTTTGAGGACGAGCGAATCGACTTCCGTTTCAATAAGATCCTGACGCGGAGTCACGACTGGCTCAACCTTCTTTACTAAACTCGGTGCTTTTAATTCTTTGTCCTCCGTCAAGCGTTTCGAGCTAAACTCTTCAAATTTCTGTATCGTTTCCGTTTTATCCACATTGCACTCACTCATGTATTTCTCGAACAGAGCTTTCTCCTGTGCTTTATTCACAGTATGATCGACTTTAATCGTCTCGGCGTTATAGATTATCGGACCAAGTTTTAACGTAGGCAAAGATCCCTCCACTATCTTTTCCGTAAATTCTTCTTTGCTGGACCAGGAACGTTTCTCCACATTGGCGGATGATTCCGTGCTAATCTTTTTTATTCCACCTTGCGGGGTCTCCTCGATCTTCTGCGTGAATTCTCTTGAGGAGCTCTTATATTCGTCGACGGGAATATTCCATTCGCGTTTCTGAGCGGATTCGGCCTGAGGTGGCCAGGACTTTCTATTCGAATCCGCGTATTTTTTCGCCCAGGATTTTTCCATCGCCAGCGCGTCCGCGGATGGTTTCGGCGACGTTGCTCTCAGAACTTCCTGGTGACTAGAAGCGGCCGAATGAGATCTGTATTCCGACAAATCTGTAGATACATGCGATTTAGTTTCCACATCCGACGATGACGACCATGGTCTGCTGGGAGAAACACTTCTCAAAATGGATGAGTATTTCGACGGTTCGATCTTTTCTTCCTTAAATTTACTTTCCTTCTTTTCATATGTCTCTCTCTTCATACATGTCTCTTCGAACGCTTCTTTCTTTTCAAGTTCGAAAGGTGGTGGTATGGTGAATATAGGTTCGGCGGGTTTGATGGGTTCTAATATTTTCGGAGTGGAAGGAGTGGTAGGAAAAATTTTCACGCCTCCGATAGGAGCATCTATTGGGGAAATCGTCTTGTCGAAAGACTCTTGCAGCTGCTTTGCCTTGACAAACACATCAGGCCGTTTCTTTTTCGCCTCCTCCGGCTTCGGCATGTAACATATCTCGGGAGGTGGTTCCGGAACCAGATTGAAACTTTTCATCAACGTTTCGAAACTTTCTGTCTGCTGTTGCGAGATGGACGAGTCGGAAATTATCCTTTCCTCCAAAGTCGTTTTTTTTACTTCCGTTGGTTTAGGACTCTCATATGGAAATTCAAACAGCTTGTTTTCCACTCCGCGAGGTGATGATCCTTGTTCCAATCTGGTGAAAATATCCTGAACGGCCTTTTTTGTTACCTGAAATTCTGACGGTTTTGCTTCCGTCGATTTCTTTACCTCTTGAAACGTTGACCTTTCGTAATTTTGCGTTAATTTCCCAACTTTAGCTGCTTGAGCTTGTCCCTCCTCTGTCAGCTTAATCATATCTTTCGGTCCTTTCGGGATTGTCTCGCTTTCTTTCGTAATAGACTCGAAAAAGCTCAATGCATCTTTCTTCGCAATCGTTGAAGTCTCTATGTTTTCATTCTCAATTGATTTATCTTCCGTTTTTATCGGCTCCGACACGTCTTTCCTTTCATCAGCCTTCTTTATCGCAATTGTTTGCTCGGTTCGTGACTTGGATTCCACGATTGGTGGAGCTTTATGTTCCAGTTTCATATGAAACTTCTGTTCCGTTTTCGTTTCGGATTCGTGAGATTCGATTATAGACGAGATCGTTTCCAATTTACTAGACTTTATCTCCGATCCATCGATCTTTTGCACGGTGTCGACTGCGATCGATGTCGGTGTCGTAATTGGCTTGAATAATAAGCTCGGTTGAATCGCTGATGTTAAAACACCCGATGATATTTCTTCTTTCTTCGCCTCAGACTAAACGCAAATATATTATAGTTTCACAAATATTTTTTAGCTAAGGCTAAATACAATTGTTTTAACATTAAACTTTATGTCCAATTTCGTTCATATTAGAAAATCTTGTGAATTTGCTTTATGAAAAACAATAAATTACCTGGACGCCACTTTTATCCTGGATGTTTTCGTAAATGACAGTTTTGTGCACCTCGACCATAGTATCGGGTTTCGGTTCATAAACTGCAACATCAGCGATGCTCTGAGCCTCGCCACCGGCGTTTGTCGCACGTACCATGTATTTGCCAGCATCTTCTTCTTTTACTATATATATATAATGCAAAAATTTAACAATAAATTCCAAATATCGAATTATAAAATAGAAAGAGAAGAGCGGATAAAAACTTAGCCAATTACGTAACAACTCTGTGCACCTTTGTCTACGAATAATGTGTAACAATTTCCTTGTTGAGTAATTCTCAGTTCTGGTGGTCGTTCATTGATTGGCACATCGTTTTTATACCAACTGACCGTAGGATCGGGTACACCGGTGATTTCTACTTCCATAATAACACGGTCGCCCTTCTTCGCTACTTGAGCCTTGAGACGTTTGCCGAAAACCGGGGGAAATATGGTCTCTAAATAATAATAAAGAATAAATTATTTTACATCAAGTAATTCTATATATAGTATATAATCTTTCTTAATAAATTTATGCATGTATCACTTACTTTTAACAACAAGATCGGCTGTACTACTGGAATTTCCAACATCGTTGCTCACTGTGCAAGTATAACGTCCAGCATCCTTTACGTTAACATTTTTAAGTTCCAATTTCACGTGATTGTGAGCGTAGCTGATTTTCACATTATCCTTTGATGTCAATTCTTGACCACCGTTTTTTGTCCACAAAACCGTCGGTTGTGGAAAACCTGGAAAGAACCGATAGTAAAATTATGAAACGATAAAAAAATTATTATAAGTATATATTGATAAAAATAAAATCGCAATTTTTAAATAAAATTTTCAACAATTGTGTAATGTGTCACTTGTGTACTCACCATCGATGATACCCTCGAAAACAATATCCTCTCCTTGATCGACAATCATCCCTGTAATCGGCGAGACAAATCTAGGCGCTACCGGTTTTCGAGATGGCTTCTGAATTTGATTCGTTTTGATGTCACGTTTTACACCATCCGTCTCTTCAGATACAAGAACAGTTTTCTCTTGTCGCACCTCGCCAGGTCGATCCTGTATAATTTTTTCGTACTCCTCGACTCTGTGAGCCTGTTAAAGATAATAGAGATAATTAATGAATATTACACGATGTGTTTACATCACGAATTTTTGACATGATAAGAAGAAGGGAAACAACTATACTTGATTGAAACAAAAAAGCAGATGGGATTAAATGTATTTACCTGCACGACAGGTGGTGCTCCGTTCTCCGAAGTAGACTGCTCCGAACTTTGTACAGTTGTTTTTGTGCAAACACTGGTAGGTTCCTGCCCGGATTTCGATAAAGTCATAGATGATGATAGAAATTCCTTCTTCGTGGACGTTGTCGAGGAATGCGTGACGGTCGACGACATTTTTGTTAGCACTTGACTCTCGCTACCGCCTTCGTGACTTGTTTTCTCACTTGAGAATTGCTTGTCGCTACTGCTTGCAGGATGCATTATGTCTGCAGGAGGATGTGGAGATAACTCGAGCACTTTTTCGATTTCACTTGAGATCTGCCTCACCGATTCACTATCTAGAATTTAATCAGTTATGTCAATAAAGTAATTACATTCTTCTGATGCGCGGCTAATAATAAAATATACTTTGGCAGATATTCAGTAATTAAAAAAAACAGTACATTCGATGCATATTACTTAAGACTACCGATATGTTATTATAAAAAATTGTTATAATTATGATTTTTATATTTCAATATTTTAGGTGTTTATTTTGTCTGATTTCACACAATAATAATTAATAAAGTTAAATAAATAAAAATTGACAACTAAATCACTTTCGCGAAATAAATGATATTTTATTTTAATGGACGCACATAACATGTACACAAATTGTATATATAAATTTAAGATATTAGAAATAAAGAGTGCTGGAGCGTACCAAACGCACAGCCGAAGTGCTCTCAGAGAAGTAACGAAATACTTTGCCTACGATCCACGACAAAAATAGTATCGTTCACCTAGTAATAGGTGAATCGAGCACTCGGTTGCGATATATAACCCCGGACCATCGTCCCAATTTATCGTTGTCACCTTACGCTTTTATTGATGCGCGTATATTAAGCATGACATTCGATAAACGCTGTCACTTTATATCCTTTCATATATAACTGCTTATATCTTCTTTATTAATTGAGAATACTAATAAATCTAGCAAGCACGCGTTCTTGGACTATATCATAATTTTTGAAAACATTTTTGTACATGTAATTATACTTGAATGAAATATTCTGATATTAATAATTTGGTATCTTAAAAGATCCGACAAATGAATTTATATCGTCTGAATTTTTATTTTCTAAATTATAAAGATATTATTCGCCTACACAAAATTATTCGATGAAACAGATATCAAGCAGAGAACGATGCTCTCTCTGCTATAAAAATGCATTTGTATTCTTTAAAGTTGGCGACTCAGGACCAGACTATGCGCTGAGTATTCGTATCGATAAAAATAACACGGTTTCTGCATGCATGTAACAAGAGAAAGAGAGAAGAGAAGAAGTATGTGAGGTTCCGTTGTTTTTTAAATATTTTTTAAATTTTTTAGAAAATATTATTTCAGTTTTCTCTCTTGAGATTCTCATACTTATACTTGATGCTTTAACATTCTGCGCGCAAATGCGAGAGGGAGCGTAAATTTATATATTCAGGTCACGCTATAAATGCAATATACATATGTATATGAATGTGGTCACAAAGTATATATGCATGCGTAGCAATGTCAAAGTAAAAGCATATAATATTTTAAAAAGAAAAACATGAAATTCTATTAAATTTCAGAGCATGCAGTTGACATTAATGTGCCCTCTCTCACTTGTCTATTTTCTCATCGAACGTCTATCCTGTCTGTCATTCGCTGGGAATCTCGAATAAGATACATTTGACTGGGTAAAGAGTATTAATAACTTGTGACACCGTTGTACACTCTTTGCGACATTATTTCCAAGATCATCAAAGAAAAGAATAATAAAGTGACCAATGATACACTCAATTTTATTATATATAAAAACCGTAATTAGTAAAAAAGATAATTAAATAAGTAAAAGTGTGTGTACAACATTTACTTACCAATTTCCACTTTAGCACTGCAAATCGCTTTACCAGCCGCGTTTTCCGCTACACAAGAAATCGTGCCGACATGCGCATCTCCGACCTCAGGAATAGTTAAAACTTGCCGATCTCCGCTAACGGAAACTAGAAAATCTTTTCCATGAACCGGCCGATCATTAAACAACCACTGAATCTGTAAAAAAAAATGCACTAATAAAATTTGTTGCTGTTAATTAATCAAGGCTAATAAGACACGATAAAATTAAACACGCATATAAGGAAAAATGTACAGTCTTTCTACATTCGAAAATGTATATTTTTTGATAGGGAAGCGAATTTGAGCAATGTTCGTGGTACCTGACAAGAACACACGGTGCTTTGCACCGCGTCGAAAGTTCCACCTTAACACTTCGCGACGCGACTGCAATCGCGGCTTTGAGATATATATTGTTCGCGTTTAAATATAACTCGTCGGGGGTAGCGAAATTTTATTCTTGCCCCGTTCTGACAGGCCGGCCAACCTCCTCTCATTTAGACGTTGTTTACACGGTTCACGCAAATTTTAAACAGCCCACGATTTCAGTCAAGTAATTTCGCTCATTTACGTTTATTGTACGAGATTTGAAGTAAGCATTCGCGCAAATATACAAACCTGTACGATATTTTGTTCGATCTATTTTAATAATATGTTAGACTTTGCTTATATTTAGTAGCAATTATCTGTTTCGATTATAATTATAAAAAGAAAATTAATTGTCTCGTAAAATTCTACTGAGTATCTCACTCTTCAACTTTCTTTTGTACAATACTTATAAAAGTATTTATTAATTTATTTTGTTAAGAAATCGAATGCATGATAATATAATTATACTTGTATATTTGTAGTTTTTTAATTAACAAAGATTATGTTCTTTATCTCTTTTTGATACACCTGATTAATCAATGAAGTATAAAGATTTTTTTGTATGCAAAATTTTTTCGATAAATTTCATAAAATGCGATTTTTGAGAAGAACATTTTATTATATATAATACATACCTTGGGAGAAGGTTTACCGATGACGATGCATTCAAACTTTGTCGAAATGCCTTCGGGTATTTTTCTGTCCTCAAATACTTCTTTGAACGTTGGTCGAATCAATTTCTCTTCCATTTGTATAAATTCTTCGTTTCTCTTAAAATCACCGAGCGATTTCACAACCAGTCTAGCGAAAGCTTTCGCCTCGCCATGTATGTTTATGGCCTTTGCCACATAATTGCCTTTGTCTTCCGGTATCGTTGACAACATTTTCAAACGTCCTGTTCCATCTTCCCTTTTCTCAAGCTGTACGCACAAGTTACATAAATATTATAATTATTTATAAAACATTAAATGTAAGATATTACGCAATCTGTGCCAAATATAATACTCGCCAGAATTCTTTCGCTATGAGTAACTTCACCGTCATCCGAATACCATCTCAGATCAGGTTTAGGTTCTCCAGTCACGACGCATTCGAAAATCGCATCTTCGCCTTCGGCTATAAGCAAATCTGTCGGAAGTCTAACAAACTTTGGCGCGGAACCTTCAACAAGGATTTCTCCCGCTTCCTGTACTCGATCGACTTCATCCGAGATGTGTGCAGCTGCAAATAAAAATAAAAATAATACATGAATTTTTAAATCGGCCAATAGAGCCCAAGCGCGAAAAATTAATTCTTCGGAACTGTATCTCTTGGTTTGAGATTACTAAGTTCCATATATAAATTAATCTCGAACTTTACATATGGAGAAAAACAGGCGAGAAAAATATAGGTCTGAAAAGTCGCTGAAGCGGGAAGGTATTAGTAATCTCAAACCAAGAGATACAGTTCCGAAGAATTAATTTTTCGCGCTTGGGCTCTATTGGCCGATTTAAAAATTCATGTATTATTATTATTAATAATATTGAAAGCCAACATATATTTCTTAATAAAAATAAAAATATTAATATAAAATATAAAATGTAAAATATAAAATATAAAATTTTAATTGCTTGTATATTTTAAGAGAATATAGTCGTACGTACGTGTAACTGTTAATGTACACTGACTAGAAGCTTCACCGCCAGAATTAATGGCGACTACTTTATATACACCGGCATCATCCAAGAAAGCTTCATGAATAACTAGCGAACATCTGTCACCTTGGAAGAGTAATTGAAAGTCCGACGACTCTTTCACGGGTTGTTCGCCGTGATACCAAATCACCTGGAGAATCATCAAGTCGAGATTGAAAAAGAAATTGCTAGACGAATAATTTGAACGATTAAACAAGTTTACCTCTGGTTCGGGATGACCTATAATCACGCAATCTAGCCTAGCCGATCGTCCCTCTTGTATCTTGAGATCCTGCAGAGGCAATTGAAATTTCGGAATTATCGACTCGATGTTACTACAAACGATATCGGATTCGTTGGTTTCGTGAGGCGAACGTCTTTTCACGGAAACTGTGCAAGATGCGGTGGCCTCTCCGACTTCGTTCTTGGCAATCACTGTGTAACATCCGGCATCCTTCAGAAATGCTTCCGTGATAACCAGGCTTGTTCGTGCACCGTCCGTTTGGATCTGAAAAAAATGTTAAATATACAATATGTAATAATTATATATGGTTCTGCTAAATCAATATTTTATATAAATTTAAAGTGTAAGACAGGCAATAAGAGCCAATCGCGGAAGACAGTGCATTATCCCAACGAAACAAAATTTTTTTTTTCGTTAGAATTAAATATCTGTGCACAAGGCATCAAATTTGACTTTTATTTCCGTAGGGGAGTTAAAGGATTATTGAAATTAAATCTCAAATATGAGATTATTTCATATTTTAAAATCTTGGCCGTGACCAAGTAAAATTTGGTGCCTTGTGCACAGATATTTAATTCTAACGAAAAAAAATTTAGTTTCGTTGGGATAACGCACTGTCTTCCGCGATTGGCTCTTATTGCCTGTCTTACACTTTAAATTTATATTTATATTACAGAGCCTTATTAAACTCTTAAATCAATATTTTATGTCTCACAATTTACCTTATGATATCTAGTTTCCTCAATCGGCTTTCCATCGTGAGTCCAGTTTAATTCGGGAATTGGTTCTCCTTTAGCTTCGCATTCCAGTTTCACCCTTTGCCCTATCTTGACCGTAGCGTTTGACAATGATGTCACAAAGTACGGTTTCTTCGTGGAAATTTGCGCGGCTGAAAAATCAATGTTTACTTAAATAAAGAGAAAAGCGTGGAATTTTTCTCTCTCTTTTATCTTTCTCTTCTTCACTCTCTCTGAATATATAATAAAGTGATAATCTTACGTTCCACGTCTAAAGAAGCAGTAGTAGACGATTGTCCCCATCGATTCATTGCTTTACAGGTGTACAAAGCTTTATCCTCCAAGAAAACTTCATCAAACTTCAAAATAGCTTCCCCGTTATTAAAAGTGATGACGTAATCTGGAGAATTGTCAATGTTGATGTCATTCTTATACCACTGCACCGTCGGAAGAGGATTTCCCTCAACAGTGCATTCTAATCTATGTGAGCTTCCTTCTCTCGCGGAAGAGGGCTGCAGTTCTTTCACGAAAACTGGAGCGCTCGGTTGCTCCTCAGTGACAGTTTCTAAAATTAAGAATTTTTCATTATTATTATATTGTATATAAAAAAATAAAACGCAAGCAATGCATAAAATAACAGCAAATCAAACCTGTGACAGAAAGAGTGGCCGATGTTTCAACAGAGCCGCGAATATTAAATGCGCGACAAGTATACTTTGCGGAATCCTCAGCGAATGTCTCTTCTATCTTCAAGGTACAAATACCGTCTGTATAAGTCGTTACGTAGTCCGAATTATTCAAAATTGATATTCCGTCTTTGTACCAGACTATTTCAGGCGTCGGCTGACCAATCAAGCGACATTCGAAACTGAATTCCTTGCCTTCCTGAACCGTCGCGTCGCTTAAAGGAACTGTAAATTCTGGAGCCAGTGAAACTACTTCGTCAACTTGCGTGTCTTCAGCATGATCGCATATTTCATGATGTATTTCCTCGGATACAAGATTTCTAGCTTCCTTTTGAATGATCGGAACACTTTTCTCGACTTCCATCTATAAATATAATAAATATAGGAACGATATATTTAATTCGACCCAAACTAGCCAAGAAAATTTTTATTTTATTTCCACATTTAATGGACATAACGACCCAAACTAGCCAAGAAAATTTTCATTTTATTTCCACTAAATGTGGAAATAAAATAAAAATTTTCTTGGCTAGTTTAAGTCGAATTAAATATATCCACATTTAGTGGAAATAAAATAAAAATTTTCTTGGCTAGTTTGGGTCGAATTAAATATATCGTTCCTATTTTAAATACCACTAGCGGCGTTTTAAGTATTCAATTTGATAATAAATATAAATTACGATTGCAAAATTGTAATAATTAAAATGCGTTGTTTACATTCGCTTACCTTCTGAAGAATATGAATCTCTTTGGTTGTCACCGCGGAAGTAATCGTTTCTTCAATTTTAGTCTCTATTGTCTCCTCGGTTTGAGCAGAGACAGAATGAGAAGGAGCGGGAAGAGTAATTTTTCGTGCTTCCTCCTCTTTCAATTTTTTTGCCTCTATCGCAGCTTTGTCCAAGGTTTCAGCGGCAAGCTGTTCCGCAAGTTTCCTCGCATTTTCAGCTTCCACTCTGGCAGCTTCCACCGCGGCCATCTCTATTTTAGCAGCCTGTAATTTCTTGTCAGCTTCCAGCTTCTCGATTCGCAGCCTCTCACGCAGATCCTCGGCATTTTGTAAATTTTGACTCAGAGTATGCAATTCGGAAGAAACGACTGCGAAAGAATCTAACATTTGTCGATTCTCTACAACCACTTCGGTGAATTGCGGGAGTCTGTCGGTACCTGAAATATTATATATTGCAAGTAAAATGCTTTAAAACTTTCTTTTCTTATAAAAATGTATTTTTATTTATTTATTTTTTTTTCTTATTTGTAAATATAATATTGCTTACCGAAAACTACCGTCGATAATCGTTTGAGCTCTTCGATCCTTTTCTCTTGCTGTTCTTCGCCCGGTTTTATAAAAGCGTCGATCTCTCGCATTAAATCTGTAGCTTCTTCAGGCATTTTCACGGTTGTTGCCTTACGTGCAACAATTACCAAGAGTTTGCTACCTTCCCTAAACCATTGCTTTGCTTCCTCCAAGAGTATGAAATATTCGATACTTAAATTTAGACGTTTCTTGGTATTTTTAACGCAATTCCTCAGATGATCCCATCTGTTTCGCAAAGATAAAATGTCATCCGTCATTTGTGGCGTTAACGGAACGATCGTTTCGTCCGCTTTTTTCACAAAGGTCTCAATTCGTTCCTCCAAAGTCTGAGAACAAAAAATGTAAATTAGCAATAAGATCCACTCAAGTTTTTATGCGGAGTTATTTTAACTTACTATTATAGTTTGTTCGAACTGTTCAAAAGCAGCCAATATTGCTCTCGACGCCGACAAATTGTCGCCGATTTTCTCGTCCGTGTTTTTTAATTGCTCGCTCAAGTCGCGGAGATCCGAATTAATCTTTTCGATATCCTCTCTAAAGATACAAACTCGTCGATGTCTTTCGAGACGACTTGATGTTTCGATTTGTAACAATTCGAACTCGGAGACCACGGAATCTATCGTGCGTTTTAATTTTTCGACATCCTGCGTCGCTGAATCTAATGGTTCCTGCAGTCTAATATTCTCGATTATTTCTTCAGATTTTGTATGTACTCGTAGCAAAGATTCCGCAATGGACGTTTTTAATATGTCAAATTCGATTAATGCGCTATCCACATCAATGGATCTTGTAAGACTTAACACACGTTCAATTTCTTGCTTTGCTTGATCAATTTGACGCTCAATCTTAAAAAACGACGAAATAATTTATATATATATAAATCACATGAGATGTTTAACATATTCCAAAATCTTACCTCCTCGAGATTCTTAAAGATAGAGATTAAGGATTCTAGTAGTGTATCATAATTCTTGGCAACAGTAGTCATATTTTCGTACATTTGCACAAGTCTTTCTGAGATCTGCTCGGTTGTTTTAACATCACCTATAATTTAATTAATTTTTTAATTAAATAAATCTCATTGCAAATGCAACACTTAATGTAAATATATTTTAACCACCTTTTTCGACAAATACTCGAATACTTTTGATTCTCATATCCAATTCCTGAAGAGCCGTGTTTAATTCAGATAAAATGCGTAATCTTACATCCTTTAAATTATCCAGAATATCGGCTGTTGTAGAGGATCGTGTTGTAATTACTGGATACAACATTGTCTCAAGTTTTGTAATCCAAACTAATGTCTACATAAATCAAACAAAACAATAATAATTAAAATTAGAGAAAAGATTTCCAAGTGACGAAAATATTTTTATTAATATTATTACATATATTTTCGCGACATCAATTTATTTTGTAATTGTCAAATGTAAAATAACTTAATGCGACGCAAATAAATTTAACACAGATTCAAGGTAGAAATTATGAAAAAGAATAATATAAAATTTAATAATATGAAAATAATAATATAAATATAAATTAAAAATCACCTTTGTGCTTTCTTCAACTTTTCGCTCGCACTCAATTCGCCTCTGTCTCGTAATTTCAATAGTAGTCTGCCATTTTTCCCATGATTCTGTCACGACCAATTGTCGATTGGCAAATTTCTCCAAAAGAGTCTGGACACACAGGCAAGCTCGCGATATATCGAGATAAGAGTCATCAATCTATGAAAGAAGAATTTTAATACAATTTTTATATTTCTTCGAAGATCTCTTTTTTACATTAAACTTATTTTTAAATTCGAAATGATTTATAAGTTATAAATTTATTATTTATAAGTTACTTACATTGCCAGTTTCATCGAGAAATGCTTTTGCACGATTATCGAGGTTCTTGTAAAGAGGCTCAAGAGACTTCCATCTTCTTTCCAGCTCATCGATTCTGGTCTCATCTAACGTAACTTCACACTTTTTCAATTCGTTATCGATAGAATCCATTTCATTGCTCAATTCTTCGATAATCTCGTGAAACTGTATGTAAAGTGTACCTAAATCGATTCTTTTCAGCACCGCAAGCTTTATTTTCGCCCACTGGTCTTCAAGATTTTGTATTTTAGATCGCAATTCGTATTTCTGTGTCTCGTCCAGACGTTCTACAATTGGAAGAATCTCGAATTCTAAATGATCCACTTCCTCGCTCTTATTCTCCAGATCAGAGAGCAGTTGACAATGAACTCGACGAAAATCACATGCCATTGTCAAATCGCTGCCCATGTCTTGATGTCCTTGCAGAAAGGCTTCAGCGATGCTCGTCAGCCAAGATCGTAAGGCGTCGTGTTTATCCAAGAAGGTGGCAAGCATCCTCGAAATCTCCAGACTCTCCTCTTTATGAGCTGTACACCGTTCCATCAAACGTATCTTGCGATTTTCCAATTCCTCTACAGTGTTTCTTATACCCTAAATATAACATATACATTTAACACATGTTTTTAGATCAAATGTCAAAATAAAGGTGCAAAAAATAAAATTGGCGTATACCAAAAATTAATATATAAATGATTGACACAATTGCATTCTCTCAGTTCACAATACGGACTGTCTTATAAGAACAAAGAGAAACCTCTCACTGGCAACTTGACTTAATGCGCGCGATAATAAATACGCAACGATTAATTATCAGATTTAATTAATCGATGATCTGACCTCGGCACCGGGCGCTCCTCTTCCTGTGATATCCAACAGTGCATATCCTTCCGACAAGGGCTTCGAAGTCACATCTTCTATGGTAGTCACAGTTTGCGCGTGAAAACGTGCGAGTTGCGCAGAATAAGGAGGATGCTCCGTCGTCATTAATTGAATTTCTAATTGATCCAGTTTTGTGATAGCCTATCGCATAATATTCACGATTAAGCTCTAATTGACAAACGCAATTTAATAAAGTTGTGTAATGCCATACTGTTTAATTGATAATTAAATTCTAGGTAAATAAAAGGAACTTGAAAATATTCACCGATCGTGCAAGATCGAAAAAGATCATCGCTCTGTTCAACAGTGTATTATGCTGATCCAAGTCGTTGATATAATCGGCGGCGACACTAAGAATCGCGTACGCCTGTTCGGTCGCTTGTTCGCCAGCAAAGTGTCCCGATGACACTAATCGTTCGGTCGATTTAGTTATTTTAATAGATCTATCTTGAAAATCCTGATGAAAAATTAAATAAATTGTATATAGTAATATTATTACATAACATATGTACATACATATCACGGTCACTCATTAAACGTATCCAATTATATCTTTAACGATATTAATTAAATTATTTCTTTTTGCAGATACCTTTGCTTCGGCTTGCAATTTCTTGATCTCGAAGAGAAGCAGTTCGGCGCTAGACGCCGAATCCCCTAGTTGATCACAGCTGCTCGCTAACGCGGCGATTCTGTCGTTGAGAATTTCTTCAAGATCGCGAAGATCGGTCGCGAGCAACGCGAGAGCGAGACATTGTTCCAATTGAGTCTTTCTACTACGGAAAGACGTCTCGATCAGCCGTCTTCTATCGTGAAGCTCCTCCAGCCACCTTTCAACCCGCAGGATGGCTAACGCAAAATACAAGATTCGTAAATCTTTGACTTCCGGGCAGATTTAATTCGATAAGTACAAAAATAAGTACAAAAATATGCAATATGTATTTTTCGGCGATCTTGAATTAAAAACACACCGTGATTAGCTTCGTCTTTAATCGTGTCCGGTCTGGAATCTAAGGTGCCTTCGTTCGCCAATGCTTTAAGTCCATCCAACAACGTCTTGCCTTCTCGCAACGCACCCATCAGTGCTTCCAGCACATCCTTGCGGAGGTCCTGGATCTTGGATAGAAAACTTTTCACCGCTTCGATCTCGATCGGCAGTAACGTGTCGTTACATGCCATTTCCAACGCCTCCATACTCTTTTTACATTCTGTCGCTCGACTGGAATGAATGATTTTTGTTGAATAATCAGCGCGAGTCGTGCATAATTTAATTAATTACACAAAATTGCTGTACCATTGAAATAAAACGTTTCGGTCAAGTATCTCCTTACGACGTTCTAAAAGTTGATTTACATCGCGCCACGCTTGACCCAATGTTTCTGCCATGGCCGCGTATACTTCCGCTTTTGATCTCTCGGTCGCAATTAATTGATCAGCCTGCCGTAACAATTCTTCCACCGGACTTTGCTTGTTCTAATTATCATGAGATTTTTTCATTAACGGAGAAGGGAATTTTACGCAAAATTTGCTTCATTATATTTTAACGTAACTTTCGCATATAAACGCAAAATGCAGTTTGAATAAAGTAACAATTCTTCCACCAGGCTTTGCTTGTTCTGATTATGATAACATTTTTTAATTAACGGAGAAGGGAATTTTATGCAAAATTTGCTTCATTATATTTTAACGTAACTTTTGCATATAAACGCAAAATGCAGTTTGAATAAAGTAACAATTCTTCCACCAGGCTTTGCTTGTTCTGATTATGATAACATTTTTAATTAACGGAAAAGGGAATTTTAAGCAAAATTTAATTATATTTTATCATAACTTTTGCATATAAACGCCAAATGCAGTTTGGATAAAGTTGAACACTTTACCTGCAATCGATGTAATACTTGGTCGTGCGCATTCGAGAGTTCCGTAGCTTCTTTTACGGAAGCACCGAGTCTCGTTAATTCTGGTTGTAGCTCGAGTATTTTCAGCTTCAGCCATTCTCCACTCTGGACAAACGGCAGTAACAAAATTGGAAATTTTCCACACGACAATATAAACGATACAATATAGTTAAGCTGCAAATGTCATATATCACTTGCTCCCTATTGTGAATCATCATTTGCATAACCAGAATATTATATATAATATATCCTTTAATTAATTATAGCAGAATATTATATCCAATATTATGATTAACTACACAGATTGATTCCACAGTATAATAAACGATAAAAAATCTTAAGAAATGTTCGCTCATCATATAAAAAAGATTCTCAAATAAATTCCGTGATCTGTAGCAACAATTAATGTACGATGTAAATTAAATTTAAAATCGAGGTCTATGTTCCCTTCAGCATTATAAAAAAAAAAGATGAGGAAAAAAGCGAGAAGACAGACAGTGAGAAGACAGAGATCGGCCCCCAGTTCATCGACCTCGTGTGGTTGGGCCACAGAAAGGGGCAAGTTATGTTTCCATTTTCATCTTTGGCACACTGCCGAATATCCACGTTTGGATTGACCAGTTCTCTCTTCTGGTATCGCCATATGTCAGCAAGACAAAATTGTTTCCTTTTTTTTATCTCAACATTCATGCCCAAGATATAGTCTTTCCTGAGCATTTTTTTCATAGATAGTGAAATAGCCGTGACGATAAGGAAACGCAATTAGTGAATGCTCGAACACGAGTTTGCTGAGAATACAAAATATTACGTCGTCTAATCGACAAATAAGAAAAATACCATTCGAGTGATTCGCGCAATTCAAGTGAAAGCGAATCTTACAGCCGGCGGCTTAAATTGAATATGCTCCTGTAAAGTCATGCGTACATAACTGATATGTCCAAACATGGCCATATTCGGATATTTGAGAGAATGAGTTGTTCAACTCAAGAACGACTAAATATAAGACAGAAGACTCGGTAAAATTTCAGGAAGAAAAATCGGCCGACGCGACGAGCAAATAATTCAATTAATCATGCTACTTGTTCCATCATCTCAAAAAATTATTTAATAAATCTGACAAGGCGATAAGAAACGTTTAGGAAAATCAGACGGTTGACGATAAAAAATCTTGGCAGATAAAACTGCGTCGTAGAAAAATCGGCCGTGTCCAGGGTTCTCGCGCCTTTTTCTCCTTTTTCGGATGTAGAAGTCAGAGTATCGTTAGATCGTAGGTACGATATATTGGGAAAGGTGCGGTAAAAGGAAGAATCGTGCCGCGAGTCAAGCCGGGCCGGATTGGGCCCGGGCCGCCTCGAGCCGTCTCTCGCATAATACCGGTTTGTTAGATTATACGAGAGTATATACGCGGATCTCCACCATATAAGAGATCTCTTTGGTTCGATACGAGCTCACAGATTACTCGGTCTATTTATCGATTTATCTATTTACCGTCAGAAATTTCCTCTACACAGTTTAGTACAATTTCAGTCGTACACATATAATGAAAGAGAGACATTCATATAAATAGTCGTCTTTTTCGTCGAATCGTATGCAAAATTAAACATCCTAATTAAAAACATGTACTTGATGTTATTACCTCATATATTTTAACTGTCTTCACTCGAAAGGAATTCAACAATAATAAAGAAATTTGTCAATCAAAACCGTGACTTTGGATGCTTAAAATGTAATTCGATTACTTGAATGCGAATTCTGCGATCGTGATTTTAAGATCGAGATGGGTGTATCTGATCATGGTGGCGTGTAATGGGAGTTACTGTACCTAGCGGTTAAATTTATCCTTCGTGGAGTTTCGGGAGGCTCGTTTTGCTCAGCGGATACCTAAAACGCTTACGGTTTCGAGAGGACTCGGAAATAGCTATAGACCGAAGCAACCGAATCCCGAAATATCTTACACCATAGCGTTATGTACGAGCAGATATCGCGGCGAAAGATTTTATCTTTTATCAAAAACTCTACGTTATCTACGTAAATATCCTGCGTTAAACTCTCCAAGGAGACTCCGTTGAATAATTTTTCGCATATACCTCTTCTAAAATTAAAATATAAATTTAAACATGATAAAAGGAGGAAGATCACGCGTAAAAATAGAAAATATAAATGACAGTCGATTTAAAGTGACAGCATGACATTTCCTTACTTGAAGCAGAGCGATTACTACACGCGTTTCTCCGCTTTGCACAGCTATGGTGCTTATAGTGGTGGTTGAAGGGATGGTTCGTTGCGACGTTTCCTCGTTTCTTCGCATCATCATTTCTGAATTCATCTCGTCGGATTCTTCAGGATGAACGTGTGTCTCCATTGAGTCAGGACCATCCACCATCATTATTAATATAGTCTTATCTCACGTGCGATACCAATCGGATCTGAACGTCAATCGATTAGAGGCGATTGCCAATTACGTTTGCGGATATAATTATGTCGTGAAATTATATGCTAACACCGGGTAATGATATATATGTTACAAATTGAGCTATTAGATCGTCGGACAAATTGCCAAAAAATTAATAAGACAATATTACGCCATACGATGATATCATACGGTTTTGACTGCACAGTGATTTCAATGCCTGGTGCTAAATATATCATAGTGACGTATGTCGATCTAAAACGCGACACAATAAACATCTTGCTCATCGATATTCTCAAAAAGATAGAGAGAGAGAGAGAGAGAGAGATTTCACTGATGAAAAATTATGTATTATTCAGTTGGCACGGAGTTATCTTTCCTGATTGACGTTATTTTTGGCACTTGGCCAAAGATGCTGGTGCGAAAATTCTACAAATATACGACGTGGAGAACGATTGTGTCTATCGTAAGTAAAGAATATTATTCAAGACAATTTTTTATTTCTCCATTTTTGCTCTATTTGCAGTAATTGATTAATATAGGAAATATTTAAAACATTTATATCTCTGATACTCTCGTTAAAATATTTCGATTGCGCGAAAAGTAAAAGTCATATTTTTAAGCGATTTATTAGTTCATATACTTGCAATCAATCGATTAAAGAGATGCAGTCTTGCATATTGAATTGCATATTAAATTTGCATTTACACTTTTGAACTTTTTATATTAAGTATAAACATTGACGCGTGTTTATACTTTATATAAATATCTTTATACGATGACGTCACCTACACGGACGGACAAATGGTAGAATAAAACCGGACTGACTGGTAGCGTTCTTTCAACAAGTACATCATGGTGAGAATCATGACCGAAGATGATTCGGTAAAACTGTACAATTTTTTTATATATTTTGAAAGAATGTTTTAATTTAAAAATATGAATAAATTTATACTTTTTATATTAGAAAATTATATTCAATTATATTTGCCGATAATTTGACCAACTTATTCATTAAATAAAATCTCTGATCATTATTAATATCCGATATAATTTGTGGCATTCGCACATAATTATGTAAATTATTTGATTGTAACTTAAATTAATGAAGATATTTGACGGATTTTATAATCTCAGTTACATAATTTAAGTTAAAAAAATCTTGCTCATTTATCTCAGCAGATTAAAAATTGATAGTCCTCGACAGTGACATTTCAACGAGATATTTTTAATGTAGCGCACTTCGAGTTACAAGAACAATTTTCTACATATATACGGAGTCTCTAAATGTCTCTCGTCTTTTTGGCATAATCTCTACTCTTGGCAATCACCTAAAATCAATTCAGGCGTTCAGGCGGCGTTAATAGCAATAATGACGACAACAACGGCAGAAACACTCGCGTGACACATGTCACGAGTGTATCACGTCACCAGCCGATCGGTTGCAGTAACCAGCCGAACCAAGACTGACTGAACCGGCATGTCGAGACGCGGTCTCCGGTTAAGCCTCTCGCCTCCCGCTCACCTTCGTCGCGCTGCTCGAGCACGATCTCTACAGAGCGAATCTGTACAGCGCCGACCAGCGTCGAACCCGAACGAAAGTGGAGCGATCGTAACCGAGAGAGGGTCCGTGATAAAACGGTCACCCGGTATATTTTCAAATAGTCCTCGTCGGGAAGATTTTATTTAATATATTCATTTATTTAAAACAAAATTAACAAACATCAATTCATGCGATATACATAGCGGAAGAAGACATTCCTGTAAGAATGTATTACAGGAGACTTTAACTTGCGGCTGCAAAGCGTAACAAGTATGTGGTTAATGATGCAGTTTCTTCTTCATTCCTCTGATCATGCGGATGCGCAATATGGCATATGATATATTCTCGAGATAAATTATAATCCATGCATACGAAGGTCTTTTTTTTTTTTTTTTTTTTTTTTTTGACAAAGTCATTAATTCTGCGTTTACATTTACTCGTGAAATTTTTGACATAATATTTGTCTTCGTCAAAGCTGCAAATAATTTTGGGCCATAAAGATTAAATGGGCAGTAACAGCTATATTTAATGCGATATCAAGCTTAAAAATATTTAAATAAATCACACTAAACACATTAAGTTGCTTAATTGTGTTAGGAGATGGCAAACGAGAAGTTTAGTTGACCATGAAATTTACGAGAGAATTTGATGATCAATAAATTTTCTCTTTCTATCATAGAAAAATATTGTAGCCCAAGACTCACCTTTCTCGCTCTTTCGAGAAATTCTTCGCCTTCCAAATTATCATTTTCTTTTTTTATCGGTGACATGTCGATTCCGCTATCCTCGTGATGTCGTAAAAGATCCTGCGAGGATATATCTTCATACTCTTTCAAATTAGAACGCAAATTCTCATTCAGGTTGTGATCTCGGAGTTTTGTGAGTTTCGTTGTATATTGATCCGACTGGATCTTCTTCGGACATTTGTCGATATATTTCTCAGATTCTTCTATTGAGAAATTAAAAGACAAGCTAGTAAATACCATAATAAATTTACATCATTATTCTATGTGGATTATTATAGGCTAAATACTAACTGTACTGAGATAAATCAAGATCACGATGAATATCGTGCGTCCTTTCGTGAGATTCCTCTGGTAGCACACATTCTATATTTTGAAATTCTTTTGCATCGATGTGTTGTCGATGATCTTGCACGATATTAGATGTCACTTTGTAAGAGGCTACGTTTAATCGGATATCATGCGACACGCGTAAAACAGTCGTCTCGGTTACTTCTTTTACAATTCTGCGTGATCTCTCCTGCAAAAAAATCATATATATCATTTGTAATAAGTAACAAGTTTCATATAATCAAATTTCCAAAATAATCATGTGCGTTATTCGCAATCTGATATACAAAATGAAATAAGAATTGATATAAAACTAAGTTTGAAAAACAATTTTCTTTCTCGAGAGGTATGTTTTGTCAATTAAATTATATTGCATACGTCAGTGATTTTGTCCCTCGTTTCAATCTGTGTTGTTGGTTTTATTTCATCGGTGGCGCAAATATTTGACGTTGCTTCGACAAATTTCAGCGTCTGGTTTTCTTCGCTCGGAGCAGAAACAAGAGGTTCCGCAGTGGTTGTTACTTTAGACGTTTCGGTCCACCTATAAATATATTCGAATATTTAGAGCTGATGAAATGTTGTGGAAATTTCCAAATGTTTAGATTAAATTTTGAGATTACGGATTTAAAATGATTAAATGTTTGCATAAATACCAAGTGGCATCGACATTCACGGGCGCCGTTGCAGAAAGCTCTTCGCATTCTGGCATTACAAAAGATTCGCTCCTAGAACGTGGAGGTGGTGTCGTTGAGCATTCAGTCGCTGTTGTATAATCCTCCACATTGCATTCTTCTACCATACTTTCGCTACGAGGATTTTCAGTAACTTCCTACAAAAATAAAAATATTTTAGCAATACTTTTAAGTATTTTTTAGTGAGACAGATACCTGTCACATCGATATTAAAACATAATAACATACCTTGGTGTCGGAATCTTTATTCGATGTCTCGACATCCTCTGTGGAATGTGAACTGAGAATAGGAAGCGAACTCTCGTCGGATTTTTCCGCCATAGAAGCTACGGACTTGTCTGCCACAACCGTAGTTTCCGAAGACGCTGGATGCATTTGCATTGTAGACGCAGCCGAAGCTGTCGCGATAGAAGAATGGATGGGCGTGACTGAGGGCGATGTAGCAGATATCGAGAGCAAGGACGAAGAGGAAGACGTCGCGGCGGTAGGAATAGATATCGGTCGAGTTCTAGCTCCGGCTTCGCACAGTCTCGCATCCAGTTTTTCCGCGAGAAGCGTCACTTCCGCCAATTTCGCCGAGATAGCTTCCACAGCTGTCAGATTATTGCCGAGGTTTGAAGTGTCCTCGGTTTCCGACATTCTAAGAGAAAGACGGATATTTGTTAGTCGAATCAATATTCTATAAATAGAATTGTTTTTCCCAGACTTCTAAAAAAATCCTGCAAGTTATTTAGCATCGACAATTTTACTAAGTTTTATGAATTATACACCAGGGAACGTTGTTTTCTCCTAATGTTATTCTTATGACTTCCTCGCAATTGTGCAATGTAGAAATGTTGCAACTATACGAACTATCAGCCATTTTATTCGCACATGTATAGCGGCTTCGCAATATTTATTTTATTTCCTCCATGAGATTAAGTGCAACCTAAAATCGGGGCCATGATTGAATTAGAAATAGCACATCGTTAAGGAAACATCTGTCGATTACGTAATTGATAGTTGACAGTGCATCGACAGTACGCCGACACACATGGTCTCTGCGATTGGGGGCAGGCAAAGTTCTAATTTCGTAGAACACACTCGTTCTACGCAGAATCCGATTGCTATACAGGTTAAATTTCAAGAATTTTAAAGGTAATTTTTATTCAAAAAAATTGTTAAAGACATTATTTAATTATTATGGTAGAAATAATTCTTTGAGGTACACAATATGATGAATGATTCTTCACAATACAAGCCAAAATATTATCGAGGCGGGATTTGCATTACCAGTCGAGTTTTAGATTACAATGTGACCGTGGAAAGAAGCCAACAAATTGTGGAACGCAATTCCTCATCGTTATACTTACAAACATATTTTAATAATTTTCAGTAACGTATCCATTCACACAACACTAAAAGTGTTAGTAATAATAAACTTTATTAATCTTATTAGATAAAAAGATAAGCTTGAAAGAAAATATCGCCGAATGATATTTTTTTATCAAAAATTTCTAAATATCTGCCTGTCAGTTGGCGATATCCGAACTGCGTACCGACTATGGATTAAATCAAATAGAAAGCTTAACAGAAATCAAAGTAAAAACATAAAATAAAAGAAGTGACAATTAATGTTTCAATAAGCGGAATTGAACAAGGACATTACGACCACCTCAGTTACTGCGAACTTACATGTACCGTTCCTAGATTACAGGAGCTATCTCGACGAGAGCCAACCATGGACTGACACACCGTCTCTGTTAAACACGTAGGCGTTCGAGCAAACGTATTACCACTCTTACGAGTTCTACTTATTCTTTTATTCCAGTTATAGTTTATAAACAAAGAGGTAAGCGAAGAAAATTTAATATAAAAAAAACGTCTGAATCTAATTATATTTTATTGCTGTATCTTATTTTTTTCTTGTGGCATTTCTTTTAGTTCTTTTAATTTCCACTACTTTATCTCAATACTTTATCTTTCGCGTTTAATGTATACTACAACTCAAACTCTTGTATTATTTAAATTAAAGATAAGGGTTTCTAAATGCCGTAACTATGCTAATGCGATTCCTCGTTGCACTTACGGTTGCTGATAAAGAGGCTCTTTTAATCTTGTCTTGAGGAGGCGACCGAGCCTCACCATCCGACCAACCTCCAATAAAAGTTTCTCTCGATTATCGAGGATGTCTCTTATGTCTGTTCTGATACGCGACTTTGCTGTTGTATCCTCGTCTTTTGCAGCACAATACAAGATTGTCACCGTTTCCACCAAGTTTTGCAATCTGGTACAATGCTTTAAACAGATTCAAGAGAAAGTTTAGAAGATACACAGCTGCGTGACATGCAAAATAATGAATTTTTTTGTCCTCGTAAAGTAGCCTGAACTACTTTCGGATTTGCCTTTTTATTTGATATTATTTCACATTCGCGTACATCTTCAACGTTCCTGTGAAAGACGGCGCATACTCGCAACCTGGTTAGCTGCTCTTCACTAACGGACCGAAACTGCCGCCAAGCTTGTCGCAATCTCGAGAAGATACCAGCGTTGCTCTCTAAAGATATTCTGCAAGATAATCTCAGTACGCGCGCGCCGTTCACCAACTGCCCACCGTACTCATAGGTTCCCTGTAAATATTTATTTCGATACGTTGCACTCAAATTCTGCATTTGAACTCTGTACAAATCACAAGACTCTTCGCTTCATTATATCGCGCTAATTATGCGTTTTACCTTCGCAGTTTCCTGAAAGGATTGATGCTCCTCTTTCTGCGATTGTATTTCCTTTGTGTTACATCCAACTTCCATATGATTCCGAAGTAGTACGTCAAATAGATCGTTCAACCATTCAACAGCCTGAAAAAATACAACTTTTATATATCGTATTCTTTTATATTTTTTTAAAATTATTTTGTTTGCGTTACGTCTTATTTTGTGCTCACTTGCTCGGCATCGCTCTCGTACATGTGTATCAAGGCTACTTGTTTCAGTGACAGCTTTTGCAATTCCACGCTATCGTTAAAGATATTTTTCCTGGCGTTTGTCGCGTCTAATATGTCTTTTATGTTCACGATATCCTCGTTATAATTTACGCAAACTTCTCGTCCAAGCGCGTCCTTCACTGGCATAGAGAGAACGTCCGACAATTTTTCACCTTCTTTTACGAGTTCGCGCTCTAAACTGTCTGAAAAATTATTCAAGCGTGTTGAATAAAATGAAATAAAAATATTAATATTTAACTAGTAGTGACTTTTGCTCTTACCTAAAACTGTTTGACTTTTTTCCAATGTTAAGAGTTTAACGCTCGCCTGGGAGAAATTATAATTTCTACTACCCATGACTAATTGCTCAAACACTTCACTCGTCCTATCAAAATACTACAAGCAACAACAAGTTGGAAAGAAAAACATTTTCTATTATTCGATCGATTATTTCTTACCTCGGAAACAAGCCTGAAAAATCTTTGCGAAGTGATCAATACATTTCTACGTCTTTCGAGTCGTGAAGCAAAACTACGGCAAACAAAGTCCATGAAATCTCTCTGAGATTTTAAGTCTTCGGGTAGTTTATTTTTTGGGAGACTGTCAATTTTATGAAGCAATTCCGCATATCGTCCATAAGTTTCCTATAAACATATTATACAATTATCTTCGATCATCGCGATTTTCTGTTATAATAAAATAAAAATAATAAGATTCTATTTACCCGGCATTTAAGCTCAAGCTTTTCGTGTTGTCTTCGCAGTTCCTCGGAGGAAGCAACATCGAAACCAACTTGACAGCAAGAGTTCAGCATCATATCTGCTGGACCCAGGATCCAATCGGTAACACTCGATACACCTTGCTCGAGATCTTCGATTAACCTGGCGGTATCCAGATTACGTTCCACTTCTATCCACGAATTTTCAATATCCATCTAAAAATGTAAAATGTTAAATCAATTTTTAAAAAACAAATTTAAATACATTAATCTCAAATGCACTCTCAAGTACCTGTTTTAATTCGATGGAATCGAGCAGTTTATGAATTTCTTTAATCATGTCCAAAGTATCTTTGGAGGACTCTCTGCTCATAAAACTGACTAGGTTTCTACCTAACAAACAAACAACATTTATTTAATTTTTCCATAATCTTTACATAAGAAATATCTCATTTAAAATAAATATTATTAAATACTGTTACTAATATTATATATATTTATTACTTCTTGTTATTAAGTGTAATTTTAATTTTGAAAAATTTAAAATAGAAATATAATATATAAACCTGATTGAAGTATATGACGCGCTGTTGATAACAACTCTGTACCGATTTCCCAATAAGATTCTATGTCGTCGTCTGATTGCTTCATACGAATACCATCAAAAGTATTCAATCGTTGATGTAAATTTGTCATTTTCGATATTAGTTCTAACGCGTCTCTCGAATAATCTTCTATTTTCTATAAAGTCAAAGTCAAGTATATATCAATGTATTCAAAAGATTAGCTCAATACTCATATTTTTCATTTATATATTTCACGATAAAAATATTTAATTTACCATACGTTTCTTAATCCATTCAACGTGATTATATGCCTTGTTACCTGCCAACTCGTACGGTAATTGAGAAAAATCGATGTAAACTTGTAATCTCGTTAGAGTAACGTACATTAGCTAAAACGTAAATTAACGAGAGAAAACAATAAATGAGAAAAAATTCGATATGCGTTTTTATGTAATAAAATTGCAATAAATAAATTTATCAAATTAATTCGTTCACTAACTTCGCTCTCTTTGTGGGACTTGGTACAGGTATCGACACGTTTGTCCCAGAAACCATCGGGTCGCACCACGATCACGGAAACGGCTGTTGATCCTACAAGATTCATAGATAGCCTAATACAGGATCTAGCGACCCGCCATGCACCGCCACGCGCATCCACAATTAAAGCCAAGCCTTTTTCTTTCGTCTCTTCGCTAATCGAAAAAAATATCACCTACATATAAACCAATGATATACATATTTACGCATGTGTACAGCGAGATATCGAGATATTATACCTGAAAATTGATACAAAATACAAAATGAGAGACTCTAATTTCGGTTTCGTTGTTGGATCAAGTTCTGGAGGAACACTAATTACAATTAAAGGCCGTCCGTCACGATCACGACCACCTGGAATATATGCGAGCTTTGATTCTAGAGCCTCCAGGATATCTGCTGCCTTCAAATTTGTCATAGACATCTCTACAAGTGCTTGTTTTTACAAAAAAGTCATTTCAAATAAATCGATCTGAAAAAGATCATATTTGTCACTAATTTATACATGTATAAATTTCGCACTTATTTCATTATATCAATCGTTATTCACGCACACATTATTATTAAAATAATATACACTTTTATAATAATAGACAATTGAAGTAGTCGAAAAAAATTCTGATTAAACATTTATACATTTAATTAAATTCCACGTTTACCCTACAGAAAAAATAATTTTTCACTCTGAAAAATTTTACGCGCGAAAAAGTCTGAATTATAACTGTAATGAACAGTATTCACCGATCTTTGGCCGAGCCAGGAACGTTGAAACGCATTCGAATCACTTGCAAAGCATCACGACGAAACATTGCGTAGGCGCAGAGCACTCGGCATAGTATATACTTCGAATGTATAGCGGGAATGCGGGAATACTAGTTAGCAGCTGTTTCAGGTTCGCTCCAGGTGCTCTACATCTGCGTATCCACGTGATCAACGAGGGGACCAACGACTGTTATCTGATTGACTCGAGTCGCACGTGTTCCGCGTTAATGACAGTAGGAACAATTGTCACATGCGTATATAAGCGCACACGCACGTGCATTTATAGAGATAGAATGTGCGCGATGCAGCGCGGAGCTGCAGCCGCGACGGAGGCTGCAGGAAAACCGAAAGCCATCCCTGGTCCATTCAGATACAACGGTACTTTGGCACCGATTAACCGTATGTTCCCCTTCCTTTGCGCACGCGGCCCTTCCCTTCCTCTCATTTCTCTGTCTCTCCTGGAGTTCCGCATTTTTTTGACTCCTTATCTCTCTTTAAAAATTCTGTAGAAATATTTTAAGTAGAGAAGTAACGGAGATTGCAGAGAGAAAATAAGAAGACATCTTCATAGATGTCGGTTACGCGGTTCGCACGCATGACACATCACACATTTTATGCATTTGACAGATATCATTCAATTAAGATATATATATACGAAAAATCGTAGATGCTATAATTTGTTTTAATTTACATTAATTGAATGATATCTGTCAAATGCATAAAATGATATATATATATATATATATATATATATCAATAAAATATATTCGAATAATTTACATGCGTTAGAATTTAACTGCAAATTTTAATCAAGTAACTGTAATATATAAACGCAATGCGTTTTTTAGAGCGATCCAATCAATTTAATTTAATTAATTAATACATATACTTAAAAAATATACCAAGGAAAAATGGTTACATACAATTCTGTGACATTACGATGCACTTCTTCGTGAAAGTTTCTCAAAGCACGATCGACCCGGATAAATATAATAAAAGATACTTGTAATGATTTGTGCGAGTTTACTTTAAATGAAGCAATCTATTTTAATATAAATCATATTGTACTTTAGTTCGAATTCAATAATTTACAATAATTTATCAAATTAGATAAAATACACTTTTTTATTTAGGATACCTTCTAACACTTTACATATTTACATAGTAAATATATGTGTTATTCCGTGATTCCATTATGTAAGATGCAAGCGCGAGATCATATACCAGATCTTGGTATACACATATTACAGATCTTTAAAAAAATGTAAATGAAGATACAAATATAATATACCTTTTTGTCTGTCATTGATATTTAAATAAGAAAATGACCAAATATTTTCGCAATTGTAAGAAAGATATGTTAAAAAGGGGATATAGTTCAAAAAAGATCGGAGTTAAAGAACATATCAATGGGACAAAGATAGACGTCGAGGAAAGCTGAAGAGATTTGGCGTCGCTACAGTCGACGAGGACCACCGGAAAGTCCGCCAGTGCTGCAGCGAGCCTCGCGCTATATCAAGCACAGATTGGCTGTCTTTCTCTTTCCTTTGGTCCATCTCTCCCCTTTCCTCCTATAGTCTCTCTTTCCCTCATCTTCTCCTCTTCTTTCTCACTCTCTTTCTCCCTTTCTTTCTCTTCTTTCACCCAGGTTGGTCTTCATTAAAGATCAGCATCATTTTGCTGTTCCATCATTATTCGAATAGTGTTGTCAATGTGATACTTTTGACATCTCGGAGTGCGGGAACGATCGGAAAACTGGCCAGGGACGGAGTGATCGTCGAGCCAGGCTCGACGAAAAAGAGGAAGAGGAAGCACGATGGGCAACGCCACGACGAAAGACTATTCGAAGAACATCTCCGTCGGCACCAACTCGAGGAAGACACGCTGGGATGGTTCAGGTAGATCGATCTATCGTTTCCCTCGTAGAATTTTACGATTCTCGATAAATTGGAGACAACTTCCATGTCGTTTAAATTTATTTCAAGGACGAAGAAATTCGTCGATCCAATAATTCAATAAATGTTGCTCCAAAATGCATTTGCACAAACGTAGCATCTTTATTAGGACAACAGAATTATTATTCATGTCATTTTAAACACATTAAGTATTATTTTGATTACTTTCCAGCTTTTATATATATTTGCTCATTTTCTACAATTATTTAATATTTATCAAAATGTTGTCATTATTTGATTAATAATATAGAATGTATATGTAAAAATATAAATCTAGAAATTTATTTTTAAGTTTCATACAACTTCTAACTTTAATAACAATAAATGTATTGAATAAGTGTATTGTAATTAACACACATTTCGTAGCTGGTTAATAAGGTAGATGTAAAGAAATTACTATCAATGTTAAATCATTGTTAAGCCAAATTCGATTAGACAGTTCTGACATCGAGATGGCATCTAAAATTAGATTGTTACTAACTATCGATCTGTCTAATTCGAAAGAACGTTTAGATCGCGTATTGATTTTATTCCTTTGGCTTAATCACACTCTATTGTTGTAGGATGCTTATTTTTAAGACAATGCGCAATTAGTGGACGTTATTACAGAAACAGCCAAGAAATAATGAAATTGAATGCTCAATTGGTAGAGAGTGCACCGGCTCGGTACTGCCAAACGCGACGCATTTTATTTTGGGAGCGCCACTTACATGCCGATGTTGAAAATTTGCTCTATATACATACGTCAGTATCGTTCTAGCAAGAACTTGCTGACACTAGTATTGTGTCGCTCGCTTTAAGAGAAATCAAGAAAAAACATTAATAAATTAACAGATATTATAATTAATATTACATATAACTACATAAAGAAATATTAAATATAATTCTAAATACAATATAAATATTAAATATATTGACATAATAATTTTAGATCGAACGATATTTGTACCAATTTAATTTTTCATTTTGTTGGGATATCCGCAAACATCTTAGGTCTTGCATCCCCACCGGGCAAACCTATCTTGATATCGGGTACCGACGAAACGCAGCCGGATGTTGTTGCGATACGATGGGAGAGATCGCCGAGTAACGGTGGATCGGCGATCGTCGGATACTTGGTCGAGCATCGACGACTGGGCTCTCCTCACTGGATACGAAGCAGTTCCGGCTTGTGCGCCTTCCCGGAGCTAACTCTGAGCGGTCTCGAGCCAGGATGGCGCTATCAATTTCGAGTCAGAGCGCAAAATGCAGTTGGGCTTTCACGGCCGAGCGAAATCTCCGAGCCGCTCACAGTCACCTTGCAAAGGGTCACCGCAGCTTGCGCTCCTCGCTTCGATCTGGAGCTCAAGGATACGACGGTGCTCGAGAGCGAACAGGTATCGAAACTGCGTGTACATGTGTCTAAAATTCAAATGTATGACGGTAAGTTTTCTCAAAGGCCGAGTTTGTCGTGCAATTCTCCGGTACACCATTGCCGAAGATCTCATGGTTCAAGGACGGTTTCGAGATTTTTAGCAGTAGACGTACCAGAATCGTTACGGATAACGGAAAGAGCGTTCTTCTGATTCATCAAACCGCGCTTAACGACGAAGGCGAGATTAAATGTACCGCTACCAATCGAGCGGGTCATGTTGCCACCAGAGCTAAATTAATTCTCGAAGGTTAGAATGCTGATAAAAAGAATATATAAACATGATTTCTGTGCAATTCTGTTAAATTTTTGAATATTATTTATGCAGCGTCACCGCGGATACGATTGCCGCGTCAGTACGAGGATGGTTTGCTTTTCGAGCAAGATGAAACCATCAGATTGAAGGTATCTCTGGCAGGTAAGCCATCGCCTACTGTCATCTGGTATCACGACGGGGATCTGGTATCTAAGGATGCTAGACACATATTTGAGGTGATGGACGGTGAATCGGTTTTGAAAATACCGGATGCCAAACGAAATGATCGAGGCGAATATACTGTCAAAGCTACGAACACACTAGGTGAAGATACTGCGTCTTTTCTGGTCACTGTTACAGGTGCGTGATAACGTTGCACTAATTCAGATATGAATTTTTTCAACTCTTTACAATATATAGAAGTATAATATAATTTATTAATCTCTGTCAAAACAGATCGACCAGCTGCTCCCGGAAAAGTGTCCGTCGCGATGACTCTAGGTAGATCAGTGACGTTATCGTGGAAAGAACCGGAAGATGACGGAGGATGCAAGATCGGGACTTACATCGTCGAATACTATAGAGTATGCAATCAAAAATGTTATTATTATTATTCGTGTAAAAATCAATTTTTTAGAAACTTGACAACGATTATTTCAGATTGGCTGGGACGTGTGGCTTAAAGCAACAACGAGCAGATCCACCAGCGCGACGTTAACAGAATTAATCGAAGGCTCGGAATACAAATTTCGCGTGAAAGCTGAAAATCCTTACGGAGTCAGCGATCCTAGCGAAGAGAGCGACGTTATCTTCATTCCAGACCTTAAACGAAGGTATTTTACTCTTTACTTTGAAATACAGAGTGTCTCAGACTTACTGTAGATACCACACGTTAATGGGAAATTCTTGAGATGATCTGAAGACGATTTTTCCTCAGCGAAAGCTTTTTTGTAAACTGTAAGTCTTGTGAAAATAAATTATTAACAAAACTACATTTTTTAGTTAATTTCAGGTAAGGTTTACTTTAATAGAATTTTAATTGAAGATTTAGTTACAAAGATACATGATTTCAAAAATTGGGAATATTAAAAAAATGATGATCTTTTTCGACATTTTCGCTGCGAAAAAATCGTCTCCAAATAACCTTAGGAGTCTCCCATAAACGGATGGTACGGTAAGGTTGGGACACCCTGTATATTTTACCTGCGCAGAAATAAAGTTCAAGCTTTGCTTGTAGAATTATTACGCCGTCCTTGAACGAGAAGTCGCAGAGCCATCGAGAGATCAGTAGATCTCGCGGCGAGAAACGCGAAGTGAGTTTCACTACGCCGACGCAGAGAACTAGGAGTTTAACGAGGGAAGAAGCTAGAACGCGAAATGACGAAAGCCTCGGATACGATGAGCGATCAGCTTCAACGCAACGGCTCGCAACGCCGATTTCTACGTTGGACAGGCCATCCAGAGCAGACAGTAGAGTGACATTTGCACCAGACACTTTGGAGAAGGAACCGCCAGTTCCACCAGCCAGATCCAGAGATCACGCTTCCGCGAAGCAACAAGCTTCTCTTACAGGAAATAATACAGTTCGATCGAATGCTGCGGCAGATATAAAAGACAAGGTAAGAAATAAAAAGATACGCTAATTTACAGATTGAAAGGTAAAAATTATATATATTATTTTCTGCAATGTAGCAAGATATCGTAAAGAGGGAAAGAGCAATGTCTCCGAAACCAACCGTAACAGTTTCTTCTCCAGTCGAGGACGACTTCAAATACTCGATACCTACGACAAAAGAAAGAAGAAGCCTCTCTCCGCTTTCGATTCCGCCGAGAATTCAAGAACCTCCGAGAGAGGAGAATAATATAGCTAGCCATCTTTTGTCTTCAAATTCGAGTCTAAAAAGACAGACTGCTATTATAAGTGAATCCATGTCACCTTCACCGCAGGATAACTTGCAATTGCAAACGCAATTATCACGAGACGACGACGAGGACGTATTACACGGCAGTTCTGAGTTTATGCTGGTTTTGTATCCGGATGAGACGATGGAAGAGGAAACTATAATCGTGGCAAACGGCACGTCGCCTGAAATTCGCGTCAGAAGCGACACAAGTAAGTGCGGAAAACTCTACGACAAAAAGATCTTTGAAAAAACTCAAATAAAAATTATACTAAAAAAACATTCGTCTTTTTAGGTAGCAAACAGGACATGATCGAGTTGACGGAAGAGGAGAACGATCTCATACCGCCGCCGATATCGCTGTCACTTCCGGAATTATTCAGCGTGCAGCATCAAATAGTAGAAGTAATGCGAGCAGCTGTCAGCTCTACCGAGCTTCTTCACGAACGAGCCATGGAACGTTTTTATCGCGCGGTCGCCGCCGAAGAGGCATCCGAGATTGCCAAACGGAAGTCGCAGATTGAGAGGCAGACCGGCGAATTGGCGCTATTAAATGTCGAATCCGTTCAGAAATCGTCCATTCTTAGACGCCTATCGAATTCCGGGGTCACGACGCAGAACTTGATTGTCTCGTGGCAGGCGAAAAAGAATCGGCGAAGATCGAGCGAGGGACAAACCGAAACGGCCCCGAAAACGATGAAACTTCTCTCGCCGGCTCTGCTGTCGGATGTTGAGGCCAGGTCGGATCCGAATCTTCCCTCTGAAGTGACGACGATGGCGGATTCCTGGAGGAGGAGCGACGAGGACGAATCCGTAAAACGTCTGCGTAGATGGCACGAAACGAACGTACCACTGTTGGAGGAGATGCAAGAAGAGAAATCGATACGAACGAATGATGAAGATGGGGCAGCCTCCATTTCTGAGGGCCAAGGAAGCAGAGGCAAGGCAATGGAAGAAGAGGAATTTAATAGCGTCGAGACTTCCGAAGAATCGTCGGAAGAGATTAGCAGCGCGGATAGCGAGGATTTGAAATTATTAAGATCTAGGATCCTGGCGAGACAAGTTATGGATGAAGAGGATACTTATCATCCTAGAGGAAGACCAGTTCCACACATGGAACCGGAACTGGTACTGATTTCGTACGATAGAATGAATTTCGAGATTTCGTCTCCTCCACCTGTCAGAGCAGTTACTCCTATTTCGACGAACAACATGATACCAAAGTCTATTTTGAAGAAACCCAAGGAAGAAATGACTTCTTCTGACAGTTTCGATATATCGATTTCTCCAGAGAGACTAATAAGACCAATATCACCGCAGCCGTACGAAGAAGAAAATGTAGAAGAACCGCATATCGATGTTAAAGAGAAAATTGCAGATTTCTCGAGCATGTCCGAGGTTTTGAAGACACCCGCAATGTCGGAATCGGATACGGATAGCATCTTGTCGGCGGCGGAAGCGGCGAAAAGTCGACGAATGCAATCCAAATTGCGGTCCATGACGCCTGAAGAGGAGGCGGCCGAAGTAGAGGCGAGAATGGCGGTTGTGAATCAGTACACCGAGATAGTTCGAGAGTACTCGAGCCATTCGCGACACGGTAGCGCGGCCAGTTCCCGAAGATCTTCCTTTTCCGAGGATCAAGCGGATCAGAAGCATCGAGTGCAGGAAAAGCTCGCGGCAAATCTGAACAAGGATAAACAAGAGCCAGCCGAGACGTCGAAATTGAAGATTCAGAATAAGAACAAAGTCGACAAGCAGACGAAACGAGAGAAGACGAAAGGATCGAATAATCAAACGCCAACGATCGCCAAGAAGGAAAGCGCTAATTCCAGAAGCGCGACTCCCGCGAGAGACACGACGACCGCGAAACGCGGTAAATCGATCTCCAGGGAGCAATCTCCAGCTGCGAGAAAAAGGGAACGAACGACGGGCGCTTCGTCGAGATCGTCCTCGAAAACCCGAAATCGCACGCCTTCTCTGGAAAGAAACAATCGATCATTGGCGAAAACCGACTTGAACGAGCAAGAATCTCGTAGATCCAAAGTACCTTCCGGCTCTTCCTCGCGTTCCTCGTCGAGATCGAACTCCAGGGATAGAAGACACGGAGCGACGGCATCAGCGGAATCGAAGGTTGAGAAGCTGCAGAAGGCACTCGAGAGTAACAAGTATCGAGCGATGAAGAAAGAATCCGAGGTTACCAAAGAAGTTGCGGAAAAAAGCACTCCCGAACGTGCAGATGGCAAGCAGTTAGCTCTGGAAGCTAAAAACACAGTCAGATCGACAGTGGACTACATAACCGACCTGACGTTGCTGATTGCCGCAATGTACGTTTATTTCTTCAAAAAGGAAACCCTGGCGGTTCCGTTTATCGTGCTGCTTTTATATCGAAGAATACAGGAGGAAATACACGGGTGGATGCCACGTCGTTGGTGGCGCTCCACCAAGAAACCCTGATCGACCAATGTGCAACTAAATGGTCATATATATTTGATGTACATCATGTTTACCAATCAAAATATGCTAAATGATTGCCAAAGAAATAATATATCATAAGCTGAACCGATATAATACTATATCGAGAATTGCAAACTATTTATGTGACATCCTTCATATGTAATACAATCGATACTCGTTATTCTGTTATCCGTTGTATTTATAATAAATATATCAATTCCTTATCTCTAATAAAATTATGTACGTATTTTCACCCAATTTCCTTAAATATTATGCGTATTTTTTTAAATGTATTTAGCAATTATTTAATAGTCATATTACATCATACGTTATTACGTAAATAATTATGTTTGAGAAAATTCATTTTTCGGGAAATATTATTGATAAATTTGCGTATTACGAATAATAAAATTTTCTTTTTTTTCGCGCATTCCGCAAATTCCGCGCGCTCGCTTAATTCGCTTAATTTAACCGGTTCGGAAATATGTACATGGGAATAGAATGTCTGCAAAACAAAGTTTCAGTTTCGCGCGTCGAAAGCAAAAGGAAAAGTGAGAAAATAGGAACGTCGGCGATTACATCAGCGAAAGAGAGACAAAGAGTGGAAAAACGAGGGTACGAAGATCCCGAACGGCGCATGTGCTTCTTTCGTTAAAACGACGAAGCCGAGAGCGCGGCGTCGGGACGATTTTAGAACGGAGCAGGGCCTCCTGCCGTCAGACGTCTCGTGGCATAGGGTGTGCTGTATCAATATAGGGTTCAGGACAGGAACAAGCTGGCCGGTGGTGGTGGTGAACGGTGCAAGAGTCTTCCCGTGTAATACGCGCGTACGAATGTCGGCCCTTCGCGAGTAATGTCAATGCACGGAAAGAGTCGTCCTACGTAACGTTTGACGAGATGACCTTAACAGGTAAGATGCACAAGTTGAGTTGTGAGTGTTAGCCGGTGTTAGCCGGCATTCGTGAACCGTGTCTTCGGTGAACCGCCGCGCCGGTTCATCGAAGACGAACTCGGAAGAGAGGCACGAAATTTTCATGTTTCGTATATGTGCGCCTGATTTTTATATATTCCGCAAGTATTTGCAACTGAGAGAAACATATTTTCTCACTGGTGCAATTGCGCAGTATATGAATAAATATTTTGCGATAGGAATATATCACTTTGGCGAAATCGCGTAGGCGCTATCAATATAGAAATCGAACTGATTTAATCAACTTGACTACTTGATCTAAAAGAATTTATTAACAAGAAAAATTCATCTAAAAAGATTTCATGGGTATACATAATTAATTATAAAAATGTTGAAATTTGCTGTCTGCATATAAATTAATATATATATAATAATAAATTTTAATAATTATTACTTTTCCTTCAAGTTTTGTCTCTAATAGCTGATCAATTTGTCTTATATTTAGCTTCTATGTATCTCGCGGTATTTTACGACTGACGTAAAACGCACAATTGCGGTTACGCGGTTTTAAAATACATTTAACGAGATCATAATTGATCTCTTCGCGAAATCATAGTGTTTTGATATAATATAAATATCGACGATGTTGTGTGCCAAAAATTTTTGTTAAGCAAACGTGAAAATATTTATTTATGTTAATGGTGCAATCTGAACATGCGTGGGTGCATCTGATCGAAATTCCGTGCGCACTTCATATCGCAAAATTTACAAGTAACGGCTCCTTTTGGAAGAAGATAGATCCTAAAAGATTTATAGATCGGCTACGTATTATTTTCTTAAGTGGTTCCGCTTTACCACACTTTACTAAAATATAGTCATCTATATTTATGCTACTATTTTGCATATGTACCTGCTATAGCACCATTCCTGTAGCCATTTTGCAAAGCACGTGAGCCTCGAAATAGCAGATAGCTTTTCAACAGTAAATTTCGTTCCATCATCGGGTATTGATAAAGCATATTTCTTTGTCAATTATGAACAAAATTATAATAAATAATTAATTTTGTTAATATTCTAAAAATGTAAAAATATAATTAATTTACATCAATGTAAAATACTTACAGATCTTACGTCGAAGAATAAAGGATCGCCAGAATGGATCGAAGAAGATCAGATCGTGTCAGCTCAAGGACACGTAGGCGAAGACATCATCGTCGAACTGAAATTGGTTTCATCTGAAAATTACGATGATTTACAATTCGACTTGTAAGTACGACATATATGTTTGCCTCATCGAACGAATAGTAAACAGCTTTGCACATATATATACCTGTTGCTCTCATTATATCGCGACATTTTAACAAAATATCCATTTTCGTGTTATCGTTCATTCTCATACACTGGCCTTAATTTTATATAGGACCTTGGGACGTGCCAAGGATCAAACGCAAGTTATTTTAAGCTGTCGCGCACTTAATTTCGGAGAACTGAATTATACTTGCCGCGCATAATTTTGCTCAATATTATTGCATGGATCGTCATTCCAGCAATGTCTGGAACGCGAGGGACACGTCTGACATGTTCGATTCAGTTCTGTCAATAACTATTTACTAATAAGAACAAGCAATACGATTGTGATAGTTTACCTCTGATATATCAATCGTTAAAAGAACCGATAATAAATAATGCTTGATTTAAAAGAAGCAGTGTGCTCTTTAGTCTAAGATAAATAAGAATCTATTTCGCGACATGTGATTTCATCTACCTGCGTATTTTGTAAAATATAAATATTAATAAAATATACTATCACATTAAATTAAAAAATCCAGGCCCATAAAAATGCAAATTTAAAATTGTTAGTACTTTTTATTTCGATGTGAGATAAATTCCATGATAAATAGATTAACGAATCATATAGAACCAAAGTAAAAATATTGAATGATAATATTTTGCTTTGTGCACATGAGATAAAAAAATCATGCATCTATATAATGTAGGCAGACTTCCTTCTTCAGGGTATTTCAATTATCGCGACAGATGGTTCCTTCCCTGAACATTACAATAACGATATGAATAAATAAAACCTAAAACTCTCATCAGCCCCTTCTCGTGCAAGAACGTAACTCTGTGTAAGCTAATTTCGACCGAGCGGTCGAAATTTTCGCGAAAAGATGAAAGAGACGCCGATGTTTTTGCCCAGTCCAACTATATTCCACGGTTGGCTCTCGCTAGCTTCTATATGAGATAGTTCGTTGCTTACGCGGTTCCTTGAAACTATATACACGAAATCGTTGATGGAGGTGGAAAATTTGGAGGGGACAGTCTGACGTTGGCGTCTCGCTATCAGTCTGACGCTGAGAGAGCGTCGCGACGACCGACGAACCCCTAAGAAAGGGTGTTAATAACCATTCGATTTTTTTTAGTGCATTGGTACGCGTCTCTTAATCGATACGGAAGAGGTGCTTGTGTGCTCTATCGAGATTGGGTTGTCGAAATTCTAATTTCGTGCTCGATTTATGCCGGTGTGCATTCTTGTGTACTTCTCTTATGAAAGAAATAAATAATTGCGATGAAAATTCTAAGCAAGTAATCATTTCTCTATCGTAGATTCTGGTCTTTGATGAGGAGGAATCATTTGAAAAAATATAAAAGTCCCAAATGTAAGTGAAGACGATGACATTACGAAAGAATAAGAGAGAAAGCAAAGATTAACCATCATCGAAGAGCCGAGTTGCCATTATCATATTATCATAATTTAATTATATAAGATTTAAAAATAAAGCAATTTAAATATAATCTCGATAAATATGAGACATATACCGATGCATCGAGCTTAATGAAACGAGTTTGCGGAGCGCCATCGCGCTGTCAAAATTGTCGAACGACCAATGTGTACCTCGCTAATTTTATCGCTCATGCGGTCGTTGCAGTGTGTCATGACCGGAGATTATATGCGCGACGGAGATCAATATCTCTCGGAAGAACTGAAGCATATGGCAGAAACGCGCTGTCTCTCCACGTGATTGTTGATATTCCCTGAACCACTTTTAGACGTGAGAAGGGATAAAACGGTATTAAAGAATGTTTAAAGATAGACCGAGCCAAAATGTTTGTTTGTAAAAGAATGTGGGCAATTTATGGCAATTACCTCATCGGCGGTATATTCTGACAAGAAGGTACACCCCTCCTTGTCGATTCATCATGGGAAGTAATTGCTGCAAATGCAATAACGGTAAAAAGAATTGCATTACTGGATCCTCCTCCGATGGATCGGACTACCGGTAGGACGATAAAAAAAGAAGCTCTTGATCTAATATTAGTTTATGAACAATAATATCTTCAAGATGCTAGTGCTCAAATAATACTCACTCGTGTCCTTGAACACTTTACATATATCGACTATCTATATGTATTACCGATTAATGTTATTAAATACTTTTTAAATAAATTCAGTAAATAGAAGACAAATTTATTATGTCACGCCGCGTCGCGTCAATGGAGTCTCACCGGTCTTACGTCAGATACATTGAGTTGCATCAAGTTGCATGCTTGATTCATACACGATATTTCTAGGCTCGTTCCATGTTCCTCCGATTAACGCGGACGATCATTTTCGCAAAGAGAAGAAACGTGTAGAAGAGTCGATAAATATTGCGCTTGTTAGATTTTTTCTCTTAGTTCGAAACAAGTTCATCGCAAGATGAAAAAGATGACAAAAATAGGGCAGTAGAGCAATGCCAAGACTCTAGATCATTCTGCGTGCCCGAAATATGTTGAGTCGATGTGTAATATATTTTTACGTAAACGTAAACGTAAGAACACGCATGTGTGAACCACACAGCGAAATAATAAATTGTCGCAATGACATTAAACTGTCATAGTTTTCCCTTCGTTTCATTCATTCCAAAATTTGCTTTCCTTGTGATCAATTTTAGTACATAATCACACGTGAGAGATAATGAAAAATATCAAGAAATTAATATACATACACTTATTCTTAATACTTACATTATATAAATATAACTTTACTTAAATTAAATTAAATAAAATTGAGCGCAAATTCGTGAACTTTGATCTTCATTAATTTCGAGATAATACAAATTATGCGAAATATTAATAAAATGATAAATAGATGCGAAATAATCTATCTGATTGAATATTATCTGTTTCGAAAGGCAGCGTAAATATGTTCGATAAATGAAATTATTAAATAATAATTTTGCAATAATTTACTTTTCTGGATCGATCTGTTGTCATTTGCAAATCATAAAATTACCGCATCTCCCTCTACGTATCACTGACAAAGAATTGCGCGTTCTCCGTTTTTCTTCGTATCTTCGTTTGAACTAAATATTGTTTCTATCAAATATTTATCAAATTTGCAGAATACGAGATGGATTGCCAATTCCATCGGATCGGTATCGATTGTCGATGCGAGGCAATGTCGTGCAATTGGCCTTGAAGCAATCGCGTAAAAACGATGCGGGTTACTATTCTCTCGTAGCGACAAGACTCGGACAAGAAAACAATAAAGGGGCTGTAAAGAAAATTCATCTAAGCATCAGCGAAGCGAGTTACGAAGAGGGCGATCCCCCAATTTTCTTGAGAAGATTGAGCGATCTTGCGGTTAAGGTCGGCACTCGAACCAGATTTCTGGTAGAGATTCGAAGTTCAACCACTCCGAAGGTACGATTTCATATAAATGCACAGCAAAAAAATACTAAAAAAATTAATCGCACACATATTGCACTGCGAATAAATTTTTCTTTGAATATTAATTTGCTTAGATGAAAAGAGTTTGTGTGTATATTAACGAGACAAGAAAATCATTTGCCATTTGGCACCATAGCCATATTCGTAACGTGACGTAAGAGACGTCCTGACCTAAGATAGGCAGATAATATTTTGTGCCAACTACCGCGATCAACCCGGAAGATGGAACCGATGGTCCCAGGCGGTGACTTATTGTCAGGCATTTCTCTTCCCTCTTCTATCCCGGTACCAGACGAAACGGGAAAGGCAAACTAAGATGGGCACCGGGAGGTCCATGACCTGAACTTACGGCGAAAGACGGTGAAGAGTAAAGGAAACTGGTTACGCGTCTTCTTGTGCGTCGTATTAATACTATTATTACGCATGCCCGCATACTATGCGCCAGAGATATATTCCGATATTCCTTCGCATGTCTCTTCCGCCATAGACGAAATAGCTTAACAGCGTTGTAAAGTTTTATTACAGCAAATCGTAAGCGTTAACATATTCAAATGAACTGATGTAGAAAGATCCAACAACATTCTTACGATTCAATTAAATTTATTAATTTCAGATCTCTTGGTACAAAGATGACTCACCTATTCACGAGGGACCGAGATTCTCCCTCGTTCACGAAGGAAATTTTCACTGCGTCGACGTTGCTCCCGTTACGGTGGAGGATCAAGGATGCTGGACCTGCATGGCGGAGAATCGTAGCGGGAGATCCTCGTGCACGTCCACTCTCACTGTCATCGGTAATCTTGCACTCGGGATTCACTTGACATCTTCTTAACAATGAACGCGCCTTGATTAATCGCAGATTCGATCTAACTTTAGTTCCCAAGGCTTACAAGAGACCGGAATTCGTCGAGGAACTTCGCGCGCTGCTCACTGAGACTGGTACCGTGTCGTTGGAATGCAAAGTTATCGGGGTGCCCACACCCGTACTTAGGTGGTTTAAAGACAGCAAGGAAATTAAAGCTGGCGACGTTTTCGCGTTGACCGCCAATCCCGATGATCCGACTTCCCTCGGCGTTTACACCTGCGAGGCGAATAATTGCATGGGAATCACCTATTCTTCTTCAAAAGTAAACGCGTTATGAATTTATTCGAATAATTTGATTTTAAAGCTCCGGTTTTATCGTCGAATATACATACCTATAAAATTAATAAATAAATTATAAAATTAATTGTTCCATTTCAGGTTCATGTAGTCGGAAGAGGAAGCCGAGAAGGTTCGCTGAAGCCAGCGGACGCTTTGGCACCGTCCGGACCACTTCCGGTGTTCAAAAAAATGCTCCAAGATGAGTGTTGCAGGATCGGAGACACTCTTGTGTTGTCCTGCCGAGGTAAATTCAAATTAATATTTTTTTTATTTTTTATTAACATTTATTTTATATATTATGTATAAAGTACTATTATATAAAATACTATTATTTATTTTACGATTGTTTATTAATAGTTCAAGTACCACCCTGGCCGAAGGCAATCGTTTGGTACAACAAAGGAGGTCGTGTCGAAGCCGACGAAAGATATCACATAATGGAAGATGGCATCGGAGGATACTCAATCGAGATGAAACAAGTCGAGGCCGTAGACGAGGGTGAATGGAAATGCGTCGCTACCAGCGAGGAAAATGTGAAGCAATTTACGAGCTGCTACGTAGCCATGTCTAGTACGTAATAATAGACAACTGATTAAGGTAATCGTTGTATTAATGTCTGTTTCGTTTTTAAAGTTCCAAGAAACTACAGAAAGCCGCGTTTCATGGAGAATCTGAAAGCAGTCTTGACGGAAGAAGGTCTTGTCTCGTTCGAATGCAAAGTCGTAGGTTTTCCGACGCCGTTGCTGAGATGGTTCAAAGACGGGCAGGAACTTAAGCCAGGAGACGTCTATCAATTAACCGGAACAAATTCATTAGGTAAGCGGCCGTTCAATTAACTATATATCCTCGTTCTCGTCTTTCGTATTTTTCGTATCTACATATTTTACCGATAATATTCAGGTTCATATTGCTGTATCGCGAGAAATTGCATGGGCGAGGCCAAGAGTACGGCTGAATTAACTATCGAAGACATCCAGAATCAATTAAACGAAGAAGAACGTTTCCAGCTTTTGAGCGTTAATCAACCGCCAAAGTTTATAAAAGGTCTCAGAAGTTGCGAGGCGAGGATAAACGAAGATTTTCGCTTTACAGTGCAAGGTGCTTACATTGTCTATTTTTGAAAATAAAATTAATTAATTAAATAAACATAATTGCTTTCTCGTCACAGTTTTAATATCGCATTAATAGAGTCATTTTATTTTAGTAAGTATTGCACCGGAACCAAGTCTTTCTTGGTATAGAGACGATACGTTGGTGGATGAATCCGACAAATATCAAGCAGCAAAGGAGAATCTTGGCACATGTCATCTCGAAGTGCGAAAACTCGAGTTTAACGATCAAGTGAGTATTCGCGAATATAACATAATTATATAATTTTACGTGTTGCAAGAATCGAAGAATGTGTGAAATGATTATTCTTCCAGGCCGAGTGGAAGTGCGTAGCGGCAAACGATTTTGGTCACAGCGTCACTTCCTGTTTTTTAAAGCTAATCATTCCCAAGCATTACAAGAAACCGAAATTTCTCGAGAGTTTGCGCGCAATCCTGTCGGAAGAAGGCGCGGTAAATTTAGAATGCAAAGTTATCGGTGTCCCGCAGCCGGTTTTAAAATGGTACAAAGACAACGTCGAACTCAAACCCGGCGACATACATCGAATTATCTCTGGCCAAGACGGTACCTGCTGTTTAGGAACTTATACCTGCGAAGCTACCAATTGCATGGGAACAGTCAGCAGTTCCGCATCTCTATTAGGATTTGAAAGTTGGTTTTTGCGAATATATTCATTATATGTAATCATTTTTAACAGTACAGTTGTAAAAAAAAGTAAAAAAATTGTTTGCGACTAAGTCATTTTTATACATTGTGCTGTAAATCTGTGAACGTTTTAAGCAGAAATAAAATTCGATTTTTTTATCTTGCAGATAAGAAGGAAACGAAGGAGATTCAGTCGCCAAATGGCCACGAGCTGGCGAGGAATCTGTCGTTGTCAACGATACATGAAGAACGAACTTCTCAATTGTATGATACACCGCAGACGGATCATTCTGTCACTTTGGATGAGCGTGGCGAGGTGTCCTTTAGTTTTGACGGCAAGGAAGTGTCAGTCAGTCTATATGAAACACCCGATCTGACCGAGGAAGAAGCGCTACAGATTGTCGAAATGTACGCTGATCAGTTGTCCGAACATGTAACAGGTAAGAGTTTCTTCAACTATATATAATTAATACATTATAAAAATAATTAAAAAATAATGTAGGAAAATCAAATAATCGACCAAACTAGTAAAAATCAATTTATTAATCTTCATGACGTTTCGACCATGTGATTGTGGTCCTTATCAAGCGAACAATAAATCAAGTCATAACAAAAGTTCACAAATTATTGTCGAATTTTCTGTTGACGATCGTTACCGTGACATGTTTTATGCTGTCTCTCGTCTTTTTATTTCTAACTGGTGTCATGAAGATACATAATGTTTTAATTCAACAATAATTTGTGAACTTTTGTTATAACTTGATTTATTATTCACTTGATAAGGACCACAATCACATGGTCGAAACGTCGTGAAGATTAATAAATTGATTTTTGCTAGTTTGATCGATTATTTGATTTTTCTGTTTATTGACTAGCGATTGAAAAGAATCACGTTTATGTTTAAAAAATAATGTATTAAAAAATATACATTCTCGTAATAGAGCACAACGTGATCGAACTTCCGCCAATGAGATTCGTGAAAGAAACGTCTACGTCCGGTAATTTGCTGATGGAAGCCGTAGTAATCGACGTGTCGCCCGATTACTTCGTTAGTGCCGAAGATGGCGATGATTTGCGAACAGAAGCCGACGTGGAGGACGTCTCTATCATGGATGATGTGACGCACGTCCTCTCGTCACCTGAACAACGCGATTCTCGAGGTTCTTTAAAGAGATCGGCTCGTTATAACGGGGATGAGGAGGTTCCTAGCAGGCCACCTCGGAAGAAATCGACGAGTGTGTCGTCGTCGAAAAGCGAGAAGAGTCAACGAATCGAAGTTTCCGAGAGCTTTCATAGCGCTCAAAAGGACGAGCCACTCTTGTCTCCTCTCTCGTCCTTGAAGCAAGACGACAGCGATACCTTCGCGGACGCTTTGTCCTCTGCGCATCTCTCCATTACAGAAAGTATCCTTCAAAAACATATCGCGGAGGAATATGGTACGACAGATACTAGAAAGCGTAGTTTGAGCGCTGGAAGATCGACCGGCTCCAGTTTGGACGACGGAATCGGTGGTGATTCCTCCTTCGATTCCGTGACTGGGGTTCCGAAAAAGAAACACCGTAAGAAGAAGAAAAAAGACAGGAGTCATTCCGAGGAGTATTCCGGCCCTAGCGATTACGAGGATAGAAGAAGAAGTAAATCGAAAGATAGAGCCGACGTGAAGATAGAATCGTATCAACCTGTAGAATCAGTTGACGGAACGGAAATGGAAAATAAAGTCGCACAAGAGACGATCAAGAAATCGTTTCCCGATGAAAGACTGTTGGATAATTTAACGAGCGAGACGAAAGCTGTACGTACTTCGGAAGAGACTCGAGAACTGAAAAGAGATATTCTTGCAGAATCAAGGATGGTTCTGCGTACAACTTTAGAGACGTATGAAAAAGTTTCTGACACTTTAGTACCGCGATTTTCCAGTATTCGCGAGCGACTCGACGATGTATATCGAACACTGGAGATTTCGCAAGAAAAGGGCGAGCAAATTGAAACCTTGATCAATCTCGAAGTACCTCTGCACGCGTTGCTGAGGGCGATCGATAAAATTTCGTCCTGCTCGATGGAGAATGCAGAAATTATATACAATTTTCTCGAACCGTCGATCCTTCAGCTGTCACGCACCATTGAAAATCTCGGATTGTCGTCTTTAAAGCCTACGCTGACGATTTTGAGAAAAATCAACGAGCGCATTTGTAACATTCCTATCGAAACGGAAGAATTGCCCGCGATAAAATCCATCCCCGACGAAACACGTAATATATCCGAGGAAGTTTTAGATCTGCTAATCGATATTCAGTCGACGTTCAGTGCGATTTTAGAATACATGGAATGTTCGAAACTCGCGATGAACGGAACTGCTGCTTCGCAGCAGGCTTTAACAAGGTCGAGGCTCGCGGCTTGTTTAGTAGAATTACGAGAATGCGTTTCCCACACAGCGCATACCGCGATGACACTGAAAGAAAATGAGACCTTAAACAGTTTAATGGAATTCAGGGAGCCCTTGTTGGATCTTCAAGTAGTTGTAGCGTCAGAAGAACACACTTTTCGGGAAATTACGACACTGAAAGAAATAAGCTTTGCCATTGAAAGACTGAAGAGCGTCGTTGTGACAATATTAAAAAATGCCAAAAATGCAGAGGCAGTTTCGCGGGTAAAAGTAATTCTGCAGGTATTGGAAGATACTGATAACGAAATATCAAAACTTATGGAACAATTGTCAGAGAAGGAAGCGCAAAAAAAACACGTGCTGAAAGACTTGAATATCGATCAAAGTTTAAGCAACGTACATTTCGCTTTATCGTCGGTTTTAGAAAAGCAAGAAAAATATGCAAATTCGTATCATTTAATTACATGTATCGAAACGTTACGGCAGACAATAGGTTCTTCGGCCGTGACAATAGCTAATTTAAAAAATCCAGTCGACAATGATATAACTCAACAGATTAATAAAATAACTGATTCGTTATTAAATCTGCAAAAAAGTTTGTTAACGGAGAAGCACGAACCAGAAGAGGAGCAAATTCTAATTAACTTGCTGAATCCCATTAATAAATTAAAAGAGATCATTCACAGCATAATAGAAAGCGGTTCTTCCGTCGATTTTATAGTACCTATGATAAAATTATTGGAAGAAATAGAGAAAGATACAATTCTTGTAACAAAAGAAATATCGAAGAAAAAATCTCACGAGGAAACTACTGCCAAATCTCGAAGAGAAAGTGTGGAAAGGAAAAACGGTTCGAAATCCATTCTCGCTTATCAAATCAACCGTTCTTTAGATCCTATTAAACAATGGTTATCCACATCCGAAGATAGCACAAAAGACGAAATAGAATCTACCCTGAGCTTAACGATCGAGGATTTGAAGAGAGACGTCTCTCAAATTGCTATTCAAACTGCATATTCTGAACCACCAAACGATCAAAATTTAATAGAAGCATTGACTGATCTTCGAGAACCACTAATAAGACTTAAAAATGCTATTTCTGTATATCACAGACCGGAGGATCTCTTGATTTTAGAGAATTTAAGTCAGCCTATGAAACATCTTCTGCAAATTATCACGGATATTCTTCATGAACACGAGGAAGAAGAATGTCTAAAATCCGTAGCAGATATCGTCGAACAAATAAAAAATCAAATACCGCTTTCGATCAAAGATGCTCTCTACCAGCAAGAACTCGAACAATCTGTCAAAACATTTAATGTGGAAGAAGAAGAAGAAGTTATTACAGTCTCCTCCCGAGAAACAATTCCAGGTACTCTCACAGAAATTGCGTCTACGCCATTTGAAACCGGATCACCTGCATTGCCCATTGAACCTGTAACAGAAGATAATTTCAAAATAACAGCTGACGATGTCGCTCTGCAGGCTTTAAAGGCTGCTAAACAAGAAAGAGAGGAGAATGCAGGCAAATTAATGACAATCTTGTCGGAAACCTTGGAGAAGCTTCAGTTGGAGATGACTGGCATTCTGGAAGATTTCGAGGAATCGGCAACGCGAACCACTACAATTCCCCAATCGAAATTAGCCAATTCTCTCGAAGAGTTGAGAAGAACTATCTCTACAATTCGGATGATAACCACCGTTTACGATAAAGAAATTGGATCATTTGAAGAAAAAGTTAATCAGACCATTCTAGTGTTAACTAATTTAACACAACCGCTGACAAACATACAAGAATTGCTTTCCAGACCGTGCGAACACGACGTCTCGGAACTTATGATACTGAATCGATTAACGCCGCTGTTGAATATAATAGAAAACAACGTGATAAAACAAACGATAAATTTTGTCGATAAAAATGAAGACGCGAATAAAGAGTTTGAATTTCTTCTATACGTGCTGAAAGGAATTGAAAGGGAAATTCCAATTGTAATTCAAGAAATATCATCGAGACGAAAAATGTTGGAATGTCTCCGGGACATTTCGAAGCCTCTGGATAACATTGTAGAGCAAATGAACGATCTGGAAAAAACTGGGGAAGAAACCCTCGAAACGGACGTGGCGAATATTTTGGGAAAGCCGATCGCCGCTCTTTTGAAAGACATCAAAACCGCCATCCAAGAAGTAGATACGCTGGATCGACGAGGGCCGATAATTTTCGAATTACGAAATCTTCTGGAACCTTTGCTAGAATTTCATACCTGCCTTTCAATGGTACAGAGCAGTCGACGAAGTTTGGTTCCCGAAGACAATTTATTGGACGAAAGAAGAAACGTTATCCTGCGAGCTGTCGACGATTTGCGGAAACAAGTCTGTCATACCGTCGAAGCGATCGCGAATATGGAAGAAGCCTCCTCGTTCAATGAATCCTTGACGTTGCTGAATTCCGCGATTCTGCAAGTACAGAAACAAATCGGTAAGACCGATTATTCGCGCCGATCTAGCAGCGCCAAGATTCCTCTTCAGCATCGACTTATCAGTACTTTAAGTCGCTTAGCAAAGGCTATAGTATCTGTGGAAGAACACGCCGACACAGACACGTATGGAATAGTGTCCAAATGCTTGGAGGCATTGCAGAAACAAATATCCTTCACGCAAATGCAATTTATTCAGATTGGTAGCGAATCGATTGACGAAGAGGCCATCGTGGAAGGCTTTCTTTATCCGACTAATCAACTTTTGTCGGCGTTGAATGTCCTCAAAGAGAATATGCAAAAAATACCGTCGGCGATTTCACATGAATTGATCATTCAATTTCAAGAATTAGCCGATTCGATCTCGGAATTAAATTCTTCTTTGTCGGCGCACAAAGCGGAACTCGTGCAAGAAGGCGCTTCTATAGGAGCTCCGATCATAGAAACCTTTTCCGCCGTTACGGACGTCTTAAGTCACGTGAAAGATTCTATAAAAACAATAGAGAAGCTGGTCGAACAAAAACCAAGCACGGTCGTCACAAAAGTAGAAAGTGTTACCGAGATTATAGAGATATCGCAAGAGGAAATTGAAAGTGTAATGATAATCACGGAAATACCTTCATCGGCAGTTGCTCAATCGAAGATTGAAGATACATCTGAAAAAACAGAGACACCGGTTATAGAAAATCTAGAAGCGATAATCCGTATTGAACAAACAGAAGATAATCTGACGGGTGTCAAAAAATATGAGGAAAATCAGGAAGAAAACGAGAAACAAAAATACCTGAATCAGATATCAAAGTTCAATTCTGCAATAAATAGCTTGGCACAGCCGTTGAGAGAACTGGCGAATTTCGTGAAATCCGCTACGCAAGAATCGCTGACTTCAAAATCTGAGGAGAATAAACGGAAAATACAAGAGCTAACAGCATTGATACAAATTCTTTACGATTTACAAGCTACAAATACTTCTATTAAGATAGCATTGTCTTCCTCGTCTCTTAAACTTATAGATAGCAATTTTTCTCGTATGGAAAATATCCTAGCTAATTTTGAGCGAGCTGTCGATACGGTTATTTCCTTGACTGATGCAGGAGTGAAACCAGAATTAAAAGAGAACATTATGACGTCTTTACAATCTATCGCCGAGCCCTTGGATGCTCTTGGAAATATATTAGCATCTGTATGTCAGACGTTCGATGGAGACAAGTACGTCGATCAAAACGGAGAATCGTTACCCATAATTGCAAAAACTTTAATGCCATTTATTAACGACACCGTTAAATCTATAAATGAGATCCAGATATTAAAATCTGTTAAAATTATTGACGAGAAAGAAACAGAAATATCGAAAATAAAAGAGGAAGCAAACGATATCGAAGAAACAACTGCACGGCCTCTCGAAGAACTGATAGAAGCTATTATGGATTCCCAGGATCAAGTTAAATGCGACAAGACTTCGCCTTACGAATCTAGTTCACCCTCTGCCGATTTGATCGAATCGAAAAGTATCGACAATTTAAAATCGATAAAAGAATCAGAAATAAATAAGTTAAATGAAGTACTCGTTAAAGAGGCGGATAATTTAATGACACAAGATACAGTAGAGGTGCCACAACAAGAATTGACATCTGCAGAAGCGTCTACTCAAATTGAAGAAGAACTTAGTGAAAAGAAAAGCGTGATAACATCTGTAACAGAATCATTGGAAGCAGTTGAAGAGCAAAATTTAGCGACGATTAGTCAGCAGAAAATAGAATTAACTCAATTATCTGAAAAAGAAATAATACAGAAAAAACAAATAAAAGTTGAAACTTTGCAAGCCATTATTTCTCCTCTTCAAGTATTACGTAAATCGTTCGCCGAAATCGAAGAAACAGGAATTTTAGAATCTTCCGACAAGAAAACTATTGCATTTTCGGTTCTGATAGAACCATTATTAAATCTAGAAAATGCGTTATCGACGGAAGTTGCTGAGGAAATAAAGCAAGAGGCAGTGCCGTTAGAAAAATTATCTATCACATGCATTTTGCAAGAATTACAAAAATCAGTCGCTACAATTCAAGAGCAAGTACAACTTAATGTAGCCGAAGTCAGTACAAGCGAAACTTCTAAGATGCGTTTAATGCAAGCAGTCGAGAAACCATTAGAAGACCTGAAAATGTCGATCGCGTGCATCCAGTCCGATCCAAAAACTTGTCAATTGATTCAGCAAAAAGCGGAATTATCGAGCGCTGAACAGATCACAATTTTGCAAACACTTGCCAAATCGGTGGAGCAATTTGGAGAAAGATTTATGTCTATTACCGATGAGCTGAAAATAGAAGCAGAATCTATGCCGTCATTGCAAATTGCAAAGCAGCAAAAAGATCAAGAGATCGATCCGGAAATTTTACATAAGATTGTTGATCCGATTCATATTCTACGTGAAACACTCTCTCAAATCGAAGAATTGAAGAGCCATAAAACCGAGTTATTAGAAATGCCAGAACAGAAAAAAGAAATTGTTCAATTAAATACGGTAATAAATCCTTTAGAGAAATTAGAACAATTATTAATTACAGATATACAACAGATTGCGCAGGAAACAGATTTTAGTGGAAATCAGGTTTCATTGGCGAGTGCGGATTTAAAGCCTGTACTAGAAGAGTTAAAAAATTCAATCGTTGTAGTTCAGCAGCAAGCAATCTCCAGCGATGGTCCTACGGTAAAAACATTAAACGAAGCTCTTGAAAATCTAAAAATGCCATTAACAATTATCGAAAAAACGGTCGATCACTTTGATAAAGTTACCGAAACTGAAAAAATATCGACTTTACTAAGTTTTGCAAAATCGGTGGAAGAAACAGCGACTCAGTTAGCTACAGCTAAACAAAATATAATGCAACAAGAAATACGAGAAGTTTCTCTCTTAAGAGCGATAACTATTCCAATCGAAGGGCTACAAAGCGCAATATTGCAGCTCGAAGATCAAGTGTCTCAAACATCGGAAACAAAGGAGTCAACGAAACTTGTTGCTTTAGAATGTATGGTGCAACCGCTGCACGAATTACAGCAATCTTTCTTGATCGCGTCTCATCAAGAAATCGCGTTATCTTTGCAACGATTGCCAATCAAGCCGATACTGGACAATTTAAATAAATCTATTGCGGTGATTCAAGATCAAGCTACGATCGTTCAAGATTTACTCGCGGAGGCAAACACAGACGATCTGGCGATATTGAAGGATTTCGCAAAGTCACTCGGTAATTTAAGAACGTCGACGGTGGTCCTGCAACAATTGAACGCGATAGAAAACGCTGGTCAGCAAATCGTGGAGATTGAAAATGCGTCAGCGTTACAAGCATTCGCAAAGTCTATCGAAGAGTTCCGAAAATGTTGCTCGGTCGTCGTCGAACGGCCGAGAATCATCGAAGCCTTCGCGACAAATACAGAATCGACACAATCGGCCAAAGTGGATACGCAACTCCTCGAAAACATCATCGCGCCTCTGCGAATTTTACAAGAGCAGATTTTAACCATCGAGGAAACAAAGATGCAAGAATCTGAAATCCTGGATATTGCTGAAGTGAAAAAACCAGTCACCGTGTTGAGCAGTCTAGTCGGGCCTTTGCAACAACTTGAAAAGTCTTTCGTCGCATCGGTGTGGAAGGAGCACGTGATGGAACACGATGGACAGAATCTGAAAAGCGAATCACCTTCCGTGGATTTGGAAAAACTTGCTCTACAGCCCATCCTCGAGGAAGTGCAAAAGTCTATCGCCACTGTTCAAGAGCACGTGATATTAGAGGCGGGTAGCCAAATGATCTCGGAAGCGGAAACTGAAGCGGAAGCTTTGCTGAAATCGATCGCGCAGCCTCTGGTGGATCTAAGAGCCTCGGTCGCGTCTATTCAGCAGGTAACCGCACTTGCGCCTGATTCGTTGAACGAATTGGCACAGCAACAAAATGTCTCGGCTTTGGAAACGTTCGCCGAGACTCTCCACAATCTGTCGGAATGTATAGCAATGTGCAATCACCAGCAGATAATAATGGAACCTGTGGCGGACACCATTTCCGAGGACGCTTCGTCTTTGAACACGTGGGCAGACGTAATCGAAGAAGCATCAAAAGTCACGCATCCGATGGTGATCGATCAAGGCGCGATCGAATCTCCGCTCGAGATCGCGATGTCAATGTCAGAAGATGAGGCCTCCATGTTGAAAACATTAGCAAAACCTTTAACCGAATTACGAGAATGCCTAGCACTGGTGGTCGAAGAGCGCAAAATAGTCGCGCCTAGCGATACAGCGAGTTCCTTATCGGAGAAGGAAAATGTTTCTCTCTTGAAAACGATGATACAGCCTTTGTTAGAGTTAAAGGACGCAGCCACGGCGGTAATTATTCAAGAACAGACAGCTATCGAACGCGCAAACGAACATTCATTCGCAGTCGACGGTAAGACTGAACTCGCTCTTCGTCCATTGATGGAACCTCTCGAAGAATTGCGCCATTCCATCGCTGTAATACAAGATCAGATGTTGGTCGAAACCTCAATGGATCGACCAAAAAGCGAAGTTGCATTAGATGCATTGGCTGAGCCTCTGTTCGATCTTCAGCGCGCCATATCGATTTTAGAAGCACGAGTTGTGTCACCAGACATCGAATCGATTCCCGAAGACACGAGCTGGATCACGGAATGTTTAGCGATTCCTCTGCACGAGATAGAAAGATCGTTAGCCGACATTCGACAATGCACAATAATGGAACCTAAAACTGCAATTGCGGAAGAGCAAATAAAAACATCGATGCCAGATTGGTCGATTGTCGAGGAATTATCTAAACCAATGGAAAATATTAAGTCAGCTATATTACATATGGAAGATGACTATGTCGAAACTGAAGTTCTCAAAACGATGGCAAAATCACTTACTAATGTACAAGAAAATTTAATGTTATTGCAAAGCAAACATAATTTAAATGTTGACGAGGAAACCAGTATCGACGCTATTATCGATTCTCTTTTCAATCTTGAGAAATGCATTTCATTCGTCAAGAAAGAAATTGTCGATAAACCAATGTCTGAACCATCAAAGAAAATAGATACTACTATATCCACCGCTCTTAATGCACCATTAAACGAATTAAAATCTTCCATTCTGACCGTAAAGGAATCACCAAGCATTTATCTAAAGGATTTGAAGAAACCCTTGGAACTCGTGCAGGATGCAGTCGAAACAGTTATATCTATACAACAAAATAAAAAGCTGCTGGAATTATCGACAAAAGTAATAAATACTATTTCGAATATTAATACGTCTATTGAATCTATCGGACACAAATTAGAGGAACAACAAGTGTCGATTATCGAAATTCACATCGAATGCGAGGCACTCGGAATGTTGGCGAAACCTTTACAGAATATTAAACAGAGTATCGCGCAAATACAAGAAAAACCGAGTACTACCGATTTAACGATGAGTACTTTGCAGAATCTCGAGAAATCTGTTGCTATAATACGAGAGCAATCAGCTGATAAACCGTTGGCAGATTCGCAGCATGCAAATTTCGGTACCTTCTCAAAAAATTTAATACTGTGTCTTCATGAATTGCAAGAATCGATAGAAGAGGCAAAAACATTATGGCATAAAGAAACAATATTAGAAGGACTGACAATTCTTGAGAAACCGATTTGCAAATTGCAATCTATAATAAATATTATGTGTGATCAATTTTTGGCAGGAGAAATGATTGAAACAATAAAAAAACAGAAAACTGTACCTCAAAAGAAATCTGCAAAGAAAGAGATAAAATCTGAAATTGAAACACCTATCGAAAAAGACGGTGAAATAAACAAAACGGTAAAAGTAGAAATAGAAGAAACTAAACCGGCAGATTCTACAGTAATCGATGATACAGTAGATAAGAAGGAAAGAAAGAGTTTAGAAAGGAAACAAAAACAAGAAAAAGAAAAGGAAAAATTAGAACAGCCAAAAGATGATATAGTTGAAAAAGAAAAAGGAAAAGAAGAGGATAAAAAGATAGAAAAACAAGAATATAAGAAAGAAGCTGATGAAATAAAAAATAAAAGTGAGGAACCAAAGAAAGAGGGAGTAGAAAAAATAAATAAAGAACAAAAAAGCAAAGAAATTGAACAAGTAAAAGAAAAAACAGAGCAAAGTGAAAAAAGTATAAAAGATGAAAAAGAGCAGAGTAAGACAATACAAGAAACTAAAAGTTTAAAGAAATCTGAAGAAGCTGAAGAAATAAAACAAGTTGAAAAGCAACAGGAGAAAGTGAATGTAACTGAAAGTATAAAAAATGAAGTAGAAGAATCTAAAAAAATTATAGCAACTGAAGAACTAAAGAAAGAAGACAATGAGCAACAAAACAAAGAAAAACATGAGAAAATAGATAAAGTTATAGACGAACAGAAGGAAAAGCAAGATACTATACAAGAAAGAAAAGACTCAGATAAAAGTAAGAAAACTGAAAAAGATCTAAAGATAGAAAAAACAGAAAAGAAAACAGGAGAAGAAATCAAAGATATAGAAAAAAAAGAAATACAAGAAAAGGAAAAGAAAGAGGCTGAAAAGATAGGAAAAGGAGAATTAAAAGATGTAAAAGAAAATGAAAAAGTACAGAAAGAAGAAAAAGAGAAAACAGATAAAACACAGCAAAAAGAACAAGAACATGTAAAGGTAGAGGAAATTAAAGTGGCACAGGAAGAAAAAGTTACGCGCGATCACGAAATGGAAGTCGAAGAAGTAAAGAAACAAGAGGAAAATAAAACTTTAAAACAAGATAAGGAGCAAGAGAAAGAAAATGAAAAAGAAAAGATCAAAAAGATTGAAACGCTGAAAGAGGAGAAAGAAAAACCGGTACAAGAGAAGCAAGTAAAACAAGAAGAAGATGAAAAGTCAAAAGATGAGAAGACGAAAGAAATGAAAAAGAAAAAAGAGGAGTCTAGTAAGAAAGATGAGTCTAAACAAGAAAAAATAACAAAACAAGAACAAGTGGAAGCAGTAAAAACACAAGAGCAGAAAGAAAAAGAGATAATAGAAAAGTAAAGGAGAAAGAAGACGAAAAAGCAAAAGATGATATAAAAGAATTAGAAAGAAAAGAAGAAAAATCTAACAAAATAGAGAAATCAGAGAAAATGAAAGAAAAGGAACAGGAAAAAGATAAAATTGAAATATCAAAGAAAAAAGATGAGGAACAAAAACAGCAAACTCAAATTGAAAAAATAAAGATAGCAGAAGATAAACAAGTTGAAGTAAAGAAGGATGTGCAAGAAGATAAGAAAAAGGATAAGAAGGTAGATAGAAAGATAGAAAAGGAAAGGGAGGAACAAATAGAAAAAAGAAAAGAAGAAATTGTTAAAACAGATCAAGTAGTACAGCAAACTGAAAATGAATATATAAAAAAAGAAAACGATAAAGATAGGAATAAACAAGAATATAAAAAAGCAAGAAAAGATCAAGAGTTAGAAGAAGAGAAGACACGTATAAAACAAAAGCAAGAAGAAAAATTAAACACGGAAATTCAAAAATCACAGTCGAGGGAGGATAAAGATTTACGTTTAAAAGTAGATGAATATCAAGAAAGACAAAGAAGTGACAGAAGACAACAAGAACAGAGCAAATCGCAATTTGAAAAAATAGGAAGAACGAAAAGAGAGGAAGAACGGAGGCAGTGGAGATCGCAGGATGATGAAAATTGTTTACGCACAAGAAAAGACGAGCGAATTAACAGAAGTTATGAACACAAATTAGACACAGAATACAAAGAGGAATACGATCGTCAAAAAAAAGATGATAATAAAAGGCTACATCGAATGGAAATGGATCGCTTAGAAAAGAAAAGAGACGTGGGACGATCCAGAAGAGATGAAACTGATTATATATTTAGAGAAGATGAGGAAAAGTACGAGAAAAGAAGCGAGGAAAAGAGAATCAGAGGAGACGAGACTGCCAGATTAGTATGGGAAGAAGGACAAAAATTGCGAAAAAGACAAGAGGAAGAGATAGTCAGAAATAAGCAGAGAAGAGAGGAGCTGATAAGAGAAAGCGAATGGTCCAGAAGACGTGAAAACGAATCCGATCGCTTTCTTAGAAACATGCTGGAAACCAAATACAAACCAGACAAATCGATCGGAAGATCTTTCGAGGTCGATTATTCGCGAGAATATACTTCACGATTTGACTCTGGCATCTCGACGCTTTCTAGCACTTCCAGATCATACAGCTGGAGAGATTCTTTGACGTCATTAAATAGACGAAGAATCGACGACTGGGATTATAAATTACACAGCTCTTCCATAGATAAACATTATTTCGACGCAGGATCGTACAGAAGGCGCAAGAAAAGAGAAAATCGTATGATTCGCGCGAGATCGACTAGTTTGCTGAAGTACGAAGACTATTCGACCGGAGATAGCGATGCTACCATCGTATCAGCACTCGACGTGTCCGACCTGTCCGACGCACGAAAACAGATATTACTCCACGTACGAATTTCATTTACGAGTCCAGTTCGTCTAGCTACACTGGCTTCGGTCAAAGTGAGGTACCCGTCCGCTGTTGAATTTAATTGCTTATTTTGTAATGCATCGAAGCAGAATTTTTTACAAATAATTTTTCGGAAATATTGCAGGATCTTCCATGGGACAAACCGAAGAAGCCATCGTTCTGCACGAGACTGACAAACAGAGTCGTAGAAACCGGGATGAGAATAAGACTGACTTGCACGATTCTTGGTAATCCGGAACCGCATGTTTATTGGACTAAAGATGGTCAAAAGTTAGATGTATCAGATAGTCGCTGCAGAACGCGATACGAAAATGGTATGGCCTATCTGGAATTATATGACGCTCTTCCGGCGGATGCCGGAACTTATACATGCATAGCTGAGAATACACACGGGATTTCGAGCACCGAATCCACCTTAAGGGTTTACTCCGATTATAAACCTACACATTCGCCTCCGACATTTGTAAAATCCATTAAAGGTATGGAAATGCGCATTGTGATATACATTTTAATTTTCACGCGCATCGTTCTAACGTTAGACTTACTTTTTTTCATGTAGACACCTACCGATATTCCGATCGAACACTCATCTTGGAATGTCGTGTACGAGCAAATCCAGCTCCTTCTATTTCCTGGCTGAAGGACGGGCAGATTCTTCAGGGCGAGCGTTACGAGCGAAAGTATCTCGATGATGATGTGTATAGACTGGAGATAGCGAATCCTAGTGCCTCGGATAATGGAAGATACACTTGCCGTGCTGTAAATGAACTGCACACAGAGGAAACATCCCATATGGTTCATGTTGAAGGTGATTGATTATATGTCATGAATAAATGTAACATTAAAATGCAAGCGATTGAAATTGAAATGATTTTAGACTGGCGATCCGCGAGTCAATACGATCTAAAGTTGAGCGACGGAACTGAGCCGGAATTAACGCGACGACCACGATTCTCCAATCTATTGAAGGATTACAACGTGCCTGCTGGCGGTACCATCGCTCTTCAAGTAGAAGTTAAAGGTAGTAAGTCGCGTTAGAAAGTCACTTGTTAGATTTTTTAATCTTCCATTACTCTATAGGTGTCCCAGCTCCGGAAGTGAGATGGTTACGCGGTGACCAGAGGGAGCCGATCGCGATACCGAAGGCGAAAACCTTCACCGAACGTGGACTTCACACGTTAATTGTACCCGAGGCGACAGAATCGGAAAGAGGCACATACGTGTGTAGAGCGATTAATGCTTACGGGCAAGTTGACACGTCGGCGACAGTGGATGTAATATCAGCGAGCGCTATCGATGGCGGAAAACCGGCGATGTTCGTCTCGAGACCGTCCAAGAAATCGATCGACGTGACCGTCGGCGAAGACATTAGTATATCCTTCCGAGTCAGCGGCACCCCTAAGCCACGAGGTAGAGTTTAATAGATTTTTTATTTCATTTATTCTTGGACATCAGTATCGGTTCGCTTTCTCTTCTTTTTCTCTCTCGTCTTCATTTTTCATTCTCTTCTTTTTTCTATCTTTTTCACTTTAGTAATCTGGATGAAGGGATTAACGGATATCACGGACGGGCCGAGGTCGTACAAGGAGAGTATCGATGATTATGTCAGATTAACATTAAAAAGAGCCGTGGCTTCCGACGAAGGTACTTATTGCATCCTGGTTAAAAATAGATACGGCTGCGACAGAAGCTTCTTCTCGCTTAAGGTGAGGATTCGATGGATTTGGAACAAAGCAAAAATATTATCGGTAAATATATTCGCGAACAGGTGAAGCAACGCGCCAGGTCGTTGACTCCATCGCCAGATTGGAATTCCGTTGCCGAACGTGATGCAGGCGAAGAACACGATGACGATATGTCATATGTGAGAAGTAAGTGACTTTTCATTATTTTGTATTATTAACTCAAAAAATAGTGAAATGTCAGTCATGAGATTTTGTAATATTATTTTAAATTTAAAGCAAAGTCATTTAATGTCGTGTAATAATAAATTCCAACCATACAAATATCATATAAAATATTATTGTGTCAATTAAAATTAGAATAACAAACAAGCTTACACCAACTGCAAGATAAAGTTAGCTTTCAATGGCTGGACGCCAGTTTTCACTGGAATAAGCGGCCGCGCAAATTGACGTCAATGTTTAGCTTAATTATTCATCGAGCTGATCGGTAGCCGAAGATCTCCTTAAACGAATGTAAACTGATCTTTGAAGCGAGTGAGAGGTGGTATATGTATTATAGAATGTGAGATCTCAGTTGAATTCAAAATTGATACATTCGCAAAATATTGTAAGGTAGCAACTCGTAACGCTTAAATATATATTTAAGTTTCGTTCGAGGAGCATCTTTCGAGAGCCGGGTTATTTTTGTTTGCCTTCTTTAATCATCGCCCACCAACACCTCGCGGATTCCACAAAATTTCAAAATTTAGTCGTCGTTGAAACGCGAATCATTTCGTATATCCTAGTATTCAAAATCTTGAGTTTCCTTGCGATTCGTTGTGCTAAAAAAATATCTCGCGAAGTGAATAATAAATTTTTATTTCGTCAATATTTCCCTGAATGCTATCATCGCGAGTTTATTATAATTTTTATATTTTTGTTATTATATAGTATATTAAACAAAACTCTCTCTTTCGGTTTCTTTATCCGATGTCAAAATATATTTAATTATATAAAAAATTTATAAAAAATTATTTTATAAAAAATATGCATATGTTAAAAAAATATATATCGCTGAAAAGAATAAAATATAATTCATCATGAAGCCACATGATCATGGAATTGTTGTCAACGATGAAAACGATACTATCACTATCTCGCGTTTAAGACGTTCATGGACCAATAAGAATTGTTTAATCATTGATTTTTTGGAATATTTATATGGACATCGAGGTTAGCTAAACCGATGAAAATTGCTTGTAAATCTTTTTAAAAAATAACAAATATATATATAAAATTATCATTAATATATATTTCAATACATACGTATATATAAAAAAAGATTAACTTAAATATTTATATATTGTATAAACATTTAAATAATATTTTATATGCAGTATATACATTATATTTAAATAATATTATATGATTTTCGTCAGACGTACCTGGTCCAATCAGCAGTGAACCAGTCGCTATTGATGGTGGAAAGAATTGGTTATCGTTGACTTGGGGTAAAGCAGAGAGAAGAGGACCCGCGCCGGTGATTGCTTATAAAGTCGACGCTTGGCTTCTGGGTAGCGATGGGGGTGCACGATGGGTGGAGGTGAGTATAACAAATATTATTTCCAAATGTATATGCAACATTTTTTTATATCAATTTATCACTCTTGAAATTTTCAAAATAATTCAGCTGGGAATCACGCCGATCAACGCGTTCGACGCGTTCAATTTGCGACCGGGTGGAGAGTATAAATTCCGCGTGACACCGCGAAATCGTTACGGATGGGGCGAACCTGTTACTATGACGAATTCGGTGTTAGTGAGCGAAAGTACCGATCTTCCGGAATTTACGAAAATTTTACCTGGTCAATTGAAGGTTCTCGAGGGAACGCCATTAAAATTGGAATGCGAAGTAAGTTTACACACTGAAAACAAATTTGTTAACTTGACTGAAGCTTTAAATTACTATTTTGTTGATTGAATACATATTAGTATTTAAGTCAAATATATGTTTTATTTAATATATTATATAGATTTTATATTATATAGATTTTAATATATTATATAGATTTAATATATTATATTTAATTTAAATATTTTATTATTCAATTCACAAAATAATATTTACTTAAAAGGTTTAGTCAAGTTATCAAATTTTTCAGTGGTAGCTACAGTTACATTTAATCAGTTTTACCTCATTCGAATAATGTCTTTCAGATTCGCGTTGATTCCAAAATGGACATACGATGGTACCGTGAAACAACGGAGATAGATTCTCACGCTGATTCGAGATTCGCGATATATTACGATGGTCCCAAATGTTTCTTAACAATTGAGAACATCAAAGAGGATGATTCCGGAAGATACGTTTGCGAGGCGAGCAACAAGATCGGTAAAATGTCGTCGTTCGCTAGGGTTTTCGTTGTTAACGATCCGAGAATTATCGAGGCCGATGCGAAACTCAGAACAAAGTAAGTGGATGGATTATTCGTGATAACGACAAGGTCAGAGCGATAATGTCGTACAATTTATTAATAGTCTGAGCATCGAACCGGAAGATAAACCGCCGCAATTCACCATGAGAATACGAGACAGGCGAGTGCAGACGACTTATCCGGTGAGGCTTACCTGTCAAGTTATCGGACATCCCGTTCCAGAGATCACGTGGTACAAGAATGAAACGAGAATCTCCCAAGACGGTGATTATATCGACGTGCAAAGAATATCCGGCAAAAAGATCGATTCTCCAAGAATCATCTCTCTCAAACATCCTCTTTCAGATCGTCACATCTTCTGGGACGACGACTCGAACTTCCACACTCTGGAAATAATCCATTCCACCCTCGACGACTCCGGATGTTACATGGTGACAGCGAGAAACGTGAACGGCTCGGTGTCTTGTCGATGTACCCTCGTGGTAGATAAGGGAATTCGAGCTTACGTTGCCCCGGAGTTTCTTCGCGATCTTGACGCGGCTTACACGATTCATTCTGGCGCGGAGTTGCGAATGTCCGCGCAACTCGAGGCTTATCCGAGTGTCGGGGTCGTCTGGTGAGCAACAATTATAATTAAAGGCCAAAATTTAACATAAGTCATGTTAACATACGACCGATTGTTGGCACCCCAAAAGCTACGTAAAAATCTAATATCGAAAATAAATTTGCGTGGGACTGCTAAGTCGCGTAAATTAGCTCGACCGCTGAAAGACGCAACTAAATCGGATGATTCGGTCATACTAGAGCTACTTCGTCGACTTCAATTAATTCAATCGATGTAATTAAGCTCGAGAATTTAACTCGCAGAATTTATTTATAGCGAGATTACTAATCTTGTAAATCGTATTTTTAATTCACTTTCTTCCTGTTCACGTTCCAAAAATAAAAGTTAATAATTTCGTATAATAAATAATAAATTCGTATTGACAAATAAATATTAACAACGCCTTAATAATAATAATAAATAAAAATTTAATAATAAAATGAATTTCCTCGCGTAGGCATCGCGATGGTATCCGACTACGACCTAATAGAAGAGCCGTAATGACGTTGAACCACGATGGTTCCGTCCAATTTTCTCTGGCTAATGTTACTGTGCGAGATGCCGGAGTTTACAGCTGTACCGCGACGAATGCAGTCGGTCATACGGAGACTTCCACTAGGGTGGCTGTCATCGCGGATGCAATTCCGGATCAGTTGTCCATTGGATCATCCAATGTCATGAGCGCATCATCTCCGGATATACCGTGAGTCTAATCTTCTCAGAAACAGCAAAGTTCAATAACCTTCCCCAATACCCTGATATTTTTTTTTATTAAAACACTACTTATTATGATTATAGCAATTATTCATGAAAGCATATTTTCATGCACAGATGTTAATCAACAAACATTTATGTAATGCATAAATTCAATTGCAATATAAAAAAATTAATTATATTTGTTTGCCACTTAAAATGTTTGAATTAAACGTAAATAAATATATGTATGTATAATAATTTTTCTAGATATTCCAAGGAACCGCTTTTCGTCACGAAACCATTATCAACCGAAGCAGTCGAGGGCGATGCGGTCATCATACTTTGCGAGGTCGTCGGAGATCCTAAGCCCGAAGTAATATGGCTGCGCGATTTTCTCAAGGTAAACAAATTTCTTTTTTTCTCAGTTTTTAAATTTGTGACACTTTGTATTCGTGCCACTCTGCGTCTTTTTAAATACAAATTTGATAAAAAAAACAAACTACTACGAGAATTTTAATATATCTGTTAATTAATCATAATTTAAATGATGAAGTGTAGATCGAAATAAAAATGCAAATGACGAAGTGACGTATATCTAATGTTGTGTGGATCTTATATGGATCAAGGTAGTTTAAAAAAAAAGCGATCACGTAACGAAGCGTATTATATCCATAAAAGACAATGCATTGTATGCATGTTGAGAAAATGGCATTGACATTGAATGGTTCCGTAAATGGTAAACGTGCGTTGCACGTTATATTATATTTTTTAATACGAACGAAAAAATAAGACACACTCTCAAGAAGAGAATCCGTATTGTCAATTGATAATTATACGATCGTTCAAAATGGGAAGTGGTGCATCTTTTTGACCAAAACATCCGCATTACTCCGGAATATCTGCATAATCGCAAAATGTATACATAGTATTCCCCCACTTTTGTCGTCGGCTTTCGTCGTCGATGAATCGCCTCTGTAAAGTACAAGCGGCAAAACAGTCGTGTCGCGCAACTTTAACGAATGAGCAGTCACTTTTAATCAGCTATAAGATATCCTCGCGCTGTGTATCTTATGTGTATAAAATGTAATTATTATTTTTATTATACACTTGATTGTTCTGCAAGCATCAAAACTTCTGACAAGATCAAACACGCACTTAATTAATCCAAACAGTATTCACGCAGAAGAATAAAATTCAACTCCATGTGGAAGACAGTGTAAGTGTAACATTTTTAAATAATTGTTCATTTAGCCGAGAAGAGAGATCGAGTAATTTTATAACTTAAATTCACGAGGCGCAGACTTGAAATAAAGTATTAAATAAATTAGATTAAGATAAATTATTACATTTTATATATTAAAATTTGCTTGTGTTGGAAACGTAAACCCCTATTTTTCTCGGAATTGTCGGGAATTTATTACTGCAAATGCAGTTCGCATTTAATCAAATAATTAATTTATTTTATAAGCATTTATAAATCAAATATGCTCAAAAAGTAATCATAAAATTTTGTATAAAAAAGATCGAAAATGATTATTTCTATAAACAAGTAAATTAAAGATGGATTTTGTTGCATACAAATATACATATGTAAATTAATTTTTTAACATACATATATATGTATATATATAATTATTTCTAACATACATATATATATATATATATATATATATAATTATTTGCATATACATATTTATAATGACATTACCGAAAGTCCTTGCAACTGTTTGCAAGTGACAATTTACGGCGTCTGTCTTTCGCAATCGGGAAGTATCCTCCGCATAAATTTAAACGTAGGCGAGTTATAAAATACGACAGGTGCAAGACAGATGTATCTCAGAGGGTTCATTATGTCACTATTTCAATCCAAGGGTGAAAAATTGTGCGACTTTCCGCTTGTCTAGCTGGACTAGCTATTAATGGAAATCGAGATCTGAAATTCATGAGGAACGAGAAGTCTATTACGAGAAACGGTAATATACTCATTGGTACTCGCGTAATACGCACAACCAGGAGATCGGACTGCAACGATCTGTACGACTTTCGCTCCCTATATGGGCTAGAACCATGACGAAGACATCTCTCGCTTCTCTTTTCTCGCTCTTCTTGTACCGCACGCTGAGTTTTAACCCCGTCTCGTAATCTTGCGTAAGAACTAGCTTCCAAAGTCTATCAATACGAGCACGATTTCAACCAGACGAGACTACCAAGCGATTTACACGCGATGCGTCACTCTCGAGGAAACCGTAACGTAAACGTCATCCCGCGAGTCGATGTTTATTATGATTTTCGCAAGTTAAATACTCTCGGTGACGGATGACATCGCAGAGACATTAACTTGACGTCAACATTAAAACCTTTTTTCATCTAAAATTACTTTAATTAAACACATTTTTAATTTTTATTATTTGAATAATAATAATAATTAAATAATAACACATTAAAATTGTTAATCATTCCTTTATACTCGCTCGACGTAATGCCATCCTAGTAGCCGAGTTATAGGTATGTGTTATTGTCGTCGGCGATAAAACTCAAGAAGTAAGCGAGAACGAAGCACATCGATAAGGAGCAGTATAAGCATTTGCAATAGTTGACATTCCGACACGGTCGAATCTGCAGTATCTAAGTATTAGCACTACTCACGATTTTGGATGCTTGAATATTCACATCATACGTTCTATCTTGCAGCCCGATTATTACAAGGACGCGCCTCACTTCCGGCTGGTGGGAGCAGGACCACAGTATCGGTTGGAGATACCTTACGCCAAACTCGACTTCACCGGGACCTATTCCGTGATCGCTCGCAACTGTCATGGGGAAGCTAAGGCTGTAATTTCCCTGCAAATTTATGCCAAAGGTAAGATGCAAATTTTTCTTTCACGTCGCGCAAATTCAATCAATCATCGACGATCTTTTCAGGTCAAGGCAAAGAGGAACGAACGCAAAAATCTCACGGGTGAGTTATTTACATAACATATATACAGAGTGTCTGACATAAGAGTGTCTGACGATTTTCCCTCGGCAAAAATGTCGAGGAAGGCCATCATTTTTTGGATTTTCCCAATTATTGCCAGCATGTATCTTTTTATAACTAAACTTTAAATTAAAATTTTATTAAAGTAAACTCTATTTGAAATTAATTGGCGAATGTGGTTTTGTTAATATTTTATTTCCACAAAGCTTAGCTTGAGAAAAATCCTTTATTTTCAATCGCTTATAACTCGAAAATTATTGATGCCTCAATATTTTTGCTGAGGAAAAATTGTTTCCAAATAACAAGATCTACTTATATATTTGTGACACTTTATGTCAGACATCCTATATATAGTCGTACGCAGATGTACTATCTGTCGTTCTCCTAATGAAACATGAAACCCTGTAGAAAAGTGATGACCCTGCCGATTATAAAGAGGGAGCTGCGAGATCTCAGATGTTGCGACGGCGATGCTGTTTCCTTGGAGTGTAAAGTCTACGCCACTCCGGAACCGCCGTTGATTCGTTGGGAACGAGGTGGCAAGGTGAGGAGAAGTATTAATGTCACTTTTCGCGATTGGTAACCCAAACAACATACGTATCACGTCTAAAAACGGGACATTAAGACGTCTTAAAGATATCTTATATGACGTTTTAAAGACATATTTTAATGTGATATCTAAAAGACATTTTAATGACTGCTTTAAGACGTCTTAAGTCCCTACTTTAGACGTTTTGTTGTCTGGAAAACTAATGTACAAATTTTCTTTCATTAGATCATAGCTATGATCGGCGATTTCGCCACCGAATTCGATGGCGAAACGGCCCGATTAAGTATTCAGCACGTCTATCCTGAGGACGAAGGAGAGTACACATGTGTGGCTTACAACGACCTTGGCAAAGCGTACACTTCGGCGTGTCTAGTTGTGGATGGTAATATAATAATCTCTTCGAGACTGCTTTAAAAAAAAACGTTCCGAATAAAGACGCTATCGTGACCACCTTTTTGAATTCATTTTGTTATGCTAATTGTCGGTCGCATTCAAAGATTATGATGTAACGCAAGCATGACTTCATAATTTTTTCTCTCCGTGCGACGTATGTATGCATATACACAAGTCGGAACATATATAATCTCAAATATTCGTTAAGGTACCATTTCATGTACAGCATACTGTCACAGCAGTCTATTGCTATTGGTGCTGTTGGTTCAATTGAACGAACAGCAAAAGCAGCAAAGCAAAAGAACATGCACACAACTAGTTGATTCTAATTATTATTATTATTATTATATTAGTTAAATAATAGATTTTATGAATAAAATAGATCATTATGAGAATATAAAAGCAAAAATCGTAATTTTAACTTTGAAATAATAAGAGAACAAAAAAAGATACTCTAATAAATTTTGATCACGTGACTGATTTGCTGCTGCTGCTGCATGCTGCGCATGAAAAAACACTAGATCATAAATATTGTGGATTATAGTACCTGAGGGGAAGGAAAATATCCTGAGTCAAAGATTAACGAGGCCAGCGGGTTTGCTGTCGGCAGGATCGACCCCGAGATCAACTCCGCGATCGACGCCAATCAGGAGTCTGTCACCAGCGGTTCCGCGTAAGATTAAAAACTCGATCTGCGAGTTTAAAGGAAAGAATATTTAAACAAAAAACATAAGAGATAATTACTTTCAGACGGACGCGAGTTCAGATCACCCCAAGTTCTGCTGCGAGGCGGTACGTCGTCGAAACGACCGAAGGCTTGCCCGCCAAAATTTTACGCGGTGCCGCACAATCGCCTGGTTCAGGAAGGCGAGACTGTTCGTTTCCAATGCGCGGTGATCGGTCATCCCGCGCCCTGGATACGATGGGACAAGAACGGTACCATCGTGACGCCGAGCGCGAGGATCTCCATCAAGGAGCGAGATGACGTTAAGATACTTGAAATCGCTGATGTAATGCGAGAGGATGCCGGTCTCTACAGAGTGACGGCGGAGAACGATTTTGGCCGGATCGAGGCCAGCGCTCGTCTAGAAGTAATAAGTACGTATATCTCTTAGAATTTACTCTGAAAATCGTGATAATTGTGGAACAATATATGGTATTGGAAAAATTGTCTAAGAGTTTCTCTGATTAATATTTAGCACAACAAAAAATATTAAAATGTACATAGTAAAATTAATCGAACATATTTCATAAGATATTAATATTTTTATTAACCAGAGAAACTTTCATAAAATTCTTCCAATACTATATTGTCCCACAATTACCATGATTTTCAGGGTAAATTCTAAGAGAAAATTCTCTCTGTGTATTTTTCTATATTTTTCTATTTTTCTTTTTACACATCACTAGTCTTTTCTCTCTGTAATATTAAATTTATAAATCTGACAAAAGGTCGATACGAATCGACAAGTCGGACTATCAGAACCAGAAGCGCCTCGCCTAGGACTTATCCTTCCTTCGATCGGAGTCTCCTGTCAACCACCAGCAGAATCAACGAACGCTTGCAGCTGGAATGTCGTATAAGAGGATCACCGAGTGTAACGTCGACGTGGTACAGGTAAAAATGCGAGGACTTTATATAACACATATTACAGGTTTGTAAAAAAATTATTTAAATTCTTTTTAAATTTGACCTAGGAATGGACGACCACTGGAACGATCCGCTAGGATAAAGAGACATTTTGACGGCACGACGGCCAGAATCGAAATATCGAAGGTGAAGGCCAGCGACGCGGGTGAATATACTTGTGTAGCAACTAATGTCCTTGGATCAACGAGAAGCAGTTGTCAGGTGAATGAACGCTCATTACACGTACATATATGAACTAATAATTGGTCGTCAGTTTTCTTGAGATCCTCCGTATATATTACATTATATATTCAATTTATCCTCAGGTAACTATATTACATCCACATGACTCGTCTATCGCAGACAAGGACGCACCGCGATTTCTCCGAATGTTGCCGGAAGAGTCGATTGTCATGGAAAATCATTGTCACGAATTTCAGACGGTAGTCGCAGGTAGAATTTATCTCATTCTTTAAACTACTCAGCTGAGTTTTCGAAAAAAAATAATGAAATATAATCTCTAGAGCAAGGATGTTATTTGCATTTTTATCTCTCACAGGTACGCCTCCTTTCACGGTCACTTGGTCCAAGGACGGTCGCGAGTTACCCGACGACGATTATTACAGATGCATTATATACGGAGATGGGGGAGTTGCTCTTAGATTATCCGAGGTTCGCCCACAAGATGCCGGCGAATACACCTGTGTCGTACGAAACGATTTCGGTGTTGCGTCCTGTAATAGTCTTTTTGCTGTTCAAGGTCTGATTTGTATTATTTCGCTCTAATATTATTATTCCATCCCTTACTTTAAGCGATTTATCTCTCAATGTTTGGAAACAGACTACAAAGACGTTCCCAAATTGGCACCGCAATTTACAAAAACTCCACTGTCAATCGTCGCCGTTAAAGGCACTACTGCGTGTTTCTGTGCTCGAACGCAGTGCGAAAGAACCATGGAATTCACTTGGACGATCAACGGGAAAGACGCTAGGGAAAACGCAAAGTGTAAAGTACGTAAAATATATGGAAATATTAAATTGATTAAATAAATTATATACATAAATTAAATTATATAAATTAGAGCTCGTGATTGAAAATCGGTTAACCGATTGTAACTGAAAGAAACGTTGAATATTCGATTAAATAATTAATTGATTAATCGATTAATCACTGAAACTGATTAATTATTAATCGAATAAATCATTTTTCGATTACTTGTTACTTTTATTAGGATTTTATAATAATATAATAATTGTGTAGTATGTACAGTTTCTATATGGAAAAGAAAGAAATGTCAAATTAAAACTTATACTCAAGTTAACGCGTTCATTGTTTCATATAACAATCTTTAGAATCTAGAAGAAAAATGTTGAAAAACATAATAAATGAGAAGAATCGATTAAATGATTAACCGATTTAAAAAATAATGGTAATCTATTAACCGGTTAAACGATAAATCGAATTTATCGGTTTTCACGATAAATTAAATCTTATTTAAACTTTCTCGCACATTTGTTGCTAATTATCATTTATACCTTTAAAGATCGAAAGGGATGGCAATGTCAGCATCTTGCGAATAGGCGACATATCATCGCGCGATACAGGAGAGATTCGATGCACAGCCTCCGTAAATGGAAAAGGTCCGTCCATCAGTTGCGTCGCGAAATTACATTTACAACGTTCGTTACACGATTCCAGCGACAGCAACCTTTCGTCGATTTCTGTAATGACAAAGCCCGGAGAAATGCAATCGCGTGTGCAGACTAAGCTATCGCTGAACATTAATAACCCAGGCATGCCAGAAAAAGTCACGCAGCTATCGTTATTAAAACACGAGACCCAGAGAACCAGATCATCTTCGTTTCCTCGACGGATTGTACCTTACGCGAAGAACGTTTCTCCTTTGCCAGCAAGAAAACGCATTCCTAACAATGCTGATATTCTGAAATCACGATTTGAAAATCACGATCCATCGCGACAGAGAATCGCAGAGAAGAATTTAGACAGGAACGTAGAATTTTCGAACGATCGAAAATTATTATTCTCAATAAATGAGGATTTTTCGATGAAATTATTATCACCAAAGAAAACGGAACAGTTTCATCGGGATACTAATGTATCGAACGAAGAGTGTGCGGAAACGCTCTTAGAAGATTTGATGAAAGCTACGATAATAAACGATCCAGATGACGTCACCGTATTTAGAGGAAACAGGGCAGTGCTCAGAGTAAGTTATCAAGGACGTCCCGAACCGAAGGTCAAGTGGCTTCGAGTGGTGAGTTTCGCTTTTTTCATATTTATCGATTTCATCGATTTTATTAATATCGAGTTAAAAATGTTCTAATAAAAAACAACGCGTAATTCTGATTCTCGCGCGAGCAAATTTTTGTATACATAAAAGAGGCCACTGTTTTTCACAATAGACGCTCTGTTTCGCAATGATAATATAAACTACATCGATATATAGCAGCGCGATTACAGTATGTTAATCTAAACGATATTCTATCGATCTCCAATAAGTCTCCACGCGATACGAACGAAGCATAATTTTTCTAGAGCTTAATCTGTCAGAAATTAAAACTGTCAGTTATTTAAAACGATCAGTTGCTTATCTTTAGCCGCGAGAAATATGTCGAAACAATTTCTTATTATAAATTACGTATAAATCCCCACCAAAATGTGAGAAGACAAATGTGTAAACTTCTGGAAAGAGATATATATTATACATTTCGATCGTCGTGTATCATACAGCCACGTACGCAGCTGGCATCAATCAAGTTTATCTGTGTTACATGAATTCCTAAGTATATCTTTGACATAATTAAATATTTGACAAATTTATATATTTTTATATACTTGACATATTATATATATACGGTGAAACATATTTATTTGAATTGAAGAATCGCGAACTGCAGCCAGATGAGAGGATTAGGATAATCAGCGGAAACGGTACGTCTTGCCTGACCCTAGACGAGGTGACATACGACGACGCTGGAAAATACGAGGTCTCAGTGGAAAATTCATTGGGCAAAGAACGAAGATTCTTCAGCTTGGCTGTAGAAGGTAATTTGTTTGTACACATGCACATATATTCGTTCGCTTTCGAAAATTTATAACACGCTATTAGAGCATGACTCGGCGCCGCTCGAGTCGACCTTGGCTTAATTAAGCTTAATTACGCGGAGAGCATCGGTGTCGCTGATCGGACCAGCTAACAACGTTGGGAATAATATGGAAAGCGTTTTCTAAAAAAAAAAGAAAAAAAAGAAACGATCGTATATATTCCACGAGCTCGTAATTTAGAACGAGACATCGCTCCATTGTTCCTCGTGCGTAAATGCGTGTTGCACGGTCCAGTTCCTTTCCTCGCGTACAAGGCAGACAGCAGTCTCACGTGACACAAGCCGCGCAATAATTCCTCCTTCCTCTAGCTTCCTCCACCATCTGCATTCCACCTCCTCTTCCTCTTTCCTCGAGACCGCGTTATGTCTAACATAAGTCCGCTGGTGAAAAGACGCGTGTACCGCGACAGAGAAGAGATACTCGCGATGCGCATCAACGACATAACGTAATATAATGACGTGCATATTTGTTTCAAAACGCACGCGAACGTGCTCCGAGTCTGTGTTCGACAATCGTGAAGTTGACATAAAATTTGAATTAATCGCGCGTTGATAGCAGAGAAATATATATACGTATAAATAGCTACTGCGGTTTTCTACGCGGATGAATAGAAAAATTGTGCTGAAAGAGAGATTTGGATTTCCATCCAGGTCCACCCGAGCCAGTCGCGGATAAACCTAGCGTGAACCTCAACACAGATCAAGCTACGATCGCCTGGAGATCACCACCTTACGACGGAGGTCGCACGGTTATAGGATACACCGTGGAAGCGAAACGCGCCGGTGAAAGCACGTGGACGGTAATCGCAGAGTCTTGTCATTCACTGAGTCACACGGTATCGTCGGCTCAAACTAATTCTGTGACACCGGGTGAGAGTTATCGTTTCCGCGTCCGAGCTGAAAATATTCACGGCCTCAGCGAACCTAGCATGGAGTCCGATCCCGTCAGAATCCCAAAGCAGGGAGAAATAATGTTGGAAGAGGAAGAAGAAGGTGATTATCTATTCCTAAAGATACAGGGTGTCTAGCAGATTCGATGACAAAAATTCCCTCACTTTTTTAGATTTTTCAAGACCAGAAATTTTTCATTTTTTCCCTCACTTTTTAGTATTATTTTTTCCAAATATATAATTTGCATATATCTATATAATAAATCAATTAAATGTTAAATCATGAAATCTTTGAGATATTTTTGTTAATAAAAAAGTTCAAAAGTTAAAAAAATTTAAATCAATTATACAATCTGCATTATGTACAATATCAAATTTTTTAGTTTTGTCTCTATCATACACATTGAAATAAAATAACACGACGATGAAAATATACATAAATGAACGAACACGCTGTAGATGAATCGATTTTTAACAACACAGAAAATTAGCGTGCTGGAAGTCAAGGAAAAATTTATATTTATTTAATAAAAAATTTCAAATTATTGAGACAAATGTAGAATAATATGAAAAAATCCAGATAAATAGTAAAATTTCCTGACTTTTCCCTGACAATACCAGATTTATAAAATTCCTTGACAATACTCGGTTTCCCAGATTTTCCTGACCGCTAGATACCCTGAGATAGCTTCAACAATATTATACTATATTTAAATTCATTTTTTAATTAAAAAAATTATTTTAAGAAATATGCAGTTAAAAAATTAATGAACTGAAAATCGCTAAAAAATAATTGTTTAATTTTTTTAGACAATTTCGAGCCGAGCTTCGCAGCTCGTATAGTGGAACCGGAAGAGGGAAGATTATTCGGCGAAAAGTACAAGGTACTTGAAGAGCTAGGAAAAGGTCGATACGGTATAGTTAAAAAGATCATCGAGAATGAGACGAACATGAATTTCGCTGCCAAATTCGTCCGAACAATTAAAGCGAAAGATCGCGAACAGGTGCGCGAAGAAATAAAAATTATGAATGCATTAAGGCATCCTAAACTTCTACTTCTGGCTGCTGCTTACGAAAGTCCTCGTGAAACTGTATTGATCACGGAATAGTGAGTATCTGGTATCAATTATTAGGTCTCAATTATATTTATGTGTTAAATTTCAATAACCTTATAATATTTTAATTTTTTTACTCAGTATTTCAGGTGGAGAACTATTCGAGAGGGTGGTGGCCGACGATTTTACTTTAACCGAGAGGGACAGTATCCTCTTCATGCGACAAATTTGTGAGGGAGTCGAGTATATGCACAAAAATAATATCGTACATCTCGATTTAAAAGTATGTTTTTCGCGGATAATAATAAATGCTTAATTTGTGATATGTACGAGCTAAACAGAGTGATTCGCTTTTATCTTACAGCCCGAAAATATAATGTGCCGTACGCGTACTTCTCATCAGATTAAACTGATTGATTTTGGATTGGCTCAGACTTTAAAATCCGACACGCCGATCAGAGTGCTTTTTGGCACCCCGGAGTTTATTCCACCGGAAATCATAAGTTACGAGCCTATCAGCACCGAGTCGGATATGTGGAGCGTCGGTGTAATTTGCTATGTACTGTAAGTGCTTAATAATAAATTAATAATAATAATGATAATAATATTTAGTAATATTATTATATAATAATACTAGTCAATCTATATATAATAATGATCAATTATATAATTTAATATATTATTATATAATAATTATTATATAATAATATATCAAATTAATTGATCATTATTATATATAGATTGACTGGTTTGTCGCCATTCATGGGAGATAACGATGCCGAGACCTTCGCTAACATCACACGAGCGGATTATGATTTAGAAGACGAAGCTTTCGATGCCATATCGAATAACGCCAAAGATTTTATCAGTGGATTACTTATTAAACGAAAGGAGTATGTCTTTTCTATATTTGTCGTATTTTTAAAAATATTTAACTGATTCGGATTTTCAATCAAAATCTTCTCTTTCTATATATTTCTTTGATATAGATTACGCATGTCAGCCACACAATGTTTAGACCATCCATGGATAGCGCAACACGCGGCGACAATGAGCAGAATAGTTTTGCCGACAGAAAAATTGAAGAAGTTTATTATACGAAGAAAATGGCAGGTATGAATTTTTTGAGAATTCCAAAGTTATTTTCAAAAATTACAAAATTAGATTTTCTGAAAATTACAAAGGTATAATTATTGTTGTGCGTAAAAGTGACAAGTAAAACGTAACACAAATATATTTAAAAAGATAGATCAATATTACTTTTCTAAAACAAGTAATACCCAGGATGGCATGTTTTATTAAGAAGCTGTAAAAATTTCACTGACATTTCAATCATATATTTTTGCATTAATTTTTCTTTATCATTAATTATATAATTCAATTTGTCGCAATAAAGCATAACATCAAGTACTTGATATATAGCATATAGCTTTTGCAGTTTGAGATATTTTTTAAAAATAATCTCAGCATGCGTTTGTTTAAATCTCGAGTGTGCACGTTTTGCGCTATTTATTTCGACAGAAAACAGGAAATGCCATTCGCGCATTGGGAAGAATGGCAAATCTTTCTGCACATAACAGACGTAGTCCTACAGCAACGACGGAGTCGTCACCTACGCTCGAAAAAGAATTCGAAATGCAATATTCCGATGATAAATCAATCTGCACTGCCGTCGACGAGGACACGGAACATATCGTGATAAACGCGAAAGAAAATTCTGAGACAGAATCATGGACACGTCCTACGTATGTGACGGAAGTAATTACCGAGATACAAAAGACACCCACGAAGGAAGAAAGTAGCTTGAATGATCTTTCGAGTCAGACGAAAGAAAAAACGTGTAAATTACATATCGAATTAATTCCAAAAATACAAGATGTCACGGAGGTTTTAGCGTCGAAAGAAAATGAGAAAAGTGGCAAAGAGGAAAAATCCTTCCAAGTTGACGCGATTCCGAAATCACAAGCATTGCGTAGGGTATTTCGCGGAGATTCGCGCGATTCCGGAATAGGAGATTGCGGTTCGAGCCAAGTAACATCCTCATTGCAAATAGATGAATTAGAGTCCACTATTGTGGAAGAAGGAGATCATGAGACTCATAATCGAGAAAGTAAACAACGGGCATCGAAGGAGGAAGAAAATCGGCAAAGTTCAACCGCGGGGATCCTAGTAAGTTTCTCACAAGACAAGAAAACCTCTCTTCTTCACGATACCGAAATTGTTGCGGGCAACGACAAGGTAGCTACAAAGAGTGACGTGACTAAAGCTTCGTGTGAAACTAATCCTGTGCGGAAAGGTGTGTGTAAGCGTGATTAAGTTTTTTTTTTTTGCTAATATTGATAATTACTCGGTAAAAAATTTTTTATATATAACAAAATTATATGTACATAGAAATATATAAAATTATACATATCGCAAAATTATATATGAAATATGTCCATACATAAATTAGATCAAAGTGCTTTTTATATATATAATTATATAAATTTAAAATATTTCTTCATACATATAACTATATATAATTTGACATGATCATATACAAACCCCAACTCTTATAATTTATATATAAATTTATATAATTATGTATAAAAATGGACATATTTCACGTATAATTTTACGATTATATGTATCATTGTATAATTATTTATATATAATTATATATAAAAAATTGTTTACCGGGTATATTTATCATGGATATAGCGAAACAACTTTATTAAAATTTTCCAATTTCGCAGTTGCCGACGAAAATGCGAACGCAAGGATAAGCGGACGTAACCGCGATAGATTCCTTCCAACCGGAAACGTCAGTCGCACGGCCAAGATATTCGAAAGGGAAAGTGAAACATCGAAGGACAATTCGCAAGTTCCGCAACGCGCGTATCCTGCCGCTCTGGTTACAGGAAAGCCGCACAACGAAAGAATACAGAAAGCTTTTGCCTTCTGGAACAAATAAAGATCGATCTGTTGAAACTATATCGGCATCGCGAATCAAATCGAAATAGATCAATCTTCGTACCATTTTCAAGCGATATAGAAATGCATTGCAAAAGAAAATCATGAATATATAGAAATATTGTTCTTTACGTACATATATGTAAAGTAGTAATGTACAATCTTGAATATATATATCTGTGTTGAAGTCATAATCCTTGCTCGTTCCTAACATTCAAAATTGAATATGAATTGTTTTATCAATTGTATCAATAACAATCGTACCAATGTGACGAAGAGACACGCACTTGTTAGAATGAGTGATCATTTTCATAAAAAAAAAACTTATATGAGAATAATTTGTATAACTTTTATTGCGTCGCAGAATTTGAGAAAAAATCCAATTCTCAATATCTGCAATTTGGTTTTTAATTTTTTCTATTTAATCGCTAATATTGTAATTGTATTCGCAAGTTGAAAGAATATTCTTCGAAATGTTTATCGAAAGTACATTTCAATTCTAAACAGAACATCCGTGTTGCATATAGATATATAAAATATATATATTTATGTGCATATAATCGATATTTTTGTTAAATATAACTTTAGTACATATACATGAAAAATCTTGAAGAAATGTATACTTATGTACATATAACTGAATACAAAATGTTTCTTGACGATTGATATAATATATCCGGTATAATGCTCTCCAACAAAATATAATTATATTGGATGCAAAAGTCCACTTTATTAAATCTAAAATTATTCTATGCGAACATATCCCTACAGTTGTATTGCAAAGATAAGACAGTCGCTGTATTATTATTATAAATAAATTACATAGAAAAAATAAAAGATACATCTATGTATGCGAATTATATTAATAAATATCCATACACATAAAAATATTCATTTATTATTTCATGTAACATATACGAGTATATTACATTGAATATATGACGAATCTCTATAACTGTTAAAATTTCAGTCAACTTACCGGTGTTTATGCAACATTTTGTAACTAATCTTCGAATATGTTATTATAATCAGTAATTGTTGAAAGTTGAAGAGTCTCGCCAATATCCAAGCAATTAAAGCTATCAGCTGTTGCCGGTAACCAAGTAGTAGTAACATGCTCATCAATGACAGGTGTAGGATTTCTATATAAAATATGAAAAAATCATTTTACTTTGTTCAAAAATACGATTTTCAACAAATAATTTATAAAAATTTATATTTACCCTGTCTTTGCAAAATTGGTCCACATTTTCGTAAGACTTTCTAATACTTGTCGATCCTTTGTACCTATCGCCGGCGGATCAGGATTATCAATTTTACATTTTGGCAGATAAAAAAGATATGACATGTCATCAGCATGAGAAGCTCCTAAAATATCAATTATATGAAAATTATGTAATACTATATAGATAGCGAAGATTTGATTTCAACGGATCTAAAAGTTTTACAAATTATTTACCAATCATAGGAAGAGTTTTAAGTCAAGATTCGTACAAGTCATTTCATCACCAATGTGGGAAAAATTATAATAGTAGATCGGGGCCTTTTTCTTTATTCTTTGATTGTTCACAAAATTCTTAACAGGATTACAAAAATACAAATCACTCATCCATTGTATTATAGATGGAATACTCTCTTTAGTAATCGGTTTATTATGAAAATAATGTTTCTTAACTTGCTCCGTCAATCGCGTTATCTTTTCCGAGTCTTGCGAATGTATACTCTGTTTTACGTGAAGATGTAGATTTGCATATATCGTCTCTAAAGCTTTTTCACTGGTATCTGTAAGATAAAAATAATTCATTAATTTCAAATAAACAAAGTATTACACCATATGTGTTGGAAATTTTATATAAAATATGTTAAGCAATGTATATATGTATGTATGTATAAAGTAATCTTTTGATACCAGAAAGAAACATGATAAATTCGTGAGAAGTACAACCAACTATGATTGGTATATCATTGTCGTCATTAAGTAACTGAGAAATAGGGCATGGGAGAAAAGGTTTCTTTGCTTTTTCGTCGATCGTAGGTCCAAACGCGAGAGTAAAATTGCGTATTTCCTACAAAATTGTTTATAGTATTCAACACAATAATATACATATAAATATAAAATTTAAGAGATTTATAAATATAAAGCCTCGCACACAATTAAGTAATACATTAAAAAGTTAACTCGGTGCTTAAAGATAAAATAAAATTTAAAAAAAAGAATAACTTACCTCAGGAGTAAGAACATTTTTTTGGACATTGACGATCTCTTCGGCAGGTACCGTTTTAAGAAAGTCAACAACTTCTATAGGATCTTTGGAATCGTTACCAAGTAGTGATGCGAGCTTAAAAGCTTTTTCTTGTGCATTCTCTGTTACCGCCCACAAACATGTAGCTATTCCACTTTGAAGAATGGCCTTATTAAAGAGACCTGTATGTAAATACACGAATAGTAATATTTTATTTTAAACTGGAAAATTTTATTATTATTGTTAATGTTAAGAGCATATTATACCTTTAGATAATGGCGATAGCATCAGTAGATGTGCGGATGAACCACCTGCACTAATGCCAAAAATAGTGATGTTGTTTGGGTCTCCACCAAACGTCTGGATATTTTCCTTGACCCATTTCAATGCAGCAACTTGATCCTTCATGCCTTGATTTCCGTTTGCTACTTCATGACCAATATTTAAGAAACCTTGAAAAATAGAATTTTTATAATGTACACAAAGTTAAAGCGAATGTATTTTGTGACATATTTTGAAGTGCAAATACATGTATAATAAGATTTATGTGTAATGTTATATAATAAATATTTATATTATATAATTATAATATTTACATATGTAAATACATATATATGTATATATATATATATATATATATATACTAAAAAATATTATAATATAATACATAATAAAATAATATCGTAAGAATGTTTTAAAAAAAGATGCCTTGTTGGAAGAGTATTTTACCTAAAGCACCAAGTCTGTAATTTATAGATACTAGAATGACATCTTTTGCCACGAGATAATCAGGTCGTTCGAAAACATCATTGCCAGTACCAGTAGAATAACCTCCACCATGAATCCAAACCATAACTGGATTCCGTGACGTTCGATAGAGATTGTAAGGTATGTAAACGCTAAGATAAAGACAATCTTCGCTGCCAATTATCGATTGAAGTTGAAATTTTTGCACAGAAACATTACCGGCATTTTCAGAAGCGTCTCGGATACCTTCCCAGGAAGCCGGAGGTTCGGGATCCTAATTTCAAATAATAAATAAAATATGATTCTACATATATATTGAGACGACATTTTACATATACCATAATAACTGTGCAAGATATACATATACATGTACAAATGTATATTATTCGCCCGATAAACAAATCTTTAAAAATACGATTTTCAACAAATAATTTATGAAAATTTATATTTACCTTGTCTTTGCAAACAATTAGACTAATCGTGAAATAATTTTGAAAATAGAAACATGATGTAAAAAATGAATAAAAAATTATGTAATTTTCCCATTCAATAAGTTATACCTTAAATCTCAACTCGCCCACTGGCGGAGCAGCAAATGGTATGCCTTTAAAAGCGAGATAACGAGAACCAAGGACATTATCTTCGAAAATTCCTTGCAATTTTCCTTGTTTCACAGTCACAATTGGTCTCTCCATGATAAAATATATAAACAACTTCAAGCTGTCTGTGATATATTGTCGTGACAAAGTATGTATAGATACTGCTCATCTTACCATCTTTACCATTTATATAACTGCAATGCAGATACAGATAAGAATAACGAGATGCGATAACTCACCAAACACAGTATATAAATGTTATATACTTAAGTTTGCTGGGAAGCAATATTATTAATTTTGTACATATCTATATAAGATATGCGTATGTATATGTAATATATATACATATGTGTGTGTGTGTGTGTGTAATCTTATGTATATAATCATGCATTTGATGACTTGCACATTGTAACTGCGTAAAATTAAATGCACAACACGATCAAAAGATTAGATTCTACTATTCGATAGATTAAATATTTATTCCAAGATGTTAACAAAATTTAGTAAAAAAATGTATATTTCAAAAATATTTGAAATCATAAAATTTACATATTTTCCTTGTTTATTTGACAATGTGTTTATTTCTTAAATATTATATTTTAGAAACTATCTTCTAAAAATAAAAAAAGTACTATTTATATTTTTTATCGTAGATTCGCGATATTGTTTCTATAAATCGTATTTTAAACATTTTCAATAATTCAATCAATCAATATAATTAATGCATTATATATTAAGAAATAATTTTTAAAAATGTAATCTTTTTATATATGTATATACGTGAAAGGGATATTTTTATTTTGCTATAAAAGAGGATAATTTAATTATTAAATAACTGTTACACTGCACAATTAGTATTTGCATTTTTTTAAATATACTTTATAATGCACTTTTACTTCGATTTATAACACTATTACAGATTTTAACAAGATTTATGACTTACAATTTATCAGTCTCTCATCGACTAGATAACTGCTCAATATCACTCTTTTTTTCAAAGATAATTTCTTAATCTACTCAATATTTAATATATACACAATATATAATATATACACAATTATAAAATAATTAACCGATATCAGTTATTATTTATTGTTATATTATTATAATAATTATGACAACACTGAAAGATAAAAATAAATATATTCTGATAAGTTCTTTTCCATTATATTTTCAAAGTACATGCAAATAAAAACTATTATAAGCAGTACATTTACTAACTCTGTCGAAATTTTTTCTTACTTTATATATTTTAGCCTGTATTATATAGTAGCTGTTTTAATTCTTTAAAGCATCTAAAGACTTTTCTGATAATTCATACGCTCTATAATATCTTAAATCTTAAATAATACATATATTTGTTTCTATTTCCATCGCATTGTGCTTTGTTCTAAGAATAAAAATTAGCATTATTTCTATAAAGATAAAAACATCTAATTCTAGATAAATATGTTAACGCATATTGATCCTTTTCCAAAATATGTACAATATAAATAGCGATTATTATAATTATGTATATATATATATATGTTGCTAAAACAATTCCGTCAATATTTTGAGTGGGACTCTTGTAATTCTAAATCTCCCAATATGTTATTATAATCAGTAATTGTTAAAAGTTTAGGAGTACTATCGATATCCAAATAATTAAAGCTATCAGCTGTTGCTGGTAGCCAAATAGTAGTAACATGCTCATCAACAATAGGTGTAGGATTTCTAAAGACAAAAGAGTCATTTTCTTTATTTAAAATAATGTTCAACAAATGATTTATAAAATTATAAAAATGCTTACCCTGTTTTTGCAAAATTAGTCCACATTTTCGTAAGGACTTCTAATACTTCTCGATCCTTTGTACCTATCGCCGGCGGTTTGGGGTTATCGACTTTACATTTTGGCTTGTAAAGAAGATATGTCACATCGTCAGTGTGAGAAGCTCCTAAAATATAAATTATATAAAAATAAACAAATAAATTCAATATTGGCCGATTTAAAAGTTTTATAAATTATACATTTACCAATCATAGGTAGGTCATTATTTAACATAAGTTTCGTAGAAGTCATTTCATTACCAACGTAGGAAAAATTATATAAGTAGATCGGGGCCTTTTTCTTTTTTCTTTGATCGTTCACAAAATTGTTAACAGGAATACAGAAATATAAATCACTCATCCATTGTACTATAGATGGAATACTCTCTTTAGTAATCGGCTTATTATGAAAATAATGCTGTTTAACTTGCTCCGTCAACTGCGTTATTTTTTCTGGATCTTTTGTAAATACTTTTATAAAAGGATCAAGATTTGCGAACTTTGTCTTTAAAACCTCTTCACTGATATCTGAGTAAAGAGAGAATATATATTAATTTAAGAAAAACAAACCACCATATATGTATTGAAAATTTTATATAAAATACACGATATTTGTATGTTTTAATATAAAATAAGTATTTTCGGTAATCTTTTGATACCATTAAGAAACATGATATATTCATGAGAAGTATAACCAACTATAATTGGTATATCACTGTCATCATCAAGTAACTGAGAAATAGGACATGGCAGGAAAGGTTCCTTTGCTTTTTCATCAATTGTGGGTCCAAACGGAATCTTAGTAATGCGCGATTTCTACAGAACAATTTAGGTTGTTCAGCATGATAGTATCATTCATTTATAATATTTAAAATGTAAATTACTTCGCACATTAAATTACACATCAAGTTAATTCAGTGCTTAAAGATAAAAGAAAATTAAAATTATATTGAAAAGAATAATATTTACTTCCGAAATCAAAACTTGAAACTGCTGTCCGACGATCTTGTGGGCAGGTATCGTTTTAAGAAAGTTAACAACTTCTACAGGATCTTTGGAATCGTTACCAAGCATTGAAGCGAGCTCAAAAGCACTAGCTTCTGCTTCCTCCACTTGCGCCCACAAACATGTAGCTATACCACTTTGAAGAATGACCTTATTAAAGAGACCTAAATATACGAATATTAATATTATATTTTAAATCGGAATATTTCATTATTTCTATCATTATTGCTAATATTAAAAGCGTTATTGTTATGCCTTTAGATAATGGAGACAGTGTTAATAAATGTGCGGATGAACTGCCTGCACTAACACCAAAAACTGTGATGTTGTTTGGATCTCCGCCAAAAATCTCGATATTTTCTTTGATCCATTTTAATGCGGCAACTTGATCCTTCAAGCCTTGATTTCCGCTTGCCACTTCATGACCGATATTTAAAAAACCTTGTATTATAAAACAGAAACTTTATAATGTACATAAATTACATATGTTTTTTACTGCATATTTTGAAACGCAAATACGCGATAAAGAATTTTCGAACGTTTTAAAAAAAAATGTTTTATTGATAGTACACGCAAAAAAAACGACTTACAATTAGCAATAAAAGCTAAATTTCAATAGCTGAATCAAACTTGATAGCTATAAGAGCTATCGCCTTAATATCATGACTAACAATAAGTCCTCACTATTATAGTTGAAAAATATTTACTGTGATATAAAAATTTAATAGCTGAAATTGAAAGTGTATATTAACATAAATAACTATAAATATAGCAACCGTACCTATAAATTTTTTATACATACATTACGATGTATGCTTAATTACATAGCTAAAACATTTAGCATGCACAGCTAAAGATTTTTTTTATACGCGCGAACCTTAATTCAATTTACAATTGTTTCTGCGACATTGTTTAACAGCAGTTGCTATGTATAATTTTGTAGCGTTAACCATTAGCTATTACTCGGATACGAATTGTGATTGTGATTTTAATAAAATTATATTTATAGCAATATGATATTTTTATTTTAGTTAATAAACATAAATTTCTACAGTATATACACAAGATGATTTATTTTAATTGTTTTAGGCAAATATTTTAAAAATATGAAAGATATGAAAAAATGTTTCAAACAAAAGTTTAATAGTTTCGAGGAGACATATATATGGTATTATGCAGGGTTGGGAAGTAACGAGTTACTTGTAACAAAGTTACAGTTACAATTACTTTTTTCGGTAACTATAACTTAACTTCGTTACTTTTCTCCATCTGTAACTGTAACTGTAACTTAGTTACATTTTTTTAGTAACTAGTAACTATTTTAATAGTTACTTTATTAGTTACTTTTTTGGAAACATGCGCTAAAAGTATTGTTTAAGTATGGTAGCCGTTATATTATTAAATTAAATTTTGATAACAGTAGCATATGGATCTTCATATGATTTAATCTTTTACCTAAAATTTTCATTTTGTGTACATAAAATAATATAACACATAATTAAGATCGACCAATCACAATCAAATATTTAAAAAAATTTTTAAAGGTAATAATTGATCGATTTGCTTGCGACTTTGCGATTACCATTTAGTAACTTACTATAACTATTTTTACTGTTGTATATAAAGGTCATTCATACATTGATGTTAATTGCAAAGTCGCAAGCAAATCGATCAATATTACATTCAAGAATTTTTTTAAATACTTGACTGTAATTGTGCATAAAATGTAAGCTCCTTATATTTAAAACAATGTATAATTATTTTTAAAAGTAACTGAAAAGTAACGACTCGTTACTTTTAGAGTAACTGTAACTGTAACGAGTTATTTTTTAAAATCGGTAACTTGTAACTGTAACTAGTTACTTTTTCAATGAAATAACTGTAACTGTAACTAGTTACTTTTACAAAGTAACTTTCCCAACCCTGGTATTATGTTCCTTTCGAAGTCATAAAATTTTTGTCTGAAACATTTTTTAATATCTTCCATATTTTTTTAAATATTTGCTTGGGGCGATTAAGATTCTGGAGCTAGTATATGATTTCTGCAGCAAAATTGATAGTTAAAACATCAAAAATTACTTAGCATTAATAGCAAAGATTATACAATTACAACTAAATAGCTTAGCAGTCATAATGGAGATTAGTGAGTTCTAACAGTAAAAAATTGTTGCTATAGCACCTAATTGCAAATAGCTAATAAATTTAGCTTGAACAGCAACAGCATTAGCTGTCCTTATTTTAAAGACACAGTTTAGCTACCACAGCTATTTATTAGCTCTTGTTGCTAACAGGAGCCTTTTTTTGCGTGTACGAAATCTTACCTAAAGCACCGACTCTGTAATTTATAGACACTAGAATGACGTCTTTTGCCATAAGATAATCAGGTCGTACGGCAGTATCATTGCCATTACCCATAAGATAAGCTCCACCATGAATCCAAACCATAATTGGATTCCGTGACGTTCGATAAAGATTGTAAGGTATATAAACGTTAAGATAAAGACAATCTTCGCTGCCAATTATCGCTAAAGTTGGCAAGGTTTGCAATTGTACAGAAACGTCACCGGCATTTTTGGAAGCGTCTCTGATACCTTCCCAGGAAGCTGGTGGTTCAGGATCCTAATTTCAAACAACAGTAAAATATGATCCTACACGAGACGAGATTTTACATGAACCATAATAATTGTGAGATATATAATATATTGAAATAATTAAAATTGTCATTTATTATTGTTTGCTTGATACGCGAATTTTTAAAAATATATAATAGTGAAGCAATTTTGAAAATAAAAACATGATATAAGAAATGCATGAAAGATTATATAATTTTACGATTCGATAAGTTGTGTACCTTAAATCTCAAATCGCCCAGTGGTGGAGCAGCAAATGGTATGCCTTTAAAAGCGAGATAACGAGAACCGAGAACATTATCTTCGAAAATTCCTTGTAATTTTCCTTGCTTTACAGTCACAACCGGTCTTTCCATGATAAATGATGTGATTTTTTGTACTGTTTGTGACACACTGTCTGTGACGCTGCTGAATATGCTGGATACTGTTATCTTCCAACCAACTCTATCGCTATATATACCTTCAATGCAAACATTATTGAGATAGTGATAATCAACACGTGTTATGCAGTGTATATATATGTGTATATGATCATTTGATAACTTACACACAACGCAATGCTATATACACAATATGTCAATAGATCAGAAGTCAAAAATTCGTTTTTATTTTAAAATGTAGATTTAAATTAGTCAACAAAACTTATGTTTTGAAATATTTGAAATCATAAAGTTTACATCATTCTGATTTATCGTCAACATGTAAGCTTATTTATATCTCAAATATTGTATTTTAGAAATGATCTTCTAAAAATAAGAAATATATACTTGTATATTTTAACGTCCGCGATATCATTTTTAATATTTCCATCGTATATTGTATATACATAGTACTGCGTGTACTCTCATATTAAATCTTATCAATAATTTAATCAACCATTATATTTACTGCATTACATATATTAAGAAATTATTTAAAAATGTAATCTTTTTTACATAAATAAGAAATACTATTCTTATTTTCCTACAAAAAATGATATATGCATTTTTAACAATTTGATGTAATGTCTATTGTTTAACATTTGTTACATTACACGCGCAATCAATATTTGCATTTTAAATATAATGTAATGCATTTTTGTTTTGATTCGTAACACTGTTACACATTTTGACTAGATTTAATGAGATTTATGAAGTTGCCAGCCAGGTTGACTCGTCGACACAGATAACAGCTCAGCCACTTTTTGAGCGTTTTGCTTTTTCCCCGCAGATAATTTTTTAATCTACAATATCATAAAATAATCAGCTATTATTATAATTATAATTGACGACAGTAAAAGAGAAAAAGATCGAGAAATAAATAATAATTTCAATAGAACTAATTTAAATTATTTTTCTTTAATTATGATTTACGTTTATTCTATAAGTTCAATCAAATCTTGATTCTTTTTTATTTCTTTACAATTTTAGATTTTTAAACAATCAGAATATTTGTATGGCAATATATGAAAATTAAAGAAAAATATTCTATTTAGTTCTTTTCTATTAGGTTTTCTAAGTATTTGCGAATCAAAGTTAATCAGTATTAACTTCGTCAAATTTTCTTCGAACTTTATATCCTCTGTACGTAGCTTGTATCATAGTAGCCGCTTCTTCTTCAGATTTGACTGAATCCGCACAATCCTCAGCATAGTTTAATTTTTTCATACATTTTTGCAATTTCTTTGCGTATAATGTTGCATTTTGTTCCCATTGCTTACGACTATAAACATCCGAAACATTCTTCTCCTGTCCTTCGTACTTTGGCTTAATTAGTGAATAGAAATATTAAATCCTCTCATATATAATTTAAATAAATAATCGCAGAATGTAAATAGTCATAAAGCGTAAACAATGATAAAGCGATTTTGCTCGCTAAGTACTTTAATCCTTTGCTTTTATATGAGGATCAATTATATAATACTTTATTTTGCATTTTGCATATATTATAATAAGAAGAACTATGACGCATGAGTCATGAGATCAAAGTATTTGCACGATCTCACTTTCGATGCACGCAAGTATTTTTTAACACGTAAAATATATTAAACATTAAACAAAATATAAGAATACGTTGAAAATTGATTATCTTTTTTAAGAAGATTTTCTCTCTAGATTTTTGGTTTTTATTTTTATATTGCCAAACAAAAATATCCATACCATTGAAATCTCGCGCTGATGATATTTGTACGTGTGTTTTTCATTCTTTAAGAAATCTAAAGATTTTCCTCGTAATTTATCTCCTGCAAGACACCTTGAATCTTCAACGACAGATATACTGTTTCTATTTCCATCACCATGCGCTTTGTTCTAAGAATAAAATATAGCCTTATATATATATATATATTATTATGATGTGAATTTTTCTTATTCATCGATCAAGTTGTCATACTAAGACTCTTACTGCTCTTATATTATTATTTCTACCCATGTTATTGAAACATTCCGTTAATACTTCTGGTGAAATCACTATGCCTGATGAGGTTGAGACTTTTGACACGTATTTTTTCGGCGTTTTAATCTGTGTTGTAGTATATTGTTCTAAAATGGAACGTAAGAATTGACAGTTTCGCAAATATTAAATATTATGGTCAATTTTATATCCGATATGTTTATACGATCAATTTGATACCTAAAGGATGCGATTCTACACAACAATGGTTTTGATTGCAATCCACGTGTGTTCTTTCCGATAACGATGAACTATCTTTAGGAGGAGAATTGGGAGGAGTGGGTATCGTTCGTGTATTTCGCGCTTTTAACTCCAAAATGTTTGATTTTTGATATTCTTCGAGATATAAGAGAAACTCGCGATACGTAACATAATTCTGAAGCGAGGAAATAATAAAAAAAATAGAAGATAAAAGCTATTTTCTACCTTATACCTTAAACATAGTTTTTAATTTTCGCACGGAACAACACATTGAAAATCAAGTAAAAAATATTATTTTGGATTAATAAAATATAAATTACTTTGTCTTGTCCTGCCCAATTGCGATTAATCGGTTCGCTGAGTCCAAGTAAATCGATCCAATGATAGTAATTTTCTGTTTGATTACCGTACCAATATTTTATAATAACAAACCTGAAGAATTTGATATTATGATTATAATATGTTCATACATTAACTTATATTTATATATAATTTATTTTGTAGCTTTTGTAATTTTAATTAAAATTCGTACGCGAGACCATCGTCCACCATTTTTTGCACTTCAGGATAAGCCATCAATTCCATAAATTCTGGATTTTCAGGATTTCTTTTGACATCTACTAATTGCCAAGGAGCTATGAGCCCAAATCTAACACACTTGAGCACTTCCAACATATGTTGCTTCCTTTCGTTCCAATCGTGCATCAACCATCTCACGGCAGACATTAAAACCTCTATTTCGCTAACAAAAGATGATTGGATATTATACAACTATCACCTATTACTACATAAAACTGTTTTTTATTTATTAATATTTTTCTAATAAAATAGAATTTTAAATATTTTTTAACCGACTAAACTATATAATTTTTCATAAATTTAAAACTGAAATATTGTTCTATTTTCATACCTATTAACGCAAATATAATTAGATTTTAGTAAGGAGCACAGTTCATCCACTGACAATTCTAAGAAATCTTTTGTGCTCACGAGCATCAAGAAAAATTTCATAATCCTCGGTATCATCAATTCCATTACCGCGGTATTTCCGATCTTTTTTGCTTCCAAATATAATAAGAAGGCAGTATCCTCGGAAAAAAGCTCGTCATTATCAATGAATGCCCAGCATTGTTCTTCTAACTCTTCAGAAAATACAATGTTTATATTTTTAATATGAAAACCGTGTGTTTGTTTATAAATATTTAATCAATTTCTAACTTTCTACTTTCGAAAAAGAAATTTATCATCTTCTAAAATGTGAAAAAGATTGTAAGTTAATGTCACACCTTTAATACCAAGATACTGCGCGGCCATAAAAACTTCTAAGATGTTATCTCTTCGTAACAAATGATAACTTTCGTTGATTGGACTTATCATCCAATCATAAATAATATTGAACGCCTTGGAAGTCACCTTGCTCTATATATTTTATATATACATAAATAAACTATTGCATTTTAGTTTATCTTAAATTGTATTATTTCCCTTCCCTCTACTGTCTCTTAAATAAAATTATGATTATATTTTCAATTTTTTCAAATACAAAATAACCAATTTCTTTCTTTAAATTTATGAAAGAAAAATACATTTTGAAAGTGCTTTTTAACCAACACACATGATTACAAATAAAATTTAGATAAAATCTTACACTAGATAAATTCAGATCCTTGTAATTTACCGCATCGAAAAACGCACTGTAACTTTGTAAAACAAGAAGATGACAATAAAACTCATCCTGATCTATTCGGACAATGCAGTCGGCATTTCTTGACAGAATAAAAGAAAAAATATTTTCATAAAATAACATTGTATTAAAAAGTTTAAGATTACGATCTAAATGTAGTTATACAAGTCAGATGTTTCTCTTTTTTACTAATAAAATCAAAATTGTTTATTTAAAATATTTAACATCTGCAACCCGATAAATACAAAAAATCTTGCATTTAAAAGTTTTATTATTTAAGACTTTTATTACTTGTAATTTGTGATACGTCTAGCTAATTCCTGATATAAATCGGTTTTCTCGGGAAGAATTATATTATTCCAATTGATCGGTTGCTCATTCGTAAATCCTAGCCTGCTCAAAATGAAAAGAACAAGAAGAGTTTAGAATAAAAAAGAAACCATTATGGGAATAAAATCACTATAAGTGCTACAAGTCTCCTAAAGATTAACTAACAAATTTAAGAAAACTAACGAGGCGAGTGGTACTTCATCCATTAGAGGTAATTGATAAGACGTTGGTTGCGATTCCATTTTTGATACATTAAATTTCGCACTTGGCTGTGTTCGTGACCTGTAATTTGCTTCGATGTAAGGTAACTTTTTCTGAGCCTATTGCATGATCGAACAATATTTAGATAATAGGATAAAAATGACTGTGAAAACGTTATACATGATTAAACCAAAGTTATTAGGAATTATTATTTTAATTAATTAAAGATTTAACAATGAAAACAAATTCCACCTGCAACTTATTGATCGTTGATTGCGTGACGCCAGGCGGAAGATCGATATATCTCGTCTGAGTCGAAGATTCGAAAACGGATGTGCCAACGTCGGATCGATTAAGCTCAGCCTTAACGTTAACCTTCGTGTGTTGCGGATCGGCAACTAGAACGCTAAATTTCTTCGACTCGAAAACAACCTAAAACGACTATGTTACGTTTGCTTCGAGGCCGACATTTTTGAAAAAAAAAACGTCTTATAACATCTGCTAGACCTTCCATACCTGATTCGGAACGATCTTAAGATTACCGCTGGGTGTAGCTTGAAAGGGAAACACGCGACTCGATTCGTTACCCTCGTTTACGCTGATAAATGTAGAATTTACGTTTGCCTCCTCGGAATTTGTCTGTATTTTTTGCATCGATTGCTTCTGATTTTTCGCGTCTTTCACTTGTCTGTCAAAGTTATTATTACTAAAGTTATTATTATTACATTGTCAATTGCACTATTATTTATCCGAATATCTATCCTGAATATAATTCACTTTGGACGATGGTCTATAAATTTCGAAGCAACGGCTCTAATCGCTGAGCATTGTTTCTTCCGAATTCTCTTCTCTTCAACGCACCTCTGTGACTTTTGATTGATCGCGTTCTCGTTGGCGTGATCAATAATTTTCTTCTCTTGCAACTTGACAGAACAATCTGTATTAGGCTCGGCTATACATCCAGATTCGTTATAGTTGGGATCAATTTTTATCTGACTTTTAGACACAGTCCAGTGATGACGCTGCAGTGGTGACACAATTCTTTCCACTGGATTCGGCTGATAAATATTTACATTAAAAGAATGGTGTTTGTGTCTCGATACACGACGATATTTTCTGGAAGTGGTCCTTCGTCGACGTAGAGGATATCTCGGAGACAGACTTTCCGGGGTTTCTATAATCTTCGGCCTTTGAAAAATATTCTTTGCATAAAGATATCTCTCTCTTTTAGTAAAATTTCGCGAAATAATTTTTTTAAGTTTCTACTACACTCTGAGATCTACTCACTCACTCACTTGTCAGGTGATGCGGATCTCGATCTTGCTACTTCCGGTTGCAATTTTTCTATCACCGTTTGATCGGATTTGGAAAGTCGAACGAGAGCCTTCGAAGAAGCGGACGGAGAAGTGCTGGATCTTCCGTGATAAAGCACAACGACACTGTTTTTGCTATTATCAGCTCGCGGTTGATCGAACGTGGTCGATCGGTCGACCTTAGGATCAACTGAAAAAAAGTCCAGCTCAAACTTAGTTCGATCTCGAAAAATTCTAACTTCGTCTAAAAACTTACGTTTCCTACTATTCTGTCGAATGACCCTTACAATTCGTGGTGTACTATTTTCCTTCCTATTGTCAGCACAATACATTAGGCGCCTTAAACGATATAATGAGACGACATTCGCTACTACTTTAAAGCGACCATGAATGAGAATGTACCAGTTTCAAAAGATTCAAGCTTTTTAATGATTTACCAAAGTTTCTCGTTGAATTTACGATCAAATCTTTCGCTCTCGTTCGAATGTTTATCTTCAAAAGTTACTTGTGGCTAAACATTTGTCAAATAAAATTATATTCTAATATTTATCATACCACAAACAATATTAAAAATCAATATATGCTTATCCAGAATTTTTTACGAAATAAAAAATAATAGAGAATTTTATAAATTTAAATACATTATATATTTTTATCTCGAAAAAAGAGATGTTATGTAAAAAGTAAATAATGATTGTGCATGTGTGCAAATGTGATATTTTGTCTAATATTAAAATACTTTTGATGCAATTAGAATTCAAAGTGTTGTTAAATTAACAAATGTATTTTACATTTTATTTTACCTCATGTTTTCTCAAACGAAAATACGATTCGGAAGATCCAATATTTGAGATATATTGCGACGTAGCGATCTGGTCAGCCTTTCTAGTAACTAAAACGTGTCTCCACAAAGTGACACGTATGTAAAAAATAGGATTGTGGCAAACAAAAAAATTTGTCTAACACTTTTTTTCAAAATCATTCTATGTCAGACGTTTCCATTATACGAAATGCATAAACTTTCTAACCAAACATATTTCAAATTCGCGTATTTGAATTTCATTTACACTTACATCACTTACGTAATTTTGCTTCAATGATTTGTCTATTAACAACCGGTTGTCGATAGCAATACGATGATCTGGATGACGATTTAAGAAGATTTAATCGATCGCTCTCTTCGTTCTTTCTCCCTCCACACGTAAATCGCAAATTATGACAAGACTGTGTCACTCTTCAAAAATATAAGATTATATAGCTTCTATAAAATATAAAGAAATTATGAAATATTACTTTGGATTTAGTAGATCAAGTTCGGAAGAAAGACACGAATCGTCTCCAGCAGTCGTAGAAGTATCAAACTGCCTCTGCGAATCCGGAAGTTTCAAATAAGAAAGGAAAGGAAAAAAGAATTATATATATTTTATTTGTGCAAACAAAACTAAAAAATTATTGGTTTAGCATGCTAAATTTGTTACACTATACTTACGTCATAATGTGCAAAACCTCTTCGCATGATATGTATCGCGTTCAAATAATCACTCGCGGAATTGTGGCATAATAACGACAATACACTTCTTTCTCGCACTTCCGTTAAGTGGAATAAAAAGTTGTAAAAATATATATCATACAAATAGATGTTGTGACGTTTAAAACCGACGGGACATTTGTAAAAATGCGCGTGTCCAAAAAAGCCCTAGATACCTAACAACCGACAGATGAACGCGATTGACAAGAGAACGTTTCACTTCGTTTTCGAAATTACTGAAATTTTTCATTACACTATTTAAATACAATGTTCGTATGTAATAAGAAAATTTCATGTTTTGTTATAAAAATTTAATAACACTTACCTAAATATTTGTTAATTTCTTAGAAAGAACACATATTTTCTTCTAATATATATGTATAAATGCACGACATGAAAACTTTCACTTAAAATTTAAAATATTATTAATTATAAATATAAATTGATTAAAATATACGAAGAAATTGAAAAATTTATCAATTTATATCATAAATATAAAGAAATATCAAGTTTTTCAAAAGAAAAACATAGAGAAAGATTAAATGTTTTGTAAAATTTACAGTATATAATTACGGTGACAATTTGTTTTTATTATCGAAGATAGAAGAAGATGCCGAGGCCTCGTACAATAGGAAACTAAAGAACTGAAGCAAAACGTCCAGTTCAAAGAACAAAATGCTTAAGTTTGACAGTGTCTTTGAATAAATGATTATAGGTATAAGTGAGCGATTAAAATAATTTCGCGATGGTTTGCCGACACATTTATATAAAGAGAATTATTAAAGGCAATCATCCTTGTGCAATGTACACACGAGCAATGAAAATGAAAGCGATATAATGAAAGGTCCTCATGCAAGTCCTCTCTAAATATACTGTTCCACTACGTTCAATTCTTATTGATACACGCAAAATGCAATTCTTCGATGGACGCCACTATAGAATCAATAAAGTTCTACTGTCGTGTATAGGCCAGTGGCCATATCAAACGAAAAGGAGTAGCAACGCTATTATTGCCATTATAGTTTCTTTAGCTGGTACGCAATTTGTCGCCAAGGTATACCGACATACACACGCTTGAATATCACATGTTTTTTTCAAGAAATAATAACTTACTCAGTGGCGGTTGTTCTATACAAAGTTTTTTTTAAAAAATAGTTTTATGTTTACAACTACACGTTTTTTAAGTATAGGTATGTGGTTTACTCTCTATTAAAGATGTCGATATGTTCATCGATTCTCTTTCACCATTAGTAGTCGACATAGGATGTGGAGTAAAATTAATCACTTGTATATTAAAAGCAAAACAGGTATGTGATATAATTATAATAACATATAGTTTTCGAAATTTAGTTAAATCTCTACGAGATAGCAATTGTCTGTGATACTTGTTTAAACAATTAGAAATACTTATAAAATCTCATATAAAAGATCTTAAATTTAGATCTTTAAAAATAAAATTCAATTGCAGATCAGAGCACTTTTTGATCAAATACAAAGTGATTGGCAGTGGCTAATGACATCGACCCATATTAAGATTCTTAATCATTATGCAGAAATTGGACGACTCTTTACGATCATATACGCAAGTAAGTAAAATAATTTTACCTGATGAATAAAAGAGGAAGAAAAAAGAAAATCACATATAAACGAGAATTATTATAAGCTAAGCAATATTTGTCTCGATAAATAGCCGTAACTTTAACTCGCACTTGTTTCGCATAATCACGGAAATTAATTAATCGCGCAAATTAATATTTATAAAGATCCTAGGAAATAACCGCGTTTAATACTTTGCAGTATTTATTCATCGCAACGCGATACGTTTTCAAAAATTATTTAACTTAGCTCATGCGAGCTAAGAATTGTCTATTACAATTGTAAAATTGTAGAATTGTGTAATCGTGTTATGACATCTCTTAATAATTGTCAATCCGAGAAATAAGACGACGAGAATACACGGAGAATCTCACATTATTATATCTACTCACTCGAGAATTGTCGTGCAAACAAAAAATAATAAATAACAAAAGTTAAATATGCATGAACAATGAAACTAAACATAAATATATCACACTACCATGTTATATGTGGCGAAAAGAAAATCAATTGCTCTACGTGTCATATATAATTCTTGTAAAAATAATTGCGCGCGGTACAAATATTTAAAAAAATAATAATTTATAAAAGATGTGTAAGGGATTAATATTTGTGTTTATCCTAAAATGCACGAGTTTTCATTATAATTTTTCATAGACGTGATTATCGGTAACTTCACTTTATATTAAAGTAAGATATCACAAAATCTAATAAATATTTTGTCGTAAAATAAATAATATGTCTTATATGTATAAATTATATACATATATCTCAAAGTTAAAAAATATATAAATATTTAATAATACAAAAATTTTATGTGTTAAAGGATCTGGAGATATATGTAAGTAGTCGATATATATAAACGGAATAACAATATGTAAAAATATCATAACGCATAATAACGATATATGAATATACATACAAAAATTATTAATCAAAGCCAAATAATCAATATGAATGAATAAACTATTATAAGTACAAAAAAATTAGAATAAAATTGATATATTAAACGAATCAATTATTTATAATTATAGAATTATTTATACAATTTATAATTATAACACACAATTATTAATTAATGATGTGTTCTTTATAAAAAATAAATTAGATTAAATTAGATTTAAATTTAATTTCTTCTATATATCATATAAACTGTTTTGTATTTCTTTTAAATTGAAATAAGTAATTATTAATTTTATTATTCATTCATTTTGAGGTAACGGAACTATCTACAATCTAGTCTATAATCTACACTCTAAATCTACATCTCAATCAAATATATATAAAACCGTTACCTCGTATAAAATAATGATTTATCACTCACCAGTCGATGCGTAGCAGCGGAGTTGACTACGAAGCTACGTTTATCTGTAACATACAAATAGAATAGAAATTATAGCAGCGTTTTAAATAATTAATATCTCTAAAAATTGGTAATGTACACATTAAATTTTATATTTGATGCGTACAATAATCAGTAAGTATATAATTGAATAACTTTATAAATGTTGTAAAGACTATCTTTTTATTATAAATTTTTATAATATTTATAAAAAGTACTTCTCTCATTTTTCTTTATTTAAATTATTTAAATATATAAAAATAGAACGTTATATTATATCAATTATATATAAATATATATGCGTAAAAAATACGTGATTTGTAACAAGCCAAATATTATACATATACATATGTATGTATATAATATTTTTGATAAATATATTATATAAAAATATTATAAATAATTGTTACATGACATAGGCCTTTAACGAGCATTATAACAATGTTCTTAAATTTGGACGACTTTATTTAATATTACATTCACAATAATTAGACTGGACGTTTCGATACTTATTACTTGTATCTCTTCAGCTAGTTACAAATAAATTATTGAATATTAATTTATAAGCGACTGAAGTTCGTCTAATTGTAATGATACTGTTAAATAAAGTTGTCAAAATATTATCATGTAACGATTATTTATAATACAAACTTCTAGAATATATTTAAAAAAATATTATACGCACAAATATTACATAAATAATAAATACTCACCGCAGAATTGCTCCGCCGGTGCCTGATGCCTCCTAGCCCTGCTCCTCCTCTCAGATTGATCAGAATTGTCCGATAATTGTCAAAGTCTGTTGATTTAAATACGCGCGATACTTTGGACGACACTCCCGCACTTGAACGCGCGACACTTTATACGACACTCCCGTACTTGAACGCGCGACACTTTTATTCGATTGTATCTTATTAGATACTTGCGCTGTCGATCAATTCCCTCCATTGCTTAATGGCGATGTCAAGCACACTATATGTGTGCTTTATTAGTATAATTATCGCCATTTGTTAATAATAATAGTGTTCTATAATATAATATATCGAGAATACACCCCCTCTTTAATAAAAATTTATTAATAAATTATTATATAATGAAAAGAATTTTTTACGTTTATTATAAATCGGCAAAATATCAATTATCAATTTTAATTTATTCGCGACTTGTGCATTTATTTTCGAATTACGCTACAATAGAATCGATGAATCATAAAAATAAAAAAGAACAATATAAAATAACATATAATTCGTATTAAAAATTTTAAGAGTTTTATTATCCTACTTTCTGCAAATTTTATATTTAATATCATTATTACTTTCTTTTAGTCGAGATAAAATATCCTCGAAATATCTGATCTTTATCAGACGTTCTCCGTTATTTTAATATAATTTTATTTTAACTGACATAAAATCAAATTATCAACATGAATGGATTACAAAATATTATATGATATAAAAATCTGTACATTATAATAATCAGCAATTTTATATATTTAATCATTCACAACAAATTAATAATTGTCAGTGTGTGTTCTTTATCAAATGAATTAGATTAAATATGTTACTATAAAATGTTTCTTTTCCTTTTCTTAAACTTTAAATAATAGACATATTTTATCATATTCTGCTTAATCTTTAATTTTAGTAATCCATTCATTTTAAGGTAACGGAACTATCTACAAAATTTACACTACAGCCTACACAATCTACAATCTAGATCTATACATATTCACACAATTTAATATCTACAACCGTTACCTTATAATAAAATAATAATTTTTTACTTATCAGTCGATGCACCACAGCAAAGTTGCACTGAAGCTACGTTGATCTGTAACATAACAAATAAAATTTGAATTATAGCAGCGCCTAAAAAAATAATTAGTATGTATTTTAGAAAATTATTATTGTGTATGCATTAAATTTGATATAAATAATTTTATAAATTTTTATTTAATAGTAATTGAACTATAATAAGCCAATAATTAATACTCACTCTATGTTATTCCGCTGCTGCCCGATATCTCTCAAATCTGCTTTTCCTCTCAAATTGTCAAAATCACCAATTACGTTGACCTGTAATGTACAAATAAATTATAGCAACGTCAAAAATAATTAATATTTTAGAAAATTACTACGCATTGAATTTTATTTCCATGTAATATCAAGCACACAAAAAGTTTAAATAATTTTATAAATTTTTCTTTAACTATATATCTTTATACAACTAATAAATTTTAATTTACCACCTAACCTAACCAATAAACAAATAATAAATATACTCACTCCAGAATTGTTCCACCGACGCGATGCCTAATGCCGCCTCGAGCTTTCTCTTTCTCTCTTATTTCACCATTCGCACTCCTTCGTGGCACTCACTAAAGAAAACAATTAAATTACAATAAGAACGCACTCGCAAAAGATAACAGATAATTACGTATGATTGATGCGCGCACTTATTATACTCGAATACAATTAACGAGCGCGCGACATTTTCGACTTTAATGGCAAGCGACGCGGGAGCGCTCTCGATTTGGCGGGAAAATTACGCGGGACTCGCGGGAGGGCGCGCGAGGCTCGATGCCGACGATCGCGATATCTCGATATTTCGATATCTCGATATCTCGATATCTCGATGCCTCGAGACTAACTTCGCACGCGTACAAATAATGGAGGTATAATAATGAACAGTCGAAATAAATGATTAAAATATATGACTACTTGATGATATGATGATGAAATATAATATGATGATTTACTTACCAATTAAATATTTAGAATTAATGCGTCCCGTGTTCATAATACTTATTCATTACTTTTATGATGTTGGAGAAGTTTTACATTAATATGCATCATAATATATTGTCACATGAATAATATATGACCGCTCGTAACAATAAAACCCCGTGCCTTGCTGAACGCCGAATTTACATACTAAGTTATCTAAAATTATTAAAGTACCATTCCAATTATGATTTACTCACCAATAATAATAATTAAATGCGTCGAGATTCAGAATCCATCTGTCCTGCGTCTGCGATGTTTCGCCAGAGATTCCGGAATGACGTCACGTTGATTATAGACAGGAAAAACGCGGGAGAAAAAGCAGGAAAAAAAGCGGGAAATTCAATTACGGTCGAAATTGATGATCAATTGAGAATCACTGCATTAAAACATGATTAAAACCAAAGACAAGAGACAAATGCAATAAATATTTTTGAATATTTTGTTTCTACATACTTTAAAATATATAGAATATGAGATTAATACATCTTATTTTGTATAGTAAAAATAAAAGATTTTCTTTTTCTCTTTCTCTTTTAAAATAAAAATTTGCGATTATATTTTGATGAATTTTTGAAAAATGAGTAAAAATCTTTTATTTATATAGGTGCTTTTTATTCTGCATTGGTGTTATTTATGTTAGTACCATTACAACCACTGTTGCTGCATTCTTCATCAAATGATACAGCTCGACCATTACTACATCAAGTTGAATATTATATTGATATGGACAAATATTATTTCCCCATCTTGATTCACGGATATGCTGCAGCTATTATTTTTGTAAGCATAGCCATCGCAGCAGACACTATGTATGTGATCATGATACAACATGTTTGCGGATTATTTAAGATCATCGGGTATGAATCTTACAATATTTTTCCTAAAACATATTTAATTAATGTAGAATATTTATAATGCATAAATTAAACATAATGAGTATATATGGAATCATAATTTTGAAACAATTGCATTCATTGCTTCAGGCAAGAACTAGAAAATATAATAAAGGAAGACAGTTTAGAAATAAATCTTGTACCATCCATAAAAGATGATAAACCATATAAAAACATTATAAAAAGCATTAATGCGCATAAAAATGCTTTAAGGTTTGCGCTGTAATAGTATACACTATCAGAGTCAGTTTACTATTTTATATTGCCTCATATATGTGTATATATTTTTTATTAAAATTAATTACATCAATGTATTTAAACCATATATATATATATATATATATATATATATATATATATATATATATGTGTGTTTACCAGATACATAAACATATATATTTTTAAAACATCTTAAATTAAATATTATATTTTTACATAAAATTTGCATATGTATATTTATGTACGTACAAAGGTTCACCAATCTCATCGAAGCTACATTCAGTCAGATGTTTCTTACAGTAGCAGGTTTCAACATGCTTATTATGAGTATGACAGGAGTTACGGTATGTCAACTTTATTTATATTCGTAATAACCATAATTTTATTAATCATATTGCACTTATAAATAATAAATTACTAATATGCAAAAATATATTTATAATATAAAAATAAAAATGCCAAATTATTTCAATAAATCAAACAAAATTACCTAAAAAAGATGTATAATTGTAAAATCAAAAAATATTAATTATTTTACAATTAATATATTAATCTTGTTTAGGCAGTGACAAATATGGACAAGCCAGAAGAATTTTTAAGACAGATAACATTTGCATGCGCATTATTAGTGCATCTATTTTTTGAGAGTTTTCCAGCACAGAGTTTAATCAATCACAGTGCAAGTATTCATACTAATTTGTACGTACAAATTTTCAAATTATCAAGAAATGTTAAATTAATCTGATACATGTAACTGTAAAATAACTGAAACTGAAAGAGTATAATTATTTTCATGATAACTTTCATAATATTTATTTATTAATTATAAAATAATAATTGTACATTTTCTAAACTTGCTAAATTTGATGAATTTAAATTAATCTATTAATTTAGAAATTAAATACAAAGAAACTACATACACATCAAAATTTTAAAAATAACTTTTAAGTATGCTTTGTGCATGTATGTGTATAAAAAAAATCTCTAGATATGAAAAATATTTTTCCTCTTACAGAACAAATATAGCATGGTATCAAACTTCTTTTCGAACAAGAAAAATCTTGATTTTTATGATAATGAAAACACGAGAACCTTGCGTATTAACAGCAGGAAAGATGTTCGTGATATCGATGGATACTTTCTCTACAGTAAGATTTGCATATTATACATGTTTAATAAAAAATAATTATCAAAAAGAAAATAGCATCTATAATCAGCATCTAATTCATGAAACAACAAAAAATCAAATTATGTAATTAAAAACTTAATAATTTATGCAATGCAAACTTAATAATAATTAAGATATATCAATATTTGTGCATATCACAATTTTAATACTGGTTTTCTTTTTTTTAAGATCGTACGCACATCGGTATCGTATTTTACGATGTTGCGATCGATGCAATAATCAATTTACTTAGCTGAAATTAACTCATAAGCTCCCTTTGATGCCGCCATATCAAATATTTTCCATTATGAATATGCAGTCTGTGTATTTGCCAATAGATTATTTGTAGAGAATATAAAAATTTTAAAATAAAAATTAAGTTATTGATTAATATTTTTGTAATTTTTCTTTTAAATGCGACAGCCGATACGCCACGTATAAATATCAAATAAATATAATTATAATTCTGAAGAAAAATTATCGGCTGTCATCTGTATACAAAACGAGATATCTGCAACAAGTGAGAAATATTAATACATAAAATACATTAATATATAAAACATAAATAATTTATTTTACAATGTTTTACCTGAGAAAAAGTTAAAAATAAAATAATTGTAGTTTTAACATCCCATATAATTAGCTTTACAGTTCTATATTGCATCCTAAAAATTTTATTTTTGTAGGTGTGTAAGGCAATCCTACATTTGTTTTTATTTTATTCGGATTAAATTTTACATTATATTCGGGTATGCCATTTTTGATAATCTCTAGAAATCTATAAAAATAATTTATATTTATAACGTGTCTATAATATATAATTATTATATAAAATTATTGAACTTACTCTGTTGCATAATGTTCATTCTCAGTTATATATAAAATATCATCGGCGTATGTGCACATAAGTCCATTATTTGCATATACAGAAAACATTTCTTTGAACATGTTTTGGTAATATATATCAGATAAAATTGGCGATACTCGCATACCTTGTGGCACACCATGCTTTATTGAATATACTTTACCATCAAGTTTTACCTAAGATTTTAGTTAAATTAAAGTATTAATTAAATATTAATCACAACTTATACATATAAAATATTGTTCTACCTTCTGGTCAAATATTAATTTGTTTATTTTTCTAACCAGCTTTGTTAGTTTAACTAATTTACGTTTTTTGTTCATAATTGCTTTTTTACCTATTGCCCGCCTGAGATAAAAAGGTAAAAATTGCACTGTTTGTTTTAGCTTTCCATTTCTTGGTATACTATAAGTTCGCAAAACAAGATAAATTTGTAACTGTCTACAGCATGTAGTAATAATCTTATATAATTTTTCTGCAAAATTAAAAATAAAAACTTGTTTATTGCTAAATGTCTCAAGTGCGATAATCGTAAATTATACATACTTTGTATTATTGAACCAAATGCATCTTGTATATCACAGCACACATAATATAAAGGATTTTTGGTTGAAGCCTTTTTAAATGTATAAATTGCTTGCTTGCAGTTTGCTATAGTGGGAAGTCCATTTAAATTAAAGTATGTGACATATAACTGCTGCAAAAATCTCAAAACAACATCAATGTCATCAAACTTTTCTTTAACGCTGTACCTGAAATAATATGTAATACATGATACATAAAATTTAATAATATTCACATTTCTTTAATATAAATAAAAGAAATATATATACTTTGCCACTAATAAAGCTCTCAAACCAGACGAACTTGGGATAAATTTGTATGTCCCAATAGGTATATTAAATGTTGACTTTCTTGTTTCCACCTTTTTTGCTCTAGGTATCCACGGTACAAGACCACCTGTACTTATTTTCTCCTTTATAAATTCTTCTTGCATCTTGCACCAATCATCTTTTACAAAGTAAATCCATTGCTTTTTAACCGAATGCAATACCACATATTTATGTAAAATTTTTATTATATATTGTGCAAAGAACCAATGTAACAATTTTAATATAATTATCCATTTTACTGTATTATTATTAATTGAATGAAACCACTTAATTCTGGATATCTGTAAATATAAGATATTACAGAAAAAATTGGATATTTTTATTATTAAATCGCTAGAAAGATGGTAATAATTCTAGGCAAAAACAAAAATATTTAAACTCTAAAATAAACATACATCAAACTTGTTAAACAATGGTTGCATATTCAATGATGCATAAGTAGCCTTTTTTTCTGTGTCTTCTGGCACAGTTCTTTTAAAAGCTCTTGTTATTGTTTTCTTTTCTGGATTAGTTTTTAAAAGACGACCAATCGTTCTTTTTATAAATTTAAAATTTTTCCTTGTTCCAAATAATGACAAAGGAACATTTTTATGTAATAACAAACTGAAGAAAGATTGTAGTGAACGTTGATGAATTTGATTCTTATTTTTCTTTTTATACTTTTCATTATCTCTTGCTATAATAAATGTCAATTCTTCGAAATAATTATATCTATTATGTCGATTTTTAAATGATTCCAAAATTGGTGACAAACTAAGGATAACAGCATCGAAATTAACGTTATTATGATATTCATTATGTCCAATATTTGTATTAAGAATCCTATGACATATTTCTCGTCCCGTATTTTTACTCTCTAAAATATGGTATTTTGAGATTTTTGCCATAGTACGACCTGTCTTTCTCAGTCGACATCTCGATGCAAATAAATTTACTGTAGAATTATATTTTTTAACTGGAATCGAACTTGTTCCTGATTCCGGCTTTGAGCATTGTTTATTTGTAGATGTTTTTTTATACTTATAGCGTCTTTTCCTACAAAAAAAAACATATTTGATTTAAAAAGTAAATAATCGAAATAATATAATAAATTATAAATAATATAAATAATAATATAATAATAATAGATAACATTCATAACCTAATTAATGCAACTAATCTCTTCTAAAAAGATATTTTAATGTATTTCATAAATATAATAAAAACCTTTTAAAATTCATCTTTTTTTTATTAAAATCTTTATTTGATAACTATTAGCATTACATGTATATTATTTTACACTACTCATATAATAGACAGTATAAAACAAATTAAAAATAAATTAAACGTTCAAAATCGACAGGGAGACGGAAAAATTTTGAACTAATATTTGAGACTCGTCAGGATTACCAACTGATAATAATAGAATAGAGGGGTGTAATCGCCGTAGAGAAATTGAATTAAATATATTTTTCATATAATTTTTCTCAAAAAAAAAAAAAAAATTATTAACTCAATAATCAGCTTAAATAATATATATGTATATTGTATAATATGTACAAAATTTTATTACAAAATATTAAAAAATATATATATACATATTGTTGAAAAATTGATTTAAAAAAAAGATGAAGACATTTAGTTTATATACCTATTAAAAAATTATACAAAGAAATGTTACATTATATGCACACTTAAAAATTTCATTTTTTTATCATTGTTTAATATTAAAATTATTGTATTTAATAATTTACAATATATATTTATATATTTTATTTGTGAAAGTATAATATATAAATATATTTTAATATAATTTTTTGACGCATATAAAGTTGAGTGTATATTAAGGCAATATTTGCAGTGGTACATACCAAAATAAATCTGAAATTTACAATATAATGCTAAATAAGTATTTTCTATTTATTTACTAAATAAATAAATAAAATCAAGAAATTTGACAAAATATAGCTAATGATAAATTGATTTTCGCGCAAATAAAATTATTCGATACAGGAAAATTTGATTGTAAATAAAATGCAGAAAAGTGACGATTAACAATTTTATTAATCGTAATGTCCATATGGCACCAGAACGAAATTTGACTTAAATTGGGCATTTTATGGGTTGAACGATTAATAAGGGTGTCGTTGAATTATTCGCGCTACACGATTTAATCTTAATATCACAAATGTTTACATCCGACGCTTTCGAATTGATTCCAAAGCGTTACATTCTTATTCGTGCTGTAGCTAGATTACATCTGGCACGCTCAGCATTAATCGAGCTTTCAGTCATCTCCACCATAGAGAAACTTTGTAACTGACATAGTCAGTGAAATATAAACGAAAGAATAGCGATATAATCAAGGAAATCACGATGGCTTGCAGGATGGAAATCTCTTAATACTAATGCAAGAAATTGGTTTACGCCATCTTCGTTTGTTTTGACTGTTTGTGTTGGATTTAGCATTTACATGACTATTACATGTAGTTTTTCGATCCTCGCTAATACGATCCAATTCTTGAAGTCTTCTTTCTTCTAAGGAAAAAGTGATTCTTGTTATACTTTCTATGATCTTATTGCATTACGTGAAAAGGAAGGATGTAATTTAATAAATATTACAGTAAGGAAAATTTCTTTTGATTACACATCACAATTCTGTATTGTTGCCATAATTTTTCAATGTTTATTTAATATATAACAAAAATAGCGTTAACAGACCTACCATTTAGTTGATGTTCTGTATAATATACGGGATTATCATCAACCCCATAATGATATTCCATTAGATATGGCAAAACAGTCATACTATGACACCCGTTACTTTTAAGAGGAGGTATAGGTACTTCTTTTTGCGTTTTAGGATGCTCACATATGGTCCAAGCGTGTCTTTTAACCTGTTGCAATGTAAATCTATTATCTGCATCTTTCTGCAACATTCCCTCTATGAGCGATTTTAAAGGCTCCTCTACTTCTTTCGGTATAGTATATTCACCCCTTCCAATGTTTTCATATAATTTATATATATTATCTCCTTCAAAAGGATATAAGCCTGTTGTTATATTATACCTATAAAATACATTTTATATACACATTATAATATATACTATTTTTCCTTCACATTATATATAAATTATTTACTAATGCTATATAAATGTTACTTACAATGTAACTCCACTACTCCATATATCTACTTTAAAACCTGAGAAACTTTCGCAGCCATTTGCAATTTCTGGTGGCTGAAATGCCGGGGATCCCTGACCTATTGTACATGTATCGTCTTTGGAAAACATGTCTAATGCCTAGCACAATGGAGATGCGTAATCACAAATAGGAATACAAATTGTTGTGAAATATATGTTTAACATTTTTTAAATAGATATAGAATCTGTCCAAACTTTCCTTATTAGAAATTTCTTTTTTTTTAATTTATTTTTATAATTTATAACTGCATATAAATTTGTAGCCTAATTATGAAGTTATAGATGGAATTTGTACCTCTGCAACGCCAAAGTCACTAATCTTTAAGGTGCCATCTAAGGTTAATAATAAGTTTCCAGGTTTTATATCTTTGTGAACTATTCCTTTACTGTAAAGATATTCTAAACCATCCAACAATTGACAGAAGTAGTCGTGTGCCTGCCAAAGAGGAAGCTTCTTGGTTGGTGTACTTTCCAACATATCCTGCAAAGGATCTAATAAATAGAAATCTAATTGTTGTTAATTCATGCAAGCCATTGTTCAACCACAGAAATTAAAAGCAAAAAAATTAATGTGGTTTTTATTATAGCTTTTTCTATCAGAAAATTTCACGTGTGCATGCACATACATGCACACACACACACATATTTATTATGGTGTAAGATACTAATATATTACAATTATTACATCATTATAATGTAATCATCTTTTGCAATATTTATATAATATTGCAATATGCTAATTATAAACTTTCTTTATATTAAGCAATATTAATATAAATATATTGAATTTTTCTGTAATATATAATCACGTTGAAAATAAATAAATTGTCTCAATATTAAAAATACCATATTGAAACTTGATACTAATATGAATAATATCTCAAAATAATACAAAATCAAAATAAATCAATAACATAATTATTCTAAATTGATAATTATAGTCAAACAATTATAATAGTTAACACAGAAATGCAAAATTATTATCATTTCTATTTCTTGATATTATTTTGTTTGGTAATTTACATATGACATTTGTGCGTATCTAATATTTTGAACACTGAAAAAAAGCTGCTTATTAAAATTTATTTTATAAAAATTTTATTTTATTTATTTTATTAAAATTTACCTGTAATCCACATACGCAAAATTCCATAACTAGATACATTTTCTCTTTCTCGTCGCTATATAAAACATCCACGAGATTTATTACATTCTTGTGTCTTAATATTCTTAACAATTTTATTTCCCTGTGAATAAGTATAACGAAATATTAGTAAATAACAAGCAAGAAATGAACAATTTTTGCAATAGCTCATCACATTTTCGTATCCAGCGATAAAAGTCGATATAAAATATAATGGACATTAATGTCAAACTCGCAGAAGTATACATTCGTCGAACGTACCGTTGAACATTCTGTTCACCATTCGGTATCCTACGAAGTTTTCTTTTCTTTAGTATTTTGACCGCCCTTCGACAGAGCGTTTGCGAATCCAACACCTCTTTAACTTTTCCATAACTACCTTCGCCGAGAACGTCGCCCATGACATATTTACCAATAAATTTACACTTTTTCTTCTTCTCTTCGTATATAATTTGAGCTGAATCAACTCTGTGAAAAAACATGTTAATCTCGTCCAAGTCATAGTTCGGATCGTCATTGATCCACATGCCCGGTTCGATATCACGCAATATGTCATTTTCAATTTCTTCTTCGTCCGGATCACATATCGTTATTCTATTGTCCATTTTTTTACTCCGTTTAGAGTTTATAAACTATAAAGAGATCATGCGAGTATAATGATTTAACCTAAAATTACAACCGGCACGACCATTGTTGTGAACACTGGTGAGATACGTGAAGAAGCGCGATTATCATAGACAATCAAATTTATAGATGATCGGCGAACTTGCAATATCGGCCTATGTCACTAGACTAGGGTATTTTCATGCTAGGGTATTTTCCACAGATAATTATATTATAACTAAATCGCTAAAAACTCTTCCAGTGTTACCAGATGTAAAACTGAAATTTCCCCACTCAAGCTTAAAAAGTCTTTATTTTAAAAATTCTCTACTTATTCCGAAAATTCTCTACCCATTTCAAAATATTTGAAAATAAAGAAAAACAATATTAAAGTATCCATTTTTAACAAATATATTGTATGTATCTATTTAAAAAAATGAATAAGTCACAAATTTCTCTTAAACAATAGTTAGAAGTTGTAAAAATAAACAAATTTTTATTTTAGAAATTGAGCAAGAATATTTTTTCGTAATAATAATAATAAAACTATAAACTATTATCGATAATAAAATATTAATAATAGAATTACATAAATAAATAATTATGAAGCAAATTATAGTTAATTACCTATTAAATAAGAAAAATAAAAATTACTGTCTATATTTTAATTTGCATTAAACATAAAAGTAAAAATTATTTTCTCTAAACTTTATTACATTTTTTAAGAAATACAAAGCACCACTTAAAATTATATAAACTGAAAATCACATTTTTAATCATTTTTAAAGCCTAATATCACAATAAGAAATAATATTTAAAAATTATACGTCCGACAAACATGGAGCAATTTCTCTACGTCTGGTAACACTGTGCCTCACGCGAATGACGTAGCAGCTGTGGAATGCGGTGCGCAGTGCGCAGATGTGGTTGGAGGGAGGAGAAGTAGGGATGGAGCGGTGGTGGGGATAGAGCGAGTGGGAGGAAGGAGTGGAGGGGGTAAAGCGACGCGTGGAGTGGGGAGAATGGAATGCGGCGCGAAGGTGAGAAGAAGGTGATAGTTAGCGCGCTAATGACGCACTATTATTTCATTATTTTGATTGTGTGTTTTAATTAAATCTTATATTGTAATTGTTTTAATTTAATTTGTGCGTACAATGGCCAGTAAAAAAAAATGTTGTTTTAGATCGCAAAATATCGCTAGTTAAAGTTACTGAAAAGCAAGCTCTTCTATTGGATGTCGAAATATTTACTGAAAATAAATTTTTCTCCAAAACTGTCATCAAATGCTGCGCGCGTGTCTCTAGTAATTTCCTAGCTCACGCGCGATCTAACCTTTAATTTTGTGATTGCACGTGTTACGAAGATTGGAACAAACTTTATAGTATTTATCAGTTTATTTGCAGGATAAAGAGAATTATATAATAATTTGTAGAGAAACTCAAACAGTGGCCATAGAGATTAACTTCGTTAATCGATCAAGTGCACTCTCGTACAAGAAATCTTTAAAAAAAATTGCACGTGTTAGAGTATTATGCAAAAGAATCATCAAATGAGTGTATTTTTATTAGAATTTAAGTGCCAAATGAGCACTTAAACATTTACAGAAGATTTATTAATTATAATAATAATTAATATGAATACAAAACAAGAAACGCACCGACCAGGTGCGTTGAAACAATCTAATAAGCAACACAAGACTGGAAGACATCGTAGTAAAAGTGCTATCAATAAAGATCTTAAAGGTAAATTAACTAATTTTATGGCAGAACTATAAAAATAATAACTAATTTATTTTTAGGTAATAAGTCAAGATTTTTTTGATGCAATAAATAATTATATATATTATTTACATATACATAGAACCTATTTTTATTTAATATTTTTAAAATATTTAATTTTTCTTAGGTAAACAAAATATCAAAACATCATTGAAACATCTTAAGAAAAATCTTCAGAGAGATGCGCGTAGAAACCAATTGTTGCAAATCAGAAAGAAGAAGCGAGAGGAAATACTAGCGCAAAAGAGAGATCTTGGTGGTTTTTCTTCTGCGCCTGTTCTTATCTGTATTATACCCTTGCATAATGATATAGACATTCAAAGTGTTATGTCTGTTATAACTGGTATGGATGAAACTGCTAATATTTCTACCAGTCCAAGTGGGATCACACATATAGGGTATGCTGCAAAATTACATATTACTTTTAGAAAACAAAAACTTGACATTTATATTAATCTTTTAAATACATATTTGTGCAGGATACCAAAGTTAAAACAACGATTTTCCATCATTGTGCCACCGATAGATAATGTTTTAGCAACATTAGATGCAGCCAAAGTTGCTAATACAATACTCTTTATAACTTCTGTCACGTTTCGGTTAAATGGTGATAATAGTGAAAGAGAAATTATAGATGATGAAGGCCGGAAGATAATTGTGTCTTGTCTTGCTCAAGGTTTACCTACTACTATAGTTGCAGTTCACAATATTCAGAAACTTCATATTAAAGTAAGTAATAAGATATTGATATCTTCAAGAAAACAATACAAACAAGAGATAATTGTTTTCTTACTTATTGTAATTTATACTAAATTTTATACTATATGTGAAAATCTAATTTAATATGTATCAAAATAGAAACGTCAGGAATATAAACAATCTGTGCAACATGCTATTTCTAAATGGCTTCCTGATGAGAAAGTACTTGAATTAGACACAGCAGACGATTGCTTGAATATGTTACGTCGTGCAGGATCACAAAAACAAAGAAGTGTATTTTACAAAAATATGAGGCCGCACCTTTTAGCCGAAGAATTTTCATTTAAATGTAATGAGGTATGTTGTACTTTAAATATTATATTTTAAATATCTTATTTATATTATATATACAGGTATAAGCAATTTAACAACTATGCAAATTTTATCTAATCAGGATTCACTCAATTTGGGAACTCTTTCGGTCACTGGATATGTGCGAGGCTCATGTCCACTGTCTGTTAATAATTTGGTTCATATACCAGGCTTTGGTGACTTTCAAATGTCGTGCATCAAAGAATTAAGTGATCCATATGAAATTATATATGCTAATCGCAAGAAACGTTCTCCTGATGATGAGATGAAGACAGAAGGAGAAACGAGAACAGTAGTTTTGTATACTGCAGACCCTGAAAAACAGGTTTATATATTTTTTATTCTATTACTAATATATCTCACTAACTAATTGCAAAGAACAAATAATGATAGAATATACCAGAATTACTGGTAATTTATTTTTATATATAATAATTTAAAATGACAATTGTGACAATAATACCAGTATATAATTGCATTTAGAATTTATCACAATTTGTAGGAATCTCTCGAAAGTGAAATTATTCCTGACCCAATGGACGCTGAACAAACGTGGCCTACAGAAGAGGAATTGGCTGAAGCAGCAGCCAATAGAAAAAGAAAAATTGTAAAAGTTGTACCAAAAGGTACTTCTGAATATCAAGCTGCGTGGATACCAGATGAAGATGGAGGTATTGCATTCTTTTTCTTATTTTTTAATTTTTTCAGTAAAAAAAATTTTGTTCTCATTTAACTTGTTCTTCATTTTACTTTAAAAAATCTTTTTTCTCTTTTTTTTAGAAATTCTCAGTGCATGTTCAGAAGAATCAGAGGATGATATGTCTGTGGAAGAAGCAAGATCTGAAGCAGACAGTAATAAAGATTTAGAAGATGATGAAGAATATGAAACTATTACGATATCAGAAGCTGCAATGGATGATGAACATTATGATCGAGATATCGATGTACTTGAAGAGAAACAAGCAATGGATACGTTCAAAGGTAATATAATTTATATACATATGTATTTGTAATATATTGTCTACTTTGATAATAATTTCGTAATAATACACAGAGGCAAATTTGGACGCACAATTTCCGGATGAAGTGGATACGCCCCAAGAGACATTAGCTAAAACGAGATTCCAAAAATACCGAGGTCTCGAATCATTTCGTACCAGTCCATGGGATTCGAAGGAAAATCTTCCCATCGATTATTCTCGAATAATTGAATTTGCAGATTACGATCGTAGACGAAAGCGTATTTATAAAGAATGCAAAGATATCGAAGAGTCTGTATGGGTAAGTCTATATGTGACAATTTTTTTTCGTTGTATTCATACATATCTCTTTTTATTTTTATATAATATACATATTTACGATTTCAGCCAGGAAGATATGTAACACTTGATATCATTCACGTTAATACAGAAACTTTTAAGGCATTTGCTACGATGGTGAATCAACCATTAATAGTGATTGGTTTACTTCCATATGAACATAAAATGTCTGTAATGAATGTCGTATTGAAACATTCGAATAATTACACGCTACCGATCAAATCGAAGGAGAGATTAGTATTTCAGTGCGGATTTAGACGATTTACAGCGAATCCAATATTCAGTCAACATACAAATGGCAATAAACATAAGGTGAATCAACACAATCCTTCTATTTACAAGTTTTATACAACGAACAAGAAACATGTAATATGCAAGAATTCATAATTTAATAATAATAATATTTTGTTTTAGTATGAAAGATACTTTCATCCTGAAAATACCGTCGTAGCAAGTATGTATGCACCAGTTACTTTCTCACCGTGTCCAGTACTTTGCTACATTGAAAATAAAAGTGGAGAGCTTGTACGTATTAATTTATTTTATTTTAATTAATTTAATGTTATTAGTATCAATATATATAAAGATTAAAATTTATGAAGTTATTAATATCATAATATTCATAATAAATATATTGTAGAAGAAATTAATAATTTATATTCTTATATTAAAAATTCACAGAATAACATTGATTTCAGGAATTAATTGCAACTGGAAATGTGTTATCTTGTAATCCCAATAGAATTGTCTTGAAACGAGTCGTTCTAAGTGGTCATCCGTATAAAGTAAACAAGAGATCAGTAGTTGTGCGCTTCATGTTTTTTAATCGTGAGGATATTGAATGGTTCAAACCTGTTCAATTAAGAACAAAATACGGACGTAGAGGACATATAAAGGAATCTCTTGGTAACTAATCAATTTTTTCCATGCAATTATACTGTTTTATTATATTTGCTATATTTACATATCCATCTATAAACAGATATCTACATATTTCATCTATGTTTCAGTATGTAATGTATTTATAATTTTATATTTATATTTATAATTTTGCCATAGGTACACATGGGCATATGAAGTGTATCTTCAATGGTCAATTAAAATCTCAAGATACAATTCTAATGAATCTATACAAACGAGTATTTCCAAAGTGGACCTTTGAACCTTTATTATTGACACAACCATCGTACAAATCTGAAACCATGCAGATCGAATAATCTGTATTTGTGGAATTAAAACATGTTTAATTATATATATGTATATAATATATACAAATATATATTATATAATAAGAAATATATATTTGTTTATTTTAAGATGTAGGTATATCCGCGTGCGAATAAACTGCTGCATGTAAAAACAAAGAAAAGAATCAAAAACTGCTTGATTGAGACAAAAAAATAAGCAATAATATAAGCTTTTTATAAGCTTATTTTATTGGCTATACAGATTGAAAAATCTTTCTTCACAATTAAAGTATTGATAATAATGAACGAGGAGCGCTGTAATTTTCGTATAAAAATCTGTAAAAGTTAAATTACAATTTTTTTATCGATTTCTTGCATCAGCTCATAACAATACTTATTTAATACAAAGTTCTGCAGTTTATTTGTGCACAAAATAAGTTTTTTAATTAAAAATAAGATTTTTTCGGCCAACTTAATACTAATTTATCTTTTTTAGTTTTAAAAGATAGATTTTAATTTTAAAGATAGAAGACTTGTTCTTATTACATATTTCAAATAAAATATTGTGTGGAGAGATGATAAATTACTAGAATCTAGTAATTTACCAACTTGCATGAATTTAGTTCAACATTCAGGATTGGTTGATCCAGTGGAAGAATCTAATCTCATCGGAGACGCTCCCAAAAAATCGCATCATGTGATTCAGGCTTAATATTGGTTCTTCAAAGGTTTGACATAAAATGCTTTGTCTACAATTTGTTTAGTTCTCGCAAAATCTGAATTATATTATTTGTTGTTACAGCGTGATATTATTGTCATAGTGGACGAAAATAGGGGAGATTTTTTCTTCAAACTTTAAAAGCAAAACGCAGCTCTAACCAAACGAATTGTTATCGAATCACTCTCGATTTTAACACCGATGTAAACTCTACCAACTCATACGAGACGTGTAGTATTATATAAAATTATTTTTGTATTTTACATTCAAAATGTATCGCAATGATAACAGATAATATTTGAAAATTATAATCGATCGCTCAAATCTTGAATAGACAAAAATGGCGATGGAAATGTGGAAGTATATTTTAGCACTTGTCATCGTAAATTCAGGTGAATATAATTTCATGTATATTTTGAGAAATCTAATTTCGATATTATTAAAAATAATCACTAATTACAAATTAATTTACAGTGGCCACTGAAAGAATAAAGGATATGATTTACATGCCTTTAGAGGGTGTAGCTGCTTGTTTCCGAAAGCATAATGGCACACATCAATTTGGATGCTCTTGTAAGAGTTTATTATTATCTTATTACATTTTTTTTTCTTATTTGGAATCTTCCAGCTCATATACGAGTTATTTTACACTCTACTTTGCAGATAAATTACAATATTTTATATATTTACAGCTAGTAGATTAGGAAGTGTAGGTGTCGTGCATCTGATCGAGGTAGATAATGATATTACTTGGATAGAAAAAAATGCCACTGCTGGTCCGTATACTGTAGTCCTTCCATTTGAGATGTTTACTAGAAAAACACTTGTAAAACTTCGAAATACGAATAATATAAATGGAGTGCTATTAACGAGAAATACTAGTCATGAACGTCCGACAATGTATTCACCTGAAGACCAGTGTCCAAATCGATATTCCGGTTATAAAAAATGTAACGACATGAAACCATGGAATCCTTTTGGATCTGCATTACTCATGGAAGACTGGCCATTTCCCATGTTTTATACAGAGGTTCGATTCATCTAAAGTTGTCAATTTAATTCCTATATGATTAATATTTTTACCATTAATATTATAACATATTTAATATTTTTTTTTATAATATGTGATTTAATATTTATTATTTTTATATAAATATATTTATTAATATTAAACATTAAAAGTAATGTTTTGTTTTTCAGAATCAAACTGCTTTGGAGGCCATAAGATCTTGTTTTGAGACACATAATGCTCACAATCTCGAGACGCAGTATCAGAGATCTCTTTGCGCGATAGAAATGAAATCATTCATGTATGCTGCCGTTAACTCGGAATCGTGTATAAAACGTACCGGTTTCAAGTTCAATTTTAATCCGATGCAATTTTGTGATCCACTTGGAGACAGAAACATCCATTGGCCTTTAGCGTCTCTCGATGAGAATAATAATACAGTAATAATGGTAACAGCACGATTGGACGCATCGTCATTATTCGATGGTATATCACCAGGTGCGCGCAACGTAGTGACAGGACTTGTGACATTACTCGCTACTGCATACTACTTGAACCACTTAAACGCCACTGTCGATAGTACGTGTTAATTTTCTCTACGAAATTATCACAAAAACTTTAATCCTTCTGCCAATGAATGGGTATCCGAGTATATTCAAAGTAACATTAAGTATTAAAACTGCATATTAAATATTAATATAACAAAATATAACGGGAAATAATATTCAATGCAATTACTTATAACAAATTATAAATCTAACAATTACTATAAAAAGAAATTGTCAGTGTAATGCAACCAAACGTGCAGTCGATAATCGGGTATTCAACATTGATGAAAAATTATGCATTGACATAAGGATTAATTACAATATGCACATATAATATATGTATATATTTATTCTTATTATTTCTAGAGACAAACGTTATATTCTCATTGCTGAATGGAGAGGCATTCGATTATATAGGATCTAGTCGTATGGTGTACGATTTGAAACAAAATAATTTTAATGCTCTCGGTGGAATTAATTTAAACATTGACGACATCAAGAGCGTGATTGAATTTGGTCAGTTAGATGGAGATGAAATATTTCTTCACAGCAATGGCGAAGATGGCGATATGATAAATCATTTGCAGAATGCGTTGAATGTATCGAACAGTAGTATTCTAACCGGTAGTGTGCCACCTACATCAGTGCAAAGTTTCCTGGAAGCAAAACCGAATCTAACAGCTGTTGTGATAAGCAGTCATGGAGTACAATTTAAGAATAAATACTATAATGGTATCTTAGACGATGCGGAAGGTCTTGGTTTTAATATGTAATAAGCTCTCTTTTATTTGAGATTCTAATGCATATTTCATGTGTTTTGCATTGAGATTTTCATATATCATGTTTTAGAAACGATACTAGAGGCGCGCTTGCAACAAATTTAGCGAAAATTGCTCTTCAGATCGCTAATGAACTTTATCGGATGGTGACAGGTAAGCAGGAACCGCAGCAACCTGTTGATCTACCAATGTCTCTGGAAAATCTTACTGCGGAAATGCTAGATTGTTATTTGGAGAGCGCAAAATGTAATCTCTTTCGTGCATCTTCGGCGCCCAATGCTAAATTGATTAATCAGGTCCTACCGTTATACGTTGGTGTGCACAGGGCACCCAATCTTGCGACAAGTTTAACAGGCCAGCTTTTAGCTCTCCTAACTGGTGAGAAACTCTTCGAGATGAATGAAACAACCTGCCACGAGAATCGTCTCGCTTGGATGAGCGGAACCAATTTTGAAGGCTTGTGTATAAACTCGACCGTGAATTATAGCTCAGCTATAAGTCCTGCGTTTATCATCGATGGTAGGTTCCTCATAATGGATATATAGAAAGTATAAAAAGTATCTATTTCGTCCTATATATTTATTGACGAATTATTTCAATGGTATCTTCTGTTGTAGGATATGACATGAAGTCCGGGGTCTATTCGACTTGGACAGAATCTGTATGGCAAACATTGAGCGTAAGAATGTTTCTTAAACCATCAGCAGCGACAGAACGCTTCAGTATGATCCTGGGTAGCATAATCGCCGGTACTTCATTTGTGTTAGTGTGGTTTATCAATAATCGAGCTGATATTTTATTTAATTCAAGGTTAGTATTATAGATATCCTATAGAGGATTTAAGGATTACTAAAATAAATTTTAATATTATATCAATAAAACTGAAAATTCTGCTTTTCAGGAGAACAGTTGATTGCTAGGGATACGCTGCGGACCACATATCAATGATCAGGTTAGATAATTATCGCCAAGATCAAAATGTTCCAATAACTAGCCTCTAACCGTATGTGTGGTACGCCCTCGGACGATTTTTTCTAATTCCAATATTTGCACATATGTTACATTATCATCTCATAATTATTTTTATTATTTATCATCACCGTTTCATATATGCATCAATTGCATGAAAGAAAGATTATCAATTGATGCATCCTTAATATTTCTGAAATATGTAAATCACTAAACAAATCTTTCCTCCTATCTGCAATTCTCTTTTTTTCTGTATGATGTGATGAAATTAAATGTGTTTGAATTGTTTATAAAATTATGTACAAAAAAAAAAAAAAAACGATCAAAATGGAAAGCTCGATAAATTCGGCAGCTTTGTATTTTGTATGTATATTAAATCACTGCACTTATTACTTTAAAAACTCCTGTTTCCTCACAGCATCAAAATATAATAAAAAGCGAAAAATTATATGAAATTAAATTTTAACGAAATAAATTAATTTTTTCATTAATCACATGTTCAGTAATATGATTGATAAAATACCGAAAACTCCCTTTTTATCTTGTATTAATAAACATAAATGTAATTCGTTTGTATATGTGTATCTTACATTTCCAGCGAAAATTGAGATTCACAGTTATTTATTAATCCACGTTTTGCAATATTTTATATTATCGAATATATAAATAAGGACTAATTTATTTCGATATAAAAACATTACATGATTTTTCGCTTCTTCAAAGGATACCCAGAACAAATCTTTTTTTCATGCCTCTTCAAATTTAAATTTAAATTGAATCCTTTTAAGATAAAAAAAAGTGAAAGATTTTTTTAACTTTACACGAGTATTAAAGTCTCGTGTCGTGCTTCATAGTTGTCTAATATTTTTCACTTTGTATATATACAACTCTTCATTAAAACCGTGGAATAAAAACATGGTATATATATAGAAATATATATCAATAGTATTATAATAAATCATATCTTATATACATGTTGCGGTAAGAATAAAAAGAAAATAATGCAAGCGTGATGGCGTTTATTATCGATAAACAACTTATTTAACAGGGCTTTGATGTACATGGGAAAGAAGTATTTAATTTGTATATCTATGCTTCCTTTTTTTTAGTATACATGTAAGTGTATAATATGTTTCTCATTTACGACTTGAAACTTGGACAAAGTTAGAAATGGGCCATTCTTGAAAAAAATTGATCGAGAGATTTGAGAAATATATATATAATATATATATATAGTCTTCTTATTAGTAATATATCTCTCTCTTGAGTTTTAATTGGTTTTACGTCTATAAACGGAATATTTGCATATTATTTGGTTCGCTTATTGGGTTTCTATTATTTTAAAACGCAATCTCACATTTTAAATATATATGCACAGAATGAAAACATGTGCACGATTTAAATGACATTTTCATTTTGTATTATACTAAACAAACGTGAACACAAAGTTTAAGAATATGGATATAATTCGGAAGAATAAAAAATAGGAAGATTCGAGTTTTTTTTTTACAGTACGAAGACACAATTATGAAATCAATCTGGTTTCATTGCATAATTATGTTGCGCGCGTATAAATATTTTATAAAAAGTGACATGCTATTCACAGAATTCTAAGTGCAGATATAATTTCTCAAACTAGGATTCATCCATAAATTCCGAAAAATCTATGATCGATGTGACCACACGATTTGTTATCTATGTTATTTTGCGTGCCCATTCCTACCTTTACGTGTCCTCTTTTTTTATTCTTTAATCTAGTTTTCGATAGATAATTTTCGCATCGACGTTTTAATGCGGCAAAAGTGTTTACGTTTTCTACTTCGTATAAAGTATCCACATGCACGCGTCGTGATAAAGTTTTTTTCCTTATACAGAAACAACATCCGCATGTGCGAGAGGAAACGGAAGGTGTCTAAAGTGAAAAGATGCCAATAGTTTAAATATTTTAAATGCCACGACTTTTCTTCGTGCACACGTGCATATGGATAAAAAAGATAATTTCTACAACGCACGTCCCGACATACGTTCAACCTCTCCTCGGTAAAATTGTTTACGCTCTTTCTTCTCATTTCTAATTTTTTTTAGTATACAAGGATGAAGTAGGAGGCTGGGCACCGCCCACCGAATTATCACAGTCGTCTGGTGCCGCAGCACATACGTATACGTGGTTCAGCCTTACAACCTACCTCTTAAATCTAAGCGTTATCTTAGAAATTTTATTTATCTCTCGAATTACAGTATAGTCCCGTACGACGAGAGAGAGGTGGCGATTTTTGTTGAAGCAATAATATTAATTAGGGAAAAAACCGATTTTTTTCTCCCTTATTGCTTGTTACAAACAGTCCGATTGAGCACATAAAACGCAAATCCCTTTTTAGAGGATTTTTCCGAGCGAGTCTTTTTCGTTTTCAAAAAATTCGATAGACAAGATTGATATTTTTTCGCACAATTTTAATTACATTGTATTGCAATTATTAATTAATTATTTTTAGGCGGACTGACATCGTACACACGGAGCTATACTGTCAGCTGTCTGCAATTGATAATATCGTTTTACTCTTTACTCGTACCGCATTGTACATATTTCAAGTACGCATATCATAATCAATCGAAGCGACTGAAGCGAAGTTTTTATATTGCAAAAAAATAAGTATATATATATATATATATATATATATATATATATATATATGTTTAAAAACAATTTAAAAAAAACAATAAAAACTACAGAGTTCACTCTCGATTCGACCAAGTCGCGAGCTACTATAATGGAAGCACTCTGTCAATTGGCTATATACATCGGGAGATTCAATATATAAGAGAAGAGTAACGAGAAGTACAGGAGAGAAATTAATATTTGGCTATACTTAAGGCAACCGTACACTTCGGACACTGCAGGCTGCGTCGTATGACATATTTTCCTCCTATGATCGAATGACTAGTGTCGTTTCGCTTATCGAGTGAACGAGGAAAACGACGGTGACAAATGTATATTGGCAGAGTTGTGATAAGTTAAGCCGCGAAATGAGAATTCTCCACGATCTGTGTGTGTGTGTGTGTATGTGTGTGTGTTAGTTCATTAAGGGGAAGATAATTACAATCTTTCTACTGGAACTGTGTCGGACAACTAATTTTTCGCTACGTTACTTTACGTCCCGAAAAACTAACAGGATAAGATGGCTTTAACCATTCGCTTTAAAAATCTCGATGGACGGATCGCGTGGAAACGATAGATCGGAAAAGCATAAATGTACATGCGTATATATGTGCAAGATCGGGGGAAGAACGGTATGTACACGAATATATATGTTTCAGCGAGAACAGCCACAGTTTGTCGTAGTTTGATATAAAAACTCTTGCTGGACTCAAAGAAGGGAGGCTCGAAAAATAAACGAGCTCTTCCGCGCATTTAAAGTACATGAAGGAAGAATTTCTGCCGTTTATAGTAAAACGTAATGATCACATGTAGACAGCTATTAGTGCGCATAAACATTAATATTCTAAAAAAAAAGACGTAAATGTATGTCGTCGGATATATCCAATTTTTCTCAGTTACAAGAAAAGTATTAACTTTTCTTTTACATACTCGATAATATTTGTTCTTTGTTTTTATCTCTCTTTCTCTCGCTCTCTTTCTCTCTCTCTCTTTCTCTCTATCTCACACTAACAGTTCCACATGTAATATGTACAATAGTATCATGTAACGTGTAGTACACGCGCGCTCAGGGACGACACTTAGATTTTAAAAATATATAATTGTCATATATTTAATGTAAATATTATATATCATCATTGCGTTGTGTATTGTGTTGCTGCTGCTGTTGTTGTTATTACTATTATCATTATTATCATTATTTTATAATTGTAGTTATAATTATTATCATTATCAATAGCGTAATAATAATTATTATTATCATTATTAGTTATATTTTATTTGTATATTATTATTATTATCATGGAGGGACAGCGCTTTGCTATGCCACGACACTGCAGAGCTGAACAAAGACTAAACGCGGAAGTTACCACGCTCTTTAATGGCACGAAAAAGTACAATTAATATTGCATTACTAGCTATGTCCTCATCATTTGAAAATTAAATAAGTATCCATTTTTTAACTTTCCACAAACGCGTCTGATCAAATGTTTTTGTTTACAATTATTTATTGTGTATTAATGACCAATAATCCAATTACCATTTCATTATCCGCGTATCGCATTCCATTTTATACAAATTATAAAACAGATGTAAATTTCTATTTATAAAGCTTAGAATTATAACTGCAAACGGAAAAAATGCAGACCAGTATTTTGTTGCGACACAAAAAATGACAATTATTGTAATAGGAGCAGTATGAGTATTAATAGTAGCAGTAATAGCAGTAGCATTAGTGGTAGCGATAGTGTTAATAATAACAGTAGTAGTAATAGTACTTGTAATAATAGTAAAAGTCACATAGTATAGTAATAGTAGTAATAGCAATAATGGAAGGAATAGCAATAGTATTATTATTAGTAGTAATACTATTACTAGTAATAGCAGTATATTAATAATAGCAATAGTTATAGTAATAGCAATAGTAGTGGATGTTGTAGTAGTAGTAGTCGAATAGTAGAAACAGTATTAATCGTAACAATAGTAATAATAATAATATTGTTGATGAAGCTAACAAAAGATAGAGATTTGATTTTATCTGCTTTGTTTTATTACATCTAATAAAATTTTAAGTTGTGTGTGTGTGCGTGTATTTGTTGTGTGATGAAAAACTAACCATAATTGATTGAGGCAATTAATATATTATATTAAAATACATAAAAAAGAAAGTTTTTACACGCGATATAATTCATCAATAGTACATATTTGAAAATGTACATAAAAAATAAGGAAAATGAATAATCTAACTAAAAAAAAATCTTTTCATAATGAATTCTTGTCCGACAAATCGTTAATCTTACATTTAAAACGTTGACTGCCTAGCGAATTTGATGACACATGACTACCATAATAGTCAACGTCTAAACCAATATATATTTTAAAATTTTTATAGATGTCAAATAAATTATCGGGGACGTACGTTATAAGAAAAAATAAACTAATAAAAAGTATGATTCGGAAGAAAACTCAAATTTATTTTCACTACTCGCGCGATTATTCACTTGAAAATTTGTCATCAAAAATAAATAACATTTCTTGTAGCTTAATGCAAATATATATTTGCGTTTAAATTAGATGTATTTAAGTAAACTGCTCTCTCTTTTTAGTACCTATTCAATCTCAGTTCTCGTTTCTCATGTTATATATGATGAAATATATTCAATCGTGAAAAAATATATCCATCATAATATAAACCAAGATTAAAAATGTAATCAATCATTATAAAAAAAAAGCTAATAGTTTGGGTAGATGACGAATAGTCAGTGTCGAATGATCAGAGAGCGTGATAACCTCTACCCACTTATTCTTAACTTTCGCAAGATTAATTACGTATTTGACAGTTAAAGCGATATCTATACCCGAATACCTTAATACTGTAATGAGCAACTGGATTTGAAGGTACCGTAAAGAGGTTGACGTTTCGGTGATCGACAGAGGTCAGTGAAGATCATCTTCATCGCTATCATTACCGTCTTTCGATCTAGCGGCACCTCCCTCACCGTCGCTAGAACCCGAATCACTCGCCGAATCTTCGGACTGCCAGCCTGCTTGTTGTTGTTGAGCCGCTTGTTGTTGTACAGCGTGTTTCGAAACTTTGTGACGTTTACCAGCACGCGAAGCAGTATCCGCGCCCGCGTTATCTAGCATGGGTTGTAGAATCCTTCGACGAGCATTGATAAACCAGTTATTTACTTGTAGCAGCGTTAAATTCGTCTCGCTGGCGATTTGACGCTTTTCATCTTCGGTTGGGTAAGGATGCTGCGAATAAATATGCGTGTGTCGTAAGATTGTAATTGAATGTGTCAAGACTATACGGCTGTTCTGCACACAATGGTAAATTATCGGTATCCCAGGTACTTACTACTAAATGCTGAAAGAGCCACGTCCGCATAATGCTAGTAGCATGTTTAGGCAAAACACCACGCTTCTGACGTCCCTTTCTAGCGCTACTGTGATTACTTCTATGATTCCCAGCGTGATTCGAGGCCGCGTTGCTGGCACCTTCCTCCTCGTCCTCACTCGCTGCCGGAGAAGGCGAGCCTGCAACAGTAATGTCTAACCACGATCGACGTGTTTGATATACTCGTAATTTACAACGTGATATAATATAATGGGGCGATTTGATACGTTGAGGAAAATGTATTTTTTTTCACGCGCGCGCATACATATACGTATATGTGTGTATATACATACATACATACATACATACATACATACATATATATATATATATATATATATATATATATATTTATATATTTATTTATTTATGCATACGTATATAACGAAATGAAAGAAACACGTTATATTCCTAACCGAAATACTTTTCATCATTAGCATTTCCGACATCCGCGTATTCCGCGTTTTCTCGTTCTCGCAACGCAACTAGTCCCCAGTATCCAGCCTCTTCCAAATATATTCTGTTGGAGATAGTTCGTAGATACTCGTTATCGTCATCTATAATAAATTTTAACCAGATTCGCTATAAAAGGGAGATGTAAAAGTTGTCGTCAAGAAATGTTGCTTTATCCCAGGAAGAGAAAAGAAAAAAAAAGATTGACTGAAAGTACACAGCGATTCGGCTAGAATGTGTTACATTCGATCGGCGAGAACGAGCGACCGGATGAAAAGAACGACTCTCGCGGACTCACCTTGACCGACAAACATGTCGTTAACCGGGGTGCATCCATGCGCCCCGATCTGCGAGAGAGGCGTGCTTCCGTGCACCGCAGACGGTGAGAGTGGATCGTCGCGGTCTTGGCTAGCGGATTTGCCCGAGTTGCGCTGGATGGCGGAAGACGACGATCGGACCGGTTGATTATCGTGATTATCGCTCTCTTCTCGCGGATTCGCACCGTCGTTCTCCGCCAGTCCGGAGTCCCCTCGGCTCACTCTGAATCCGTTAGCTCCCGACTCAACATCATTGCCTGTAGATGACAGCACCTGGCAAATATATGTCTCAACTAGCCGTCAGAGAGCAGGGATGGGAATTCTGTAATCATCTCAAGAGATGTACGCTCGTGGAGATTGGAAATTTCCATTTAAACGCGTTACTGTGTCTTAATTAGAGCCTATTTCTGACTGTATCGAGTCTTCAAGTACTTGACCTAACAAAGAAGATATATATTAAGAAGAAGAAGAACCCCTTATAGCTGTTGGTGAGAACTAATCAACCGTTGAAGAAGAGGTATACGCTCGTGGCGTGGTATATCGAATCGGTTGATCGGCTAATGAATTTCCCTTGCCACTCCCGCGCGTACATCCCTTCGACTATAAGGATATCTACGTTGGTAAGGGGAGTAGACAGACCAGGGCGTATATCGGACAAACGTCTAACCTGCAACGGACTGCTGCCATTGCTTCCACTCGACGGACCCATATCGTGCCCATGGTGGCTGTAGTCGCTGCGTAACAGATTCTCGCTCTGCATCTTGCCTTTCAGGCAAGTAATGTACCTGTTGCAAAAGTCCTTGCACAGCTCCTGCACCTTCTCCAATTCCAGGAGGTGGATACGCAGCACCTGTATCGCCTTGATCATCTGCAATGTTCGCAAGAGGAATGAGAGCTCCAGTTTTCATTAATGCTGATCGTCTTTTCGCGCACGCTTCATTTGTTCCCCGAATCATTCTACTAGAATACGAAAAACACTAGCGGATCCTGAAGTCAATTTTTATTGGTATTACACTTGGGGCCGGTTGTTCCAACTTCTTGGTCAATTTTACTTGACAGATAGCATATGTTCGTCATTTTTTAAAAACTTATTTGAAAAAAGACGAAGATATGCTATCTGTCGGGTTAAATTTACCAAGAGATTGGAACAACCGGCCCTTGGTTTTTTAAATTATTTATATATTCTTTTAACTATTTTCTAATTTCTTTTAAATTTTATTTAAATCTAGACCCTAACAGTACACATATCCCGAAGACGTTTAGAGAACATCCCGAGGATGTTCGAATGTCCTCTGAATATCTTTCGAATATGTTGTGCTATTAGAGGAAGAGCAGAGTTTTATCCCAATCTCCCCCAGGATTGGCCAGTAAGAAAAAACAACTAAGGAGAAGAAGAAAAAAAGCAAAATCCAGAGTCTTACCAAACCGTCAATCTCGGGGTCATTGATCAGGAAGGGCTTTCGGTCTCTTTCTTGGTGCTGGACGAAAGCCTGTATATCCATGTTGAAGCTTTCGGACGTGGAGTTGTCCGAGCTCTGGGTCGCCTGTTCGCATCTTTCGAAGAGTAACGCCAGCAGCGGGAAGAGCGGATGCTTGTAAACGGCCCTCTTGTCGGCCTCGAACTGGGCCTGATCTTGATGAGTCGTATAGTCGGCGACCCCACTCGCAGGGTCCTGATCGTATCCGGGAGTCACCATCGCTAGCGCAACGGCGGTGTTACCCTCTTGCATCCTGTCGCACGTTTTCGCGGATTCGTCACTCTTCTAATCGACATCGATCTTGTCGTCGTCTCTCCTTTTAAGCGTGCTCTTACCTATCATTCCCCCTCGGCAATCTTCATTCTCTCTCTTCGTTCCCTGACGCTTCCAGCGACTCGTTTATTTAAACGCGCGCTCGTCCGCTTAATCTGTGACAATCTGACAGAAAAGGCACAAGCGCCATAGAATTATCCTATTTTTTTTTTTTTTTTTTTACTATCATCATATATTATTTATTTATCGTTGTGTATTTATTATTATATTGTATGTATATTTATTATTATATTATATTTATTATACGAGCCTTCATTTGTTCTACAATTTTTAAGATTTGAATGTTTCTGCTCGCAATATTAAGCTCCGAAAAACGGAGAGAGGAAAAATTGAGAGAGAGAGAACGCGGAAGACAAAGATCAATAAAAAAAAAAAAAAAGTAAACGGAGAAGAGGAAAAAATATCCCCCCTCCTTCTGCCACGCCAATCGAACGATGCGGCACCGCATTTAAATGTCATCATTAGACAGCATCGGCGCCATCGGCGTTAGGGGTTTCATCGATTTCGAACGACATATCTCTTTTGTGAATAAATAAAATCTGCAGAGGGGGGAGGGGGAGAGACTACAAACTTTCGGAAATTTGCATACATCCCGACATATTTAACAATTCGATAAAAAAAATTCTTTTTTTTTTTTTATTTATTATTAAAATTAAATTAACCCTCAGAGTTACCACTCATTTTTGGCCACCCTATATTTTACCACTCATGGGTTAGAGTAACCCAGAGTCTTCTTTTGTTTATATTTCTGGATCTAATGAAGCTATTTTAAAGTATTTTTTTTTTATAAGAAAAAAGAATATATCGGTACAAATGTCACCAGATTCGAGATATTTGAGAAAAAAATGATCTTCTAAAATTTCGAAAAAAAAAAAAAAAATCATTTTTGATACGGGTTAACGTAACCCAGAGAGGGTTATATATTCTTATTAAAATTTGTAATCACAATTCTTTTGAATCTTCTCGAGAGAAGAAAATATTTGACAGGTTTCGATCGAAATGTCAAACGCGCCGAGGCTTCTCGAGCACGTGTCCGTCGCTCGCTCTCGTTCGGAGGAGACGCGGAGCGTTCCGGCACCGTGTTTACAACCCGTCGATCATCGACTGGGCCTAACCTCTCCTCCGTCGAGTTGCGTAGATCGCGCGCAACTCGGCGGCCCGCGCACGAGCGGAGCAAAAAAAAAGTCATATAGTTAAAACACACGCCCTACGGATGTTACACTCGCGCCTCCTCCCCTCGCAACCTGTCATTTCTCGTTCGATAACTAATAAGGATAATCTCTCTCTCTCTCTCCCTCTATCTCTTTCCATCTCTCTGTCTCTTTCTCTCTCCTGTGGAGAGAGAGAGAAGCCTGTAATAAACGATGCGTTTAGACGAAATTTTTGGGAAATCGACGCGTAGATTGCGAGAGCACGATTAAATGTCAAAAAGTCGTCAGCTGACAGTAACTGAATTGAAATAAATCATGCCAAGTTGTATTTAGTAAACAAGAAAATCGCACGGAAATTCCTCGTCGATTCTCATACAAAAATGTCGAACGACACGAAGGCTGATTAAATCTGGAGCGATATTTTCAACATACATATATATATACATACATACAATATTCAACATGAACGTATGCATACATATTTTTTTCGAAAACGATTTTTCAAGGTAGACCCAACTCGATTAAAATCAAAATCAAAATTATTAAGTGCAACCATCATAAACACGTATATTAGCGATGCTAATCTTCTACTCTAGCGATATATTTTTTCAGGCAGAATCTCCTTCCGAGATCGTAAATAAGTATTTAATAAGTAACCGCGCAACGATCCCAGGAGAAGAGGACGACGTCGCGTCGTCCTCGGTCGAGGATGGCGAAGTGGCTACGCACGGACGCTCGGAAAAATTGGAAAATCCCGTGGAAAAAAATGGGCGTTCACTTTCCACGCGCGTGGAAAGAAGACGATAATAGAGCGGATGGAAAAAACGAAGGGCGAACCTAACCTCGCGAGCGGGACGGGAGCGATTCGCCGACGAATCTCGAAATTCGTCGGCCCACTCGACAACGCAGAATCCGCAAATTATCTCGGCGCCCTTACCGTGAACGGATCCGTGGATGAAGATGATCCCCCGTCGACGAAGACACCTCGAGCGACTTGATACGCCCGCGCGCGCGGCTCACCTCGTTTTATTTTATCGCGACTTTACGATGCGATGCGATATCGAACCGTGTCGTAGGAGTCGACGGAGCGACTCGAGAGAGGCTACTCCGGGGTCGCCTCCCGCCAGTACACGTGCCCGGGGAGTCCGTTCCGCGGGGCAACGTCTCGCCGGTTCTGCACGCCGCCCCTGGTTCACGTTTCACTGTCCTCCCGAGTCTCGTGTTTACCACGCTCACTCTCTTCACGTACACGATAAATTCGAGTAACCGGACATTTTTCAACGCGACCGTCCACCCCGTCCGTCTCCTTCCACCGTCTCGTCTTTTGTGACGTCACCGATTCAATACTTTTCGCGAAGGTTTCTCGCCGCCGCGGCGGCGGCGCTCCAGTGACGCGCCGCGCGAATGACAGATGACGCCACGTGTCCGCGCGTCTCTGCTCGCCTGACTTCACGGCGCATGCGCCGCGCCGACTCGTCTGCCCTGCGGCCGCGTCCCGGGTCTCTCTCGTCGTCGCTTCGAATTTACGCGTTACTTCGGAGGTATATCTTCTCGTAATTCCAGTTTATTTATTTTAGGCCAATTTCAACGACGCCGATTAACTTAAACCTCTGATTAAACTGTATCTTTATCTCTTTTCAGATACGTTCTTAAAAAAAGATAAAAATATATGTATAGTTAACTGGAGGTTAAAGTTAACCGAGTTAACTTCGTGAAGTTGGCTCTTTGATACTTCTTTTATATTTTATATATATGGAACTGTAATAATATGTAAATAGTAAAGGATATATCTGTGATAAAGAGGAACTGAGGACTTCTCACGATAGGATTTCATATTATGTTGATTTCGAACAATAAGGTTAGATGTTCGATTATTGTCAAATATATGGATTTATGTTATTTAATTATGCAGGTATGCGTAAAATAAATATAAATATTAATTAGCGTTTTAGAGAAAAATATCAAAGCTATAAACAATGACTGCGTTCAGAAGCCTCAACAGTTGAGCAACGTTAATATATTATATCGTCATTTATTATATAAATTCTAGTAATGTTGCTCAACTGTTGAGGCTTCTGAACGCAGCCAATGATTTTCTTGTCTCTCTCTAAAAAATATTAATAAAATGTTCAAAATATAAAATATTATAAAAAAATATTAAACAATTGAATTATTCTTTTCATTGCATTAAAACTCTAAATTATCATTCTGTTAACAAAAGTTAATATATTTTATAAATGTTTAATATTATTTTATGAATAAAGGAAGCAATCTAAATTATCTGTAATTTTGGGCTATCAAACAAAAAAAACGACATGAAAATGATAATTTTTTTTTAATAATAACGTAAAAAAATCAACTTAAAAAAATTTGATTCTTATGCTTGAGATTTATCTTTTATCTTTCCTAAAGCAAGGAGAGAAATTAATTTTTATTTCTTTTATACAGGTATTTTTTTCACGCGAATCTCAATACGATCACGTGCGGTTTCATTCATCGATCGTCTCGAGTTTCGCAGAGATGCTGAAGATGTAGCCACTTTGACTAAGCGCTGTTATTCTTCGATAGCGATCGATCGCATTCTCGCCTCGCAGTTTCAACCAGCTAGGATTTCAACTGACGATTATTAAGTTCGAGAGAAGGTCACTTTGAAAAATCTATACACACTCCCATTAAATCATTTCGTCGATTAGAACCTTCGCTTTACTTTATCGGACTCGGGCAAGAAGTATTTTTTATTTTTATTACAAGATATTTATCGATTATACGTAAAACAATAATGTTAAATTTAAATCTAGATTCTGTACTTTATTTATAAATATATAATATACATTCTTCGGATGGAGACTCGATTTGCGCTATTATAAAAATATAAAATCGCTTCTACGACTCATTGTTAGAAATATCGAGGAGAGATATTATATTTCTCAACGCTTCCCTCACCTGTTTCGATGAGTAATTACGAGTACCTAATGGTTATCTTATCGCTTTACTTCGTTATCGTACGCAAAGTCGCGTTGATACGGCCGGGTCAATTACAGTTGACGCCGCTTAAAGAGAGAACTTAGTTGTCATCCTTCCTCCGTAAGGATGGATCTCCGAAAATCGATTCCTTTGCTCGCGCTATTCCTTCTTGCAAAATGCGAAAATGGTACGGAAGACGCGATTACAGATTCGAACGCGATTAACAGCGAAAATACTTCGCCGGAATCAGCGATCTTATGCAACGTGTGCGCTTGTACAGGTAGTCGAAACTCTCATCCGATGTTCATTAAAATTATATTCCATTATATGTGCTTCGAGTGATGGATGAAGCTTGTTTCAAATTGTCTGATGTTAAAAATTAATAATTATAATTAATAATTATATATTACGTAATTAAGGTAAAATATATGTGTTTAGATGGCTACGTAAACTGCAGTGGCCGAGCTTTGCAAAATCACTTTGAGGATTCGCAGTGGTCGAACGTAACGGCTAAAGAGATTTCCTTCGAGCGCAATCGCTTGGTACACCTCACGCCTTTTCCGAAGATAATCGTCGAGAAGATAATTCTGCGAAAAAATCAAATCAGCACAATCGATCGTCGTGCTTTTAAGGAACTCGTTAATCTTACCGAACTGGACCTGAGTAGTAATCAGCTCACGTCGGAGCGACTAGGACCGCACATTTTCGAGGTAACGAAAGATATCGCAAATTGATATTAATAATACCGTCTCGAGAAGAGACAAACCTAAATTTTCCTCTGATTGTGATTCATCGATTAGTAAGAAATACTTTAAACTCTCAATTTTAATCGTAAATTCTTTGCTCACGTATATAATTAGTTTTATCACTAAAGAACAATGAAATTCTTTTCTTTTTTTAACCGATAACATTTTAAAAGGATACCGTCAGTTATATAAATTATTTATTTAGTTGAAAATAACCTTGAAGCTTTTTTTTGTATTCGGCTTAAATTGATAAATTAAATTTACAAGAACTTCATGGAATATAAAAAAAGATTTTACGCTCTTCAGATTTAAAATAATAGCTAATAAATTTTAGATTTAGAATTTTAGAATTGATATAGATATAGGTATTTAATATAAAAGTATTATTACATTTATATATAACAATAAATTGATTTTTAATTCTATTAAAATTAAATATATTTATAATTTTATAATCTTAAATACATAAAGTTTCTTTTCAAATCAATTTTACACTTCTAATTCTTCTTTTTTTGATATAAAATTATCATTACATTTTTATACAACAAAAAAACTTTTTGATTTTAAATTTTATTAAAATTAAATATATTTATAATTCTGTTACAACAATTTTCAATAAAAATGTTGAGCTGCTAAATGTTTGTGATTATATTTATTTTTGTATATGGATTATTTACTTACTTTATCAGATAAATTGCATTCTTCTTCAGACGTTAAATAATTGCGCGTGACTTTTCTTGTTTCTTCTTCATTGCACTTAAAAAAATAAGTTATCTTTGTTTCTTTATGTCCGTACACAAGATTATTATTATTTTCTGTACAAGATTATTATTATTTTTGTCTTAGGGCCAATTTTCGCCAGAAGCGTATGAGCCTTTACCGTTGAAAATATTGAACCTATCTTTTAACATACTCCAATGGTTACATCAGAGTATATTTGAGCACATGGTCAGTATCGAGGTGTTGGATCTTTCCGGGAATCCCTTTGGTGTATTTGATTATCGTACATCAATAGCTATCACTAGCTTGTCATACTTGCAAGAATTAAATCTCAGTTATTGTAAACTGAAGGAATTACCGAATCTTCAGTTCCATAATGCCAGGTAAGAAGGGCGAAGACACTGCCAGAGTGTCGAAGTATTTTTTTAATTCTCTTTTCAAAATTTTACCGTTCTCTTTTTCTCATAGACATTTGAAAAAACTGAGCTTGGCCGTCAACGAGTTCACAAATTTGCCCAGATCGTTAGAAGAAGCCGAAGTCTTGGAGTACTTAAATTTGGATGGCAACCCGATACGCGTCATCAATAACGCAAACGCCTTTCCCAATTTAACGAAATTACGGGAGCTTAGTCTGTGCAACATGCCAAATTTAACGACGATTGGAAATGGCGGCTTATCGGGATTAATCGGCCTGGAGGATCTCCGCGTGCGAAACTGCAAGAAATTGGAAGTGATCGAGGAATACTCGATCGCGGTCACGGTATGTCGAACATAATTAATCAAAAGATAATATATGCGACAGATTAAAAACACAAGAATTATTTCGTAGACAACCAGGGGAATGGTATGGCCGATGTTGAAGAAACTGGATCTATCCTCTAACGCGATACAATACTTGCCGTCGTTACTCCTTGACAGATGGGACAAACTTGAGGAATTGCATCTGATGCACAATCGTTGGAGTTGTGATTGTCAAAATCAATATCTGGTAAGTCTCGACCCGGAGAGAAATCAAGTATTTTAAAAAAAATAGTATTCAAATCTTGTATATAAACGATAAAAAATTATCTAAAAAAATAAATAATTTATTAAACATTCAGAAACATAAATGCGATTAAGTTGATCGTATGTCACAATAAATTTATAACTGACTTTAAACAATAGTGAAAAAATATCTTTATTTATAAGCATCTTTGCTGGATAACAAACTAATTTTTCGAATTAAATCGAATTAGGCGAGTAATGCAATCTCTTTCATAGGTCACAACCATATTGCCGGAATATGCGGAGAAAAAAAAGACCAAAGTCGAAGAGCTCACCTGTTCCGCGCCGCCGGAACACGCTGGTAAGAGCCTAGCATCCTTGGCCGATCGACACCTACGTTGCTTGGATCTGTACGACGCGCGACCGGAGAAGGACGCCGCGATACTCGTAGGGATGCTAATCGGCCTGCTCATCGCGATTCCAGTCGGCATGGCGCTCTTCGCCTTCTGGCGACGCGGCTTCTTCTTCTGCGGCTCGCAGGGTCCCGCCAGTTTCTCCCGCGCCTTTTACAAGCGCGCATCCAACGACGACGACATTTGATAATTTCACGTATTCTTTAGCAACAGTTAAGTAGACGAGAGAGCTCTGCTACATATATATTTTTATTCAATATTAAGAGACAATTTACATTCATCGTCAAACAGCGAAATTCGTAGTACATATGACACACGTACATCTAGTCCAACAACATAGTTCTTTCAAATATGTTTTGTATGTATTTCATTAAGCTACAAATCTCGATCATTGTCGAGAGAGCTAATATAAATAGGTATATGGACGTATTTTCCGTTCTAGTAAGCGCATTACTGAAACGCGTAGAGTTTATTACGGCTTTGTGTAATAAACAATCTGAAAATCAATGCATGTCGCTCTTTTCCGTCTAACGAGTCCCCGGAGGATTCACGGAGAGCCAAGCAGAAGGACGCGTCTCGAGCCTCCGTCGAAACTCCGGACACGATGGATTTTCGGCTTTACAAGCGAGCCAGCCGGAGGGCGGCTCTGCCACAGTAGTACAGTATGCGCGGGGAGAAAGGAGGAGGGGAAGAGCAACGGGATGAGGGCGAGGTGACGCGACGCCGAGCGGACGGATGGACACGCGCCGGTAACGCAATTACCGCGACGTTAATTTACTCAATAATCGCAGGAGCAACCCCGTCTAAATGTCGACACGCGTCCCTCGACCCTAATCATACCCCGGCTCTCGGTCGTCGTCGCGATAGCACAACGTTGTGTTGGAGAAAGATTCGAAGAGATTCCCGATTGAGATTAACGCGACCGCTAAAGTATAAAGAAATACCCATGTTTTTTTTCATCCCTCTCTTTTTTGTATTCTCTTTTTTTATAATATTTTCACACCATCGTCAACGCGTTCGAAAGAGCGAGATGTACGTTTATTGTTCAGATAATTAAATAGAACGCGGGTCATTATTGTTCTCTATTAAACTCTCGCATTGCTTGTACGTGATTATTTATCGTCTCTATCAGGAAATGACATAGGCTGCATGCGCGCGTACCGCCATTTGGAGAGAGCTCGTCGTATATACATGATCCAATAAGTAATTTAATCCCGAGCATCTCTCTCTCTCTCTCTGCTTCCGTTCTCGTCCAAGATACGATATCGATATCGACCCAAGGATTTGGCTATGTTCAACGATGCGAGGTGCTCGATAACGAGACCGCATTTTGCCCAGCCCAACATTTTCACCAACCGAGTAAAAAAAGGAGGAAAAAATCAACTACACTCTCTGGAACTTTTGTCTACCGTATTATATACAAAGAGACGGAAACAGAGATCGTTTTCGACATGCATACATCGCGTCGCGAAACGGACAACGGACGGCCGGAGAGGCGAGTGGATGGTTTTCGGGGAACGTATACTCTCTTACGCGTACTCTTGCATTATTATCTACGTGTTGGGACGAACGAGAGAATGGAGAGAGGATCGCACAGGATATACAGAACGATCCGTACCTCCTCCTCCGGCGGTAGCCTCTTCCTCTTCCCGTCGTCGCGGGGTTCGTATAACGTCGGATTTATGAATATCCGGAGCTACCGTATCCATGGAAACGCGCGACCAAGTCCCGCCCCGGGGGTAGCGCGGAACCAACCCGAAGCGATGACGAGCGTCGCGACGCCGGCCAATGCGGACAGACTCGAAGCCTTCAACCCTCTTCTCCTCGGCGGGAGGAGGATGGGGTTGGGGGAGGCGATGATCGCGCACAGGGGGTTGAAATCGCACCGCGAGCGCACCGATACGCGACCCTTAACGTTGTCGGTGAACGACAGTGAACGGGCTGGTGAGTCTCTCGCGATTCGCGCTTTGATCCTGCGGCGATCAATTCGACCTCGGGATGTTCGCGAGATGAACGCCGCCTAAATTATATGGCCACGTAGTAGTAGGCTTAGGGGTGCGCGCGTGCATTGTGTCGATGTGCATGAGGAAGGAGAGTGACTGGTTTCACAGAAAAGTGTGACACATTCCTCTTCGTGTATCATCCCCAGCAAACAGCGATATATACCATAATTGTTACATTGCTATAATAAAACGGAATATAACAGGTAATATAACGTGTACGTTACATGTAACATCTATGTTAGTTGTAATTTCCCACTCATAGATGTAACATTTTAATAGAACATATATTACATTGTAGTTATATTGTAATTATATACCAAATAGCACATTGATGTATTGATAAGTCAGTGCTATCTTGGGATATAATGACAATATAACTACAATGTAATATATGTAATATTAAAAATGTTACATCTATGAGTGGGAAATTACAACTAACATATACGTTACATGTAACGTGCTTAAGTATGTAACATTTATATACTGTGTTTGCTGGGTCGTTTCCTCAGCAAATTATTCTACCCTGACTCTGATAGATGCGGGAGACGCGAAGGGGGATTCGCATCGTCTCTTGATGGCTTTACTTCGAAGTGGCGCGAAGATAGCAATCTAATAGTATTCGCTAGAATTACAGGGCGCCAAGAGGCGAGGATGTAACCGCGTGAGGAGACATCCGCCCTAATCGCGTACAGAGTTGTGTATAGAGCACGAGAAAGGGAAGATGCAGTCTTCCACCTGCCAGCAGCAACAAGCACAACCAGGTCAGAACGGAACCTCCGCTAGCAGGACGTCGTTCCTCATCGAGGATATCCTTAGTCGCGGCACCGTCACTCCCCATCATCCCCATCATCACCAGTTGCACCACCAGCATCATTTGACGTCCACCTCCGCGCAGCATCATCAGTATCAGCAATTCACCAGTCTGCTACCCGGTTATCCCGCAGCACCGCCTGCCGCGGCGGCCTTCCTTCTGCCATTCTTCGGTAGCGCCGGCATGGGGGTCGGCGTGGTACCAGGAGTCGGGGAGTTAGCGGCCTTGAAGCACTGTCGCCGACGAAAGGCCCGAACCGTGAGTATATTTTCTTTATCCGATTCAAAACGCAAACCCTACGTAAATTTCCACAAACTCCAGTCACCTTAAATCGACCCAGCAATTGGTTCTAAGTTGGCTGATGATGTGTGAGTCAATCAGCCTGTATAAATTGACTTTGTTTAATTTATTCGCGCATTATTCCGCAACGTGTCTCTCTCTTTCTTTCTCTCTTCTCTCTTTCTGTCAACTGCGTCGAGATAGAAACAATAGTTTGGTTCCTTAAAATTTCAGGTGTTCAGCGATCAACAACTGGCGGGTTTGGAAGCCAGATTCGAGGTGCAGAGATACCTGAGCACCCCCGAGAGGGTTGAACTCGCGGCTGCATTACATCTGTCCGAGACCCAGGTGAAAACGTGGTTCCAGAATCGACGGATGAAACATAAGAAGCAGTTGAGGAAGCAGAACATAAGTGGCGGGAGCAATTCTAATTCGGGACAACAATCCCTGTCTGTCACATCGCCCGCTGGCAAGTTACATTCTTCTCTTTTGACATTTGATCAAATCAAGCTTTTACGTTGTTATTCGTCTCGGGTTTTTCGGAGCAACCACAATTTTATAGTCAGAATCAGATAATAAAGTTAACGAAAATACGGCGATTTCATGAAGCGCGACTCTGCCAAACTAAGTAAATGTAAGTTAATGTAGATTCAAACTTAACGGAACGTCGCGATAATCGGTATCTGCGGAAATTCCGCAACGCGGAATTTAATCGTTAAATTAAATCTACGTGTACTGACCTTTCGATAAACAGCTGCGAGCAGTATATTCCCGCGCCGCAGATTAATTGACTTGGATTAATGACACTGTGTCCTAGATAAGCGAATTCATGAATGGCCGCATTTATGTCTATGATAAAAAATTATATACACATACACAAATACGTACGTATGCATGTATTATATACGTTTCTATGTGACTTTTACGAATTCCACCACGACATATTCGTGTAAAGCGCACACGTAATCCTCGAAATATCGTAATATCGTAATGGCGGATATTCGGTATACGTAGTAATAGCGATAGTAATAGTAGCCATGTAAAGGGAGGGAGGAGAAAAGAGAGAGGGAGGACAATATATATACATATATATATATATATATATATATATATATATGGCTCGAAATGTTAAACAAACTACGGATCGAGTCGATACGCAGACGCGGCAGCATCCGGGGATTAATAGACCGTAGTTATCGGTTAATCTGGTCCCGGGGACCGGCCGCGCGTTATAACGGTCGGTTGTCGTTAAATACTTCCCCGTTGTCACGCTAATGGGGCGGATATCTGCATATAACGCAACCAAAATACCGCTGACAATAAATTACGCAAGTTCTAGCTTAACTAGCCAGACCGTAACCGTGGTTACGTCGCGAGGAACTATAATCATTAACCGTATATCTGCGTAATAATGCGTGTCGCATTCCAGGGATATTACCGTAATCGCTCGTCCGGCATGACGTCCACGCAAATGTTACAAAGGAGGAGGAGAGTCGGGCTTTTGCCAGTTTTATACATATATACAGGAAACGAAATATAAATTTATTTATTTAATTTTCCTCTTATTTATATATATATATATATATATATATATATTGTTTTCCTCTTTATAGGGCGGAGACGCCAAGACTACTTTGGAATATAAAAGTGATCGTTTAACGAGACCGCGCGCGAGACACCATTTTGAGCGATTTAAATAGTTTGACCCGCGCTTATGTAGCATTCGACGCGCTATATAAAGTTGTTCGTCTCGGTAGACAAGATGGCTCCGTTCTCCGGTTGAAGAGGGGTGGGCTAACCGAGTTACATAGACGTCTCCTTGGCAGCGACCAAGAAGAGGAGAGATATCGCGGGGTTAGAGGAGTGGTGTGGAAGTACACGTAGAGAAGACCGCCTCGACGTCTTTAGACTCGGCCGGGGCTATGTAAGGAACCCGGGAGAGAGAGAGAGAGAGAGAGAAAGAGAGATTCGTTCCCTCCTTCGGCGACGTTCTCTCCTTCCCGCGTCTCGTTCCGCTTCCTTACATCCCCGTCTTGGAGAAAATTGCTCAATTACCCGCTAAGTGCTCGGTCAGATCTCTATATTCTCGATTGTTCGCCGTTAAGGGCTATCGGTAGGCCGTAATAGCCGATGACGTAAGCGCGGATCTGATTTTCATTCAAATTCGAGAGAACAAGAACGAAACTGGATAAAAAGGATATTTATTAATATTTTTTTATCTTCCTGTAGCGTTATAAGGGGATGAAACTAACAACCCTTATTTAATTTTTTAAAATTCTATCATTTTTAGAGTATACGCGTTTATAATAAGAAATCATCCCCTAAAGTTTCTCGCGTTTATTCAGATACACCCTGTATAGGGTGTATCTGAATATAAATTTATATAAATTTAAATATTTACACACACAGACCAAAATAATACAAGAGAAAGAAAAGCATTTACAGATATACCCAGCAAACACAGTATATAAATGTTATATACTTAAGCATGTTACATGTAACGTATATGTTAGTTGTAATTTCCCACTCATAGGTGTAACATTTTTAATATTACATATATTACATTGTAGTTATACATGTATTGTCATTATATTCCAAGATAACACTGACTTATCAATACATCAATGTGCTATTTGGTATATAATTACAATATAACTACAATGTAATATATGTTATATTAAAATGTTATATCTATGAGTGGGAAATTACAACTAACATGAATGTTACATGTAACGTACACGTTATATTACCTGTTATATTCCGTTTTATTATAGCAATGTAACAATTATATATCGGTGTTTGCTGGGATATTATCCCAGCACACTCAGTATATAAATGTTATATACTTAAGCATGTTACATGTAACGTATATGTTAGTTGTAATTTCCCACTCATAGATGTAACATTTTTAATATTACATATATTACATTGTAGTTTTATTGTCATTATATCCCAAGATAGCACTGACTTATCAATACATCAATGTGCTATTTGGTATATAATTACAATATAACTACAATGTAATATATGTTCTATTAAAATGTTACATCTATGAGTGGGAAATTACAACTAACATGGATGTTACATGTAACGTACACGTTATATTACCTGTTACATTCCGTTTTATTATAGCAATGTAACAATTATATATCGGTGTTTGCTGGGATATTATATTTGTTTCTTGGGTTCGATGCGAGCGGATGAGGGTCTTGAAACAACATATATCTGATGATGATGATTTGTGTCGACAGAACGGCCGGTCGATTTTTCGCTGAGCGGCGGACGCGAGTCGCGCGCGAGCAGCGACGCGCCCGCGGATTCCGACGACGAGGACGACGACGAGATCGACGTGCTGGGTGACGAGACGCCGTCGCCGACCCCGACGCCGACGGCGACGCCGGCACCGACCCCGACGTCGACCCCGACGTCGACGCGAAGCGGTGCCCCGTCGAGACGCTCCGGCACGCCGCCGAGGATCCCGCATCCCGGAGCGGCGATCCTTCCGCAGCATCCTCACCCGCATCCGCACCTGATCGGCCTCCATCATCAGCCGCATCATCAGCAGCACGGCAACAGTCAGCATTCCGCCCAACGTCCGACGCATCATCGCTGAGATACGACGTTCTCGCTCGTTTTTCTTACCCGGAATCACGGCACGACATATGTAGAGAAGGAAAAGAGATAATCCTCGCATGTTCGAATATATCGAGCGGATTTATCTCGAAAATTTATCAGAGCTTAAAGCTTCCAAAGCCGCGTAACACGCACGGAGAACATCGTGGAATTTTGCAGAGCATCGGCAAGAGAGAGAGAGAGAGAGAGAAAGAAAAAAGAAAGCAACGTCTCATGTCCTCCAAAGGTATTTATATACGGTCATTGAAATGATTGACGCAAATTCGACGGAATTGGAATCGTCGCCGGAAACTGGAACTGGAGTTTTATCCCCCGGTGTTTTCCCGAAATCTACTTTTTATATAGCTAAAATACGGTATAAAGAGAAATACGGTATCTGGTCTGTTGTTACCTTTTATAGTCAAGTGTATAAAAAACTAGGCCGTGGTTTTCGTTGAAAATTAAACTATCATACTCTAACGCGATATGTGTGTGTACGTTTGTTTCTCCTCGATCGTCTCCAGATTTCAGTTTTCTTTTCAATCGAATCTCTCGAGTGTCCCTCTTGTGTGTGTGCGGAAAAGAGAGAATCATTTTTTTTCTTTTTACTAGAAGAACGCAATTTCAAAAGACACGGTAGTGTTCACACAAAATATTAAATATTTAAGATTAAATATAAATGTATCTTGCAATAAGCAGTTTAATACACATGTGCAGAGAGAGAGAGAGAGAGAGAGAGAGAGAGAGAGAGAGAGAGAGAGTTCTTATTAATCTAAATTAAATATTGCAGCAAGTTTGTTTACATAAAGAAACATTGCTATATATTTCTCTAGAAATATATTTATTGAATATATTGTTTGGTTAAAAAGCAGCAAGAATTTCTAGAGGAGAAATATTGCATCGATAATTGATTAATAATAATTAAATAATGCTTATATGATAATGAATAATTTATTGATTATAAATAAATATTTTGATATGATACAAAATAATGTAACTTGATCATATCGTTTAAAAATACTATACGAAAGACAGATGTATAGCTCTTCACTTCTTTAAGCAAACTTCCTGCAATATCCAAATTAACTTAAGAAGTTTCAATTCTGCATATACATTTGTTAAAATTATTTTAAACTGCACAATAGCTTATTGTAAAATATATTTATATTACGTATTTCTTTATATATTTGATATTTTAAGTGATGTAACTTCTGAATTGCATATTTAAAATGATTAAAAGAAGACATATACGTTATTTCTCTTTACTTTAAAAAAGATATTGACAGAGTATGCTACATTTTATATAATACTGATATTTTATGTTATTATTCTATATGCATACAGTGTCTCAGGAAGCACACACATATAAGTATTAGTATTTGATATATAAATTATTTTTCTTAAAAATAATAAACAAGTCTACGCGCCTGTCTAGAAAATTATTATACAAGAAAATGAGTTTATTTAATATATATCATTTTACCTCTCTAAAAAATAGTGTTCGATTAAATTTTTATAGAGTATATAATTTTGACTTCTAATTCAGCACGTTTTTGTTCATATCATTATTTTTCCAATTATTTTTTCGAGAGATGAAATGTATAATTAAAGAGACTCACTTTCTTGTATAACATTTTTAACTATTTTTTACAGATGCGCGTAGTCTTGGCGCTTTTTTTTATTCTATCAAAAAAAAATACTTTATAGCATAAGCGGCTCAGCGACCGATATTCCTGGGACCGTATGTCACCATTGACATTTAATTTGCGTTCCGGGTAGCAAACGATGCCCGGGGTCTCTCCACGTAATCGTTTTGTTAATCGTCGACGCGACATTTCGGTGTCTCTTCGGGACATTTTCGCGAAAGTTAACGAGCCGATAAATGAAAGGAGGCAAGGGGTGCCGCGAGATTCCACTTGTCTCATTAGGGAAAGTGATGTCGGGATCAATTGCCATAATTACAATCGAGAACAATTAATAAATTTGACTATCGAGCCTTCCATATTGACTTTGAAGTAAACAAATTGATATACATGTATGTCTCCGAGAAAGAGTTTCCACTCAAGAACTTTTTAAGATATCGATTATAAATTTTTCGAAAATTTCTTCTTTATATTAAAATAATTATCGTAAATTTATTTTTTTTTATATATATACATAAATCGATACTAAATTTTCGAAAATTTATCTTCCATTAAAATAATTATCGCATATTTTATATTAAATGGATTTTGCATGGATCAAGTGTTCAAAATGGTAATTGTTTGAAATTTACGCACAAAATGATTTCGGAAAAACTCGCGCATCAAATATTGGGATATTATACACAAAAGTCGAGCAGATTATGTTAGACAGTTTATTATAAGACGTTTTATTCAAGGAAACCATTTTGGACGCTTGAATTTGACGTTTCGAGTTCATGTAAGATTCGCACAAAATAATTATTTCAACGACAGATAAATTCTAGAAAATGTATGATCCGTAAGTTGATCTCCAAGTTTCCGTGCAAGAAACTGGAAACGTTTATTATAAGACGTTTTATTCAAGGAAACCATTTTGGACGCTTGAATTTGACGTTTCGAGTTCATGTAAGATTCGCAAAATAATTATTTCAACGACAGATAAATTCTAGAAAATGTATGATCCGTAAGTTGATCTCCAAGTTTCCGTGCAAGAAACTGGAAACGAAGAAGAGCTTCCACGGACTTTCTCATTCATATATGAATAATACATTTATGTTCAAAATTAGCTGTCGTGGATCTTCCGGAAACGCCTCGCGCAAATTTCACGCGATTACAAAATTACCGTGAATAATAATAACGATCGCGTCCTGTTTTTGCTACCTGTTGCCGGGATATTAGATCGAAGAGCAGGTGTGCACCTGTGTTAAGAAAAGACACGATATTGCGGAAGAAGAGAGAGAGAGAGAGAGATAGAGGGTGCAGGCGGATGACAGGATTTTCCGACGAATCGCGGCATGTCTCGTTGTATAGGCGGCACAGGGGCACGTCGTGCTTCCAGTTGGGGTGGAATCCTAATACCCAGATAATGGGAAGTAATTGCGAGGGATCAGAGCGAGCGAAAGCTACTCTCTAGCGGGAGAGATGCGTCTAGAAAGAGAGAGAGAGAGAGAGAGAGTCAGAGGGTGGCGCCGCGTTTTCCTCCCCTGCGGCCCCTTCCCTATTCCTCCCGCTTTTCCACCCTTCTCTCGCGAGCGGGAAGGGGATGCGGAAAGAGGACGAGGAGAGGATATCGTAATCGTGTTATCGGGACGAAATCACGGGCTACATTCTCGGATATACATCGGATCCCTAATAGCGCAACATATCCGAAAGATATTCAGAGGATATCCAGAGGAGACGAGACTCGAACATCCTCAGGATGTTCTTCAAACGTCTTCGGGATATAAATGAAAGATGAAAGAGAGAGAGGGAGGAAAGGAACGAGTTTATACTGATATTTTCTGCGTAGCGTTTGAGGACTCCGGAAGAGAAAAAAGAAGGCACTTCTTTGGAATGCAACCCCCCGATCGCATCAGACTCGTCGAGATAACTCTCGCAAATGAAAACTGACGCACGCTTGCGCGTGCTTTCAGAATAATATTCGAGGGGGTGGAGGAGTGTCGGCCTTTGATGCGCGAAGATACTATCGCGTTATTCGGAGGAAGAAAGGCGACCGGCCAGGTAAGCTTGTAAACTAATGAGATCACGGGGGCCATTTATGACGTTTATTAGATTCCGTTAAGACGTCTATTATTACGGTGCGTAAATAAAGGGGGAGAATTCGCGCCGCCATGGGGGTGCACGGGGGAGCGGAATGCGGCGAAAATAATGAAATAAAGGACAATGAAGTGGCAGGTACAATGGCCAATGGAGAGGAGACGAGGGAAGGAGAGAGAACAAGGCGCCGAGAGCCGGCATGCACACGGTATCTCTATATACATATACATATATATATATATATATATATATCCTTGTGGAAGGGGTTGCAACAAGGGGCACGGGTGCGCTTTAGTTCGGCGGACTAAATGCAGTGGGCGTGTTCCCATTACTTTCATTATTTTCAGTCACCGGGGTTCGGCTATCGATGTAGGCGATGTAGCCCGAATGTGTAACGCAGCCAAAGGTACCTGTACAGGGTGGATCAGAAATGTGGGACGCTAACTTCAGGAGGAGGTCTATTCCAAATTCTAATCTTCTAGTCGAGATGTGCGAAAGTGTTTGTTTAAACGTATGTCCAAAAATGATTGTTTAATTGGTCCCTGTATGTTTGGGGGGTGACTGTTTTACAGACAACTTTTGGGAAACGATTTTGCTCCGGAATTCATTATTTTTAAGTAACGTTCAGTATCGGCTTGAGAATTAGCTGGCCGTTTTTTAATTTAAAATGAAAAATCGAATAAAGGTGGAAATACCTTCTTTCTATTAAGCAATTGCCTATATACCCAGCAAACACAGTATATAAATGTTATATAATCAAGCATGTTACATGTAACGTATATGTTAGTTGTAATTTCTCACTCATAGATGTAACATTTTTAATATTACATATATTACATTGTAGTTATATTGTCATTATATCCCAAGATAGCACTGACTTATCAATACATTAATGTGCTATTTGGTATATAATTACAATATGACTACAATGTAATATATGTTATAATAAAATGTTACATCTATGAGTGGGAAATTACAACTAACATAGATGTTACATGTAACATACACGTTATATTACCTGTTATATTCCGTTTTATTATAGCAATGTAACAATTATATATCGGTGTTTGCTGGGTAGTATGATGCCTATGTAAATCCGGAAAACTGGTCAATTACTAATATATAACTGTAACTAACAATGTAATACATTACTAATGTTGGAATAAAATCATACAATTTGTAATTAATACGACTACAACGTAAAAATTACGCATTATTGGACATTTATACCCAAGTAGCAAACTGACGTCATTAAACATCAAAATAACTGGTGACATATATATATATATATATACCTAAATATATATATATAATGACGTCAAAATGACATACGCTGCTATCTGGGAATGAACCTTTCGCTCATTTCAATGACTAGAGTTGCTAGTCGATTAGGGTGACGATTTACGATTTATGGAATTTATGGAATGGAGAGAAGGAGGGATAACATAAGATTAATTTGATCCGCTCGAAAGCGGGGTAGGAGGGTGAAGCAAATCGCGCAGGGTGCACGAGGGTAAACTGTTAGCCTAACAAGCTGTCAAGACGTCGGCGCGTGTCAATCCGCGGCTCTCCAACGATCTCCCCGAGATAAAGCCGCCTAAAACCCGGGCGCGCGCAGGCTTTCCAATCGTCGGGGTTCGATTCTCCTTTTTTTTCCACGCGACGAAAAATTCCTGTTTAATTGCAGACTCGCGAAGATCGCGGAGAGGCGAGGGAGAAAAAATACGCGCGTATATATATATATATATATATATATATACGAGAGCGAGAGAAAAGGAAGGGGACGATATACGTTCGTTCGCGGAGACAACGGCGGCGTTTTACTGCCCACGTGCCGTTTAACTCGATCATGGCGGCAATCTGGCCTCGTTTCAACCTCCGGTTACTACGACGCTTCCGCTAACAAATAACATTGTCGTCGACCCTGCGGGGGCGTTCTGATTCGATTTGCGCACCGTGAAAGCGCGCCCGTGGAAAGGAGGCGAGCGTGAAACGCGGGTGGAGAAAGAGGGTGCGAGGCGCGGCGAAAACCCTCGGGTTGGGGAGGGATGAAAAGCGCTCGTCGAGGGAAAAAAATGCCGTTATCTCCGCTATTTCTTATCTCGGTATCAATTGTCTCTAGGATCCAGTAGCTCGCGATTGAGCTATTTACGTAAACTACACGCAGAGTATTCTCTCTTAGAATTTACCCTGAAAATCATGGTAGTCGTGATCGAGGTAATATGATGTTGGAAGAATTTTATAAGTGTTTCTCGGATTAATATTTACCACAATCGCTAAACGCTATAAGTAACAAGTAATATAACGTCGATGTTATATAATTTTCCACTCAACAATGTAACTGATGCATCACAAGGCATGTTACATTGCGGTTACATTGTTGAGTGGGGAATTATAACGTCGATGTTATATTACTGTTACTTAGTGTGTAGTGGGTAAGAAATATTAATATGTACGTAGTAAAATTAATCGAGTATGTTTTATATCTTATTGTGGTAGATATTAATCAGAAAAACTCTTATAAAATTCTTCCAATACCATATTGTCCGCATGATTTTCAGGGTAAATTCTAAGAGACAATGTTCTCTGCCCAGCAAACACAAAGTAACAATTACATAACATCAATGTTACAATTTCCCACTCAACAATATAACTGCAATATAACATGGCTTGTACGTAACAGTTATATTATTGAGTGGGAAATTGTAACATTAATGTTATGTAATTGTTACTTTGTGTTTGCTGGGTGTGTACCCTAATAGCTAGAGATGTGCAAATTATTCGAACTCTATACTAAAGCACCTCAGATAGCACAAGTTATTCGAAAAGAATTCATTTGTACGTCACCAATTTCGAATCCCTTTTCAAATACATATAGAATTCATTTTACAAAATGATACTCGATGGACTCGAAATTGGTGACATGAATTCTATGTTATTTGTAAAATGAAATCTATATGTATTTGAAAAGGAACTCGAAATTGGTGACACACAAGGTGACATCCAAATGAATTCTTTTCGAATAGCTGTGCTATCTGGGACACCATATCCGAAAGACAGATTTTTAGGATGTTCTCCTGAACGTCTCTGGGATATATGTGCTGTTAGGGTAAATAAATACGGGATCTGCGTCTCTTTCTCTCTCATCTAGGTGCTCGGAACGCGAGATCCCTATCTACACGGCGTGTTTAAAAATAATTGCCACGGTAGATTCGACGATAGTCACGGAGTTGCCCTCACCTTAGGCGCTTCCTGGCCTCTCGAGTGACTCTCGTTCTACGATATAAAGGCGAACTCGTCCCTCTTTCGTCGTCGGTCGAGAGGCCCCCGTCCACTCTATCACCGGCGTTTAAAGAAGTAAAGACTAAAGGTTCTTTGCGTGTCGAGAGTCGGGACTCGAGGTGAACCCGCTCGAAAGCAATCGAGGTTCAATGGGAGACCGACCGGCTCGACACCCGGTTTAAAAGAGACACATATTGCGATTATGCGACTAATTATTGCAGAAAAAGCTCAAATCTACTTGCGTTCGCTTAGTTTGTCCATCCAAAGTTCATATTTCTTTGATACATTTTATGTCGAGAATTCTTGAAGATTAAATGTTTTTCGAGGATCTTTATCAAATCTAACAATGAGTAACATTTTTTTATATTTTTAATATATCTAAATCACATTTGCTCAAAGTTGGAAACAATATTAAGAAAATTGTGATACACAGTTCGACAGGAATAAACGATCTTTGTATGGATATACATTTTCAGTTTAAACCTTTTAAGAGCTTGAAAAACAAAAGGACACATCAAATTTTGATACTTTTCCTGTTTGGTGCCTCTATTGGTAATTATTGATACGCACAAAGGATATGTAATATCTAAATGTAACATGTCTTTTTTTCCTTCAGCGTTTACAGCATTTATATTTATTTTACGTTTTTTTTTTTTACAACTCTTGTATATATTATAATAATTATAATCGACAAACAGTGTAGTCTTTCTCATATAACGGAAACAATTATTACGATTATAACTAAAGGGAGAGAAATGCGCTCAGCTCGCGAGAGGAGCTGAGCCGCCTACACTCAAAAACAAGATTACTATTATTAGCCTTTAAATATTACAGAATTAGTCTTTGTTTATCGGTCTGTTTTATAGGGAACTTTATACTTATAATGGCTTGAAACGGCGTTCATGTTCCATATCATTCTCTTTCTTTCTCTTTTCGCGCCATCAATAATGGATCCTAACGAGTCTCTACGACTATATATTATATCGCGAAAAAACCGCAAGAATCTCTCAACTTATTAAAAATACACATCGCTCGCGGATGTATTATTGTTGCGCGTCAATATTGTGCACACAAGTATATCTCTTCCATTCGTTAGGTACCTTTGTAAGGGGTTTTTTTTCAGGGCGTCTACGATACCTTTGTATAGAGTTAGGCCATCAAATTACATCCGGTATATCCAGGGAAGAGAGAACACTATCGAGAAAAATCTCTAAGTATACATATATATATATATTTTTTTTTATGAATTAATAATTAAATGTTGGAAATATATACGCGCCACTACGTATATGTATGTGTGCTAGCATGCCGTTCTCAGGCATCGATCTCTCGCGATGGAAGTATTTATTCGAGAAATATTCAAGCCAAGATGCGTGAGCATGCGTAAAAGGGAACGATGATGCAAGGAAGGTGTCTCTCGAGATGTATTAAATTAATTAACTAATTATCTCTCTGGTTTCGTCGCCGAAAAACACCCGATGACGCTTGTGAATTGAAAGTCAAATGTCAGCGAGAGCACCGTTATTCGAGATGACTGAGAGAATTTCACAAATTTCAACAATATATAACGACGCCTCTCTTCTTACGCTCGCTAAGAAAATTTTAACATCCTCGCGCGAAATAACAATTTTTTTCCTCGCGATTTAAATTCTCTAAATCTATTATATTAAATGCCACGAGTATTTGCTGGGAGATCAAAACGCGTTTTTTTTTTTTTGGAGAGCGTATGCGCGAAAGCTCTCGAAAGTAGTGAAATTAGAATATATGCGCCTTTGTTCGCACAATAAGTCTATTATAATACGGCAATAATAAGAGCACGAATCATACTCGATAAAATTGTTGCCAAAAAAAAAGAAAAACAGTCTTGTCAAACGGACGGTTTTCTCAAACCGTCACCTAAGAAGAAACGCATTCGCGTTATATCTTTATAAAGAGAGAAAAAAAGAAAATATTCGCGGATAAAAATACCATTTGTTCTCTTTTTCTCAGGGAGGGAACAAGCGATTAAATTCGCTGGATTAAAAATAAATAAAGCTGTAAAATACAACCGAGCGTCGCGCGACGTCACATTTTTATAATAGCGATGAGATGAGTGGTGAGGTAGCTAAACGTGAAACTACTGCTTAATAATTGCAACTTAATAATAATAAAAACAAAAAAAAGACGCGAGGCCACATACAACGACGCGCGATACGCTCTCGCTCTCTCTCTCTTTCTTTCTTTCTCTCTCTAGGATAAGATATATCTTATTTTTAAGAGAACTGCTTAGTCTCGATAGTAATCTTGATTTCAAGCAAGCCTTTTATCATCAATAAGCGCGCTTTCGTTATAAGAATATGTTGTACATATTAATTAACCGAGAGAAAAATATTAACATATTTCCAGAAAAAAAGATATCATTATGGACCAGTCCACAATTAGAATATAACATTGAAACGCTCTATTTATAAGCGTCGTAAGCGCGTAAATACATTTTTGAAACTAATCAAACTTCATGTATGTACCCGAGATCTTCAGCGCACGATTTTTGCTATATTTTTCCCGTCAACAATTATTCCCATGAAATAATACACTATTTCGGAAGCTATGTTTGGAACAGATAATGTGAACCAGATTTTACGTGATTCATAAACTTTTTTTTTTAAGAAGAAAAATGAAAACTTTTAAAAGATATATCTTTCTATTTTTTTCTATAAACTGTATTATATTTGCAGCGTATGAAAGCAACAGGTGAGTGAAACGTTTTGCATCTTGACGTGATAAGAAGCCATTGCAGGCGAAATTGTTGACTCTGGTACATACAAAAAGCATCAACCCGATTATACATGTTCGCTCTAGCATAACAGTACAAAGAATACAAGTAAATATAAAAAAAATCAAAGATGATAATAATAATATTAATAATAATAATAATTACAGAGAACCGTTATTAAAAGTTCTAACAATAATAAAAGTGAATATCTTTCTTTGAGTTTGTAATAAATTATCAGCTTTTAAAAGCGTTCATAGAATTCAGCTAACAATGGCGAAAACGAGTCATGGATCGAGTAAACTACTCATGTTTCATCATCCTCGTCATAACTTCACTCATCATTCGCAACGGCACCTGATGAGATACGAGTGAAAGCGATTCAATTGGCTCGCAACAAAAGCAGACGTAACATCGCCGTCGAATGCAAGGGACATTCGTGAGTAGTACAAATAAGCCGACAAGTTTTAGCGTGAATTCTTATACAATGGATATAAATTCAATAAAAATATATACCAGTTGTGTGTGGAATTCTTTTAAGAAAGGTAACGCGAATTATTATCTCTATTATATCGTTTAAATACATATTTGTTCGATGTTTCGTTCTAATTAGTTGCCCTGTATATTCGCTGCTTTGAAAAAAGAATTAAAAAAATTATGCGACAATTGGGAGAAAGATCGTAGAATTTGATCGCATCTATATAATTTGTCACTCGTCTAAAATGCGGGTAGAGATAATGAATATTGCATCGCAATTTTCCACACATTAACTTTGCCCCTTGAAACTTATTTATACTACTTTAGAGAGCAAGATCAAGGAAGTTGATCAATGAAGAGACGGTCTCGAGGCTCTCTGCTTCAACCTGTTCAACAGCGCCTGCTCGCTGTCGTCCTCCGTCGCCTTGGACGAGATCCCGCGAAAGCTCTCCGATCGATACTTGTCCCTGAGGAACATCCTCCTCTCCTCTTTGTACTTTTCGATTCTCTCTCTGCACTGCGGGTCGCCCAGATCCAGGCCGCCGAGGTTTCTCAGCTGAATCTTCTCCGTGGCGCCGCCGACGTTCGGGGTGGAGCAGTGCTGCTGCGCGTCCTCGGACGTCTGTTTCACCGACAAGGTCGGGATCTCTCCCGTCATCCGGTGGAACTTGGCCTCGTCCAGGGAACGACTCAACGCCGCTCGGGTTACTCTCGCGTGACGCGCCCGCAAACAGGGCGGCAGATGCGAAGACGGTTCCTCGGATTTGCCTCTAGCGGTGTCTAGCTCCTGCCTCATCCTTCTCTCTCGGACAATCTCCCGGCCGATTTCCGAATCGAAGCTTCTGCGATCCCGGACGGTCTCGCTCTCGTATCTCCTCCGCGCGGACGCGTTTCCCAGAGCAGCGCCTCCGGATAATCTCTGTAGAGCTAATTCCTGCAAAATGGCCGCAGTATCTCGTAGAACCACCGCGTCGTCGACGGCGGTCGGGGACGAGGCGTTGGAAAATGTGCTCGGGGCATCCAGCGTCCGTTCCATCAGCTCGGACGCGCCTTCCGGCGCGTGCGCAACCTCGCAGGGTTCGGCCGCGTTCTCCGAAGGGATTCTCATCTCGACGTTATCTTGAATTTGATTAGTCTGCAAGCTGGCAGCCACGCACTTGTGAGCCTCGTCGCTACGTTTGGAAGCGCATTTACGTACTTGTTGCGTATTAGTCTGCGGTTTGTTCTGCGTATTATTGTATCCGAAACTTTGGCACTTCTTTGACAGTTCGTTCGAACAGTGGTCGTTGTCGTCACGGTCACCCTGGCTCATGGAAACCGTACTCTTCTTTCGTTCGTCCTCGGACTTGTCCGAGGAAAATCTCGGGTGATTCACGGGGTGCAGGGAACTCGTATCTCGCGACAGACGGTAATAGTTCTTGAAGGTCTCCGTCTCCTTTTCCTCGTCGCTCGCCTCGTTCCGATTGGTACCAAATACATTCGCGTTGTCAGCCTCGATGTAACACGCGCGAACCTGCTGTTGCTGCTCCCTCGCGTTAGATTCCTGATTGGAGTCTATGTCCGTCATCACGCACGAGTAACGATTGCCGTTCTCTCGATCGCGCAACCGAGAACAGGAGTCGTCCGAGAGATTGCCCTCGTTTACGAGGTCGAAGCTCGTTTGCGGATCGTTCGCGCCGTCTTCCCGCTCGTGTCCGTGAGTCTTCACGTACTTCTTCGTATCCGTAACGTCGAGTACCATCCTCTCGCTCTCCCGTGTCGTTATACGACCTGCCGATTTCGCGTCGTCGACTCCGATGCGGAACGCATCGGCGCTCGAGGTCAACGTCAGTTCCAACAACGCCTCGGAATCCGGAGATGTCGTTGGATTCGCGCCACCTTCCGAAAAGGGATCGTTAGGACTGGTCGATTCGCTGATGGGTGTCGCCAGGGAACCGGTCGTCGTTCTTCCGATGATCACCCAGTCGCCGGAATCGTTGCTACCGCTCGCCACCCGCGGATTCTCCGTATTACTGAACACCTTATCGGAGTCGTCGCAGATTACAAATCCAGAGTCTTGCAATTCCTGCAGAGTTTGCTCGCAGGACATCGGAGAATCGAGATCGGTCGTGCTGGATGACGGCAATCTCGGCAAATCGGCTACCGTGCCAAGATTATTATCCGAGGAATCGGTAGTCTCGTCGCGTTCCTTCCTCGCACTCGTCGTCTTTTCGTCGTACGACTTGGACGAGATCTTGACAGAATCGTCCTTGCGAGATACGATAATTCCACTAGATTTGGTTTCCCCGCATAGCGAAGACAACCTGTTACATGACGTCATCTCCATGGTGTTATTAAAATGGAAGCAATCGCACTCGACTGACTCGTGGCCTGATTTTCAACATTGGAAAGCGACATGGTTACGTTTACGTGGCTGTCACAAATCATAGTCCTCTCGCATGACGATCTTAATCCCCTATCCCGATCCTCCAAGTTTATTGATAATCTATGGCTAGGGTCCGATAGCTTCTCCGAAGACGGCACGCTCGTTTCCTTCAACTTGTTCGCGCTGCTCCCATCGCGCTCATCACCGATTTCCAACGGCAGAGTGAAACTTCGAAAACTTATTCTGGGACTGTTGCCCATTGGCGATGCGGAATGAGACGTGCCCTGCAACGTGGCAGGTGTTAATGGTGTAGAGGCTTCGGATAGTAACGGTAAGTAGCCTGGTGTTGGCAACGGAGACGGGGTGTCGATGCTGTGTATATCCGCATTCGTCGATACCATCACCTGAAAGATTAGGTGTAATGCATATATGTATATATAAAGCATATAATTGCAATAGCTGAATATTTTTTAATAAAAACAATTCTGTATTTTCTTTACATTAATTGATTCCTCTCTTTACTTTGTATATGAAAATTATTAGGATAAGATCATCGAAAAATGAATATTTCATCATTTATGTAAAATTATATCAAATTAAAGTGTAAAATATTCATTTACCGATTTTATCTCAATTCTTTTATGTACGAAATAATGAGGAAAATTAATTAGTGTAAAGAAAACATATAATTGTTTTTCCTGCTAGTTACAAATTAGATATTTTTTCTTAAAAACAACAATTTTCTTTACATCAATGTATATTCATTTATACAGTATATGTATGTGTGTTTTGTGCGTAAATGACGATTTAGAGTAGTAAACTAACTCTACTTTACCTGATCGGGACTTTGGCTGTCTATGAAACGCAGCTCGACATCGCAGTGCAATCTTTCTTCCAAGCGAGATCGTTTTCTCTTGGATCCACCAGAGGCTGTGGCGCATTGACCCTCGTTTCTTTGCCGACGCGGCGACGCCTCCACCGACGCCACTCCGCCACCTTCCTCTTCCGAAAGCATCCTCATCTCTCGCTCTTCTAAATCGAAATTGAGTTGTATCTCCGACAGATCTAGCGGTGAGGGTGCGTTGGGCGCGTCCGCCAAGTGATCAAAGTACGAATCGTGCGAAACGGATCGACTGTGACCGCAGGGTCTGGTCGGAGGCGGTCCTCCCAGGAGAGGACCCAAGCCATCCTCGCCGTCCAAACTGTCGGCGCTCTTGACCGGTCTCAATCGTCGCAGAGAGTTTAAGGAACTTGGCACTGTTTCCACTTGCGGTGGTGTTCCACCGATCTGTCTCGTTTTGCCCACGGCCCCTCTGCCGAACAACGCCCTCCAATTTAGGGAAGGTGATCGCTTCGAACCATTTCTCTTGCGAGGCAATTCTATGACTGTGTGATAGCGCAACGGCAACCCGGCCGGACCTGCTCCCACTTCTATATAATCAGGTTCACCCCTGAGGCTTCTATTGCGCGCCTCCTCCAGAGTGAGCAGTCGCGCCGATGTGGTGATTGCCAATGACTTTGGTCTACCGACAGGACCGTCCCCGAATATGAGCTCCGCGTAGCAGACTAGAAATTCCGTCACGACCGCTTGCACACCGACACCTTGAAGAGCAGCTACGCCGCCCACTTCCAGTTCCTTGCATCTCAACAAATTCGGGGCCCAAACAATGGCCACGTTGCGCGGGGTCATACCTGTTTCCGAACCACGCGCGGCTACCCTTACCAGATGACGCATCAGATATTCTAGTGTCCTGTACGTGTACAAAGATTAATTTAAAGATTAATTTGTCAATTCACACATCGACGCGTGAAATGTGTGAAAGTGAGAAACGAAACGAATACCTGTAATGAGGTGGCGGTAACTTTCTAACAGCATCTCTCATTCGTCTTAATCTTTCAGCGTCGCTGCCAGCTTGAACCGCATTAACAAAGGTGGAGTAAAGCTGATACGTGCACAACGGATTCGGCAGCTCTCTAAAGTACATCTTTAACAGCGACGCCACCGAATGGATGTCTTGCAGTATGCTCTCATCAGAATGCAACGCCGGGACCCGATCTTCGTCGAAAGCGTTTCGCAATTTTTGAATGTTGGAAGTTACCCCGCTAAGACGATATATACCATCGACCAGACCATGTTTCTCTATGAATTCTGCGCAGCACGTCAAAACGGTAGGCACTGCGAAAAATAAATAATCCCTTTCGCTTCTTTTGCATCAATTGATAATGTATATCTATGAAAAGTATGATGAAAATACATACCATCTTGACCAGAGTTTAGCAAATGTTCTCCCAAGTCGCAACCGAACACGCGCTCCCGCAGTATCCCCGATTGCTTCAATCTTCTCCTCGAAGGCCGATTTAGTATAAAGGATCTGAAAAAGGCGATCAGTTTGCCGTGTTTCCGCAGCACAGGTTTCACCGGTAATCTCGATCTGACTGTCGTCGAAACCGTCAGGTGACGTGGTACCTTGTCACCGATCACGGCAACGCATTCGGCTGGAAAAAATCCAACCGCAAAGCCGTGCTTTCCACGCCACCACGTGCTTTCTCCCGCCGGTGGCATGTCTATAACGGATATCATATCGCCTACCTGTTTGTCAAGTAAATCAACGCTTCGATTAGTCATCGCCCAAGTAACGTCGTCGCGATTTAACCAACTACATGTGCTCCAAGAATAAGCAAAAGCGTCTTGGCCGAAGAAATTACCTGGAACGAGATCTCATCTTGTGCCTGAGCGGTGTAAGGCCTCACTGCGTATGCCGCGGCGACGGCTGGGGTATTTATAGGACAGGAATCCGACTCGGGCACCAGGATTCTTCTTCCCCGATTATCGAGCTGCAACCAGTTCAACACCGGACCGCAATTTAGACCCTCGTGATTCAATTGCGAGAACCGACTCAAGTAATCCTTCAATATATCACAGGCATTTTTTGGCCGAACATCTGGAAGCTTCGTTAAGGAGGAGAATTTTCTGTCAAATATGCAACGGTGCAGTTGCTTATCGAACATGACGAAGTTGTCGTAAGACCTCTGTAGCGTCCAGCACGCATCTCCGGACGTTATTCGAACGGCATAACTCTCCGAATCGTTGGTAGATCCTTCGTTGATGGAAACCTAAAAACAGAATCATATCTCATGTATTCTCCGCATTATCGCGCGTTTATCTATTATCTGTTATCGCGCGTTTATCTATTATCTGTTATCGCGCGTTTATCTATTATGTTATCTTACCTCCAAAGTACTCAGCTCGACGTGCTCGTAATGAAAGTGAGCGCACTCGTCGAGTTTCGGGAAGCGCGCGATACTGCTCATGTTGCTGCCGGAGCTGACGGGTGTGCTGAAGTCGTCCGTCCGATTACCACCCAGACCCTGCAATTCCATTCACAGAAAAATTAATTGACGTTAAATTTTTCCAAGTTTATAGTAAAGTATATATTCAATAAGAATCTAGGATAAGTAAAAAGAAGCTAATAAAACCCAAATGCGAGATAAAGAGGGAAGTAAAAAACCCTTAAATAATTTTACATATTACTGATTAAAGTTCAACTTCTTAGCCTGTGTAAATAATAGATATAAATTATAAATTCAATGAATTGATGCAAATTACTTTCAAAATTGAATGACATATATTGCGCAAATCTAATTTTACACAAATTGCACAAATCTATCAAACTGTAACTGGATAAAATTGGATCAGAGAACACATCTATCACAATCTAGTGTATGATTCATCTACGCTTGATTAAGACAGCTTGATTTGTGTTGTGAATTCTACCGCAAACTTCATCTACGACTATGTATGATACTTTAGATGAAATTATTGATACCTTTGCACTCTGCGACTCAATGTCTGTGAGCCGATGTGCACGGGGTCTCTCTTGCGTCGACGGTCCAGGCATCTTTTCTAGCCTCTGCGTGAAGGAGGACGAGGAGGAGGAGGACCCAGATCTTTGACCCGATTTGCCGCAATGACAGCTAGCTTTTACATCCCTCTCAATCTAGCCATTGCTTCTCCCGCAGTTTCTCTGAAAGAGACGTAACATTATTATTTCAGATGTAAGACTCACTGAAAAATATCAAATAGATGTTTCATCCGCAACCTCCAGAGAATGCTCGCTTTCAATGCTCCATTATTTGTGTAAGCAATGTGCTTTCTCCAAATGACAGATTATTATTAATGGAGTAAAAAACTGATAAAAAATTCTGAAAAAAATTAACAACACTGACGTCTACGACGAATACGTCTGCGAATATGTGTTCGCGCAGGAAACATCTGTTTTTCATGAATTGAGACGAGATCCGGTTGCGACCCTTTTTTTCTCAAGTGCGTGTATGGCTCGCCATACTTCGCGTTACATGCAATGTAACTCACACACACACACACACACATACACAAAAATAAAAATACAGAGTGAAATTCTAAGCAAAAAAAAAAAATTCCAAGTACAGTTCCGGAACGTCTCAACCAAGTCGGATAAACATATTTGCGATTTCTCTCACTCCGTCATCTCTCCAACAATAATTCTCCACTTTGATGCTTTGATTTGAATCCAGTCGAATTACAGATCTGTAATTTCGACTCTTCTACGTCCGAGATCGGATATACGGAACAATTACGACGTCGCGTATCGAGGAAGGCGAGTCTATTGTACGCGCGAAAGTGCCAATAACCCGAAAAGCACACACACACACACATACACAGAGAGCAGAGACTCACACAGGCGCGCACGCACACTCAGAGACGTACAAATAGGGTTAAGCTTTTAATATCTCAAGATCGAGGCGAGTCCCTCCTCGGTTTTCGGCGTGAAACTCGTCATTACACGGCCATATGCCGAGATTAGCGGCTCGCGAGGCTGCACCGTAATAAGGTATAGCGGATCCACGCGAGTCTCGCAACATCGCGATACGATACGCGTATATTTACATCGCGGCTGGAGCGAAGGAAGGAGGCGACGATGTCTCGGACACACACCGGCAAAAGTCTGCGCGAGAGAGAACAGCTGGGTTCCGCAACTCCTCCTCATCCCTTCTCTCTCTCTCTGTCTCTCCTTCTTCTTCTTCTTCTTCTTCTTCCTCTGCCGCTGCGTGGACTAAATCTTCTCGCACGGGGGAAATAACGGAGCTATTATGTCACGAGCGATATCTCTCTCTTTCTCTCTTCCAGCCTCACACCCAACGCCCGAACGTCGCGCACGCTCGAACGAGGATGTACCCTGAAGAGGGGAAGAGGATGGGTCGACGCGAAGCTCCGGATTGATGCCGCTCTACTAAGGTCCGAGAGAGAGAGATAGAGAGAGACGAAGAAGCGCAGGATACCCGCTCGACACGTCGCTCCTGATTTTGAGAACCGCTGGCGGCCGGATGTCTCTCCATTTGCTGCGCTCGTCGAGGCGACGATGTCGAGAATGGGTCGGGACCAGGGTGGATTACCTCGTCGTTCTTCCAAGCCGCATATCACCGTCAGGGTGCTGGGAACCGCACCGTTAACCTTCCGCGGGATTCTGGATCTCTTCTGTCGAAGACGCTTCCTTCGATGTTGCGCCACCCACCCACCGACCTATGTATATCTACCCACCTATCCTCACCTTATCTATTCCTACCTCTATCCACCTACTCCTACCCTACCCCTGACCTAGCGTAAGCCTAACCCTGATCTAACTTTATGCACCTAACTTCACGCATCTGTCATGAATGTTGACATAAGTTGTAAAAAATAGATGAAGATGTGCTATCTGTCGGGTAAAATTGATCAAGAAATTGGAAACATCGATTCTAAGGGTCTATTTTCGTAACTTTTTAGTAAGTTTTACCTGTTTAAGTAGCATATTTTCGTTTCTTTTCAGATAAGTTCTAAAAAAAGAGACGAAGATATGCTACCTATTGATTGACTAAAATTTACCAAAAAATTGGAACAACCTAGGGATCTATTTTTCTAAGTTCTAAAAAAAGAGACGAAGATATGCTATCTATTGATTGACTAAAACTTACCAAATTGAAACTACCTAGGGGTCTATTTTTCCAATTTTTTGGTCAATTTTACCTGTTTAATTAATATATTAATTATTAGTTTAAAGTGAAAATACTTTTTTATCCGACAGAATATATTCATTTATAATTTACATTTACAATGGGAGCTGTCCAAGAAATAAACAAGATTGATTATCAAATAGAAAACATTTTCTATTTGATAGCCAATTGCATCACATTATATATATTTGTTTTTTTACTGGAAAACTTCTATATATCTCTTTGCTAAATAGAGACAAAGTGTAAACAAATGAAGAATGATGTAATTAAATTATTAGTAAATGTTTACTGAGTTCTCTCATACATCTGTCATGAATGTTGACATTTTATTTTTTAATTCTAATTATATTGCATATTTATTATATATGCGTTTGCTGGGATATTAATTTATAATTTACATTTACAATGAAAGCTTTCCAAGAAATAAACAAGATTGATTATCAAATAGAAAATATTTTCTATTTGACAGCCAATTGTATAACATTATATATTTTTTTTTTTATTGGAAAACTTCTATTGTTATATATCTCTTCATTAAATAGAGAGGCAAAGTGCAAACAAAGAATGATGTAATTAAATTAGCAAATGTTTACTGAGTTTTCTCATCTGTTGTACTCTTCCTGCTTTTCTTCTTTCTTTTTTCAGTAAACTGGGACACAATAATGGATGATAAATTCGCTGCAAGAGCTGTTTGCGCACCAAGACTGTTGTCTGCCTTCAACACCTTGAAACATTCATCTCGAAATTCGTCGTTTACTGTGTTCTTAATGATTCTACTTAACGCAGAGCTCAATATTGGACAAAATTTCAAATTGTCCTCAGATTTGTCGCCCATCTTCTAATTTATATCCTGTCTATGCCTCTGCGATGTGACTTATTTAACCTGTGATATCAAACTATTATATACATATACATCATTGTTGTTATTACGTTGACATAACAAGATAAGAATTAAATGTGATGTTACATAAGGATTTATTATTAATAATACATTCAACAACAGTTTTTAAAAGATTTCTGTCTTACAATCAAAAATAACAAGATTAGAAAAATGTAAACAAAAACCACAGATACAGCTATTTTATTTTTAGACTTATAATTAAGATATAATAAATTATTATTATTAGATAATAAATATTAGATTATTTACAAGAAAACGAAGAGAAGAATCCAAATGTAGGAATATATCTTCGTATATATATATATATATATTTTTGTGTGAAGATGTTAATACATATTCTTCTCTGAAACTTGATGGAATACAAAAAACTGACGTTTCGTATCTTTACATTAAAAAAATATAATAAAAGAAATAAGGAATTTGAATATATTTTTCTTTTTCTTTAAAGATTTCTCGTACGAAAATTGAATATATATGATCACGTGTACGGCGCCTGTCAAATCCTGACCTCTGGTCGCTGCTTGCGATAATCTGGCCGAGTTCTCGCGACACCTGTCTGCGGCCGACCTGCACGAAAAATACCTCGCCGACCGATAAAAACGAGCGCAAAACTCGACGAGAAGTCGAGAGTCCGCGCGAGAGGAGGAAATCGAGGTAGAACAGTGTCGATACTCACGTGAAATTGTATCGCGTTTCTCCGTAAAGTGAAGGACCAGGAGGTCGTGCGCGGAAGTAAAAAAAAAAAAAAAAAAAGAAAGAAAAAAGTTACAATCGCGCGGTGAGAAACGGTACGTGACGTCCTGTCGTCCAGGAACGTCCGCGCGGTCGAGATTCGACGAGGAAGAGTGGAAAAAAAATTAAAGAACCACGAAATCAAAATAAAAGATCTTCGAAGCGGGTGACAGACGCCGTGTCCACCTCCGGAGAATCGGGCCTTTCCCGGGGACCAAGCGTGACAGCTCGCGACTCGAATGACAGAACAGGAACGAAGGGCCGAACCTAACCTCAAGGAGGAGCGGGCCACTCCGCCGCGCAAGATTCGTCACCGGTGAGTCTGCGTGGGTCATGTTTACGCTGAAATGTAGCGAGGGAGATTCGCGCGGATGCGCCCAGGGCGGAGAACGCGAGGGATCACGCCGATTGCGAGTGAGATCCGCCCGTGAGGAAACGTCGACGGAGCTCCCAAAAGCTGCACGCAACGGCGGATCGCGCCGCGTCACGCGGGCCAATCAGCGTCGCCGGCGCGTCGCCTGACATTCCGGCCGGCCAATCGCGGCGCGCGCTTCGTTTATCCTTTTTTTTCCCTCGACAGCCTCGCTCGCGAAAATCTATAGAACGCGATGTAAACATTTACGAAGTAAGTACACACGAAGAGATTTTTCCGAATGGAGCGTGAATTCTTTTTGAGAGAAAGTGGAAATGAGAAGTGAAATATGTAAGAATTTTTAGATAACGTATATTAATTAGGTTCTTTTCGTTTTTTTTTTTTTTTTTAAATCACGCCGTTAATTGAGCGCGCTATCGATAATGAATGGTCATTCTTCGCGAGCGATAATTTTCGCGTAAAACGCGCGCATGCGCAAGCGCATCCAGGTGACTTGAGAATTTCTCAATTCTACTCGTGTTGATGGATATTCTAATTTATATATATTTCCATTTTCATATGGAATTATGCGTCCTCCTATCGGCTTTTACTCTTATTTGCATAAATATATGCAAGCTCGCGTTCAATGATAATGAAAATTCAATTTCTTTATTTATTCACGCTTACGAGCATATATGTGTACATATGTATATACGCAGAGAGAATAATTTATTTTTCTGAAATAGCGCCACGGAAAATTTAAAAACAAATTACGTCACATGTCAAACTATGCACACACGGTGCGTAGTATTTTTTCTAACTGCAGTCCTTGAAGATGAAAATACATATAAATACGAGACGCAGACTCGCGGGAGTACTATTGTACTTAAAAAAATACGCGAGCATCTGTTCGTCGACTCGAACTTGAAATAAAAAAAAAAAAATTTAAGGGAATTGTAAACGCGCCTCCGAGAGCCCTCGGGGATGATCAGCTCGGGATTCTCCTCTCGACGGATTGAAGATCAGCGAGATGACGACGAGATGGTGCGACATCCGATGCACGAAAGAGTCGCGTGCAAAGGATAAAATCATCGTGAAATGACCTCGGGATTGGCGGGACCCTGCGTGACACCACCGGGGCCAACGTGACGCAACGACCCTTGAACCCACTTGACGCTCGCCTCGTGTCCGCTTCGTCGCGATATATCGCGCCACCGCCTCAGTGTTATTACGACTACGTACTTCAACTTGGACTCGCACTCTCGGGCGAGTCGGCGAGGCGCGCGTGATCCAATCTTGGACGTCCTAATCGCGAAGTCCGGCTGTCGACTTCATCAGGAGGAAATTAAGGAACCGGAACAACGTACGTAGCTCCGGATTCTTAGATGTCACTCGACGTGGGAGGATAGACTAAGTGACGCCGAGACGAAGAAACATAGCTAGGCTGCATGCTACGCCGTCTTCTGGAGTCCCTATATTTCGGTATTTCTTCTCATTCATTTAATATTCTGTCTCCCTCTCCCTCCTCTTCCTCCCCTCTTTTGGGCCCGATTTTTACAACTTTTGATGAGGTTTACCTAATAGATAAGCATATCTTCATTTCTTTTTTAGAACTTATCTGAAGAGAGACGAAAATGTGCTATCTAAACGAGTAAAAATTATTAAAAAGTTGAAAAAGTAGACCCTTAGAACCGATTTTTCCAACTTCTTGGTAAGTTTTACTTGAGAGACAGCATATCTTTGTCTCTTTTTTTAGAACTTATCTGAAAAGAGACGAAAATATGCTACTTAAACAGGTAAAACTGACCAAAAAGTTGGAAAAATAGATCCCTAGGTTGTTCCAATTTTTTGGTAAGTTTTAGTCAATCAATAGGTAGCATATCTTCGTCTCTTTTTTAGAACTTATCTGAAAAGAAACGAAAATATGCTACTTAAACAAGTAAAACTGACCAAAAAGTTGGAAAAATAGACCCCTAGGTTCTTCCAATTTTTTGGTAAGTTTTAGTCAATAGGTAGCATATCTTCGTTTCTTTTTTAGAACTTATCTGAAAAGAAACGAAGATATGCTACTTAAACAGGTAAAACTTACTAAAAAGTTGCAAAAATAGACCCTTAGGGCCGATATTTCCAATTTCTTGGTCAATTTTACCCGACAGATAGCATATCTTCATCTGTATTTTACAACTTATGTGAAAAGAAATGAAAATATGCTACCTGTCGGGTAAAACTTATCAAAAAGTTGGAAAAGTAGATCCTTCATCATGCACACACCGTGTCTATCCTCGTTTTTAAGAAAAAATGAGGTAGTGACGGTGTGTTACACCATTCTTGTTTCTTTTCCCAAACAGCCCAACATATCCAAAAGAGGATATCTACAGGGCATCCTCTCGATGTCCTTCGAACGGACATATGTGTGTTGTTCCCCTTTCTTTCATCGAGCCACTTCTTGAAATTGTAACACCCTCTTCGAGGGGGAGACGATTTTGTCACCTCCGAAGTGAAGCGTCTCGCAAGTCATCCTTCGAGCCTGCTTGATCGAACGTATATCGATTGTGTTTTTGAAGGTAACGCGGAGAGCGCGGAAGGAACGGAGTCCGATTCCTCGACGGAAGATCATCGTCAGCTGATCATCGAACACGTCGGTTCTTCCCCGGGAACGGACGTTCGCGCGAGAGAGATGTCGGAGGCACCGGTGAGCTTTGTCGTCGGGGAGCCCGATCCCGATCCCGACCCTAGCGAGGTGCAGGAGATCGAGGATAGCTTCCCGAGCGAGAGGAACGATAGCGCCAATCTGCAGGTGCAGAACAATGTCGTGCCAGGATTGGTAGAGCGCCGTAAGCGTCTCAGGTGATTGTGCAACGTGTTTCCGTCATATTTTCCTGCTACACACGAGTGGATTTGAGATATTCTTTAGGTCAGACCTGGATCTCCCTCTCTCTCTCTTTCTCTTTCCCTCGTAAGAGATTTTATTAAGAGCTGGTTATTCCAACTTCTTGTTAAGTTTTACCCCTTTAAGAGCCGGTTGTTCCAACTCTTGGTAAGTTTTACCCAACAGGTAGCGTATCTTCGTCTCTTTTTTTAGAATTTATCTGAAAAGAGACGAAAATATGCTACCTGTCGGGTAAAACTTACTAAGAAGTTGGAAAAATCGGCTATAAGTGGTATACCTTCTCTACTTTGGAACTTATCTCAAAAAATACGAAAATATGAACTACTTAAACGGGTAAAACTTATCAAAAAGCTGGAAAAATAGACTTATCCAACTAAGAAGTTGGAAAAATCGGCGATACGTTTTGTTTCCGCCATCTAGATAAACTTGAAGTATTGGGAGGGTGATATCTAAAAATCTGTAAAATTTTTACACAATGCTTATGCAAGCGAGCGTAAGCATCACTGTATTTATGAATAGATGACATGAATGAGAAGGGGGGCAGTGGAGTGAGGAAATTCGAACGATGCGTGGACGTATTCTCTCTTTAGCACTGTAAATCTTTTTCACCTCTGCGACCCCTTGACATTAAATGTTTGAATATTCAAAGACAAGCTTCCATGCGCGAGGAAATACGATTATATTCGGTGTTGAAAGAAAAGATTTATAAAACGAAAAGGCCCTAAATATGTCAATCTTGATTAAAAGGGTTCTAATAAGAATCAAATGAAATATATATAAAAGCGCGATTAGCTTTTGTTAGTTTGAAATTAAATGTTTCATAGTTCCACTTTAGTGACTGCATAACAAAAAAAAAACAAAAACAGAAACTATAAAAGAAGTAGGTATGTCTATAAAAATAGTAATACATTAAAAGATGAAATAGAATAAAAATAGAATGTGTATGAATCGTGCATACGTAGGATCCCAAAAAGTCTTCCTATTTTATTATCTATATTAAGAAGTAATGTTTTTGTCTCTTTTAAAAATTAAAATTAAAATTTAATTTTTTCGTACGAATTTTTAGCGAATTCGACTTTACGTTGATTAACGAATCACGAAATAATCTCAAACAGCTGATAACACATGAAGCTATTTTTTTCTCTCTTTACATATACATTATGCAAGTGTATAAATAAGGTAAAAGGCGTAAATATATAGGACGCGACCTTTGATATAGGTCGCAGACCTTCGTTAAAGAAAAGGCGAAAACGAAATTTTCAGAAGAGTGAAAGACTCGAATCGAAAAATCGCATTTTTTAAATTGAAGAGATATCGCGGATGGAGAAAATATTGTGTAACATTTGCGTACATATATCCATTTGCGCTTCGAGTCCTCTCAGAGCACGAGAGCGCAACCGCAGTATACGAATTCGTAATCTTTATTCATTATCGTTTTAGCATAAACACGCGTAACGCGTCGTATCGCATGAGGAGGAGAGAAAACGGAGGGATTCGGAGGAAAAAAATTTTTTAAGACCTTCAAATTTCGCTTTAATATATAATTGATGACGATAGCTTTTTGCTCCCCGTCCATGCGCGCGAATAAGCTTGATAAGCATATTCTGAAATGTCATATTGATCAATTTCGATACAACGAGTTGTTATGCAATCCTTTCCACGTCTTACATTTTATTTTGCACGATGTACATACAGACGGATTCTTATATGAACACCTTAATTAAAATGTTAAGATCAGCAAGTAAAAGTGGGCGAATATTTTTCAAGATTATATTACGTGTCAAAAGTAGAAGATATTTTCTAAACACTAACGTTTCTTTTTACCTCGTTCAAATATCTTAATCTTTAAAAATACGAGATATATAAAAGAATTATTTGCGATCTTCGACATCTTTTTTTAAATGGAATTGTATAATTTTTTAAAAATCAATTTTCTCAAATTAAACATTTCCCTCTAATTTGAGAAAATCCGTTTAAAAAAATTAAAATCAAGTAAAAGTATACGAATATTTTTTAAGATCATATTACGTGTCAAAAGTATAAGATATTTTCTAAACACTAACATTTTTTTTTTACCTAATTCAAATATTTTGATACGTGGAAATATGAGATATTTAAAAGAATTACTCGCGATTTTTGAGATTTCTCGATAGTCATCGACATCTTTTTTTAAATAAAATTGTATAAATTTTTAAAAATAAATTTTCTCAAATTAAAAATTTTCCTCTAATTTGAGAAAATCAGTTTTATCAAAAACAATCTATTAAGTGTTATAAGAATAATAATTTGATTCTTTCTAAATGCGAAACTCCAGTCGAATTATAGAGAACTCTTCCTAATTAACTGATTTAAACAAAATTATACAATTTTATATATTTAAAAAAGAAGTCATTGACATTTCAAGAAACTTCGATAAAAAATTGCATTTATTATTAATATTTATTATAATATTAACCTTTCGAGAATTAAATTAATCAAAAGTATTTTCGTTCATTTTTATATGACATCAACGAACGACATACAACCTCGAATCAAGTAATATGTAATCGTATAGTAATTAGCGAGCGACTAATTATCATTTATCGGAAATATATGTATCAGAGGAAAAAGAATATTTTGTATTAAGTAAATTTTTCCGCGTGTCATGTAATAATACTTAATTGCGAAAAATTAAAAGAGTTACAACCGGTTGACACCTCCCATTTTTCTTCCTGTCTCTTGAGGTTGTCTATAAAAAAAAAAAAAATTATCATACGTGTCTCTTCTCACAAGTATCATAAGCCTAAAAAGGTAGGGGAATTCTTGTGGTGTCTCGATGAAGAATAGTCAATTGGATAGAAACCTGCACTCGTCAGTGAACGCTCGCTCGCCTTTCTAACAAGACGGTCAACGTTACGATAAGTGTTACGCATTCGTTTATTTCGTTTTCTCTTTTTTCTTTTCATTTTTGTTTTACTTTCCAATCTCCCTTTTCGTTCAAGTACATGGAATTTTGCAATTCAAACGACGCGTGGTAAAAACCTGACGTACGAGTCGCGGTGCAAAAATGTTCTCCGCTTACGATAACTAACGATAACTGGCGGCTCGCATTTAAAAAGAATCGACTTGTCATTTCTTATAATGCATGATTAACAATTGTTTGTTCCTTGGCTGTCTATAGCCCTTTTCATCAGGGGAGACAATTTTTGCTTCGTTTATTTTTCACATCATACGCGAGTGATTTTCAATTTTCAAAGATTTGTTCTATCTCTTCTCGCTGTCCTTTTTTTTTGCAATATTATTAATCTTGCAATGTCAATGACGACGATAATATTTTACGACGACATAAAGATGATGTAATTATTAGTACACATAAGATACGACTCTGAATGTAAAACTCGAGATAGTCGATATATATTCCAAGGTTGTACTGATTGGTATTAGAAAAATATTCCGCGTCTTTAATATTTGTCTTTGTCGGATTTCTCGTGTCATTCATATACAAACGAGAACCAAAGTCAAGTTGATGAGCTTATAATGAGCCTTTGATTCGCTGATTGTATTTGAAACCGTCCGATTATTCGCGTATTTGTTAAGTTTCGGAGGCGGGATCTTGAGCTTATTTAAACCCGTTTCGAGTTTCGGAGAGTCAAGATGAAGAAGCGGATGAAGAGATTCGTTTTGGCGGAGAATTCGGAGAAGGATAAAAACTGGAAGAGCTCGGACAATTTGTTGGCGCGCATGGCGTCTAAAATGAATCTAATAAACGTGAAGAATGAGTTACCGCCAGACATGCACGAGGAGGTGAAGGAAACGAAGGAGGTGAAGGACACGAAGGACGAGCAAGCGAGTCCGTCACTGGGTTCAGAAACGTAATCACATTTTATTTTGCCGATGCACAGACAAATGGCTTACAAGAACGCCACAGACTGACATGCGAGAGTCGCGAAAAAGAAAATTTTAATCGATACTCTGTGAAAAAGTAATCGGAATTGAGAGAATCGATCGAAAACTACTAGAATTGACTGTAAAAACAGAGTGACAATTATAGAGGCCAAACTTATATCCTTTTGGCAAGATGAAAGATTTTTATTATTTCATCTTGTCAAAAATTTATTACACGTAATTTGTGAAAAAATTATAATGATTAAATGCGCACTTAAAATGTAATTAATATATATTAAAAATATTATATTCTTATTTTATGTACACACAGGATATTTCATTTTATATTTGGCAGTTAAATATCTGGAAACCTTTTCATGTTGAATGTCAAAAATAAAATGAGACCATATGTGTACCTACATATATATATAAAATTAAATATAATTTTTATTATATATAGATGTAATTACAAAAATTATGATAATATATAAATCATACTTATATAAAAATTTTGATTTGACAGGCCCAGCATGTCGCAGGGTACGGTGATGATTCTGGCGCAAAATCGGCAAGAGAAGGACTTCACTGTTGCGACTCCCGAGGAGTTTGTCCATCGTTTCGGAGGCACCAAAGTGATCAACAAGGTAAAATACTCTAAACAACATTCAGAGCAGCCTAAAACGCAAAGAGAAAATGGTCAAACATCAACTAATGTAAAATATTCTCTGGGTGTTCTCTGGATGTTCTTTGAATATTCTCTGAACATCTTTCGGATGTGCTGTTATTCTTAACAGCTTTATATGAGATTTTATATGGGATTGTTTCCAGGTGCTGATCGCCAACAATGGCATCGCTGCGGTCAAATGCATGCGCTCGATTCGACGATGGTCGTACGAGATGTTTAAGAACGAGAGGGCTGTGCGTTTTGTGGTGATGGTCACGCCGGAAGATCTGAAGGCGAACGCGGAGTACATCAAAATGGCAGATCATTACGTGCCAGTACCTGGTGGAACCAACAACAACAATTACGCCAACGTGGAATTGATCGTCGACATCGCGATACGTACTCAGGTCCAAGCAGTTTGGGCAGGATGGGGCCACGCTTCGGAAAATCCGAAACTTCCGGAACTACTCCACAAAAATAACATCTGCTTCATTGGTATAAAAAAAGATATATCAAACCGGATTTTAATGAAAAAGAAAAACGCGTCTATTATTTTCTCTCTCTTCAGCTGTATATCGAATATTGTACAAGAATTTATTTAAATTAATCGTCCTGTAATATAAAGTTTTCTGCAAAATGTTTTACACCGGTTTACATTCTCTTATATTTGTTTTGTAGGACCATCCGAGAGAGCCATGTGGGCGTTAGGTGACAAAATCGCGTCTAGCATAGTCGCTCAAACTGCAGAAGTGCCGACTCTTCCTTGGTCAGGATCGGAATTGACAGCGCATTACAGTGGGAAAAAGATTAAGATATCATCGGAACTTTTCAAGAAGGGATGCGTCAGCTCTGTAGAGGAGTGTTTAGCAGCTGCCAACAAGATTGGCTTCCCGATCATGGTGAAAGCGAGCGAGGGTGGCGGCGGTAAAGGGATCAGGAAAGTTGAAAACGCCGAGGAGTTACCCGCTTTGTTCAGGTAAACGTTTCTTCAAAGTCGCCGCAGTCGCGGAAGAGGATCTTTTTTTGCATCCGTTTCTATTTCAAGGATTTCTAATATTTAGACAAGTGCAGACTGAAATACCCGGCTCGCCGATATTTATCATGAAACTGGCCAAATGCGCTCGTCACTTGGAAGTGCAATTACTAGCTGATAATTACGGCAACGCGATATCACTGTTTGGACGCGATTGTTCTATCCAAAGGAGGCACCAAAAAATTATCGAAGAGGCCCCGGCCGTAATCGCCAACTCAGAGGTTTTCGAAAAGATGGAAAAGGTAAATGAATACCGTTGATTACTACCTTGACATTAATTTTGATATTGATTGGTTGCTCTATTGATCCAAATTCTTACAGGCCGCTGTGAGACTGGCAAAAATGGTGGGATACGTTAGCGCGGGTACTGTAGAATATCTATATGACACATCCGGCAGATATTATTTTCTGGAGCTAAATCCGCGTCTCCAAGTGGAACATCCCTGTACCGAGATGGTGTCGGACGTGAACTTGCCAGCGGCTCAATTGCAAATAGCTATGGGTTTGCCGTTACACCACATCAAGGATATACGTCTCTTGTATGGAGAGACCCCCTGGGGCGATAATCCGATCGACTTTGATCAGCCACGTCACAAACCTCAACCATGGGGCCACGTTATAGCAGCTAGAATTACCAGCGAAAATCCTGACGAAGGTAAAATCTTTTTTTTTTCTTTTATATTTAGTGTATGATGATTCTTAGCGTGTATAAATTATAACTCGGCGTGGATTTTTTTAGGCTTTAAACCGAGTTCCGGCACGGTGCAGGAGTTGAATTTTCGATCATCCAAGAACGTATGGGGTTACTTTTCGGTCGGTGCTTCAGGAGGACTTCACGAATTCGCTGATTCACAATTCGGTCATTGTTTCTCGTGGGGTGAAAACCGCAATCAGGCTAGAGAAAATTTAGTCATAGCTCTGAAAGAATTAAGTATCAGGGGCGATTTTAGGACCACAGTTGAATACCTCATCACTCTCCTGGAAACCGAATCCTTTCAACAGAATAACATAGACACCGCTTGGCTCGACCTGCTGATCGCAGAACGTGTCCGCAGCGATAAGCCGGACGTTTTGCTGGCTGTCACCTGCGGAGCACTTCATATCGCCGATAGAACGATCACGGCCGCTTTCACCGGATTTCAGACGGCCCTGGAAAAGGGCCAAATACAGGCTAGCAACGATTTAGACAATGTTGTCGACGTAAGTTTCTTGAATAACTTTGGAAATAAGCTTGTGTGCGTTTTCCAACAAATATTTCATTATACTATACGTTGCAGGTAGAGCTTATCAACGATGGATACAAGTACAAAGTGCAAGCTGCCAAATCTGGTCCCAATACCTATTTCCTTGTGATGAACGGTTCTTACAAAGAGGTAGAGATCCATCGCATGTCAGACGGAGGATTGCTGCTTTCGCTGGACGGTGCGAGTCTTACGACTTACATGCGAGAAGAGGTGGATCGTTACAGAATCATGATAGGAAATCAGACATGCATCTTCGAAAAGGATAACGATCCATCTTTGCTAAGATCACCGTCGGCCGGAAAGTTGATTAATTTTTTGGTCGAAGACGGCGGCCACGTGGGCACCGGTCAGGCATACGCCGAAATCGAAGTGATGAAAATGGTCATGACCGTTACTGCCAGCGAAGCAGGTAGCGTCTTTTACGTGAAGCGACCTGGCGCTATACTGGAAGCTGGTACTCTGATCGCGCATCTTGACCTGGACGATCCGTCACTGGTGACGAAAGCGCAAGAATATACGGGACAGTTTCTAGCGGCAGCGGTGCTCTCCATGCCGGAAAAATTAAATCATCTCCATTCCAAGTATCGAAACGCTTTGGAAAATACATTGGCTGGCTATTGTTTGCCGGATCCATATCATTTGCCACGTTTGCGTGAGTTAATCGAGAAATTCATGTATTCGTTGCGCGATCCTAACTTACCGTTACTGGAACTGCAGGAGGTAATTGCAACGATATCCGGCCGGATTCCCATCTCGGTGGAGAAGAAGATTCGCAAATTGATGTCGTTGTACGAGCGAAATATCACGTCAATCTTAGCCCAGTTTCCCAGTCAACAGATCGCCGCCGTGATTGACACGCATGCAGCAACTCTGTCGAAAAGAGCCGAGCGCGATGTATTCTTCTTGACGACCCAAGCTATCGTACAACTGGTACAGAGATATCGAAACGGCATACGTGGTCGAATGAAGACCGCGGTGCACGAATTACTGCGACAGTATTACTTGGTCGAAAGCCAGTTCCAGCAGGGTCATTATGACAAATGCGTTTCCGCACTGATAGAGAAGTACAAGGACGACGTGGCGACGGTCACTGGTATGATTTTCAGTCACAATCAAGTGACAAAGAAGAATGTCTTGGTTACTATGCTGATCGATCACTTGTGGGCCAACGAGCCCGGTCTTACTGACGAGCTCTCAAGCACGTTGACCGAACTGACTAGCCTGAATCGAACAGAACACAGTCGCGTAGCGCTGAGAGCCAGACAAGTGTTGATCGCCGCTCATCAACCCGCCTACGAGCTCAGACACAATCAAATGGAGTCTATATTTCTCTCCGCGGTGGATATGTACGGGCACGACTTTCATCCGGAAAACTTGCAGAAGCTTATTCTTTCGGAAACATCCATCTTCGACATTCTTCATGATTTCTTCTATCATACTAATCGTGCGGTGTGTAACGCCGCCTTGGAAGTGTACGTGCGACGAGCTTACATCAGCTACGATCTAACGTGTTTGCAACACCTGGAGCTGTCCGGTGAGATGCCGCTGGTATATTTCCAGTTCGTTTTACCCAGCAATCATCCAAATCGTCAGGTTCAATCCTTGGTGGATTACAGAGCCGGTGCGATGGCGGCTTTCCAGGATCTCGAGCAGTTCAGTCAATACGCGGACGAGGTCTTGGATATGTTGGACGATCTGTCGAGCCCTACGCCGATGGTGTCAGCGAAATTGTTGGAGGCGGTGGACGCTGCGGGTAGCGAATCGCGGCACAGCACGTCCATCAACGTGTCCTTGAGCATGGCGGCGGACGGAACGTCAGCCACGACGGCAGTGGCGACGCCCAATGACAGGGAGTCCGCCGAACCAGTTCACATATTGAGTATCGCAGTCAAGGAAAGCGGTACCGAGGATGACGCCACAATGGCCCGAATGTTTGGAGACTGGTGCGCCAATAACAAGGAAGAATTGATAAACCGTGGCATCCGCAGAGTGACATTCGCCGCGCTCAAGAGGAGACAGTTCCCCAAGTTCTTCACCTTCCGTCAGCGAGAGGGTTTCGTCGAGGACAGGATCTATCGGCACCTTGAACCCGGTTGCGCCTTCCAATTGGAATTGAATCGCATGCGAACATACGATCTCGAGGCCCTCCCGACGTCGAATCAGAAGATGCATCTGTATCTAGGCCAGGCCAAAGTCGCAAAGGGTCAACAAGTTACCGATTATCGTTTCTTCATCCGCTCGATTATACGGCACTCCGATCTCATCACGAAGGAGGCGAGCTTCGATTATCTTCACAACGAGGGCGAACGCGTCCTCCTCGAGGCTATGGACGAATTGGAGGTCGCGTTCTCGCATCCTCTCGCGAAGCGCACCGAGTGCAACCACATCTTCTTGAACTTCGTACCCACGGTTATTATGGATCCGAATAGAATAGAGGAGAGCGTGACTAGTATGGTGTTGCGATATGGTCCGAGATTGTGGAAGCTGCACGTGCGGCAGGCGGAGATCAAGATGACCATAAGGCCCGCACCAGGAAAACCGACCTCGAACGTGCGCCTCTGCATCGCCAACGACAGCGGTTACAGCATCGACTTGCATCTTTACACGGAGGCTACCGATCCCAAGACGGGTATCATCCGTTTCGAGTCTTATCCACCCACATCGACGAACGCGGCCAATTGGAGGCCGGGACCTATGCACGGGCTACCGATCTCTACACCGTATCTGACTAAGGATTATCTCCAGGCGAAGAGGTTCCAGGCGCAGAGCGCCGGTACGACTTACGTCTACGACCTGCCGGATATGTTTCGGCAACAAGTCGAGAAATTGTGGCAGAAATACGTGGAAGAGAGGCCACTGAACGACGGTCAGAATCCGATCGTGATCCCCAATCCGGTGATGGACGTGGCGGAGTTGGTGTTAGAGGAAGAACAATTGGTCGAGCAGAAGCGATTACCGGGTGAGAACGATGTTGGCATGATCGCCTGGCGATTGACCCTGCGCACCCCGGAGTATCCTTACGGTCGGGACGTCATACTCATTGCCAATGATCTCACGTACCTGATAGGTTCGTTTGGAATACGCGAGGATCTGCTGTTCTGCCGAGCTTCCGAAAGGGCGAGGCAGCTCAGATGTCCGCGGATATATTTCTCCGCCAATTCTGGCGCCCGTATCGGTCTGGCCGAAGAGGTAAAGGCCCTCTTCAGGATCGCGTGGGAGGACGAGAACGAGCCGGAGAAGGGCTTCAAGTATATCTACCTCACACCGGATGATTACACGCGCTTGGCGTCTTTCAACTCGGTCAAGGCCTCGCTGATCGAGGATCCCGCGGGCGAGTCCCGTTACAGGATCACGGACATCATCGGCAAGGACGACGGCTTAGGAGTGGAAAATCTCAAGTACGCTGGTCTGATTGCTGGCGAAACGTCCCGGGCTTACGACGAGATCATCACCATCTCCATAGTGTCTTGCCGCGCGATCGGTATCGGCAGTTATCTGGTGCGTCTCGGCCAGAGGGTGATACAGATCGAGAATTCGCACATTATTCTGACTGGTTACCGGGCGCTGAACGCCGTACTGGGTCGCGAGGTTTACGCCAGCAATAATCAGCTAGGCGGTACTCAAATTATGCACAACAACGGGGTGTCTCACGCGACCGATGCCCGGGACATGGACGGAGTCGCGACCGCCTTGAAGTGGCTCACTTACTTCCCCAGGAACAAGGGCGCCTCGTTACCGATTCTCCTGCCCATCACGGATCCGATCGATCGTGAAATCGCTTATATGCCCACGAAGACGGCCTACGATCCAAGGTGGATGCTAGAAGGCAGACACTGCAGCGAATCGAATTGGGAGAGCGGCTTCTTCGACCGAGGATCGTGGCACGTGAGTGCTTTTATTTATTTATTTTTTTGCATTTTTCGTTCAGCAAATCTTCATTAACCGGCTCATGTCTTCTACGAGTAGGAAATAATGAGGCCGTGGGCGCAAACGGTGGTGACCGGACGGGCCAGACTCGGTGGTATACCTTGCGGAGTGATTGCTGTCGAGACCAGGACAGTCGAGCTGCATTTACCCGCCGATCCTGCCAACCTAGATTCCGAAGCTAAGACCTTGTCTCAAGCTGGACAGGTTTGGTTCCCGGACAGCGCGTACAAGACTGCGCAGGCTATTCAGGATTTCGGAAGGGAGGAGTTGCCGCTCTTCATCTTTGCTAATTGGAGAGGCTTCTCTGGAGGCATGAAGGGTAAGTCCTTGGAGCGTCCTTCGCTTAATTCGCATAGTCTCATTTCATGATTTTCTCTCTTTTTTAGACATGTACGAACAAATTGTCAAGTTTGGTGCATACATCGTCGATGGGTTAAGGCAATATACTAAGCCGATATTCGTTTATATTCCGCCGAATGGAGAGCTCAGAGGTGGTGCTTGGGCCGTCGTGGATCCTACGATAAATCCTCGTTTCATGGAGATGTTCGCGGACAACACTAGCAGAGGTGGCGTCTTGGAAGCCGATGCGATTGTAGAGATTAAATTTCGAAACAAGGACATTGTGAAAACTATGCATAGAGTCGATCCTGTAATAGTCAAGCTAAAGGTAAGACCTAATTTTAAATTACTTAATTCATCACTAACATCCTTTTACAATTTTAAGTCCAACTCGTGTATCTTTTTAGGAGAAATTGTCGACCGCAACAGAAGACCGACTGGAGCTCGAGGCACAGATTCGTAAACGCGAGAAGCTTCTAGAGCCAATGTACCGTCAGGTCGCCATTTATTTCGCCGACCTGCACGACACGCCGGAGAGGATGTTCGAGAAGAATACGATTCAGGAGATAATACCGTGGAAGAAAGCGCGAGGGTTGTTTTACTGGCGATTGCGACGCAGGCTTCTGGAGGAGGAGATTAAAAACGAGATCTTGTCGACGCAGCCGAATCTCGATGTCAGGCAGGTGGGAGCGATGTTGCGACGCTGGTTCATCGAGGACAAGGGAACGACGGAATCGTACTTGTGGGATCAGGACGAGGCCGCGACCTGCTGGTTGGAGGCTCAACGTAGAACGGACGATAGTGTCGTGTCGCGTAACATTACGTGCGTGAAGAGAGACGCGGTGGTGACGCGCATCAAGGAGGCTCTGGACATCTGTCCGGAGATTAAACTGGACGCTGTCCTGGAAATTGCGCACAGATTGCAACCGGCCGAACGAGCAGAGTTGCAGAGAACTTTGTCGCAGATGGAGACAAGAGAGACGGGGCAGGAGCACCAAGACACGGACGTCTCGTCCTGAGTGTATTTTGCGTGTAAGCACACTTGCCACGCGAACCTCATTCATTCCAGCTTGTTAAATGCTCGTCGATAGTACAATTCATCATCAAAGACATAACGTAATTATTTGTATCGGTTTTCACAGATATTCTTTGTTGTCAAGGATGATTAATCAATTATTGATAATCAAGTAGAAAATGTTTCAAATAGATAGCGTGTTTCAAAGGCTTTTTAAATTTCGACTTCGTTTCTGAAGGTCGAAGAATCTCAACGGTTAAACCCTTGGTGAGGGCTGCACTCTTTCAATTTAGAAATTTTTAAATTACTAAAAAAATATATCGCGCTTTTATGAATTAGATAGTTTGTTGAACGATTTTTATCGTAGTTTCCGATATATCGAAAATGCTCGAAATACATATATTCTTGAAAATAAATATTTTATTAAATAGAGGAATAAAAGCGCGTCACTGCCATTCATGTGACCGTGGTGATGGTATCTATACCATATTTATAGATTATACTTACATCGTAATGAGATTCGAGATACTGAAAATATCGCATGTTCCTTCAGTTGCATCTCTTTGTCATGACTATTAAACTTTTATAAATTAGGATATACAAATCTGGAAAGAAAATATAAATTTGTATAATAAAATAAGTTATTAAAAAGTTCATACAATCACATATCTTATAATTTATTAATAACGGTATTATATTTATAACGACATTATAGCATATGGAATCTTAACACACATCTTTCAACTTTCAATTCCTTGATTATAACGCTTTGATGATAAGACACTACTTTCCTTAATTTGATATTCTACACATTGTATCTGGAAGAACATGCGTTACTAAAAAATACATGATTCTGTGTTTAATTACACACACATACGCACACATTTCTCGAAGGAAATGCGATTGTAACATTACAAAATATTACAAACAATATCCTTATGTAACATTATTTTATGATATATGCAACAAAAACACAATTCGCGTATATATTATATTAATGTTTATTTTCTTTTCACATTTTACGCGAAAGGTGTATATGTGTGTGTGCATATTTTATATATAATTATATTTTAAAACTCTGATCGTATCTCCTAAAAAAAAGGCGCCATCGAAGAATTTCGATTTTACTTATTATGTTTTAAAACCGAAGATTCTTTTGAATATTTAACTAAAAAAATGGGCTATTAAGAATCAGTTTTTTGAGAATCTAATTAAAATTTATGGAGATTCTCATTAGAATGAAAAAAAATGTGCGCTTTCTTTTTACTCAATCGCATCTGGCTCTTAATAATTCATTTTTTTCGTTTATTAGATATTTTAATGGAAAACTTATAGAATTTTGTATGCATTTATATCACTCATTCTGCTTCCAAAACCTGCGTGCGTAATCCTTTCGTGCAGACAATAATCATGGCGCGTTTCTATCACAAAAGAGAGAAGAGTTTTTTATATGCTTTATACATTTTTGGTAACATTGCCCGAGTAAACTATACATTGTATATATTCAAACCTTGTAAAAACAAGTTATAAAATTATATATATATACATAATTCTAAATATACAGCTCTATACAAAAGAGATTCTCAAAAAACTGGTATTTGGCTGCGATGTACGTCTATTAGATCGTCGTCTAAAGTAAGCAATACCATGAATGAAAAGAACATTGCTAATGCCGAAAGAAAGTGCCAGATGTCATGAGAATCAAAAAAGTTCAATAATTCGCAAGGTCTATTATACAAACGGGACTGGGCTGGGGTAAGAGCCCAAGATATAGTCTTATTCACGAAGAAGTACATAGCTGCTCCCCAAAATAGCATGGATAAGAGAATGTAAATCCCGGGCGTGAGGAGAATCCGTTCTCTATGGCAAAGCTGAAAAGATTTTCGGGCATTAAAAGATGCTAATTGACTTCCTATACAGAGTTCAAAACAATAGAAATAGAGAGAATGTACATACCTTCATCACTATGTAAAAGAAGGTGTATAAAATTAAATTAGACATTAGTATAGCTAATAAAAACGTAGCGAAGTTGTTCTCGTGATACATATTCCCGAATACCGCGAGTCCGACGTTGCATAAATTCGCTAATACGAGCATTATAAACCTAGCCGGATAGAGCGGTCGGAGTAGATGCCATATACCGCAGCGCGCGTCGTGTTTGAAGGTCTGTAAAATGACAGAAATCAAACGGCGAATGTCTCGCGGCGATTACAAAATATTAAGGAAAGAAAGAAAGTCGCATATACCTGTATTACTCTGTTAAAAACACCTCTGTTGAATTTGCATCGTCCCATGTAATATATTTGTACAGTCAGAATAAAACATATGAGTAAATGCAGAATGCTGAATATCACCCAAAAACACGTGGAGCCATTCAAGACTCCGATTAATCCTACGAATATTATAAGGGCCAGAATTCCAAACGTCACCGGTGCCCTGGCATTTATATCAGGGTGACGATTCTGATAGATCTTGAGCATGCACAGCACTGCGATTACGTACATAAAACTGGTGTCTGTAAAAAAAACAGATAAGGATATTGATTAACGATATATGGCAGATAAGAAACGACATAAGATGGAAAGAAAATAGTATTTCTGTTGTTACTCACCAAATTGAAAATTACTACGACTAGGACACACATGATAACTCGCTGATAGTATACCTTCCATTATCAATGCCGTGCCCATGGCATAAAACAAACCGTAATGCTGCGGTATACCGTAACACTTCGTCATATCCGTATTCGATTCGTTGTGTTCTCGAGAGTAAGTTAGAAATATGAATAGTAAGCCCAGTAAAAAGTATCCAAAATTCGAGAAAACGTGATTGAAATCAGACAGCAGACCCAGTGGATGAGCGCACAAAAAGTTGTAGTAACACATATCTTGATTTCCGGTCGTGTGTAACACTCGCTGATACGTTATCGCTAATTGGACAACCGGCAGGGTGTAGAATACCGCGACGGTTGCCAAATAATATAGATACAAACGAGATTTATGTCGCAATATTCGCGGTTCCTTGCGAGCGAGGTCGCAAACTGAGAGAACGATCTTCGTCCGTATTACATCCTTATCGGAGAGAGCATCCTCCATTAGATCTATGTCGTCCTCGTCTAGAGACGAATCTTCCTCCACAGAGTCCCATTGCCTGACCTGTAAAATATTTTCAATCAAAATGCATTTAAAATTAGTATAAATATATAATATATATATATATATATATATATATATATATATATATATATATATATATATATATGTATAAAAATATATAAAATTAATAATATATAGTATATATCTATTGCTTTTTACTTTGATATTACTTACCTCTCCAGGCATCGAGGGACTCGGCACCTGATCATTGATATCCTGATTTTGCTCGTTTATCGGTTCTACAAATTCTCTATTCTTTCTTATATTGAATACAACCACAGCCGTTATATAAAAGATACAAAAACACAATCCAATTGCTCCTGCTGATCCTGATGCAATGATATAATCTCGTTTCGTGATAGTAGGATTTATAATCAACGTGACGTTTTTTGTACGCAGAGGATTTCTACTGGATATTCCGTTACAATCAGTATCTTCCGCTTTAACGACCAGCACAACGAAGAATCCTGATGGATAAGTCTCTCTCTGCATCAAGTATACCAAAATTCTATATTACGTCGCAAATATATATAAAATATATGCTTATAAAAGACCATTATATATAATCTTACATATTACTCACCGGTATTGTAATACCCCCTCTTCTGCTTACAGTCTGCCAATGTCCAGAGAGTTCAATGTTTCGTTCTAAATCAAACACTGGACACTGCAAGAGAAAAAAACAGAATTTATATATTATAAATATAATTTGTATAATATTTTTATTATTTTCAAAAAGTATTACGTAAAGTATTAAAAGTATTAAGACTCACCGATGTATTTTGTACAGACACAGTCATACAGATATCATTATCCGATTCCACGCGAACAATAACAGAGGAAATATCTGTCTGTTTCGAGAAGATGTAACCATAAAATATAGGCTCAGATGGAGAGATCTCTATTACTCTCTTATTTCCTGAACTGCAAAAAATGAAACGTTATGAAAATTTACAGGCAAAAGTACAATTATTTTGTATTGTTTCTCAACTAATATTTTAATATATACCTTAAGTAAAAATCCATCACTTCCACTACACTGAGATTAAATGAGATATTCTTGTGGCTGGCTGTAGATATACCAACAATAACATATGCATCATCATCCTTTGGCGCATGTCGATAGTACTTTGTGGAGCATAAAGTTCGACTAGTTTTATTATATACTACAGAACTGTCTGCGCTCTCGACTAATAAGGGTATTTGCCAAGATAAAATCCCTGTTGTTTGACGTACTATTACTATCAATGGTAAACTGTGCGTTGCGTTGCTTTCTATCTTTATCCTTGCAGTTTCCAGGGATATCTAAAAGTATGTATCGTCTAGTTTTAATAATAAATAAGAGAATTATGCAATTAATTTATTTCACCGAGACTTACATTGGCAGCGGGATACAAATATACATATTCCACAGAAGCATTTATAATGTTTGGATAACTTTGTCCATATTTAGCCTGGGTGACAATTGGAGACGGAGAGAAGGAAACTGCAGCATTGAAAAGCAGCAATATAGTAATCAATCCTAAGGCATTTCGCATCTCCATTGAATGTGCTGGAAAGAAGACAAAATAAAATTCTTAACCAGAGGCAAAATAATTTAAAAAAAAATTAATTTAGTAGAAAAGCGCGTTTGCATGTCTTTGTACAATGTCATTCAATGTTGTAACATTTGTCGATATATTGAAAGAACGATAAATCATCAGACATATTATGAAAAATTACCAATGATTGTTGTTCCCATTTTGACATAAATCGAGAGCAAAAAGCTCCTTTCTCTCTTCTTTCATAAAATTACGTTATTGTGCTATATGACGCATGTCCTAATTCGTGACAGCTTTAAAATGTTTGGTTATCTCATTTCAATAGTGTGTCAAATGTATTAAGTAATCTTTATAAAAGAGAGATATGCTCCAAAGATACAACAACTTTATTTTGCTCCTCTATCGATTTCCGTCCTGTTGGGGAAACCAAATTTGCTTCGGCTTGTTTGTCAACCACAGCAGCTGACTGCATCATCTCACCGCTGACAGTTCGTGAACATACGTACACTAGTGCAGAAAGTGCAGCTGTAAAGAACGAACACTTGTATGTATTCGACGTTACAAACGTAGGGTTTGATTGACTAATCTTCCTCTTACATATTTATTTTGATTGACGCTTTTATAAGGTAAAGTACTTCTAAAATATAGTACTAAAAGAGAGCTCAATAAAATAAATATATATATATTTAATATAAATATATGTAGTGTTGTGTTCATATATAGAAAATTAATAAATCTTGAAATTTTAATAAACAAAAACGAATAAATAAAAAAATTTTTAAATATATAGAAAAATAAATTTTTTAAAATTTTGAATAAAATAAAAAGTTATTAAATAAGTAATTTTAATAAATTTCGATGTATATAAGAAATTGTAAATATATTTATTTATGGGACAAGTCTTGTCTGAACTTATCTGAATACACGTGAAATGTCTTTTTTCCGACAGCCAATCAGAGCGCGAGCTGCGGATGCGCAAAAGATCTGCGCGTTTAAGCGCGTCTCACACGGAATTCGTTCAGTGCTGCTGCTGCCGTTGCTGGTTGAACGCGGAATAATAATAATGGCGGAACCGTGTTTTGTTATTACGTGTGGACGATAATGGTTATTTGTATCCTGGCACGCGTGTGGGAGACTACGTTTCTGTTTGGAAAACATCAAAAAATAAGGACAAGCTGTTCCGATGCGTCTTCGTCACGTCGCTAATGTGAGGTGATCCTGCTCGTTCTATCTTGAAGAGACACGGAATATTTCGCAGCGTGTCACTACTCAGTGGAGTAAATAGCAATATAGATATAGATTTATATATACATATATATATATTATACACATACACATATAATATATATATATATCTACCGTACCGCGAATTCTTCGATGTTACGAAACTAACTTGCGAACCAGCTTTCCCACCGCAAATGGGAAAGATGAACGAGAGATTTGTCAGACGGCGCAGACGGGTCGGGAGTTATTTTTGATTAACGCTCTCCCGTTGTCTCGCGCGTGTCGTGATGTGAAAGTGGATCGACGTATGTACGTGTGCTCGCCCACCACGCGTACGTGCGTGCGTTTAACTCTTGTGCCTGATAAATAGAGAGTTCCCCGAATTTTTTTTCCCCCCTAATCATTCATCATGGTGCACGGCGCGATCCCGAGCGCGTACAAATACAACTTTTGGGCGGAGAGGCCCGGGGATGCACAGGAGCCCGCGGTGGTGGAACTCACGTGCCTCATGCCAAACGGTGTTGTCATACCGTTTGAGATCAATCGCAATATTACCTTGGATCAGATCAAGGAGGTGAGCATATATATATATAGGGGCTGATTCAGCGGAACAAACTTTGACAAGCTGTGTTTGCGGGCTCATTCTGAGTTAAGCTTTGACATTTCTCACTCAGAATCTCCTCCCAAATCAATCTGTCAGTTTATTACACTTGTTTCAAATCACTCTGTGTAATAGATCTCTTCTGTCATTGCGCTGTAATGTTCTTTCTTCTTTGACGATTACATATTCTCATACTTTAATCGACTAATTTAAGTAATGTATATGTGAAAGCAAAAAATAAGACTGATTCAGAAACGAGTGGAACAAACTTTGACAAATTGCATTTGGGGGCTTATTCTGAGTTAAACATTGATATTTTTCACTCAGAATCTCCTTCCGAATCAATCTGTCAGTTTGTTACACTTGTTTCAATCTCCTCTGTCATTGCGCTATAATGTTTTTTCTTCTTTGACGATTACATATTCTCATACTTGAATCGACTAATTTGTGTAATGTATATGTGAAAATAAAAAGTACAATCAGATTCTTGCATCTTGGAAACAAAACATGTATATACTTGATTAAAATTATTTAAATGTCATTTTAATGTCATGATAGAGATGCATTTTATTTTCATGGACATTTGTTATTATTAATGCGAGTCTATATTAATGTCATATACAAAAATATATACATGTTGCAACTGATGAACAAGTATGCAAGTACATGTGTATTTAATGTACATGCAATATTGTACAAATTAAAAGCTAAACATATGAAACTTACATAATTAATGTTTAACAGGATCTGTGGGACGAGGCTAGCAAGTACCCTCTACATGGAACGTTGAAAGATGCACCATCGTATGTATTTTCGTGCATCAACTCAAATGCAGAGGTAGAAGAATTGCGCGATGAAACGAGACGTCTCTGTGATATAAAGCCGTTTTGTTCGGTGTTAAAAGTTATAGAACGCGAAGGTATAAAAAGCGATAGGAATTTAGATTCGCAAATCGGTCTCTTAATCGGCAAAGGTCTGCACGAGTTCGCCGCCCTAAAAAATTCCGAGGTAAATGACTTCAGATGGAAAATGCGTCTTTTGGGGGACGATGTGGCTTTAAGTAGACAAAAGAGAAGTTGGACGGAAAAGGTGCATTATCAGTTTCCATCGAAGATAGCGCCAGTGCCGACTATACCTAAGAATATCGAGAGTCGTTTGAAGGACGGAAATATCGTTTTGGTCACTAAATTCGAAAACTCAGAAGTAAGAAAATATTTCCACATTTTTTTCGTCGCCTTTTCCCAACAAATTCTCACTGAAAAATTAATAAATCATATTATTTACAGACAGCGTTTACCTTTCAAGTACCACATAGCATTACGCCGCCTGAATTACTCGAGATAATCTTGAACAAAAGAGCGAACACTCTTAATACTCGGGGTGAACAACCGAACGACTTTACGCTTAAGATTTGCGGACAGGAGGAATATTTGATCGGCGACAAAACGCCGCTCATACAATTTAGCTATATTCAAGATTGCCTAGCGAAAGACATCACACCTACGTTGGTTACGCTCAGCAAACAGAGCGTACCTGTGGACCAAGATAACGCCTTTGACAATCCGGAAGTGGACACCTTGCAGCGTACAAAACCGTCGTCTTCCACATTAACATTGCGCAAGAAGGGCAAGCACATTTCGGCGTGGAAACTCGAAGAACCTTTCGTTTTTACCGTCAATGGAATTTCTCGACTTAATTGCGACGCCGCTCATCGTACTGTAGAGGTATGTTATTATCTCTTTGGAAATATTTTTGGAAAAATAGAGTTATTGAAGAAGAGCTCTTGTGTAATTCCGATTCTTCTTATTTTTGCGCATAGATTGGACTACAAGCTGGCCTTTTTCACGGTGGAAAATCTCTCTGTGAAAGTCAGAAAACCAAAGAAATTATTGTAAATCCCGATGGTAGTTGCGAATGGGAAGAGACTCTCAAATTCGACATCAAAGTCAGAGATATACCGCGAATGGCACGGCTATGTTTTGTATTGTATGAAATCAGCAAGACTGCAAAGGGATTAAAGAGTAGAAAACTGGTCAGGGATTCGAAGCAGGAGTTCTTTATAAATCCTTTATGTTGGGCGAATACAACTATATATGATTTTAAATCCCAGTTGAAAACCGGGGCTATGACATTGTATACGTGGACTTATGCGGAAGATATACAAAATGACGATTTACTTCATCCTCTCGGGACAGTGGTCTCGAATCCTCATATAGACAGAGCAGCCGCTCTTATGTTAACGTTTCCAAAGTAACTATATGTTTTGTAATTTACAAAATGTGATATATAATAATTTGTGTTATGTTATATTTTATTCGTTTACTGTTTTAGTTATGGAAAAGATCAATGTGTTCTTTATCCTACACCGGAGAAAATGGTCGAATATGCCCAAACGTTGCGGGAACAATCAACAAACGAACGCACGACTAAAGACGAACTAAATCAGGAATCCGATGTTAGTCAACAATTGGATCAATTGAGATTATTAACTGACCGGGATCCGTTGCACGAATTACACGAGCAAGAAAAGAAGACAATGTGGACGTTGAGGCATCATTGTCTTCGTGAAATTCCGACGCTTTTAGCTAAACTATTACAATGCGTAGAATGGAACGATCATAGGTAAGAGATTGATTTGCTTATAATGGGAAAGCGACGTATAAATAAATCAAAACTTGTGAATACTTGCAGAGAAGTCGCGGAGGCTACGGCACTTATACAACAATGGCCAAAATTGCCAACGGAAAAGGCTTTGGAATTATTAGATTATGCTTATGCCGATCAAAATGTTCGAAATTTTGCGGTTCGTTGTTTAAAGGACGTCACCGACGATGATCTCAGTCTTTACCTGCTGCAACTCGCTCAGGCCTTGAAACATGAAAATTATCTGGCGTGTCCTTTGACGGAGTTTCTCTTGAAACGGGCACTTAACAATCAAAGGATAGGACACTTCTTATTTTGGCATTTAAGGTTGATTGCAGTTTCATACGCATTATCTTAAATTATCTATTACATACAGTCTCCTCTCTCATTTACTCGATTTATGAAAAATAGGTCAGAAATGCAAGTCGGCTCCGTGTCAGTTCGTTTCGGTCTCATATTGGAAGCGTACTGCAGAGGAAGTCAACAGCATATGCGATCGCTATTCAGGCAGGTCACATGTTTGGATAAATTGAGGAGTGTCTCGGAACAAGTGAAGCTGAAAAAGGATCGTAAAGCTGCTCTCCAAGGGTTTCAAGATTTTATCCAGGAACCGCACTGTCAAGAGGCGATATCCAACGTCCTCAATCCTCTCGACCCGAGTTTCAGGTGGAATCGCATCAAGTGAGTTGTTTTTCAAATTTATGAAATATTATTTTAAACTCCTTCTAATATCGATCGCTTTTCTCTTTTCGTCCTAGACTCGAAAAGTGTCGAGTAATGGACAGCAAGATGCGACCGCTGTGGCTAGTTTTCGAAAATAGCGATCCTTTCGGCGAAGATATCTACTTAATCCTCAAACACGGAGATGACTTGAGGCAAGATATGCTGACACTCCAAATGCTACGTATTATGGATAAACTCTGGAAGAAGGAGGGCTTAGACTTGCGCATGAATCCATACGGTTGTATATCTACGGAGAATAGAGTCGGGATGATAGAGGTAGTATTGAATGCAGAAACGATCGCGAACATCCAGAAGGAGAAGGGCACGTTCTCTGCGACAGCGGCCTTCAGGTATATACTCCTAACACATGCGCGATATCGAAAATATAATTCAAAAGACGAAATTTTTTATCAACTTTCTTTTTTTGTAGGAGAGGTTCTTTACTAGCTTGGCTAAAAGACCATAATCATACGGAAACGGCATTAAACAAAGCGATCGAGGAATTTACCTTGAGTTGTGCGGGTTACTGCGTCGCGACCTACGTTCTCGGAATAGCCGACAGACATTCTGACAATATAATGGTTAAGAAGACTGGACAATTGTTTCACGTCGATTTCGGTCATATCTTGGGCCACTTTAAGGAGAAGTTTGGATTCAGACGCGAACGTGTACCCTTTGTTCTTACCAACGACTTTGTACACGTTATAAATAAGGGCCAAACGAAGAAGGGTCACGCCGCCGAGTTTCAAAGATTTCAGAGCTACTGTGAGCAAGCCTTTTTGGTTTTGCGTCAACACGGGGGACTTATATTGTCCCTATTCGCTATGATGATATCTACCGGACTGCCTGAACTCTCATCGGAGAAAGATCTGAATTATCTTAGAGACACCTTGGTACGTATAATCTCTATGCAAGATACAACCATTAATATATTAAAACTAATAAAGACGTTTATATATCTTTTCAGGTCCTAGAAATGTCCGAAAATGAAGCGCAAAAGCATTTTAGAGGCAAATTCGACGAGGCCCTCTGCAATTCGTGGAAAACGTCATTGAATTGGGCATCGCATAATATGTCCAAGAATAATAAGACTACGTGAACGGCGACGACAATCGTATTTTGCGCCAATGAGTCTTGAAAGCACTTGAAAATGCAAGTCACAAACACATCATCGAACAGCGTGTGCGTTATCAATGTTAAGGTGAACGCTCTGACATATTTGAGCATGTCGCGATCGACTGCTTGTTTGGGACACCTGTGGACTAGAGTAAAGACTATCTTCGTTTCCGTAACTCCGACACTGTCGTTAAGATTAGACAATTTTTGGCGACCGCGACCAGTATACACTTAAGACTGTATAAAATCATTGCTGCTGCTGCTGCTGGCGTCAGCGGATGTCATATTTATCCGAGAGAGAGAGTTGATTTAGTAAAATTATCTCTCGAGACTCGAAGATACGTTAGGCTCGTACTTTTTTTCGGAGTCTTATTACCCTACGCAGCACGAGCAGTCGGTGCCTACGTTCGGTATAGTAATACATTCTTCAACGACGGACGTACGGTACATATCACTGAACAGGATTTTTAAGTTTCGCTCAGCTAAGGTTTAGATTAAGTTTGAAATTCCGTCGAGTGATCTTAAATCGTGTAAAATAAGAAACTGGTTTTCTTTCGTAAAACTAAGAGGGAGGGGGGGTTTATTCTCAAAATATTTATTCGCGATACGCCAAGTATGTCTGTGAGATTGACATACGTGAATTTATTTCGCTTGCAACACGAAATAAACCGTTAAAGTCTTACATTCTCTCCGTCAACGTCAAGATCTTTTCACTAGATTTTTGACTATACAAAAACTATATAGCGAACTGAAGATCTTTATTATTTGTCAAACGTGATACGGAAGAATGCAACAACGCATCGCAATGTTTTTTGTAATTCAAAAAGAAACTTGGCGATCGTTTCGATAATGGACGATGCGGTCTTTCTCGCATCATCCATTGGCAATGACAGTGTGATAACCCAAAGCAATATCTATTTTGCAAAACTGTGACACGACGAAGCAGCACCGATGAAGAAAAAAAGAAAGATCGTGATCTACCACGAGCGATCCTTATTCTGGGATAATCCAGTATTTCCTTTGAGTATCTCGATTGCGCGAAATTAACTGCTGATTTGCGTAGGTGCGTCACTGCCGACTGAAAATATTCTTTTGTCACGTCTTACATTTATTTCTTATTCCGAGAGCAAAAAGAAATGATAGTTTCATGCCGATGACAAGTGAAATCTTTCCTAATTATATCACGCGTGCGATATCGTGTTTGAGATGCATACATATATAGATATATGAAAATAACGCGAAATCACACACACTACAAGAGATACATATATAAATATATATATTTTGATAAATATACTGCAATCCACATATTATAGCGATATAGTTGAATCAGTAGGGCCACATTCATACTTCAGCGCTGTCCTACGTAATAGACCGCTACGCTTTCTTAAAAAAATAAAAAATAAAAAAAACGGCTCTAAAAACGACGACACGACCGTACCGCGTTCTTCTCACACACAATACATATATACACACACATACACATAATGTAAGATAAGATAATGATCTCTAATACACTCTAGGAAAGAGAAAAAAAAATAAATAATGTTGCAGACTGCGTCACACAATGTCGCATATATCCATATCATCATCATAATCATCATCATCCTCTTAACTAGTGCATTACATTGAAATTGTTTACAGAGAGAGTAACTCCTCATCTATATATAAACACGCATAATATTATACATATAGGAGCGATAGATAATACATGTACGTGTGTACATCTCTCGAAATCCCTCGACCGAATTTTTGATTTTCGATATCTTAATCTTCGCCGAACGGATTTTGTAAAAAAAAAAAGAAAAAAATATAAAAGTCCAACTGGGGACTCTGTATGTATATAGGAGAGATAGGGTGATACCGTGCACACGACTGCGAACTGACGGAGAGGGGCGTTCCTCGTATATATCTTCGTAGACACGCAGGTGATGTGTATACACGCATCCGCGATACCGCGAGGAAGAGAAGCCGGGTTCTCTCTCTTTCGTTCCTTTAAAAGCGTGACACTGTACTGTCTCGTGCGCGATTTTCGTCGCTCTCGCAATTTTCTTTTTACTTTTTTTTCTTCTTTCATCGTATCGCAACGATATTGGAATATTGTAATTTTTTGTACAACGTGCACATAGAGAGAGAGAGAGAGAGAGAGAGATCTGTATTGGTCGATGTCTGTCTTGTAAATAAAAACCCGAATTTTTCGAAACCGTTGCGTTCCTTCAATTCTTGCGAGAATTCGTCGGTACAAATTATATCACGCGATTATATAAACATTATATTATTTGTAATTAACATTAGAGACTGTTATATTTTTCTTTTAATTGATACTTGGCAGTCTGCGTCTGCGAAAAGAAGAAGAAAAGTCATCAAGGAAAATGACAGCTACCGAGGAAACGGAACCGTTGATATCCACCACACCGACGACTTCCGCCGGAAAAAGCCAAAGGGTCACTTATCATACAATTTCCTTTGTAAGTGAAAGAATAAGCAAAATTCGACCAGATTATTTTAAGTCTTATTTTACAAATTCAACAATAACAAGTGGATTAAATCCAAATTATTTTCAGTCAGATCTTTTTTATCACGCATTTTCTGTATTCTTATCTTTTATCTTATTCTCATATATATGCATTTCGTAATATGGCTTTTAAACCTCAGTCATTCATATCTAATATGGCTTCGTTCCATTTCCAATTCTAGCGAGAATTCAATTGCGTGAGCGAAGCTGTAATTCGAGCAGAATCAATAAATGTCAATTTTTTTATCGTAATTTTATATCATCCGATTTTTGTATAAAATCAATCTTTATCTCTAACAGATATATTATCGAGGCAGTTTAAATATTTTCGATTAATCATAATGATTAAACTTTGACAAGTTATATTGTAAAAAAATAATCGTAAATCATTATATTAAGGAAAAAGTTTGAATATTTGGCGAAAGAATTTTTAAAAAATACTTTGTAATTTAAGAAAAATTATTAGCGAAATAATACATTTTTTACAATGCGTTATTTACACTAAAATATATAAAAAAAAAAAATAGAAGCTCTATTGTTGTAGGAAGCGAACGAAAGAAATGGATTGTATGACGGAAGCCCCGAGAACTCTTTTAGTCTGAAAACGATTTCGAGGGCGCCGACAGGCGTGAATTTCAACAACAGCGAAATCTTCAGCAACAGAATCACGTACACGTGGAGCGACGTTAATGTTTATTACAGTACGAAAAACAATAGGATCTGGGATAAATTAATCTGCAGGCCTCGAAAGTTCATCGCACAGAAGCATATATTAAAGGATGGTAAAAAGAAGCTAGAAACAAAAAGAATAATTGCATTTTCTTTCGATATTATCGCGACAATTTTCTGAGAAAAAGATACATGTAATCATATATAAATATAAAATATAATTATTTATATATTCTTTTTTTTTTATATGTATATACTGTTTCTGTTTATAAAAGAAAATAATTATAAGAATAATTTTTACATTGTTTAAAAAAAATTAATTTTGTAATTAAATATTTTACAATAATATTATATATAAAATATACACAGAATATTATATGTAATTTAATCGCATTCAGTTTTTTTAAACAATGCAAAAATTGTTCTAATTATTTTTATGTATTCTTCTTTTATGTATCTTTCTTATTCATGATGTATAAAATTATAAATTTTGTATATATAGATTAGAATTAGAATTAGATTATATAATCATATATAAAATTACATAATTTAATCGCATAATTTATTTTTTTATTTTTATTCAAATTTTTCCTATATAAGAGAGAGAAAAAATATATATGTAAAAATTTCATATATATAATTATATATATATTTATTTATGATTATATATAAACTGTTTTAGATTTGCGGAATACGCGTGTGTATTCACAGAGCTTCTACTGTATTTCGGAAAATTAATCTGCATCCTTTTTAGTGTGCGGAGTGGCCCATCCTGGCGAATTGCTCATAATCATGGGCGCGTCAGGTGCAGGCAAGACGACCTTATTAAACGCACTGACATTTCGTACAACACGTGGGGTGTCCACGTCCGGTTCGATGGCCGCCAACGGCCAAAGAATATCACCGGATGTACTCACCTCGAGGATGGCTTACGTGCAGCAGGATGATCTGTTCCTCGGCACGTTGACGGTCACGGAGCACCTAATGTTTCAGGCGACAGTGCGAATGGATCGGCACATACCTCGTCAACAGAGGATCAAGCGGGTCAATGAGGTCATCGACGAGGTAATGCGTTAATCGTGTTAAAAGTAGATGCAAATGAGCGAGAAGAATACTCAAGATACTTTTATTAATATATTCTTTTCCATCGATGATGATGCATTTTATATATTAAAAATTTATTTAAAATGTACTGTTTTATGCCATACTATATAGTAAAATATATATCTCTCTCTAATATTGTATTGCATTTAAAATGTATAAAAAATTAATTTTATTGTAAGGTAACTTATAAGGCAATACTTGTGTGAAATATATATGTACCATTAATTCAGTGTCTCTTTCATGAGCAGCTCGCCCTTTCGAAATGCCGAAACACCACGATAGGGATACCCGGTAAAGTGAAGGGTCTTTCGGGCGGCGAAATGAAGAGATTATCTTTCGCTTCCGAGGTACTGACCGATCCGCCACTGATGTTCTGCGACGAACCCACATCCGGTTTGGATTCCTTCATGGCTCATCAGGTTGTTTCCATCTTGAAGACGTTGGCGGGTGAGTAAGCTGCAAATAAATCATCTTAAAATATAAAGGTATAATAAACAAATTCTTATAGCAAGTGGTAAAACGATCGTCGCCACTTTACATCAACCTTCATCGGAGCTATTCATTCTATTTGACAAAATTCTGCTGATGGCCGAAGGAAGAGTCGCCTTCATGGGTACAACCGCGCAAGCTTGTTCCTTTTTCAAGACGTAAGCTCAGCCAATGAAACAATAAACTGTATTAGATCCGCATATTTAAAAAAATGAAAGCCGGTGATGTATAATATAATCTCTCCCAGACTCGGTGTAGCCTGTCCCAGCAATTACAACCCTGCCGATTACTTCGTGCAATTATTGGCCGTGGTACCGGGACGCGAGTTGGCCTGTAGACACGCGATCAAAACGACGTGCGACAGCTTCCGGGGCAGCGAATACGGCAGAAAGATCGTCATGGAGGCAGAAACAATTCATGGCGAAATTGAGAGTTCTCTCAAGTATTCTAAGGATTCCAATCGGTCGCCTTACAAGGCCAGCTGGTGCGAACAGTTTCGCGCCGTTCTGTGGCGATCCTGGCTGTCGGTGATCAAGGAACCGATCCTCATCAAAGTTCGCCTCCTACAGACTGTCGTACGTTTTTCTCTCTTATAGAGATACAAATATTTGCGGTAAAAAAAGGCTAAATTACATGATGTAAAAAGAATGAACTTGAATTTTCTGTCGCAGATGATCTCGCTGTTGATCGGCGTCACTTACTTTGGCCAGCGAATCGATCTGGACGGCGTGATGAACATCAACGGGGCTCTGTTCATCTTCCTCAGCTGCATGACTTTCCAGAACGTTTTCGCCGTCATTAACGTGAGGCAGTTTTTTGCAATTTTTTATTTTGAGTCTTATCGGAGGAAATGCTGAAGAAAATTCGAGTAAGCTCCGAACATTTCTATCCATATGCAGGTATTTTGCGCCGAATTACCGATATTTCTCCGCGAGCACAAAAACGGCATGTATCGCACCGACGTCTACTTTATCTGCAAGACTTTGGCGGAAGCGCCGATATTTCTAGCGGTACCGCTGATATTCACCATCATCGTTTATCCCATGATTGGCCTCTATCCCGACGTGAGGCATTTCTTTGTCACCGCCGCCGTGTTGGTTCTCGTAGCCAACGTGTCCACCTCGTTCGGTAATCATCCAAGAAACCAGTTCATCAACAATAATATAATTATATTTATATTTATCCTTCTATTCAATTCCTCTTTTTATTCCATTTGCAGGCTATTTGATATCCTGTATCAGCAACAGCGTGACTACGGCTCTCTCCGTTGGTCCTCCGGTGATAATACCCTTCCTGCTGTTTGGCGGCTTCTTTCTAAACACGGCGTGAGTATCGTATAATTTTTAACATTAATATGACACTAATACTCAAAAACTGATTGACAATATTCGTGCGATAGGTCCGTGCCGTCATATTTTGTCTGGTTTTCGTATCTGTCCTGGTTCCGTTACGGCAACGAGGCTCTTTTGGTCAACCAGTGGTCAGAGATCGACTCTATAGCCTGCGCCACAAGCAACGTCACGTGTCCGAAGTCAGGACGCAGCGTTCTCCAGATTTACAATTTCAAAGAGGAGGACTTCCCGATGGACATTCTCTGCTTGCTCGCGCTTATCGCAGCGTTTCGTCTTCTGGCGTTTCTCGCTCTATTGTCGAAAACTCGCCGTTCAAAGTCATCATCATCATCATCATCATCATCATCATCATCATCATCATCATCATCATCATCATCATCATCATCATCATCATCATCATCGTCGTCGTCGTCGTCGTCGTCTTACGAACAAGAACACGATCTGTAAGGAACGGACAATCTTCGCTCTTGTTGCGACATACTTCTATAATAAATAATTTTAATAAAATTTGAATGCGTATCGCATCCTTCCATTGTTAGAAAATATTTGAAATAAAAAAATATATAAAAACGGAGAACAAGTTACGCGCGCGCGAAGATCGTAATTTTTTAAAATTTAGAAATACCGAAGATTATTAGATATATACAATTTACGAGTCTCGTTGGGGCTATCGATGTTGACACACGCCGACCGCAAAAAGGTGACGTAATAGGGGACTGGAAGAAACGCACCTCCCCCAACTTGCAGCTACCATATCTATATGTTGGCGTTTCCTGTATCGGGGTTGACCGTTCTTTTTCACTCGTGCTAGATACTATTACGAACCGGTTGCGATGCATACCGTGCGACCGCACGTACGAGAGAGATATTTAGGGCGTAAGAAAGAAGTCTTGGGAGGCCTTCGAGAGAGCGCGTCTCTTAGGAAAAAAAATCAGGATCTACATTCATTGATATTGTTTGCGGCCTGCAGATCACGCCGAGATTACGGGATTGTCATTCGGCTGGAAATAGGCAACGCGATACGCAAAAGAAAATATCGTTGTTGTCTCTCTTTCAGCTATAAGTTCGCCGATCATTGAAAATGCAACGCGTGACAATTCCAGTAGCGGATCGGCCGTGTGTAGGGTTTCGGTTTTCAATTACCAGCGAGACCCCCCGAGTCACGAAGAACATTTACTGCGAACGAAGTAGACAATTTCCGGGAACCTCGGCCAGGGTATTATAGTGTCTTACGTAAATAAGCTATATTGATTGGCGAGCGTCACCAGTGTCAGATTACCTGGTCATTGATCTACCTTAATTTCGATATTGATTAAACAAACTTGAAGCTAATTTGCGTTCTAAAAAATTAATAGAGAGAAAGAGAGAGTAAATTGATATACTTTTATAATTAATAAATCTAAACATATCAATTATTTTAATTATTAAGTATTAATTATTATTTATTTAAATATATTTAAATAAATATTTTAAATGAATTATATTAATATAATTGATATTTGACGCGTTATATGTAAAAAAAAATGTAAAACATCAAATGTTTAAAGTTCTTTTTTTTTTGAAAGAGTAAATTTTATATAGACGAATTTTCGATATTGTTAATCGTTGGCAATGTATCGATATTCGATTGCGAAAATATAGTAACGCGAAGAAGATAAACGAAGTGCATTAGGTGCATCGAGTGGTGGTAACGGAAAGCATGGGACACCTACGAGAGTCTCGCTTGCTTTTAGTTGTCGATCTCAGTCTCGCGCCTGATTGTCAGTTTCTTGCTCTTCGCATTACTACGTCAAAGCTCTTCAAGATCAGTGCATCAGACAAGTGCATCAGTGAACTACATATTTCGTTCTATTTGTCAAGATAGTTTTAAAATTTTATTTGTAGATAAAACTTATTCACATTTGTTTAAATTATTTTCTTCAAAATAGGATTTTATATTTTAGTAATGTATTTATTTTTTAAAAGCATTCTCTCTTAAAATTCTTTAATTCAAATCATTGAACTGCAATTTTTTAATATTTTTGTTTTTTTCGTTTCTAATACACCTATTTGAAAATTTCTTATTCTAGTATAAGTTGATATTGTTGACATAAAACGAAGAGACTTTGTGAAATAAACAATCATACAGCATTTAGAGCGAAATAAAACTGCATAGCAGAGAATTGAGATAAGAATGACCTGCGTACTTTATCAAATTTATAATAGTTAGATTAGGAGAAGAGAAAGATATGTGCAAACAAATACGAAGTTGTGATGTTGTGCATCAGATATAATTCGCGATCTGCAATTATCACGAGCTGCTTTGAAAAAAAATATTTTCTGAAAAAGAAAATTATATATATCCTGCCTTTATCTTCATCTCTCTCTTTTTCTCTTAAGGGCGACATAAAAGAGGTGTAAGATGCTCTCTTGGCAAAACTTGTCCGTTTATGCGATGGATCGAAACCGACACACCATAAGCAAACAGCTCATCAATAATGGTATTCAACACATATCTAATAGGAATAAAATAAGAATGATATATGATGTGACATTTTATCTTTGTTCCAGTCCGAGGTGTCGTACGACCTGGCGAGTTAACTGCGATCTTAGGAGGCAGGTAAATTATTTGTTCATTGATCATCAACATCCTATAATTATAACTGGTGTATCTTTTCTAATCGAAATTTTTTCTTTTTTCCTTTATACTACAGTGGTGCTGGGAAGAGCTCCCTGATGACATCTTTGGCATTTCGCACAGGGTGTAAGTAGTCTCTTTTCTTCAATCTGTGAAGGAAGAACAACTCGAAAAATTCATCCCTCTTGTTTGCAAATTGATAGCTGGCATCGTCGTGCACGGAGATATTCGCGTAGATGGTACATCGGCTATCTCGTCATACATGAGACGTCATAGTGGCTTCATGCACCAGGAAGACATGTTCATCGAGTCGATGACGGTGCTCGAGCACATCTGGTTCATGGTGAGCTTTATTCTATTTTATTTCCTTTCGAGTGTTCTAATACCTTCAACATACTTTCCGCCAGGCTAGAATGAAACTAGACGGAAGAATCCACACGTCGGATATTCGACTGAAGATCGATCGTTTGCTGAGGAACGTGGGTCTAGCGGAGAGACGCGACGTCCGCATCGGGAGTGGCGACGAAGGCAAGGTTCTCTCTGGTGGGGAAAAGAAAAGGCTGGCCTTTGCTACTGAAGTATGTATTTCTATCTTTACTTCCATCTAATCGAACATTTGCAACTTGGTATACAACATATCTCTTTGTAGCTGTTGACGGACCCCGAAGTATTGTTCCTGGATGAACCGACGACGGGACAGGACGCGCACTCGGCCAACGTCCTTGTCTCGCACATGACGTCCTTCGCGTCCAGAAATCGCACAATCTTGTGTACGATACATCAACCGAGTTCCGTCATCTTTGATAGCTTTCATCGTGTAATCCTTCTAGCAGGCGGTAGAATAGCATTCGCTGGCACCGCTACGCAAGCAATACAATTTTTCTCCAGGTATAGAGTCTCTTAAAAAGGGATGTTTTCCAGCAACATGTATATAGATAACTCAAGCTAAGATTTTTATTTAATTATACTTAGTATCGAATCAAGGAAAATTTCTGTTCTATGCTTCAATGAAAATAATCATTTTCGCGTCTGGTTTTTTAAACCTTTTAATTAAATATGTATTAAAATAAGATACTGTTTTTAAATTTAAATTTATATTAAAATAAGATATTATCATTGTCATTTGTAGCCAAGGCTACGAGTGTCCACGCAATTATAACCCGGCCGATTTCCTGATAACGACTCTAGCGATCGCATCCGACGATGCGGATGGAAGCGGAAGAGTCGCGCAGAAGATCTGCGATGCGTTCCTCACGAGCGAAGCGTGCAACGAGATCGACGTTATACTGCAACAAGAGGTTGATACCAATCGATCACGACGCGCTGTAAGTAAACTATTGCGAAAATAAATGATAATACATATTTTAAAAAAAGACTTTATTATATTTTATTTCTTTTGTTTCAGACCAGGGAAGATATTCGCAAATTGCGCTCCTTGTAAGTACACCCCTTCGAAGAATACGAAAGTAAATCAGATCGCGAATATATTGAAAATATATCAAGGAAAATCTGGTAATTTGATTGTGTTATTTACATAAATAAAATTTTTTACATAATGCAGCGAGGAACCGCGTTGCTGGCTTCGGCTTTACTGGCTAATTCATCGCGGATTTCTGCAAGTTCTGCGGGATCCTTCGATACAATTCCTTAGGATGCTGCAAAAGATCGTGAGTAATTCCAAAAATATTCTAGATCTCGTATTTTTATGAGATAAATTAAAATTCCGAAATAATTACGAATAATTGGACGACCTGGAGAACCGATTAACATTTGACCGGGTCACTCATGATCCATAATTTAAGAATATTTGCCAAATCTTATGCGATAATCGAAACAAATATTAATAATTTAATTAAATCTTAAATTGTTTGATTTTAGAGCGTTGCGACAGTCGCCGGCCTCTGCTTCGTCGGCGCCATCGACCTCGATCAGTTGGGCATCCAAGCCGTGGAGGGTGTCATATATCTTTTGGTGTGCGAGAACACGTTCTTTCCCATGTACTCGACATTGGCATTGATCCCGCAAGAGTTGCCACTTCTACTTCGCGAGTACAAGGCGGGCATGTATCCCGTTCACCTTTATTACACAGCACGAATGATATCGCTGGTGAGATATCTTCGTTATTTCTACCCTTATTTAAATAAATCATGCGTTTTGTAAAAATTCGACATTTTCCAGATACCAGGTCTGCTGGTGGAACCGGTGCTGTTTGCCGCGATTATATACTGGCTCGCAGGACTAAGACCCACGATGGACGCTTTCGGATTGACCCTCCTGGTGGTGATATTCACGATGAATGTATCCACCGCTTGCGGTAAGTGTTATCCCTAATATCGATCCCAAAAGATTTATTCATTGAACTCTCGCGTTTCTCAGGGTGCTTCTTCTCGGCTGTCTTTGAAAGCGTGCCCCTGGCGATGGGCTATCTAGTACCTTTCGACTACATTCTTATGATAACTATGGGTCCTTTCATCAAACTTAGGTACCTGTCACAGTAAATTTTAATATATGTATTTGTTATTTTTTTTGTCAAGCTACTACTAAATAGAAGGGCAAAGAGTTTATTGTTTTTCCTATTCAAGTTTTAATTACAATAAAATTTTTTTAAAAGATAAGTGAAAAACTCTTTCTTCTAAACGAGAAAGATCGATTAAATCGTGTATATGTAACAACAATTTTGTCGAGATTTAATTATAATTTTATTTCAATTTTATTAACAAATTTTTGCACAGTTTTAATAATGAGTAATCTTCTCTCTCTTCTTATCGATACTTAATAATTGGCAGCTCATTACCCGCATACATACGATGGGTAAGATACTTCTCTTGGATGCTACATTCAACGGAAACTCTCACCATTATTCAATGGGAAGGCGTGTACAACATTTGTAAGTTGCAATCAACATGCACACATTTTTGTAGAGGTTGTACAACAATTTATTTCCTGCAAACAGCCTGCGAAACAGTAGAACTACCCTGTCTCACCGAAGGAACCGAGGTGCTGAATCGCTACGATTTCGATGAGGGAAACTTTTGGCCCGACATCATCCTTATGATCATCATTTACGTCACCTTCCATCTGTTGGCCTATGTCTTTTTATGGAAGCGATGTAGATCGAGATAAGTGGATCGCGAGTAAGAATTAGAGAAAAGGTGATTTAAAAAATGATGTATCCTACTATATAATTGACCTCTAGCTTCTCCTTATAATTACTCAAAGATTTAGAAATTAGTATATATTATTTTTATCATGATTTTTTCGTGCGATCTTCCGATGTAAAATTAGAGACAAAAATTTTTACATCGAGATTATTTGTATTGCGTCGAAAATTAATTGCTGTAATCAAAAGAGCTGTGCAAAGCTTGCGAAGATATGATATGAATATGAAGTCATGTAAATTTAGAAAATGAATGAATTATTAGCGTGAATCGAGAATTTGTATTTACATTCATTTTCTGAAGTTTGTATTTGCAGTATCTTATCTCAGAAGCGTATCACACGTAAGATATGAAGTACATAGAACATTAATAAATAAATTTTCCATTTTATATGATAATCAATAAATTTTATATTTGAACGTGATCATTAATTGTAAATCGATTATATATTTAATTTTTTAAAAAATAAAATTTGAAAAAGTGGGAAAAAATAGCTCATGTATAATCTTATATAAATAATTATATCTTTTCTCACGTCTTCAAATTTCATTTCTCTCTAAAAAGACAAAAATTTAATTATATACATATATTATGTATATTTTCAACGCGAAACGTCAAACACCGATATCATCGACACGAAACATTCGGCGTCTAAATCTCAAGTTTGCCAACAGATGGCGCGACCGATCCAAGGAATCGCATCAACGGTCGGGCATTCTCCGTCTGGTGGAAAGGCGGAAGTGGCGACCTCTCTCTCTCTCCGTCCCTCAGAGCTTGTCTGGCCATGTCACCGTCATCGCGCGAGATAGTTGGCTCTTCGTAGTTCCGCGGAGACGACGTGCATACACACACACACACATACATATCTCAACCCGTGAGAGAGTCCGAGAGACGCGATCCGGGTCCAGCAGTGGCCGCGTCATGTGCGTGATCCTGGTGCCGCGGAATTGAGACTTCCCGGGCTGTCACACGCCAGCAGGAAGGAAGGACGGCCAGAAGGAAGGATCGGCTCCAGGAGGAGACGCGCTGCAATAATGCATTCCGGGACGGCGGCCGCAGCTTGCCGCCGACGCGATCGTGGGCTACGGACGAAGCACCAGGCCAGGTCGAGCTGCAGCGACGACGTCCCCGTCGTCGGACGTGGATGAGAAGAGGCGTCTCGCGTCTTCGTGTGCCAGCGGAGGCGCTGCGAACGGCCGCGAATATTAGCAAGTGATATTTTCTTCTCGATAAGGTACGTGCGATATACTTTTATAGGAGTAGAATGGATCGGAGCAGGATTTTCCGTTCCTCCTCCTCGAATTTATTCATCCTCGGATATCCTTCGTTCGCGTGATGAATTCCTGTTTGTGATGAATCCCGGTTTTTTCTTTTTTCCTCCCTTTTTTTTGACACTTGAATGCTTTCGCGTCATGCAGGGGGGCAACAGCAGCATTCGGCCCCCTTGGAAAAAAAATTTAAAAAAATAAAATAATAAATGATAATAATAATAATCTTGTAACTATCGAATTTTTTTTATTACGACGAATATTTCTAGAATTTCTAAGAAAATTGATTTATGTAAAAGAATCATATATATGCAAAAAATTAATATACACGGAGAGAATTTTATATTAAAATTCCCAAGATTTATTGTTCTTTTGAATAAACATTGGAATTTATTTGCGTATTTAATATAAAATAATAAAATAATATAAGAATTAAATTAAAAAATTAAGAAAAAATTTTTTTTAACTTTAATCATGCCCCCCTGGAAAAAATTCTGCAGACGCCCATGATTCGCGTACAAATGTAGGGCACACATGTATGTACATGTGTGCTTCCGAAGGATCCTTTCGCCGAGGATATTAATTCTTTACTTTTGTTTTTTTTTTTTCATTTTTCTTGCAGTAAAAAAAAAGAAAGATCGATTCTCTGCGAAAAACGTCATTCAAACGCGTCTTCTTTGTTGATTAATTTTCTTTGCACAAAGGAGTCGCATAGTTATTGGCTTATCGAAGAGAGAAAATTTTATAATCGTTATATAAAAATTTATTTAAAAATTTTATAAGATGCGAGGCACGTCACGTGTAAAGTGCATCTAATTTTCGAAAGTACGTATCGAAAATGGATCGAAGTGATGACGGATGTCGCTCTGTAGTGATGAAAAGTGCATGCATGCATGTGTGCACACGTACGTAAGAATGCATTTAAGGAACGTGCGTTGTTGCAAACTCTCACGAAATAACAAGTTGCATTTTCGATTGAGGCGAGCGATAAACAAGATGTAAAGAACGTCAACAATTTTGTATTGAGAGCTCATAGTTATTCAAATCATATAATATATAGTTTGCATATTTGCATATATAGCGTACTAATTATTATCGTAATATTGCACATTTGTAATACTGTATGTGCTAATTATTAAAATTATTAAAAATTATTAAACATTTATTTATATCGGTCTTTGCTTTTGACGGTGCAGAAAAATGAATAAAAAGAAAATATCGTTTCGAGGGAATAAGCGTTGCCAAAAATTTCAAAATTTTAAGTTCACTTATTTATAGAGTCATATACTTACAGAGAGAATTTTCTCTTACTTAGAATTTATCCTGAAAAACATGATAATTATAGGTCAATATGACATTGGAAGAATTTTATTAGAGTTTCTTTGATTAATATTTACCACAACAAAAAATATTAAATATCTGCCACAATAATATATTAAATGTGTTCGATTAATTTTGCTAAAAATATAGTAAATATTAATATTTTTTATTTTTATTTACCTCATAAAATTCTTCCAATACCATATCCCACGATTCCCATAATTTTCAGAATAAATTTTAAGAGAAAATTCTCTCCGTGCATATAATTCTTTTATATACATATATAATTACATATATGTAATTACATATAATTTTTTTACATAAATCCAATTTTTAAAAAATTCTGAAAATATTCGTCGTAATGAAAAAATTTGATAGTTACGAGATTTTTTACGTTTTTTTCCTTTTTTTGTTGACGTATATTTTGACGTAAAACATGAAATATCTCATAAAGAAAATATTTCCTCTAGTCGAGTTAAATAAAACTCTCCCATATTGCGCAGGCGTATTTTTCGAATTTTACTCAAAGATAGCATCAAAGCGTAAATTTCATTTTCATATTCGTTTCGTTTCGACGACAGTTGCTCGTCTGATCATAACACGTTCGCATCGATCGAAATTATCACTCGATGGGTGTGGCGTATGTGTGAACGTATGTGTGTTTGTGCTTTTCCACATTCAAAATTTCAGATAAAAACTCGCGACATATGTGCCGACGCGATTATTTATCTATCCGATGCCATTTTTATCGAAATAGCACTGGTATTTATTTTCTGGATTATCCATATATCATAGATAGGTCGGAAATAAAAATAATATTCTGGAAAAAAATTCTAGTAATGAAAGGTTCGATTTTTTGCGAATCTCGTCCTGCAATCGGATGCAGCCGTAGCATTAAATGGCTTCGTATAGCTATGGATATGCGTGTCTACACGCGACGTGCTCCATTTGCGGTTTTCACGTGATTTTTTTGTTGTTCCTCTAAGAAACGTGACTACCTGTCGAGGAGAAAAGTCGACCGCAGTTTTACAGCAATTACTATAGTCGAGGTATTCGTACACAACGTATTTTTAATCGATATGAAGAATCCTCCACTCTAATCTTCGGTTTTCATATTCTAAATTCCATGAACCAAGGTCTATTCTTGACACTTTTCCTCCTCCGCAATTTCATTATGATACACACTTATATTTTTAATCGATATGAAATATATATGACTTTAACACAAAGACATATCTGACATAATCGAATTCTAACTCTATCTACACGTGAGAGAATTTTCTCTTATACAATTAGAATTTATCCTGAAAATATTGGAAGAATTTCATCAGACTTTCTCTGATTAATATATTTATCACTATAAAAAATATTGATATGTACATAGTAAAATTAATCGAACACATGTTATATATCTTACTGTGGTAGATATTAATATTTTTTATTATGGTGTGAATAGTTTTTTAATCACAGAAACTCTGGTAAAATTCTCCAATACCATATTGTCCTAAGATTATCATAATTTTCAGGATAAATTCTAAGAAAAAATGCTTTTAGAATTAGAATTTATCCTGAAAATACTGGAAGAATTTCTCTGATTAATATTTACAATAATAAAAAATATTAATATGTACATAGTAAAATAAATCGAACATATTTTATCTTATTGTAATTGATATTAATATTTTTTATTATGGTGTAAATATTTTTTTAATCAAAGAAACTCTTATAAAATTCTTCCAATACCATATTGTCCCAAGATTACCACGATTTTCAGGGTAAATTCTAAGAGAAAAGTCTCTTTGTGTAATCTTCTATATCCTAAAAAAGAATTCCGCGAAGCAAGCTTTGTTCTTGATACTTTCGTTATCAATTTCATTTCAATTAAAATGCAAACGCGTAAAAGGAAAATATCCTTATATTAATATATTGTATACAGGTTGCATTAAAATATGGACAAAGTCGTGAATAGTTGATGCCATCGTCTTTCACTCGTTTTCTCACTCTATCTACGGTAACGTGACGTGGTAAATGTGAAGGGTAAAGGAGCGGCGCAAGAAAAAGATACGGAGGTTGATATAAAAGCGCTAAGAATAGGGATGTTGGAGTACAGAGGGTTCAACTATATATCTTCACTTCTCGGCGACTTAATCCTGCACTTTATCAGACCTGATATTACTTGGATCGACTTTGTTACTTATCAAAAGTGCCTTCGTTCTTGCTAAATCGTTTTGCGTTTCTCAAAAATTCATTTTCTGCGATTCTTTAGAATAAATTATATAATCGAAATAGGGTAATAAAAAAATGAATATTTTTATTCCTTCAATGAATAAATATCCGGGTATATCTAAAACAATTTTATGGATAAATTATGTAATCTAACAATAAGTGGCGTAACAAAAAAACCGATTTTTTTCTGATTACATTATTATTGCATGATAGATATTAAATCTTTCACGTTCTCTTGTTTTCATTTTTATTATTCTTCTTTCACAGCGGCGGTTAAGATTATCATCTTTATTACTTTTCTCACGGTGTGCAATTACGTTCTGCTATTGTGCATGCTTGCAAGTTATTAAATCCGTTTCATTTCTATTTTTATCTTTATTACTTCTCTCGCGCTGCGGTTAAGAAAATTAGATTAGGATATTTCATAAACACGGAATCTTGTGATCTGTGTTGATATCGATATAGTAGTTTAACTTAATTTTACTTTCAAATATCAACTTATATAGACGTATGACTAAATCTTATGTTTAGATTAGATATTTTATAGATCGCTTTGCACGAAAATATCACGTATTAAATAGAATATCAGTTTTATAATAGAGAAAAATAGAGGGAAAATATTCTTAATAATGTATATTTATTTTTAAACAAATAAGAAAAAAAAGATAATTTTTTTTTCATATTTTAAACTTGTGCGCAATATAATTTTTAATATTTCTCTCATAATTCTGTATAATTTTTAACGCGCACGATTTTGAGAAACAATCTTTCAGAATTTTCATGCCTTGTTAAATTTTTATTCTAAAGATTCTACAATTTTTAATTAGAGACTCTAGAGTTGGAAAACAAAACGATATTTCTCATAAATGTTCAATAACAAAAATAATCTACCACAATAAAATATAACATATGTTGGATTAATTTTACTATGTGCATATTAATATTTTCTTATGATAAATATTTTTAATTAGAGGAATTCTTATAAAATTCTTCCAATACTATATTGTCCCACGATTATCATCATAATTTTCAGGGTAAATTTAAAAGAAAATTTTCTTTGTGTAATTTTTTACGCAAACGAGTGATGCACATTTTCGAAATTTTTTTCTACACGGAGAGACTTTTCTTTTAGAATTTACCCTGATAATCATGGTAATCGTAGGACACTATTGTGGTAGATATAAATAATTTTTATTGTATATTTAATCAGGGAAACTCTTATAAAATTCTTCAAATGTATCATATTGTTCCACGATTATAAGATTATCATGATTTCCAGAGTAAATCTTAAGAGAAAATTCTCCTTCTGTGCATATTTTTTACACAGAGAAAATTTTCTTTTAGAATTTACCCTGTAAATTACGGTAATCTTGGGACAATATGATATTGGAAGAATTTTATAAGAGTTTCTGTGATTAAAAAACTATTTACACCATAATAAAAAAATATTAATATCTACCACAGTGATATAACATATATGTTCGTTTAATTTTACTAGGTACATATTAATATTTTTTATTGTAAATATTAATCAGAGAAATTCTTCCAGTATATATTTTCAAGATAAATTATAAGAGAATTTTTTCTTAGAATCTATCCTGAAAATTATGATAATTTTGGGACAATATAGTATTGGAAGAATTTTATAAGAGTTTCTGTGATTAAAAAACTATTTACACCATAATAAAAAATATTAATATCTCCCACAGTAAGATATAACATATGTTCGATTAATTTTACTATATGTATATACACATTAATACTTTTTATTGTGTGTAAATCATTAATCAGAGAGATCTGACAAAAAATTGTCCTAACAGCACGTATTAAATTTTCGCACGATTACCATGATTTCCGGATGAATTCTGAGAGAGAATTCTCTCCGTGTATATTTACGTATTTATATATAGTGCAATATATATTGAATAACATTTCACACGATGTCCGTGCTGACTTGTCTTACGACGGCACCGTCAGCAAATCGCCCTTAACGCTTCTCGTATATACCACGACACGTAAATCGACTCGACGACGGCTGACTCTGTCTCTTCTGTGATAAGAGTGTCTCGTTCCGAAATATATGTACGTGCTCGCGTGTGCGTGTGCGTGTATTATACAATATGTGTGCGCATGCGTGCGCGCGCGCGATGCCTTTCGTTTCTCGCGTGAAACCACGTCAATTCGCTTAATGACGTTAATTCTGCGGATGCCAAGATGTCGTTCAAGAGAGACTGCTAGCGTGGCTTCGCGAACGTATATGTATTATGCGAGGTCGAAGTAAATAGCCGGTCGCGACTCGATATCGAGAAAATCGTCCAGCGGAGAAATATTGCAATTATATCGATCCATTTTTTGCGAGCGATTTATCAAATTAAGAAACCCAAATTTGCGCGGTCTTCTATTTTTATATATTATCATATCAAACTCTTCTTACTCAACAAGTTTGATTAAATCAGATAAAAAGGATCGAATCGCGTAGTAATTTCCGTCCATAATTATCAGATTTTGTTATCTGATTTATTATATTTTATCTGATAAATCCTCCATCTTTAATCTTCTTTTAGTACATCATCAACGTATACATAATAATTACATAAAAAGTCGTAATTATAATTTTAAATATATATTAATAAAATTATATATTAAATTACAAATAATTCACTCCTTAAGAGATCTATATCTCACATCAGTTCTTTTAAAACACAGATATTTTATTTTCACATACTATTACACATATAATTTATAAAAATAAAAAAAAATATTTTTAAGTATATAGATAATTAATCACGCGCGAAATTGACCGATTGAATAAAAAATCGCGATAGCATATAATTAAAGACGAGCCGGCGCGGCGTTTATTAAACAGCGATACCGCCGATAAGGAACTTTTTATTCTTTTGATTAATTATTATACCCTCTCGTTGGATAATATTTTGCTTAAAAATTGCAATATTGGCCGGTTTCAGGACAAGGTGCAATGGCTGACGACCGAAATAACCACCGGGGCTTCGTCACACGGCAGTCACACGTGGTAAGTAACGTTCCGCTGCATTAATCGCCAACAGATAGAGTCGCCGATTAGCAGCCGCATATTTTCTCTCTCTCTCTCTCTCTCTCTCTTTCGCTCTCGTGATCCTTGCAACGCGGAATTCGATAATTTTAGAAAAGCCGCGGAGAGACGAGAACGCGGACAGAGAAAATTTCGTGATTTCGTCGCTGAAGACGCGACCGCGTTCGATCGTCTCTTCTGCGAAAAGTGCGAATTTTTAGCTCGACGTCGGGAATCAGCTGTTCTCAGCTTCGGTGGACAAAGTCCGGCTCTCTCGAAGGCAACAATCCAATTTTGCAAGAATTATTCCCTTTGTTTTCGACAGTGACGCACGATGGCGCGTCATTTTTGAGAAAGGTCGGCACCGGAAATGACGTGATGATTTATCGCGAGTCCGTTGACGTAAGAGAACAGGTCGTCGAAGACGCATTCTCATGGGGCACCGGAATAAAAATGAAGAAATCGAACTCAATTCCGTCAATTATATTCCTCGACCGAGGAAAATAAATCAAGTCGACGGACTCCGAGGAGTTCCTCCCGAAAAGATTTTCGATAAACCATCTCGAGAGTGCTCCGGGAGGGCGTGGAGGCAGTTTGCGTAAATAAGCAGCTTAAAAATAGTCCGTCGACTCTGTTATATCGGAGAGAGAGAGAGAGCAAATAAAGCCTATATCCGTGGCTCTTTAAAGAGACTTCATAAAGTACTTGCTGCGAAAATTTCCCACTTTTTATTATAATTTTTCGTAACTCGAGGAATCTTTTGTTTCGTGTAACTTTATATGTATGACCATTCGTCCTTTATTTTAAAATCCTTTTTTTCAAGAGTAGTTGTCCCTCAGATTTATTCATTTTTCTGAAACTCAATTTTGTCTTTTATTTGAAAAATTTTATCCATTTTATTTTTTATTATTTATTTAGTTTTAATGTCTAATATCGTTGTATTAATATTTAGAGAATTTGAATGAAAACAATGAAACCTCTTATTGGGAATCTATTTAAGAAACCAAAGGTTTTTGTTTCAATATAGTCGAATCAATTTCAAATTATATACGTAGACTTTTGATAATCACAGAATTATTTTTTTTTGCTCGTCGATTTTCAATTTTCTCTTAGAAAATATGGTCACCATAATTAATAATTAGATACATAGAGAACTTTATATAGAATTTACTCTGAAAAACATTGTAATCAATTTATGAGTTTCTCTGATTAATATTTTACCTCAATAAATATATTAATGTCTATCACAATAAAATGCAAAATAGGTTCGATTAATTTAAAATATTTTTATATTCGGTTTATTATTTTATTTGACAGACATATTATAGAATTAATTCAATAAATATATACACAGAGATAATTTTTTCTTAGAATTTACTCCGAAAATTATATAGTAATCATGGGACAATTTAATAAGTGAAAGAATTTGATAAAAGTTTCTCTAATTAATATTCACCACAATAAAAAATATGAATATGTAAAATTAATCGAACATATATATTTTATATCTTATTGTGAGAGATATGAATATTTTTTATTCTGATATAAATATTAATGAGAAACTCGTATTAAAATTCTGATGATTTTCAGGGTAAAAATTCTGAAAGAAAATTCTCTCCGTGTATCTGACATTTAAAATAGGACATTTGTAAAATCCAAGTTTCTTCAGAACTCGACGTGTTTTATTTCGCGTAAGCTACCAGGAACTAGTACTTGCATTTTATTCAGATAATCTCTTCGGAGCGCTTGTTCAACTAAGTTTGTGTCGCGTTGATCCGTGGCATAATCAGCCAACATGCCATTACGCACTCTCTCCTCTCTCTCTTTTCATCCCCATAATATTTGCGCATCGATTACTTGTCCGATTAGTCCACCCACCGTGTGTGTGTGTATTTGCGTGTGTTTGTGTGTCAGAATCTGCCTACGATGACGCAAATGCGGAGCGTCGTGCGTGTGTGGTTTTCTCGAATAATAATAATAAAAAAAAGAGCGAAGTTTTGTTTTTCCCAAGAGGAAGAATATATATTATTCAAAGGGCGGATCTCGACGAAAGGTTGACGAGAATTAAGGCGTCATTGAATAAAATTGATATATATATATATATATATATATATAAAAGATCGTTCGGCTCGCGTCACTTTATTAAGCAAACTCGCGGAGAGAATTTTCTCTTAGATAATATATTTTTTATTAGAATAAAAAACATTAATATCTATCAGGATAAGATATTAAATATGCTCGATTAAGTTTACTATATACATATATTAATATTTTTCTGTGATAAATATTGATCACAGAAACTCTTCCAATTCAAATTCTTCGAATATTATATTGTCCTCTGATTATCATGATTTTCCGCGAGTATAAGTTCTAAAAAAATAATTCTCTCTGTGCAGCACTTATGTTAATCGAAAGCGATCGGAGTCGATGTTGTCGGACGGAACGAGCGCGACATAAATTGCTCGGAAGTCATGATCTTTATTAATGGAAAAAAGCTACATTCCTCGCAGACAAGCGCCACGCAACGTTGTCCTCTCTTTCTCTCTTACGTCAATCCGGGGATAGCCTGATTTTCTTCTTAGCCGCGTTTCTTCGGAAAGACTCTTCCTTCCTTCTATTTTTTTTGCGTCAGTGCATCGCGTATATTTCACACACACACACACACACACACACATGCATTTGGTGCATAGAAAGTACGCTCCGAAAAGCAACTAAGGCACGCACACGCATATTCGCGTGCGAATTATCGCACGGTCTGTCGCAACTTTTGCGCCGCGAAAGCAACGACCGGCCCTTTCGATCGAAAAAAAAAAAAAATACGGAGCGAAAACCGCGTCGAAGGCTGCCCGCGATTCCGCGTTTGTTTCAGCCGCGCTTTCACACCTCGATATAACCGCGATGCATTCGCGCTCGATCTCAATTTTTATATGTATGTATATGTTCGATTTTCGATTTTAAAACATTATTTTGAATCAATATCATTCTTTCCCAGTCAATCGGAAGCAGAAAGTTTTATCCTCTCCAGGCGTTGAAATCGCATACATTTCTTCACGAATGCAATCCTGCACTCGAGAATATAAATAGATCGACGTCTCTGTATAAAATCATATGATGAGAAAACAAGGGAAAAAGCGCAGTGCTTTAATCAAAACATGGATGTGCATATATACACGGAGAGAATTTTCTCTTAGAATATACCCTGAAATCCCCTGGTAATCGTGGGATAATATATGGTATTGGAAGAATTTTAGAAAATAAAAAAAAATCTACTGTTAATATCTACTGTTTCTGGTAAAATTAATCGAACATATTTTATATCTTATATTGTGATAGATATTAATATTTTTTTATTGTATTTAATCAGAGAAATTCTTATATAAATTAAGAGTTTAACTTATATAAATTAAGAGTCTTATATAAAATTCTTCCAATACCATATTGTCCCACGACTACCATGATTTTCAGAATAAATTTTCTAACAATAAGAGAAAATTCTCTCTGTGCATATTTTCTACACTGAGAGAATTTTCTCTTAGAAAACTGAAAACTGAAAATCATAGTAATAGTGGGACAATGGAGCATTGAAAGAATTTTATAAGAGTTTCTCTAATTAATTTACTATAATATATATAAAAAATAATATGTACATAGTAAATTTATTATATAGTAAAATTAATTGAACATATATTTAATATCTTTAGAATTTACCCTGAAAATCATAGTAATCGTATGGGACAATATGGTATTGAAAGAATTTTTTAAGAGTTTCTCTGCGATTAATTCACCATAATAAAAAATATTAATAAAGAGAAATATATATATATATAAATTAAATTAATGGTACAAATTAGCCAAAGAACCAGTGCAGTAATTAAAGCGCAATTTATTAGATTTATTTAATATCTATTACATATTTATATATAAATTTGGACTCTCTTCAGCGCGTACAAAATCGGAAAAATACATCCTAATCAGAGACATGGACTCAATCGAGCGAGGACATTAATAAGAATTTTTCAACAGTTTTGACAAATGTATTAGATTTCTTAGTGATATTTGATTAGGATGTATATTTTTTCGATTTGTATATAAATGTAATTAAAAAAAAATATTAAATAAATCTGATACGTTGCGCTTATTTAATTACTGCGCTGGTTCTTTGATTAATTGATACCATTAATTCATTGTATACGAAACCTTTTTATGTATATTATTTTGTATATAAAATAAGAGAAAATCCTCCGTGTAGAAGAGAGGAAATAGAGCGCGCGCGCGCGAAATGTCAAAATCGAAATGTCAAATCGTCGGGCGCGACGAGCGACAGATTGTGCGGAAACGCGCGTGCCGCGACTATCGGCGGATTGTTTTGCAGAGGAGGTGACGATAACGATGACGCCGCGGCGCGGGAGGGGACAAGTGCGCATTCGTGCTCCCGCGAATTCCCATGTCGCAATTGGTTGTGGCAGTATCGCCGTGACCGTCGTGCCAGTTATGGCACTAGCGCGTCATTCTCCGTCATTTTTTTTACTATTTTTTTTTTATTTCGAATTGACGTTTCCGCGTCAATAATCACTCGATTCGCGAGCCGGATTTTTTCGACGGGCCGTTGACATTTCACCGCGGTGAGTTAATTAGCCGGAAGTGTCGTCTTTCATGAGCTTCGCGCTTGAATAATCCATCACGGTAAGAGAGACAGAGAAAGGTAGAATAAACCGGTGGAACTTTATTGATGCTTCGATTTATCGATGACAATTATAGAAATATTAAAAAGCTATAAATTTACTCGGATTAAATATTTACATATCATCCTAGATCAGCTGATTTCCATCTCTAAAATAACGCTGTCGAAATATTGCAAAATTATGTGACTAATCAGATCAGATCGCGCAATAAATATTTATGTAGCGTATCAATTTCATGAAATTTTATATATATATATTACTTGACAGTTTCTACGACAGAAAAAAAAATAAATCTCACGC